GGTGTGCACCTCGCGATTATTACTAATGATCCGAGCGCGTATTAAATCACCTTTGTCGGCCTTCACCCCGACAACAGTATTTTCGTTGTCTACCAGACTGTCCTTCGTACATTCCCGAAATAACTCGACAACACAGAGAGCCCAGTCGATCCCAATAAGACTTGGCACAGTTACGCCTAACGACATCGGTAATTAAACGGAAGACTTTGCGTGTGAATTTTTACGCTTCTTCGCCGATTTCAAATTACCAGCTTGAAACGGGGTAGATTTTCAAAGTTTGGATTCCGATTGTAGCAAGTTTCGAGTAGGTGCCCGCGTCTGCATCCCTTTCGCGAATTACGCTAATACCGGCGGGTCAAAGCGGCAACTAAAAGCGATGGTAAATGGGGTCGGTCAGTCGTCGATGCCGTTATACGGCAAGGAAGCCACCCTCTCCCGCCCTCTGCTTTTCCTCTGACGTCACACCGCAGACAGAGGATCAACCCCCTCCATTTCACCCCATAGCTTCCGTTTCGGGTCAACCGAGGTCGGACCGTAACACCCTGTTCGACTTTCGCCTACTTCCTTCCTTTTCTCACTTTTTCATTCCCGCAGTCGGCTTTATCGTCGTTTACAAGAGTATCGGGTTGTAAATTCGATATGAAAAACCTCGAAGATTCCGTTTTCCATGTTTCGTTAAGGAATTTTCGCTGTTTGACGGGCGGAAACGGAAACGGAATGCGACTGCTCTGTTTTAGGTAGCCAGCCTCGTCTCCGCCAGTCGGGTTGACAGCTTTCGATAAAACTTTCCCCGCGGTGAAAATCCCCGCTTCGCATCCCTCCGGCTGATTGTTGCTTGTAAAACTTTTAAACGAGCAAGCTTCGAAACCGATACAAACTTTCCCGTTAATCCCGGTTAAACCTTCGTTCCTTTTATCATATCATTCGAGAAACGAAAGATTTAGTTTTTCTCTAATTGTACGCTGCTCGTTATTCATGAAACGCGAATACGTCGAAGAGGTCGGCTCGAGCGAAAGAAAATATTTTTCCAACGAAAGACAGCCGGTTTATCTTTAACTGAATTGCCCTGCTTCAAAGCATCCCGTGTACACATAATCCTGAACAGTCGACGAACCGACTCACGGTTTTACGACGAGCAAGAGACAACAGTATCGCTCGAGATTAATTCAAATATTTGCTCTCCTGCCTTCGCTTTTCACACAGTAACTGTTTCAAAGTCGATAGAAAAAACGCTCTCTAATCTCGAACCAGGATGAAATTTAACGAAACTTATAGAGGACCTTTGAAAGTAACAGGAGGATGCAATTTTCCGACATCAAGCCGGTGGATGTCGCAAGCCCTTCGGGAAATCGCCGGTGTAGTTTGCGAGATCGTTCAACTAATTTCGAGGGACCGTCAGATACGACAATTCCAAAATTACCGGTACGAATAATTGACCAGCAACGGTGCCGCTCGCCTAACTTTCAGCTAATGTGTCAAACATCCGTCCTGTAAATTCAAAACTCTCTACGATCCTATCTTTATCCTTTGTTTTCGCAAACATTTCGAATAATTAACCCGAAGGGAACGGCTGCAGGTGGAATAAATAACGGAAGATGAAACGATGGAACAAAGTACAGAGAAAAGGTGCGATGCTTTGGTTTAATATTCTAGAGCAGTCTCTCGGCTCATCTGCCTAACGTAATTTCTTTCGTGAAAAATTTCGAAACGTCAACAAGAAACAGAATATTCCTAGAAAATAAGATGCAAAGGGAAAGAGAAAATGAAACGAGGCGCTAATACCGGAAATAATAACGAAAGCTGCAACCGACAAACCTTCCTATAAGGGTGCTACTTTAATTCTCAGCTTAGGAAGCCCCGGTGATTCCGCGTGTCGTTCGCTCGACGACACGCGATCCTCAACGATGCTCACGATTCGCTAAATCTCGATATTTTCCAGCTCATAGAATCTTTGAATCCTCTGTTTAACGCGTCACCGCATTTATTCCATCGACCATTTCTCCGCTTCGTGTCTTACCACTTCGCGGGATTACTCTAAAACCCCCCTGAACAACGCTTCTTACCTTTATTCCGCCCCGATACCTCACCCCAACGTCACTTTATCGCGTCTACCATTTCTTACGATGAATCTTCTTTATTCGTCAAAGTATTTTCGTAGAAAGAACATTGCACACTTGACTTATTTTCCTGAATTTTGGCACAATTCGTATTCTATGAATCTTGCAGAGAAAAACGGAATAAGAAATCTAGTCTTTGTTTCTTATTATCCCGAGGATCGCTTCCTCTGGGATCCACCCCTAGTTCTGGACAACGATATTTCCTTCGCCCTTCCATTAATTGTTAATTAAGCAACATCGAGCGCACCGATCTGTCGGTAAAGTTATTAAAAAACATAGTCCTTTGTTCGTTGAAACAGCGCGGAATGTAACGCGTCGTTAAACCGCGACTATTGACTCCCGTCGCGTTTCGCCCGTTCGTTTCGGCTAAACTGTATATTGTTTTATTTTTATCAATGTGGGTCAGTAACGACGATAAAAAAAAAAGTTGGCATGCAGGAACGAGCTTTAACGTTTCAACGTCGAATCAAAATCGTCGCGACCTTAAACGGATCTTAATCTCCATTTGAAAAGAGGAAACGTCCATCATAAATGTTTGTAATCATTATCTTAAGCAAAATAATAAACGAGAGAGCAATTAATTTGATTCGCACGATAAATGGACGAATCTTCAGATCGATCGACAGATTTTGCTAGTTGAAAAGTTAATTGAAAAAAAAAACAAAAAACCCAAATCGAGATTCGAAAAATGAAGCGAGGGGAAGAACCGGGGTGACGCGTTCGAAGAGGTTCCGTGACACGTGCGTAATAATTGAACGGGCCGATCGGTCGATTGATCGATAACCCTCTTGAAAACTAGATTAAAAGCCCTCGATAATAGTTTAGCTACGCGTCTCTTGACCTCCTCTTGCAGCGTGCTTAATATCGGTCGAAAAAAAAAATCTGATGATAAACTGCTCGAACGATTCAAGGAAAAGATTTCAGATTAATTACAAGATTACGTGATACACGGTCTCACTAGCGCTACCCGTTTTCACTATAAATACCGTTCGACAAGTACTTCTCGTATCACAAGTGAAATAAACTTTCGCACAATATGGAGAAGTACGTAGCGATCCTGGCTCTCGTCGCCGTAGTGGCCGGTAAGTTATTAAATATAATAACCCTTCCCTTCTTTTTTTTTTTTTATTTCTTCGTATAATTTCTCTGTTAACGAACTTCCGGTCGATAAGGTGTTAAATAATTCTTGCTCCAATTAACAAACACGGATAAAATAGAAAGGAGCTTCCGAATGGGCAAAGTTTCCAAGTCGAATTACTCGAAGGGTAGTTCGTCGATAATAAGAGATCTCTAATTTTCCCTCTATTTTACTTCCACTGTTCTCTTCCTGCCATGGTAAACTAGCAACATGAACTTCAATAAGAATATACTTTTCCCTAGGAATTCCCGTGGATCAGACCTTGCAAAAGGTCGATCTGAGGATGGACGGTCGTATCGTTGGTGGACAAACAGCATCCATCTCCGAAGCTCCCTATCAAGTCAGCTTACAAATGAACGGTCGCCATTTTTGCGGAGGTTCCATAATCGCCAGTTCCTGGGTAATAACAGCTGCCCATTGTACCGCTTATCCAGTTAACTCGTTAACCATCCGTTCCGGCTCGACTAACGTCAATTCCGGTGGATCTGTGCACAAAGTACAGCAAGTGATCAAACACGAAAGCTACAGAACTAGCAGAAACGGTATCCCAATCAACGACATCGCTCTTCTCCGTATACAAGGTTCCTTCAGTTTCGACAACAATCGTAAGGCAGCCGCGCTATTCCAAGGAAATTCCGCGAGTCTGAACGGTAAAAACGCGTTGATCACCGGATGGGGAAATACAAATTCGGGAACACCGACGGTACTGCACAAAGTGACCGTTCCTATGGTCGAGAAAAGGGAATGCGAGAATAATTACAGAAGCTACGGTGGAGTACCTGAAGGACAAATCTGCGCGGGACTCGCGGCTGGAGGCAAAGATTCCTGCCAGGGTGATTCCGGTGGTCCACTCTTCCTCGGTGGAAATCTCGTGGGAATCGTTTCATGGGGTATGGGATGCGGCACCCCCAAATTCCCAGGTGTCTACACCGACGTCTCTTACTATCGTCAATGGGTCCGTCAAAACGCTGGAGTTTAATTAATTGATCAAAGATACTTGGAATGCTCGTCTAATCGATACACGAAAATCATTAGCGATTTTAGGTTCAATTCTATTCTTCACCACCGTATCGATTCGTCGAGTTACTTTGCCGAAGGTTAAAACGAATTTGCGATAAAACTTTGACATAAATTTTTATATGATAAAAAATGCAACGTGGATTGTATATAAATAATTGTTGTACGAATAAATGCTCCTTGTTTTCATCAATTTCGTCTGTTTATAATAATGCAATCGTAAACCAGATCCTCTAAGAAATCGTTCGAAAGCCCTATTGTCTGTCTGTATAATAATTGCACAAGATCAACCAAGAGTAGGTACGCGTAACGCGATATAATCAATGTTATCAAGATATCACGGCCTTCGTTTCTTTATTATCGCTATACGTTTAGAAACGGTTTCTGAAAAGTGTTTACCTATCGTCAGTACACAATCAAGCCCTTGAAAATGACAATTGTAACGTCCAACGTTACTTGAACACTACCGAAAATATTTCATCAAATTTCGAATGCGACGAATTTTCAAAAATGAAACGTACAATCTTGACTGCAGGACGTAGATGTAACGAAAGAAAATGCAAATCCTTAAATTGGCTGATTTATTTCACAAAGCCTGTCTTCATTGTGGCAGATGATACAAAGAGATTATTACTAATCGAGATTGAATTTTGATTGATTTTGATTGATTTCGGTGAAACGCGCATTAACGTCTTAAAAATTTTTATTAATCTCACTTTAATTCGACGAGCTTTGCTCTTATCTACGCGCCGAAATACGTTCCGCATAAAATATCCGTATAAATACCGGACGAAATTTTGGAAAAGACACAAACCGTAAGAAGTCGAACCAACCAACATGTTTCAACAACTGTGTCTACTCGCCTTGGTGGCGATCGCGTCAGGTAACAAAATTTCCTCTTAAAATTTTCCAATATTTTCCTGCCGATCGTTTAATTCGAACGTACCAGAGAATCGTGACTAAAACGTGAAACATTATTTCATCGGGAATACCATTCAGAAATATCGGATAAAAGTTTGCGTTTCACAGCCAATATAGTTGATGCTCCACAGGGAGATATTTACCGTTTCCCACCGCGTCGAGAGTATTTCTCGCTTCGTTTTACGCTACCCCCATCGATCATAATTTATCCCTAGAGTCGCGATTCCTCGCGAGAATTATTATTCCAGATTAAAAAGCTTCGAGTATGCGCTTAAGGTGCGTCTTCAGCCTCTCAGATAAATAAATTATTATTTCCAACAGCGAACCCGTTGCACGAAATCATCCCCCTGAATCCGTTGACACCGAGCGGACAGATAATCGGTGGTACGGACGTGAAAATCGAACAGGTGCCTCATCAGGTGTCCCTTCAAAGTTCCGGTTTCGGCTTCTGCGGTGGTAGCATCATCTCCGAGCAGTGGGTCGTCACCGCCGCTCATTGCATGGCCGCTTACCCGGCCGATTGGGTGACCGTGAGGGCTGGTACCACCACCAAATCGTCCGGTGGCACTGTTCACAAAGTCGCGGAAGTGATCATTCACGAGAATCACGTGACCAACTGGCACGGAGTACCGGAGAACGACGTGGCCGTGTTGCGAGTGAGCACTCCCTTCAAACTTGACAAGACTCGCCAGCCCGTTAAGCTATTCAAACAAGGAGAGGAAGCAATGGCGGGAGTGCAAGCGATCATCACCGGATGGGGCGCGATCAGAGAGGGTTCCAGCACCACCGACGTCCTTCAAACCGTCACCGTGCCGATCGTCTCCAAGAGTTCCTGCGACACCGCCTACAAATCGTACGGTGGTCTTCCCACCGGACAGATTTGCGCTGCCGTTCCCGAAGGTGGCAAAGACGCTTGCCAAGGTGACTCTGGCGGTCCATTGACCATCGGTGGACGTCTCGCTGGACTCGTGTCCTGGGGATACGGTTGTGCCAGACGAGGATATCCCGGTGTTCACACCGAGGTTGCCGCTTACAGCGATTGGATCACAGCCAAGACCGGAGTTAAACTGTAAACCCTGCTTTATCACGACCCTGTTTCTCTAACTTTAATCCTTTCTTTATTTTTAATATAATTTTCAATACAGCTTAATCGAAATAATTGTAATAAAGACAGCATTCTGTAATAATAATTTTCGTAGAATCTAAAATTGAAAGTAACTCTCTTCTCCTGGATTCAATCTCGGCTAATGCGCTAACCCTGTTCTACTCGCTCCGAGTCGTAAAGTGCAGCTTTCATTAACGAATTACACTCGGTGTATCGTCGCGATAATGTGTGTCGCATATCTTATACGGGATCCTATAGAATCGTAGGGGAAAACTTGCGAATACAATTTATAAATGTCGTTCGACTGGACGGACAAGGGTAGACGTTACGAGGCCGCGCAATTAACTGTTGATTTACACTACCGCATCAAACGACTCTGCCAAAATTCGACTTCGCTCTGCCAAACAAACGAACCGTTACCAATTTACATTTTTTCTTTTTTCCTTCTCGTCTCTTTGTTCTCTCGAATGCAGGTGACGCGTGTTTTGCACTTTCGGTTGAAGTAGAAACGAGTATCAATAGAGCCGCGCGACTGGCGGTCGTTTAAGCGTTAAGAAAGCCACATTGTTCGTAGCGAGAGAAACGAGTTCTACTTTTATGTGGGTTAAAAGCTCGAGACACGGTTCGGCTTTATGGCACTGATTCGCGCGGGCAAAACGGAACGCTTGCCAAAAACCATTTTCCCACACCCTATTTGTCGCAAGCGCTCGCGTATCGCGGCAATTTAAATGCGAATGTGCTCGATACACCTAACCAGCCTGATTAACGTTGATCGTAAATGGAAAGAAAAGAAAAGCTTGCACCTTCGAGAAATAAAACTTCCGGAGATCGGAACAGTTTGCCAAAAGCATCAAGAGTCATCGAATTTGCGATATTCTTTCGATCCTCCGTGTACCCAAGTGCATCGTTCGCTGTCGTATCGTTTTATATGCACACCCCCACCCGTTGGACTCTGGCCAGCAAGGAGCAACCCCCCTGAAGAAACTAGCAATCAGACATTGAGAAAATTCCCAAGAGCGACACGTACGTTAACCCGTTTATACCCAGGCTCTCTTAACATTTTCTATTTCATCGATAAATTATAAAATCACCGAAGCGTTCTCCTCCTATTTTCTATTCCAATGATCGATCGCTCAAAGTTCGACGAACGATAGAAAAGAAAGGAAGGCAAACAGCCGCACGTCCGAACAAGGACCAGTCGATAAATTATTCTTAGATTGTCTACTTGGCCAGCGAGGAACTAACGATCGAATCGAGTAAACGAGGACGATCCGATCGAGGTCACTCGTGCGATTATCCTGCGAGGAAGCGATTTGTTTACCTCGATCGACGAATTCCTCTGTGGTCTTAAATCGTCAAGAACGAGAGCGTAAAAATGACCCTCTATCTCTTCCCCCTCTTTATCAACAAAATTCGTGAAAAAAAAGTACTTTCTTAAGAGAAATTTCAGTAACCCTATCGGTCGTTGAACATAATAAATTCTCGCGTACACGGTTTCAATCGATATTTATAGAAGACTCTCAATATTTATAGACCGGTCGACCTGATATTTATAAAGTCGATACGACAGTGTGACATTTAAAAAAAAAAAAGATAAAAAGGAGCTCGCTATGGGATATTTCTGATACGGAGACTCTATGGCGTCCTGTACAGGGTGCAATCTCGTAAATTGCCTTTCTTCCGTACCAGTGTAAAAGTTTCATACCTTGGTTTGATTGAATTCGTTTTTCTTCTTTCGTGGTTTAATTAAGGGTAAACCTGGTATTAACCGGAAAGGTTTTTGCCGTTTCGAAAGTGCAAGAAACGAAACTACGGGTCTTGTTTAACCTACCTTTCTTTCGGCAATGCGAGAATCGCAAACGTTATGGTCACTAGGAGAACGCGTGAACTTTTGACCTCGACTGCTGGCAACCCGTACCTCCCACCCCTATCAAGGACTTGTCTACTCGAAATATTATTTCTATTACCCTCCTGCCTTCATCCCCCTCGCGACAATCTCATCTTTTTATTCTATGTCATCTCGACTCGACCACGTTTAAGTAAAATAATAGTTTCGTACAAGTGGGTACTAGAAACGATCATCCCGATTTCCATCGATCAATGCGATTAATCAATAATTTCAGTAGCCTGAAAGCGGATCGCTTCTGAATTATGCTGATGACAAGCACGTTATAATACACGTCGCGTTGCATAAATGAATATGCATGCTGGCAGAAACATCAACGATTCGCTGAAAGGCTCGTCTTTGAAAATCTAATTAACCGCGTACGTGCTTAATAATAATATGAAGAAAGCGAAGCGTGCCGGATCGAGCGTCTCCTGGAACGAATAACTTATGAAAAAATATGCAAATAAACAGTGTGTTTTCCGTCCTTCGTTCCGATTTTATTTACCCTTCCTTCCCATTTGTTCGACTCTCTATATTCAAAGGCCGCGGATAAAAGTTAATTTAGTTGATTAATTAAAAGACACAGGGGTTAGTCAATTTGCGCTGTGACAATAAATCGCGTGGAAAAATAGCGAACCGTAGCCAGGAATATGTACTCGGAATATTTTCGAAGCGATTCGAGTAGATTCGAGTACGGTACGATCGCTTCATCGTTTCGCTTATCCGAGCGGAAGAAACGTTCTCGTTATTATATATCCCAACACCACCACCGTCGCTACCATCGCTCGATTCACCAGCTGGTGAACCGGTTAATTCGTGACAAATGTTTTCGCGTGAGAGTAGGTAAGAGGATATTCTAAATAGAGAAAAAATCGTATTATAATTGCACCTATTTAATTCGAGCAACGAGTCGATAATGCCTTTTGCTTATCGCGTTGTTTAAGGTTCTAAGGTAATTCGGGTATACGAATGGTTACCAATAGGTTTGAATTAGAAATTTCCCTAGCACCGACAAAAGCTCCTTGAAAATCTTTCACGTCGATAATTGATCGATCGAGCTCGAAGTCAATGACGCTAGGTAACTAGATGACATAAAAAGTGACGATTTTTCGTTCGACGACCGATTTTCTATACCGTCGAATCAACTTGTTACTTCGTGAAAAAACATTTGTGCTCGAAGATCGCGTGTTTATTCGAAAGGCGTGAAACGAGAAACGTTCCACTGTCAAAACGAGCCCGAAATTTCGTAAAAATCGCAACGTAGTTTCTTGCAAACGTCAAGATGCAAAATTTTGCAGCAGCCATTGAGACAAAAGCGACCGTTGTCGAGCACAAGTGTTTCGTATATTCGCGTTATGTCATTCGCGAATGTTTTTGGCAAATGATCAAAAGACTCACCGAAACGATGCACTCTGGTAACGCGTTACTGCTTTAGATTCTAGCTCGCTTCTGGTTCCGTTGGCTGGTCCACAAATTTCTCCGGCCTTTAGCCTTCAGTCCAAGTGGAATCTGCACTGCGAGGTACACGACAGAGATAACTGATGAGAACGAGAAGACGAAACACCACGAGAAAAGACGTATGCGGTAAATATGTAATCACGCAAGGACACGAGAACAGAGAGAAGACACACACCCGAACGCGGTAAGTTTCAGACTGAGGGTTGTTTCGGCGCGACGCTACTGCTCCGTCACCCCTCGACCAATCAGCTCGCTAGACGGCGGACCACCGGATCGCGGTCCGCTGGACCGCCGAACTGACGGACCAACGAACCAACGGATCGCTTCGGTCTGAACTGATGCCAGCTATTGTTTCGTAAAGTGATTGGCTAAAATCATGCTTTTTAAAGCTCTGCAGTTACCCATGCCCGGTTCCTTTGCCTCTCGAGAGGTCGTTCAACTTTATCGCACGAATTATAGCTAACTTTCGAATTATCCTTCCCTCTGTTGCTCGCAAATTCACATAAGTACACTGTTCAACACGCTCACGTGATCGTACGTAAATCTTTATCGAAATGTCAAGTTTACGAACAATTACGTTTCGAGTTTGTCAAACCGACAATAATGTAGTTCCATCGCGCACAGTGACGATAACGATACGAAACGTACGCAAATGGTATAATTATTGTATAGTTACTTTCGAATAATTACTTTCGAACCATTCGATCCATCGATAACAGCAAGCATAAATTACGCAATCGGTACTTAAACTTCACTTTACGAAAACTAACATTCGCGAGTAGAGGCACTTTCACTATGGATAACTTACCCTACTGTGGCATTCTTCTTTTGTTGCTACGACGTGAGTATATCTTCTTCTTCAAACGACTTTTTTTTAAACGTTGCTTCCGACTATGTTCAGTGGGAACGGGTGGACTAGGACAGTCTTCGGTAGATCGAATCGTCGATGGAGCACCTATCGATATTACAGAAGTACCGTACATGGCAAGTATCGATCTTTGTTATTTGAATTTTCAAAACTCGCTGTAACAAGATAATACAAGACAAGTTTAATAGCATGTAATAAAAGAAATTATTCGCAACAGTTGTCGTTAATGATTAACGATAATCACGCATGCGGCGCTGCTATTATCGATAAAGAATGGGGACTAACGGCTGCTCATTGCGTTATTCCGTAAGCAACAATTTTTTTTTTTTTTATCAGCCCGAATTTCATTTTTTTTTTTAATCTTTATTTCATTGTTACAGAATCATCAACGACCCTAGCCTGTCGGTAAGCACTCGTTCTGGATCCAACTATTACGACATTGAGGGGGTGGTCCACAACGTAACGTTACTTTCTTATCACGAAAAATACGACGAGAGCACTAACAAGTACGACATTGCGGTGTTCAAAGTAAATCCACCATTTGAATTTAACAATAATACACAACCGATAAGACTACCAGAGAATCCTGAACTCTTCGACACCAAATGGGGTTTAATTTCTGGTTGGGGCTACTTTATAGTAAGATCGCAAAAAGTTATCCTTTTAAACGATCAAATATAAAATCTAGAATTTTTGAAAATTATAAAATTTTAGAACGAGAATCCGCTACTGTCCGAACATCTTCAATACGTTATGGTACCAAAAGTAAGTTGGGATGACTGTGTAAAAGAGTACGAGAACAGATTCGAGGTAACGTCGTATCAAGTGTGTTACGGATTTAAGCAAGGAGGGAAAGATGCCTGTAAGGTAAGTCCACGAGCAAATTCTAATTTCTTGTTATTACATATTATTTGCTATTTATTCCTATAGGGTGACTCGGGTGGCCCGTTAGTTAACAATTTTACCGTGATCGGTATAACATCATGGGGTGCTGAATGCGGTCTATCACACTCACCTGGTGTCTATACAGACGTCAGGCATCTGGTAGATTGGATTAAAAATAAAATTACCAACTCTTAATTGATCTGCAACGCGTCGTTTTAATATCTTCAATGTACCCAATAAAATTGGCAATTTTATTTCATTTTTAAAAATTCAGTTTTAAAACTACCTTTACGCTTTAATTTGCTACTTCAAATTCAACAATTTCTCCATCTTCGGATATCACGAATCTAGCCTTCTTGTAGTTCAACAAATTAACTTTCCTCTGAACTGACCACATTTTATATCCGATTTTATAAAACTTTGGCAAACGATCGAATCCACCGGAATCGGCCAACGTATCGTTGTATTCCCATTGTTTATCCATCAACCTATGCGCGTGACTTTTTTTCTGCTCTTTTAACTTCGAGTCTTCCAACATGATCGATCTTGCCGGTAAACTTGCCCTGTTTTCTAACACCGCGAGGAAGTATTGCACCTGAGGGATCGATATTCCATTAAACAATGTTATGGTCCTCTACTTGTACAAATATACTCATAGTAAATATAGTAATCGTTACTTGCGCGTGAAACATGGGAAATGGAATAACAATAGTCGGTATTCCAACTATACACATCGTCGTATGATCGATATTAATTAAATGTTTATACAGAGGAGTCACGTAATTGTCCTCCACTTTTATGCCACAACTTTCATCCAAGAATGGAAAATTGTATCGATATCCGGTACAAAACATAAACGCATCCGCTGTGACGAAGCTTTGATCCTTTAAGTAAATTTTTTCTCCTTCTATTCTTTCCACGCCCATCACTTGAATTACGTTCGATGGCAAAACGCTTGTCAACCTACGTAATATTAAAAATGAAAATATTTTTATTTCTTATTTAGACACCACTTCTATGATACCTTTCGTTATTGTGACTGAGATAGACCCGGACTATGTGTTTAGCCAAGTCGATTCCAATATCGGTCCCAGAGGCACCTGCACCTAAAATTAAGACAGTCTTCCCGGAAAAATCTTCTGGTTTCCTGTACGAATGACTGTGTATTATCGTTCCTGGGAAAGTGTCGATGCCTGGTATCGGTGGTATGTAAGGATCGAAGTAGTGTCTGGTATATGTACAAAGGTAAACAGAAGATTTTTATTCCTCGTCGATTATATGTACCATGAGTAGAGGAGAACTGAAACCTACCCGTTACAAATCATTATGGCGTTAAATACGAGCTCTTTCTTCTCGTTCGTTTTTATAGTTCTCACTCGTACAACCCACGTTTCTTCACCTTCGGATGAGACTTTTAGACGAACGTGTTCTACCTTTGTACCAAACTAAAAAATTGTTTTCGATCAAATAGCGAAAGATTTTAACGTGGCATAATAATTTACCTGAATATGTTTAAGCAAGCCAAAATGTTCAGCGTAATTTTGTAAATAATTTCGAACTTCTTGGTGTGTCACGCAACAAGGTTCCTCGGCCTTCATTTTTACGTAGTCAGGAAAATTCATTATCTTCCCCGGTAAATTAGTTCTACGATGAAAGCAAAAATTCTAACCTGTAATTATTTTAAGTACTGCAATTTGAAACAATTTTATTTGTCATTGTTTCGATCTTTTAATATTGAATTGTTGTGTAAAGTAAAACCTGAGATCCCGGTACATGCTCGAGTGAACAGGCAAACCATTCTCATCGACTCCGGTTACTTCTTTGTACACCCATGTACCACCGACGTCGTTTGTTTGTTCGTAAACTTTTATCTCGAAATTTGAATTTTCCGCCAAGTGTTTAGCTGCGCAAAGACCCGCTGCACCGGCCCCCACTACGCACACTTTTCTTTTCCTCCTTGATTCTGTCATTTGTATGTTTTAACCTATACATATATAAATAATCGTACAAATTGACTTCCTAAGCAAACGTATCTGTAAAAAGATTACAATCAAAAGCTTAACGATGAAGCGTCAAAATAAATTAGCGAGCGATAAACAATCGGTCGATCCATTCGACGCATATGACGCACCTCGTACTTCGAAGTTCAAAGATGGAAATACAATTTACAAAGTGTTCATAAGTTGACACAAAAACCTTTTGACATTATAACAAACGTTATGATAAAAGGTCAGTCTTGTGACATCGAATAATGAACGTTTCTATGCACAGTAAATTACATACAATTATATAAACTGTTACGTTCTACATATATGTTACGATTCGATTTTAACCTGCGCAATATAGAAATATTTTTTAAAAACTATATTTACATTGATGAACAAAGAAGAGAAATTTGTTTATACATTATTAATAAAACTTTGAGTATTAACTTTAGAATCAAAATACGAGGTAATTTTCCTCGAATCGTTATTCGTTAGTTATTCGTCACTTACTGTATAACAAGTTTAAACAACGATGTTCTTAGTACTATCAGATGATATAACTCTAACAAAACTACACCTTTCCTTTGCTTCGCTATCATTTTATATGCTTTGACAAGAATAGATGAATGAATTTGAAGAAGATGAAAAAGGACAAAGGAGAAATGTATTTCGTTTGAAAACGGAAAAAATAAGGAACCACAAGCTTATCGCACCCAATAGCGTCGCAACTTTGCTATTGTACATATACACGTTTTGATAAGTGTTACATATCACTGATAAGATTTTTACGATTCACAAACGCAAACGATCGGAACCTTGCAAATAAATTGTTCCAATGGTAGAAGTAAAATATTTATTGTATTATTTCTTGATAACATTACCATGTAAATAATCGTGACATTAGCCTTACGGACTATATTAATAAATTGGTATTGAATTTATTTTATAGCTAGTACTGAGCAATTAATTATAAAGAGTCTATGTTACAGCGGCATGTATCTATATCTATGTATAGTTACTCAGTCGACATCGTACCAACCAAGCGAGAGTTACGGTATAAAAAATTATCTCTCTTCTTTTTTCTTGATAACATTCGGTATTACAGTGTATGTAAATGCCATCCGCGAGCACTGCACACCACACAAAATGCACGGAATTCATTGCAAACAACTCGATACTTGCGGCTAATGTTTCATCTATTTCCACGAATGTTAATTCTAGGTAGAAGACTGTATTCTATAAAATCGATCAATTTCACTTTTCTTACAAAACGGTATCTTCTCCAAACAAACAAAAATAATACAAATCATCGACCATTCTTCCAAAGAGTATCCTCGTTTCGCGTCTGTCATCGTTTTCGAAGCGTTAAAAAGACGAAAAAAAATAGAATTCATAATACAGAACCTACGTTCGCAGGTTCATTCCTTTCGTTTATCAATAGAATTATGTACAAAATTGATGTGCTCGAATCCTCGACTCTGGAAACGCGTGGATTATCATTAACAACTATATCATTTAATTTTTTTTTTTTTTTTTTTTTTTACGTTCGCTTTTCTAATTAAGTTTCCCTAACAAATTGGAAGCGATCAGGATTCCGCTTCGAACAACCGCGCGTTTCCCACCCATTCGATTTCACAAGTTTTTCTTCCAATCGTAAAAAACAACGGTCCTTCTCTCTTTCTAAAGATCATTAACGGAGGCGATTATCGATAAACAACTTAACGCTTAACTCGTAATATAAATATACCTATGTAAAATAAACTCGATCTAAGACGAACAAGTACATTGTCGCGCAACATCGATCGGACACGCATATTAAGGTACGAAAAGGGGAAAACGCTTTCTACAAATCATAAACGAGAATTTCTTTGCTTCCTGTTTCCACAGGAAAAAGAATAGCTTTATGATACACGTCGATTCTATGGTTTCTTTCCTTTTCTAGCGACCAACGTTAAAGAACAGAATTATTTCTGATCAAGAGAAATTCAAACAGATATTAACAAACACCTGACAAAGTATTTCTACAATTGCTGATAACGACAGCGAACGAAAGGACTATCTCGATAAATCATCAGATTTCATTTGACGAATGCCAGTTTAGCAAAATCATAAAAACCTCTTATCCAAATATCATCAACTTTAAACATTTCATCCCAACGTATAGATCAACAATATAATCTCATTTCTCGATTCTCCACTTTTATACGCGCTCAGTCTATTGATCTTTCATATACATATATATATATAAGTATGCGCCTACGCGTCGAGATACGATTCAGTGTTAAACGTACAGACGAAAATCGAAATTCTTGCAATCGATACAAATGGAATACTATCATAACAAAAAAAAAGAAGAAAAGAAGAAAAAAAGAAAAGGGGAAACAGTTTCGCGTTTAAATACTGTACGAACAATGATTAAGAATGCTCGAGGGTATACTCGAGGGCAAAACAATAGACAACGAAAGAAAGAAATAATACATAATGCTAACATGTTGACTACTCGAATCAATCGTAATGCGATCGATTCGACTCGTCGACAAGTATCTTTCTTTCGACTATATATTACATCACTTCACGCTCTATTCGTCGTAGTATAAATATCTTTGATCGAATATATGTAACGCACGCGATCAACTTGCTAAAACTGTAGTAGTAAGGCTATTGCGAACAATTGTCTTCGGCGACATTTCGCGCATACTAAAATTTTACGATTCATTAAATCTATGTAAAATTTCATCGAAATTTATACGCTCGAATTTTTTTTTTTTTCTTTTTTTTTTCGTTACTACCACCCACGACTCGGCTGTCAACTATACTTCTCTTCGTCGTTTTACTAACAGATCTAAGGGGGCACAATCGACGAATACTTTTGAACAATTGTTGCGTCTGACGCGATTTCGATTAAACGGCAGTATTAAGACTCTTCATTTCATCGTGCCTCCTACGTTTCTCTTATATGTATACTCAAAATCCTAACGTTTCAAGAATATATGTGTATACGAGATGTTTCATAACATGTTGAACATATTTTAACAGACCCCTATCTCTCAAGTTTATTTTAATAAATGAAACGGTTCAAATCATCTCCTCGATATGGCATTAATATGCCATGGATTAGAATGAATGTTAGATAAGAAAAGACATGTTATGAAAAACCCTGTATAAGTATGTATATATACACATATGTATTTACATACGCTTTGGCAAACGTCCACTTTTCTCTCTCATCGAATACAATTTACGATATTCCTCTAGCGTATCCCGATCGCAAAAAAAAAAAAACTCGAGCGAAAATTGAATATAAAAAGGTACGTCAAATTTCCCTCGAGTTTGGAAGCTTCGTTTCAAAAGAAACCGGACAAGCTACTTTCAAAGACTCGTGGTTAACGCTCTGTTTTCGTACGATTCAGTAGAATATTCAAAATATATGAAACGCTTCGCTCTGATTTCCTCTATGTCTGTACTATGTATGTACAAAACTCCTCGTTCGTATCGTATCGTATAAGCACGCTGGCGGATAAATCGACGAGAGTAGAGAAGAATACAAAAGTTTTAATGTACAACAGTGAGAAAAAAAAAAATGAGAACAAGATTATAATTTTATACAAATATGGTTGGTTCTTTACATCTACGTTAGCCACACGTGTTCGTTTCGAATGCACGTAACATTGCCGTCGATTTCTACATATATCTGAACACGCGGTAAACAACCATACATTGTATATATGTATATTTGGCGTAAACCTTTGATTCATAGTATTGAACATTTATTTACTAAAATATATATATATATATATTCGTATCTCGATAAAGAAAACAATCTATCGGTGAAAATTTAGCATGACCCGTTGAACAGCCTAATTATAAAACTTACAAATCACGTATTATTCGCGATTACCGAGCAAAAGTGTTTAGTGAACGTATGTCGCAAAATAAGAGTTATAAAATGCTATTGTAAAATAGCCTTTGTGTATATAAAATAATTATTCGTTTTCATGTCGCATGAAAGCAAGCAAGTCATTAATTAGCAGAACCAAACTACGACTACGAACGGATCGGTGGTCCATCACACCTTCGTTACATTTTTCGCTCGATCAAGCAAATACTACCTAACTTGTAAGCTTTAAACTCCTGATTTTGTAATATCCTTGTATGGCGTTCTACGAACATGCTAAATAAAACCACCGCGTGCATATCATCCTCGATAGAACGTTGAATTATCCTCGAATTAACGATGATTCGATTCCTAGTTTGATACATCGGTGTAGAAGAGATGTACAAAAAGAGGTCTACTTATCATTTCGAATTCTGATCATCGGGCGGATTCTATAGATTGTACCAGGTATATTTTCGACAAATATCGTCAGAAATTAATTACATTTGTATATAACGATTCGTACTTATCGTACGAAACACGTATCTCTTGAGAAAGCGACTCGAACAATCACCTATTGGTATTATTTATACCGTACATCGAGATGAACGAGACCAACTTTCTAACTTTCCAATCTATACTATTCTACAGTGTACACTATACTGTATCGTAGACGGAAATTCTATTCGATGATCGTTCCATTGTAATCTCTTTTAATGAAAACACGCTCTATCAATCTTCGAACAATTACGTCCCATTTGCTAGTTTAATCTTTTCCGACACTCGTAGTACGCATCCATGGAAGCTCGGTTTTTCAGTTACCTCGACATCTCTCGACACGTCTGTAGTTTCGTATGAAACAACAGACAAATTATCCTTCGCTCACCGAGGAAAGTGAACTGCGAGTCGAGCCAGCCGTGTGGTGTGTCAAATCAGGAAGATCTGCGGGCAAGCACAACGGTATAGCGCTTGGCCCGTATATCGCCTCTTGTTCCTCTAATTGCAAAGCGAACTGCTCTTCCAGCTTCTGCAAAGGAAAATGAAAAAGATTTCAGAAAATGATCCATCATCCTATGTAGAGATCAATACTGACAATATCGTATGGTTGTTTCTTGCTGAAGAATTCACAAATGAAAAGAATGAAAAATTTTCAACGTTTCTGCTCTATTTTTTTATTTATCGTTATTCGCATCAACAGACCTTTTGTTCAACTGACCTGGTTCATTACCTAGTAGATCGTTCTGATATCCAGTCGTGGAATCTCTTTCCCGACAAACTGTGTTTCTTAGGTATCTTATAGGGATATATATGTAAGAACACGTATAGGGTATCAACGACACGAGATCTAACGTACACAATTGGAAACATTTATACAAGAATAACCCCTGATATGTTCAAAGCATTTACCATTACGTTTTCGCTATACCCATAACAATTACCACCTCCTATTCACCCTGTTATCGTATCATCTGACCGTTTAAGTAGAAGCTGTTGCTGTCGGGACGCGACGATTACACGTGTTGTTATCGACAAATTACAACGAACAGAAAGTGACTAATTAAAGAAAAAGAGTCTACCGTAAAGTGCCATCAACGATGGCAGAAAGCAACTTAGGATTACGTACGATCATTCGATAATACTTTGCGTACCAACCGTCTTGTTATAGCGTTATTTATACAGCAACGAAAAAACTTCTCAAATCGATTGTCAATTAGACGGGATCCTATGTTGCTTTGGCTTCTTTATTTCCATCCTCGATGGAAACTTTACGTTCGCTCTTCCGTACATGTACGTGGACGTGGATAAACCTGCAACATCGTAACTGTAACATTGCAGACGATTTTCGATGCTGTATTCAAACGTCTACAGAAACTCTACCACTCGATTCAACAGCTAACAACAAGCTCCTATATCCTTTACGGATCGTATATTTTATATACACATATACATATACTTGCCAGATTCTTCTTTCCCAAAAAAAAAAAAAAAAAAAAAACAATTACGACTATCCTTAGTAGAATGTTACAAATTAACAAATTACCTATAATATATTGTTACTGTCTTAAATGTTATTCCGTGTAAGCCCAAAACAATATATTATATACTCCTTGGTTACATAAAAAAGAAAATATATATATATATATATATATATATATATATATATTAGACTTGCATATACGTGTACATTCATGTATGTATACACATGTATGGTAATGCAATGTATACAGAGCATTTAAAGAATACAATATGACTAAATAAGGAAGAAGCAACAGTGAGTAAAGCGGGTTTGTTACGCTTGAATGCCATCAAACACAATTCAACATGAAGAGCTTTGAAATAAAAAATAATAGAAAAGAAAGTGACAGAAAAATAATCATAAATCTTACTTAACGAAGAAGAGCTCTATCTCTTTTTTTTTTCATTTCAAAGCTTGCCTGAACAAACAAACAAAATAGGGGGAGGGGAGGAAAAACTCGAATGATAGGAGACACATCTAAGACGTTTGAAAATGGATAGACTATCTACGAGAAGGAGATGGCACTAGGTCCGGTTTTGAGTGACTTCGTGGAAAGACGCCGTTTACGGAACTGGTGTCCGAACTGGCGACTCTCAATGACACCCTTGGAATGGTGAACGGAGACGGGGACGTGGGAGTGGAGCGTGGCAAACGCGGCGACTTCTTCCAGCCATCGAAATTAAAGTGAGAATAGTCTATAGGAGGAGAGAGACCACTAAGAGGCGAAGGCAAATAGTCGCGGTAGCGAGCTTCCAATGCTTCCATTTCACCCGTCAGCTCAGCTTCTAACTTCTATAACAAGTACATTAAGATCTTATTTCAGTATGACTCTGTCTGTCTTTTCCCTTATCATTTTTTTTTTTTTTTTTTAACTTAACAATCGCGATTGATTCGTATCGCTATCCGCTCTGGTCATTGGTCATTGGTATTTTTAAGGAAACAGTTACCTGCACACATGATCGTCAACTATAACGCAAAGGATAAGTTCTCCAGATATTAGAAACTATTAGAAAGTAATCGTTCCATTGTTTCGAGTACAGGGTATTAAAAAAAAAAATCATTTTCTTAATACCCTGTGTATCGTGTAGAAACAAAATAAAAAACCAAAAATTGATTAAAACAGAATGAGAATACGTAAGAAAAAAGAAACAAAGAAAAAGGGGAATAAAAAAAACTGCGTCCGATGCAATGCAGAGAAGCAAAGAAAAGGTGTTAAAATAGATTCTATTCACCTGCTTTCTGGGCTTCAGTTGTGCTTTCCATTCGCGAAGCTCTTTGCCGTACGCCTCTTCCAGTTCCTTCAGCTTCGACGTTTCATGCTCCATCAGCATCTTTCGCTTCTCGTTCTGCAATTGTTCCAATTCTTTAATAGTTGCATCGCTTTGAGCCCTTACCTCCTCCAGTTGTCGCGAATGCTTCAATTCGAATCTCTGTTGTTCCGCCCTGTATCGCTTTTTCTCGTTCTCTTGGAATTTTTTCAATTTCTCCCTCTCGGCATCCGGATCCGGGGCTATAACCGACGACATCGAGATCCTCATCGACTCGCGGAACATCATCTCGCGAGCCTTCATCTCGTTACGAATCCTTTTCGGTAGATTTCTACGCTCCACCGTCTGTCGTTTTATCAGCTCCTCCTCTTTCCGTTGATTCATCCTCTTCATCTGTTCTAACTCCTTCTCGTGACGGATCAACATTTGGTGTCTTTGCAAGAAGAAAATATCCTTCAGCTGCTTCTTCAACAGTTGTTGCTTCTCGTGGATATGTCGTTCCTCTTGCTCCCAAATCGCCGCCTCTCGGGCTCTCATCAGCTGTTGCTTTTGCTGCAAGAATTGCCTTTCCATCAGAGCTATCTTTTCGCGATGACTGTCGGACAACCTTCGCAACGATAATTCGTGACTCTCGTTCAGCTTATCCAAAAAGTGCTTCTCCCTTTCCTCGTGTTCCGCCTCGAGTTTCTCTTTACGTATCTTAAACGCGCTTTTCCTCTTGTCTTTTGGCATCAAATCCACCTCTTGTTTCAGCAATCTCAACTCCTGCTTCAAACCTTCCCGAAACTGTTTCAATTCTCTCTCTTGCTCGCTACGAATCTTTTTCGAGGCCAGCCTCAGGTCAGCTTCTTGTTGCGCCTCGGCTCGTTCGATTTGCTGTCTCTGTTGCCGGGCAAGACTTTCCAAGTCCGTTTCGGCGTTTCGTTCGAGAAGCTGCCTTTCTTGCTCGAAACGTTTCTCCTGTTGATCCTTGTTAAACTGTGCCTTCTGCGACAGGTCCTGGAATTGTTTCTGTTCCATCTTTTGTAACATCTTTAATTCTCTCAACTCTTGCTTCCTGAAGATTTGATCGTCGTACACCTTGCCGTTCTCGTCGTCGCCATAAATTACCTTCGACGTGGTCGTGGTAACTACCACACCGTCGATCTCGAACTTCCTCGTTCGTTTCCTTGTCTTTTTCTTCAGATTCATCATAGCCGTTTCCTCTCTCGTTCTCGTCTGTCGCGGTATGTCCCGATTATAGTCCGGTTTTCGTCGCAATACCACTTCCTCTTCCACTTCCGTCGACTGACTCTGACTCAAGTGATTTTCCTTGCTTGATTCTCTGCTGTCCTGGCTGATCGTCGTGGAAATCGACTCCGCGTCCGAACGATCTATACTTTTGCTCGGCGTGTGCGACCTCGTAGAACCAGACTCGCTCTGAGACCTTGATCCCTCGAAACTATCCGGGGATACTCGTTTCTCCTTGTATCCTTTAACGATCTCCTGTTTCTGCTGCTTAGTCGTTTTAATTCCCTTCTCGTCGACGCGACCAACAGTGGACTTGTCGTTCTTTATCATACCGTTCATCTTCTTCGAACTTCTCTCCATTTCCTCGCCGTCCGCCGATTCGACAGTCGTTCCAGCGACTATCATTTTAGTTATTTCATCACCGCTGTCGCTCTTCGTGCTCGTCCTTTCGACCGTGTTCGCGTCGACCTGGCTGGAAGACGTTCGCAAAGGATCAGGATTAAGTACCGACGAATCTTTCACTTGTTCCTTGTCGTCGCCAACGGTTACGACTGAAACATGACTAGTATCCTGTAATTCGTCTACGATCGGACTCACAATCAGAACCTCGGACTCGTCCAATTTCTTGCCGACTCTTTTAGAAACGTCGGTTAGAATTATCGGTTGCTCTTGAGGCGTGTACTCTAAACTATCCAGACTAGGAAATCCGTCGTCGTCGGTTGAGCTTTCGTTCACCTGCGTCTTGTTCAATTCATTCGCAACGATCACCACCTCCGACGTTGGAGATGGACGGCACGAAAGGGGCACCGGGGATACTGCGTCGACGAGTACCGGAGGATGGGTCGTTACCACCGTCACTTGACTCACGTTACTCGCCAAACTGTTCGATAAATCTGGACTGTCCGCTGTGATCCGAACGGTTGACGTGTTCGGACGTATCTCCTGGTCGGATTTACCTAAAAATTTTATTATTTTATTTATTCCTACGAAGGTTTAAAATGGCTAAGTAGCATTGATCTCTTACCGGTTATGACAACTACGTTATCACCGCTTCCTCTTCTCGATGTACTTCTGCTTCTGATCGGTGTCGATGTAATTACCGATACATTCACCGACGAACCTTTCTTCTCGCTGTTCGGACTCTCGTTGTTCGAGGTATTCTCGTAATTGCGCTCTTTGTTTAACCATTTCTTCTTCTCTTGTTTTCCCTCGGATTCATCCGAGAAATTTTCCAACGAGTCGTACCTAGATGACCCTTCGCTATGACTTTTAACGACTGATTCCGTTTTACTCGTTCCATAATCGGTTTTAACGTTCTCCGTGGAACAAGACTTAATAATATTCTTCTCAGATGAGGTCGCCTTTGGAATTTCTCGATGTGGTAACATTTCCATGGATGATACACCCAACCGCATTTCAGCATCCATAGAAAATCGCTTCTCTAAAACAGCATTCAACTTATCCTCGACGGATTTTCGTTTCTCTTGTAAGCTCTTGTAATTCTCTTCCGGTGAACCCTGTTTATCGACTCGTTCGTCGATTCCTGTTTTCTTGTCAGCTCTGAAATTAATTAGTAAATTGAATTAGTATAATATATTCATAGTAAGATCAATATAGATAAATAAATACCTGTTGTTCTCTTCTAAAGAGGATTGTTTGTTGAATACCGGTTTCATCCAATCTTCTGACCCTTCGGATTTAACTGGCGCGGATTTCCTCTTCTCTTCTATCATTAAATGTGGTTTCAAAGATGAATTTACCTTGTCATCGACCGACTTTTGTCTAACATCGATCTTCTTAGCGTTATCTAAATTATTCTTTTCTCGTTGATTATTCTCCGTTGCTATCTTTTCTAAACTACCCAATACGTTTGGCTTTTCGGAAGACGTTTCTACGTTTCTTTCTTCCCTCCTGTCTATCGTTTCGTCGCTCGGCGACAATTCAATTTTGTCTCGCTGTTGTTTATCAATAATTTTGCACTCGTCTAACGCATCCGTATCGCTTTGCTTATCGACAATTTTCAAATGATTTTCCTTGTCTTCGCTTTTGCTGTTCTGACGCAGAAGCGGGGGAGGAGGCGCAGGACCTTTTTCTCGAGATACCCTACGTTCATTCGTTTCATTTGTACTAGGTGGTTTCGGTGCCTGAAAATGAAATACCAATGTTACAGCTATCCATTACATTGATTAAGAGTAACCGAGTCAGATTATGTACTTGTTTCTTTTCAACAGAAATAGGTATGTTGTCTTTAGATTCTGCTTTACGTAATTTCTTGTTCCTGTCATCTTTTTCACCATCTCTATTAATTTCTCGTTTATGGCTTTCTTCTTTTTTGCCAGACACAGATGATGCAACAAGATTTTCTTTTTCAGAAACTAAAACAGAAAAAGAACGATAAAGGTAACGTACAAATATTATCATCCTGGTTTTTATAATACGTACTCTTAACATCAGCGTCACTGCGCATAGACGCAGAGTCATCTCCGAGTTGATCTAGCTCCAGTGGAAGCTGAGACGTGCGTTGCTCCTGAAAAGTTTATTTATATTTTATTCGTATAACTACACAATTTATACGTGTTTCATTCCGTAATTTACAACATTCAGATTTAGACAAAAAAAAAAGAAATTTCCTAATGACTTATATGATACATGTACGTAGTTTATCGAATCTTAGGATAGTATGAAATAAGAATAACATTACTCGATGTGGACGTAAAGTAATAAGATGAGAATAAAATTAATAACTAAAATACATTTACATGAATCGATACAAGTTAATATAATTGTATCAATGTGCTGAAAATAGCTTATGCATTGCAGGTGTAGAAATAAAAAAAAAGACATAGCAAAGAATTATAGTAATAAAAATACCATCGAATTAGACAACACTTATTGCATAAGCTACTGACCTGACAAACGCAGGGATGATGGGGCTGGCGAGGCCCAGGAGAGCCGCATGCACAGCCAAATTATTTAAATTACAACATATTTATTAGGATATCGTTAGATTAAATATTATAATCGAAGAACAAGGAATATTGTTTTTTCTTCTTATAATAATAAATAAGATAATTGAAGTATATATTTTTCTTAAGTTGAAACAATTTTAATGTATTAATTTTGCAAATGAAAAAAGAAAGCATAGTTTTAAAGTGTCACATGCGGATCTTCTTAAGATTTGTATACATATTTATCATGCATAAATACATATCTAATTGTGTGTTTCATGATAATGGGATGAAATACGTTAATAATTCATGGAATTTGTACAAGTATTTTATCATAAGCATTACCAATTTTCTGAATACAAATAAATATTCTTCAATGATCAGTTGTTTAAAAACGATCGATAAATTATACAATTCAATTTACATATTTCATTCAAAAGCAGCTTACCAATCCGCTGATACAGTTCTCTGTGTTTTTTCGCCTTTTTAGCCTTCTATCAAAACGAAAGCGTGTAACAATGTATATACATGTTAACTCTGTTTTTAAAGCTTTATACATTGCTATGAATTAAAAACATTTATAACGAAGCGCGCAACCCTCGTAACATTTTGACATTCTTATAATAACTTTCAAGTAAGTACATAATTGAAATGATTCGTTTATACAACATTTTATGTTTATACACTTCGTTAGTGTACTTTCTTATTTATTGGTGAAAATTAAAAAACCAAGAAAATAGTATGGCAAATACTATAATAATTATTATAGTTAATCGAAACAAGTAGTCTACCTCTGCTTCTTCATCAACCAATTCCTCTTCGACAACATCGGCTTTGTACTCTAGTAGCAAATCCCTAATCGGTTTTGAATCCAAATTCCGATTTATGAATGGATGTTTTAACAATTCATCAGCCGTAGGTCGCGATGTTGGATCCTTTATAAGAGCCTTGGCAATAAAGTCATTAAAATCTTTGCTCCATCTACCAGGTTGATCAAGTTTCGGTGGATCACTTTTCTGTATTTTAAGGAGTACACGCATCGGTGACATTTCATGATTTGGTGGTTCCATTTGTGCAAATTCTATTAAGGTTATACCAAGTGACCAAATGTCTACCTATGTAAAAAAGGAACATACATTTTTATGCTTGTGAACTGTACGAAACGACGGGTAAAGCTTACTGTTTAAAGACATATTACTCACTTTAAAATCATATGGATTATCTCTAAATGTTTCACACAATACCACTTCCGGGGCCATCCAATATGGTGTACCAATAAATGTATCATGTTTTTGTAAGGTATGTTTATTTTTTGCAGACACTCCAAAATCAGCTATAAATTTTAAAACATATTAATTTCGTTCCATTTCACATACAGTACAGTATATTTTAAAACTCTTAAATTGAAAACTACCTAATTTTACTCCTCCAGCCATTGTTAATAAAACATTTCCTGCCTTTAAATCCCTGTGAATAACTTTAGATTTATGTAAAAATGCAAGACCTTTGGTCATGTGATGACATATATAGGCTATTTGTGGTTCAGTTAAAGCTTTTTGTAATTCAACCATTATGGAATCAACAGCACCGCCGTCACAATATTCTATTAACATCTGCAAATTTATCGAAATTTTAAATTAATATCATTTCCTATTAAATTTATAAGTATTGTACAGTTGATAAACATACCCATAGTTTGCCCTCAATAAAATATGCTTCATGTAATTCAACAACATTTGGATGTTTACATTCTGATAAAATATCTATTTCAATCATAAAATCACTAAGATCATCTTCTCCCTCTAATGCACACATTTTTGCAGCAGCAAGTTGATGAGTTTGCCTATGCTGTGCCTGAAAAATACAATGCTCTTTTAGTAAGCAATTACTTTTAACCAGTTAAGAATTTTCTGAACTGAACATTTACCTTGTAAACTTTGCCAAATGCACCATCTCCTAATTCACCGATCATTTCCCAGAATTCCTCTGGGTCACAATCCATTTTAATATTATTATACAACTTCTTTTTCTTTGCATCGTTACCACCAAAGTGGAACGCTTTCTTCAGATTTGATAAGAATGACATTTTTGTAATACTTATTTGATATACGTTCGCGTGTATAAAAGCTATGCTTTTATTACATTATGTTATGAGACTCTATAGTACTTATTATTAACTACAAAAATCTATTTTAATACTGCACTTAAACATAAATCTCATGCAGTAATCAAATAATTCATTGTTATATAAAACAATCATAAGATGCATAAATTCATCTTTTCTCTTAACTATGATCTTGTATATTTTCCATTATTTCAATGTATTTTTTAATACAATAGAAAATATTCCAAGTAAAATATTTTCTTCAAATCCCCGTTTGACACCAGGGGATTATACCAAATCTCTCCCGCATCTTGATAATTTATAATGAATACTCACTAATTGATAGGTACATTGTTTAAATAAATAGTACTGTACACATAAATAAGAAAGCCCATTATTAATAGTCTTCTATTTTCACTTATTGTAACAAAGCTGAAATAAAAGAAAGTATAAATAAAAATTGAAATAAATCATCTAGAACATTTTAAAACATGGAAATAACACGTAGTACTATGTACATTAAACTAAATACAATGAAATGTAATTATTATACATATATACACATATTACATCAGCATGATACTGGCAGTTTAAGCATTATCATTTAATAAAATACATCAGTTCGAGATAAAAGACTTGTGATAAAAGTATTAGATGACAAAAAGATAAGTTCAATAATAAATTTCACTAACAAATAAAATCTGCAATTTTTTAAACAAAATGATATGTACGAATTTCTCGTATGATAAACTGTAATACAGAAAATTTGTTGAAAATGTCAAAACTTGGGAATCACGAGGTTGACATAATTTTGACAAGTAATCTACAGCCGTATCTGTCCGCCATCGTTTTGTAAATACACTTTCCCCGTCCTCTATGAATTGGAATTGTACCAAAGATAGAATTAATTACAGTAAAATCAAACAAGAATTATCTATGTATTTAAACGTAAAAATCATAATAAAGGACACGATAAGTAGATAAATATTTCAAATCCACCGATAAAAGTCATTTCGTGAAGTCATCAATGTAGTCTGTGGCCTGCCAAAGCCGATGTGTTTCTTTTGACTCGAGATACGATAAATCATAAAACAGTGTTTTATTTTTAACGATACGACGTAATCATACTAATGCGTCATTAAATCAACATTCAAATAAGAACTTTGTATAGCTTCTTTCTTTAAAAAACATGATTTTCAAAAAAAAATCTGTAGACACATTCTCTGCTTACCTTCTCTTTTAATGATCCACCGTTAACGAAATGGGCACACTTCGTCTCGGTTTATAACCACCGACAATCCATTAAACTGTTTCTTTTACACAATTTCACAAACTGTATGTATTTTTCAAAAATTTAACAATCACTCTGGAGTATTAGATGAAACATAGAAAGTTTTGTGAAATTAGTAAACTAGACGGACTCCTACGTATACGGCCATTTTCAGTAACACACGTATATCACACATTGTACCGTACCACGCCTGGAAGTGACGTAATCAATCGGCAAGTGTGCCTATATTCTATACACAAGAAGCTATCTAACTCATAAATGCATCATAAATGCATTAAAAAAAATACTTTCTGAAATACCATATCTGTAATGAGAAAGAATATATTATAAATTATTGACAGTAATATAAAGATCAACTATTTCTACGTAGTACGCATTAAAATTAATCATAATTCATCCTTACAAATTATTTTCATAATACTTAAATTTCTGATTTAAATTGTATATCATCAGATTGTAGAAACTAAATGCAATATCATAGTTTGATATGTCAAATAAAAAATTGCTCATTAGAAGTCAACTATCTATTATATTAAGTTATAGAATTGATTTTATGACATATATATATACAGTTGCTGCTGCAGAAACCTTTTAAATATATAATCTTATTAACCATTGTCGTAAAATAAAGACATGTTTTGTAACAGCATAAGTTTCTTAAATGTAATACAATATTTATTATTATTAGGTTATAGTAATGGCGTACTTTTTTAGATTTTATATAAAAATTTGTATTTTAAATGTAAATGCTTTAGTTAACGACTTTAAACGAAGGAAAAGATTTTTTTAAACCAAAATTAGAGCAATAATTGAAAACTTAAATATAGTTATTAAACTTATTGGTACAAGATCACCAATATAACATACAAAAAATTACTAAAAGAGACCATAGTGTGGTATAATACATACATAGTATAATACGTGCCCAACCCAGCCCAACCCTGGCAGAGATGCACAATCAAGTATGATCTCTCGTTGAATGAATAAATCTTCAATTAAATAGAACAACTTCGTGAAAACACGCACTTCGCTGTTAGTATAACAATAAAATATTTATACTATTATATATACGTATGGTATTTACGAAACTCTTATACTCGTGATCTTAATACATATATATTCAACTAAAATGTCATTAGAGGTTAAGACAAGTTACTCGACCTCCCTAACATAGCCAAATAAATCACGTTTCTTAGCTTATAATTCATATTTTAACGTAATAAGTAAGTACCACAAACATTTTTTATTTTTTATCACTTAACCAAAGTTAAATTCAAATATTAATCACATTTCGTATGCAAGTTTGACTATCGTTTAATTACTTCGATCCGATTTGTTAAATAGTTATAAAATGTCTGGAAAGGAACGGGGTGTGTTTCAATTAATTTGGAAAAATTTTTACGCATCTTTGAGACCTAATAAAAAACCTGCTTTAATGGGTGAAGATTTTTATGGTACTAAGTATTATGAAGTAGCACCTAAAGCTGATTCCTCTAAAAGACCATCTCGATATTTTGTACCTGTTAATAAGGAAGATCATGAACAGGAAATACCTGCAGAATGGGAAGCATGGCTAAGGAATCGTCGAAAAGAACCCCCAACCGAAGAAGAAGTAATACAGAATTATCAATTGGCAATGACTAAGAAACAAAATGCTGCACAAATAGAAGCAAAATATTCCAGTACCAAATCACAAGTACCAAGTCTGCTTGCTAAAGAAAAGAAAGGATATGAATCGTTCCCACAGTATGAAGAATATAAAAATGAAGGACAAGACTATAAAATAAAATATCCAAAATAATATAAATATGTTCAACTTAGTTTCACTTAACTATATCTTAGAACATTGAAAATTAATAAAATATTTAGTAAATATGTACAAATTTTATTGTAACATATACTTGTGTTGATATATAATTTACGTATTTATTGTTTGTATTAAGTATAGCCTGTATGTAAAACAAGTTATTAATGTCCTACACTTTTATGCATATACACTTGGGTGTGTCCTTTTGTATGCTATCAATCTTTTTAGCATTGATAAGGTATCGATATTTAACAGGAAATCCTCTTCCTTCAGAAAATTAATATTTGAATTACTATTAATAATTTATTAATAATGCTATCTCTTTTAAATTTTTATTTTAATAAAATCATAGCTTTTAAAAATATCGTTCTACTAGGTACTGGTTTAGTAACTTCGATCCGTCTACTGATTTTTAAGGTACGCAGGTGTAGATAAGCAAAAATTAAAATCTATAACATCTACTAGTTTTTGAAGAGGAGACAGATTACAATTGTTGAAGTTTATCGTAAGAAGTATTTCAAGTGCTGACATATGAAACATCAGTCAATAGTAAATATAAATTCTTTCGGATGAAAGAAATCGCGCAATTCAATAGCTTACAAATATTTCTTGATCAACCAGAAAAGTCACTATTGTCAAATAGAGCTTGATCGTATAACTCTCCCTTCACCAATCGTCCACCAAAGTAACGACCATTTAAAGAATCCCTTGCACGTTCAGCCTCTGCAATGATTATTTAATAATGTTAGATAAACAAGTATGTTAAATGAAAAAAATAACCACTGTAAACTTACCACTCATTTGGGAGAATTCAACAAAAATTTTTACGATTACTTCTGCATCTTCGTCATCTTCAGATTGACGTTCGTTATAAATAATAACTCTTTCTACAACTCCAAATTTGGAACATTCATCTTGAATTTCTTCCTGTAAACTTTCATCTACATCTTCTGGAGCTACCATATTTCGTAAAATAACAACTCGGGATTCAACTTTACGCATTAGTTTTTGCATCACGAGATGACGTGCACTTTGTCCTTTAATCGACATATTCTCTTGTTGCTGTAACGTTTGTGGTTCTGTTTCTTCTAACAACTTCTTTTGCAATTCTTCTTGCTGTTTCTGATGAGCTGCTTGCTCTTGTGCTCGCCTCATTATATCGGAATTTGTCGTAGTTGTGACTGGTATCTATCAGTATGTCCCGAATCATTTAGACAGTGATAACGTAGTTTAGTTTCTAGACTACTTGAAGGGTAGAAAAAAACTTACAACAGGAGTTCCTACAATGGTGGGTGCAACAACAGCTGGAGGCGGTATAACAACTGGTTGTCCAGGTATTGGTTGAATTATTGCCGGCGGTCGAGTTAAAGTCTGTGGTATAGCTATACCAGGGGGTGGTATTACCGGTGCTACCGTTGCTATAGTAGGCGGTGCCATCATTGTCGCAGGAGCGATTGTAGGTCTTACTATGCCAGGCAAAGCTGCATACATTAAATGAGCACAATTAAAAACCTTTCAGAAGCTCCATGTACAAAAGCGAATTGTATGCATTACTTCTCCTCTATACCTTGATTCAAAATCGGTGGAGCTGCTGCTCCAAGTTTGGTCAAACCAAGAGCAACTGCATTACTAGCTACCGCATCCATCGCTTGAATCTTTGCGGTTGCAGCAGCAGCTGCAACAGCTGCCGCTGTAGGCATCATACTGGTTCCACTTGGAGGACCCATAAGAGCATTCGGTGGAGTAATAGCTCTGCCTACACGTAAATACTGACCACCCAAATCGAATAAATTCATTGATGCAATAGCCTCTAAAGCTGCTTGCATTGTTTCATATTCGATAAAACCGTAACCTTTGTGTCGATGAGGCGAGCTACCTTGTGCTAATTTGCAATAGGTAATAGGACCGAATGCTTCGAATACAGACTTAATATCGTCTTCGGTCAAATCCTGATGAATGGACGCAATGTAAATACGATTATAGTGTTTGCTCTCTTCGGTAATTTCGTCTATTACGGATTGAGCTTGGGGCATATTCGACGGACGCCCCACGACCTGAAGAAGAAGAAAAAGACGCAAGAATTCAGAAACAATATTTTCAAATCTAGTAAAAAATTAATGTTATCGTTAGAAAGCAACAAAGCAAATCAAAATCTCTCTTGTTTGTAAATAATAGATAATAGAATGTATGCAATAGAAACTAATTGAATTATAGGAAAGAATTTAAGAACTTTTTGATCGAAGTGCATTATAGATATCCAATGCAATTCAATCAAAAGGGATTTTGGTATTGGATAAGGCTAAAATAAAAATTTGCCGACCTCCGGCGGGATGATAGGATTGCTGGGGGACAGGAAATTCGTTATATAGGTACGTCCCGCTACCTTGATGTTACGTCCACCAATCATGACACCATTCATTTGTTCCAAAGCAAGTTGTGCTGCTTCAGGTATCTCGTATTCGACGAATGCAAATCCTTTGTGCTTCTGAGTAACAGGATCCCAGGACATGTTGATCGACTTGATAGGACCAAACGGCAAGAAAGCTTGCCTGATTGTATCCTCTTTTAATTCGAAACTGATGCTGCCCACATATACCCTGTCGTATAGGAATATTATTTTAGTTGACAATCGCTCTTGATTATATTTAACTGACTTTCTTTATTATTCGTATCTATCAATAACATATTCGTAACTATATCCTATCAACATTGAATAGAAACAAAATTAATAATATCTCTTGTAAAAAGAAACAAAATTTTCTCATTATTTTAATGATTTCTTCCAATTCAGACTTATAGCCGAGAATGAAGAAAAACAGTAATAATTCAATTACTCACTTAACACGATTGTATAGTGTTGAATTTCATGTAAGAACCTTCTTTTAACTTAATGGTAACTGGAAGAATTCAATATGAAATAGACGCTGCTATATTTGCAATTTAAATGTTACTTAACAATATTCATTTGAAAAGAATAAATGTTAAATTTCAACTAACTGCATAATTGAAAGAATTAAAATTCAATGAAACCCAATTGGAATTTGCGAATAAAATACTTAAGTATATGAATAGAAGATACGATAGTTGAAAATCATTTTCTACTTAAAATGGAGCGAATCCCGAAGACAAAATTCGGAGGGCTAAGACAAAGAACAAACAAACCTGCACATGAGGGCGAGAGCCTGCTGTCTCTGCACCTGATTCCGTTGACTAGCCATTTGCTGTAACACAAAGGACCATAGGCCTTCTATTGATATCCCTCCCCCTTACATAAACCACGTCTCGTTCATTTCAAAAGTCCCCCAAGCTCTTTTACCATACCACCTTCTTTGCTCAACTATTCTAAAAAACTTTATTCTAAACAATCTGATAGTTTAAGGAATAACATTCTACTAGGATATAAAATTAGCTAACAGCATGTACATATAATAAATTCGAGTTAATTATATTATTCAAAATGATATGAAAAGCTTCAACATTAAATTAATATTTGAATGGTTTAAATTTTTAACAGTGCATTCCAAGTACAAATCATCAGTGCTCTTTATGATTATTTTTCAGAAAAATTCTTCTATGACAAGAAAAGAAAGAATAGTCGAGCTCGGAAGTATAATACTGATTATTTTTCTCAAATCGTCCAGAGATTCATGCACAAAAACTTGTCCTCCTTCGCGCTGGTACAGCTCTGCTCCCGCCGACTACTATTTCAAGATATCTAACCTTCTCTTACAGTAGTAACTCAGGGAAACGTTTAGGAGTGTTTGATCGTAAGGCGGTTTCGTATCGTTTCTGTCTTGACTTGGTTGACACTAACCTGCACATTAGCAATAAAACTTGCTGCCGCAGGACCAACTTATTCTTCTGCGGGGAGAAAAAATCAACCGATCAGAGTTAGGTTCCAGTGTTCGTTTCTGATTTCTGTTATATATTTTTTTGTTTTTCTTTCTTTCTTTACTTTACTCGCTCGTTACAACGAACACAGGTTAACAGTTTTATATAAACAATTTAACGTTACTCGGCGGGGCGAGCTAAATTATAAGGACAAATATTAATTTAAAGCACTATATGTACACTTTTTTTTTATATTACTGGCAAAGAGCTAAATAGAGGAAACAATACGCAAATTCATCTTTCAGTAAATAATATCTTTTGAGACAAAAAAAGAACCCCACAATTGTAACATCTATTTTTATGAGTGTATAAAACATCAAATCCATTGTGCATTCGTACGGAATGATTAATGATTACTCGAACAACTTGAATTGCATTCAAGTTTTATTCTATCTACATACTTTTTCGCCCATGAATAAAGTGCAGAAATAATTTGATATAATATTCATAATATACTTTAGTATTATTTAATATTCTTTTTCTTTCTGTTCAGTGCAGTAATCTACGAATGTACAATGGAAGATATGTTAGGCGAGTAAAGTTTGTTAGCATCATGTTTAAAAGTTACCTGTTGTTGATGAGCAAGGGTTTGCTTCATCAGAACCATTTTGATGCTCTGTTCCATTGCATACTTCTTTGCTCTGTTTACTGTATCTTGCTGTTCAGATGTAATTTTCGGAAGACCTGCACCTAGAATGCCAGGTAGTGTAAGGTACTTGGCTCCAGGTCCTGTAAAAAGATGAATAACGTGTGTAGGAATATACCTTTCACAGATCCAAACGTATTTTAAAATATGATACTTTATCAGATCTTATCAGCTATTTGTCCACTAAATTGTTATCAACTCTCAATCTAACTTTAATTGGAGTGACAATTGTAATTGTCACAATTATTTGATACATCATAGATGAATATTGAATTATTTAACGTACTTAATTGTTTAAACTATGAAATAAAATATCATGATTTACCCGCAACAACTTGTCCAATTTGATTAAGGTCATATATAGGGCCTGGCAAGAACTCTGATGCACTTCCTACGAAGAAAATCGGCATTAGATAAATGTGTGACATAATAAATAATTGTATTTAATATTTCCACCATCACATATACTCCCCAGGGCTTGTATAAGAATTATTTACTTTGACAACACTTGATTTTTACTCTCTATGATGATGGAAATACTAATGTTAACTTTTAAATTTACACGATATACAGATTTGATTTCTTAATTTGTATGCTTACTGTTTATTAAAATTAAACAACATTTGAAATGTACGCATGATTAATTTTTAACCAAATTATTTAATATTTGCTATATAAATATACTGTAAAATTCTTGTAAAAGTAACTTTCATGGGTCTTTACAGAATTCTTAGTATGAACAAGTGAAAAAAAAAAGTGATTTAAAGAGATGAAAAAAAGGAACGGCGTCGTGCAGCAGTTCCCACGGTAGAACCATCCTCAAAACTGTAAGTTCAAAGAAATTAAAACAATCAAGAACAGTAACATTACATTTTTATAGCATAATGTAATATATACACGTATTTATACGTGTACATTTGTACATAAATACATGAAATATGTACAGTAAGAGATGAATTTCTTTTTTTTTTTCCACGCTTTTTTCTTTTTCATATAGAAATAACGACAAATCTTTTTCCTTTTTTAGAAATAATATCAATGTTTAGAAGCAACCACTGCATCTATACGTTTCATTTAAATTTCGTTACTGTTTACACTATCAGCCCCCCAAAAAAATCAGACTACCAATAACTAGATTAGGTTTCGTATGATCTTAACCAATTTGGTCTGCTAGTCTCTGAAACAGAAATCAGAACACGTTGAAACGCTTCTTTTTCTTTTTTTATGACTTTTGCAATTTCACGAATCAATATTAGCTTTGTTCAATCATTTGATTAACGGCTAACCGTGTTCTGGGCTGAGCAATGACGGTTGTGCGCAAACTATCCGAGATTGAGGCGACGCACAAATCTGTAAGCACAAAGCAAAGGAGAATACTCTCAGTGCATTTTCTGCGCCACTTTCTTACAGTTTGCCTTCTCCAACCTACCACGCAATTAACCCTAGCGTGTACTATATAGCAATGGCGATCCTAATTAACAAGAAATCTAACGTAATTGATCGTCGAAAGAATTTACTTTTTTTTCTCAAGTTGTACACCTTGTTGTAATAACTTTCTTACAACGCGTACTTCTTCTTTAATAATAAAATATCTTACCTATTTATAATATACATATAAATGTGATAACATACATCGCCATTGCTTCTCCTACTTTATAAGCCTCTTCTATCGTACACTACTACATTTTGGAATTTAATTCAAGATCAAAAACGTTATTTAAAGGAAAATAAATATTTAAATTAGTACTCTGTAAATTGAACATTAGTTTGTAAAGAGAAAAAGTAAAAAATTGTTTGTTTTCATTAAGTATTTTGTATGCAGAACGAGGCTTACAATTAGGAAGAAAGAAGGCTACCCTAAAATGCTGACCTATCTAAAATACGCATCGTATTTGGTACTCGACAATAGATGCTGTGTCAGTAGGAGTTTGCAAAACTCTGATTTGTTCTGTTCAACGAATGTAGCGTTCTCTTTCTTTGTTTGGCGCACGCTCATGATCACAGCTCAGTCGTAGGCCACAGATTCTGTACTGTCTCTCCGCTGTAACATCTCAGAACAGAAGGACAACCATAAATTAGTTTTATCGAGGGCCAACGATCACCTATTACCCTAGCCTACCAAAATATATTCTGAAACTGCAATAGACCACTCAACACTTATAGCTTGCCAGCACTTTAATAGAAAGCTAGCACCTGATTGTCCTAAATAAATAATATATGTTTTTCTTCATCATTTCCTTTGCTTAGAAATATATTATGCTTGCTGTTGCTTCTGTGTTCACCGTCTTTTCCAGTTGTACGCTTAATTGTACGGTTTATTAGTGATTAGGAGCATACACTTATTTGGCAATATTAGCAATGTACCTTCAACTCTAGGTTTCTTGTTCGGAGGTTCCACGTTATTTTGGGTCGCTGGTGCCTAAAAATACAATAAAAAGTTTTTAATTTTATATAATAATAGTAAGCTGTTATTAATAAAAAGTTCTATGGTGTTTTAAATCTACAAATATTTTTTCATAATTATTACAATAAAAGATAGTTATGAAAATATTGATAATATAAATTCTAATAGAGTTTTTATTGCACTTATCATACCATGGGGAATAATACAGTCATGAAAACATTTAAAAGTAAATATATAAACAAAATAATCATAATTTCATCTATCAAGTTTACAATAGCAAAGCATATCATTAAAAATTGAACAGAAAAAAAAATTTCATAACTTTATTGATTGAATCAATGGTAACACTATAATGTATCTACTAAACCTACTATCAATAATTTATTAAACATTATAGAAAATAAATATTATGAACTTTGTTGAATTTCTAAAGAATATTAAACGTGTGAGTACGTTAAAGCATCTGCAACCGCCATCATGGTCCAAATCATTTGTTAGTTATACTGGTTCAATATTTTATGTAAGCGCAATGAAAAAGTTAACTTACCATGGCCATCGCTCCGTTCATTGTTCTTTATAGTCAAATAAAATAAGATCAATTTCTTTTAAACGTATCCTATTCAACGAGTTTCAACTAACTCGTACATACAAAGTAATCCACATCCAAAGCAATACGAAGCTTGCCTTTGCGGAAGTATTATATGTATACTCTGTAAGTCAATAATAACTTTACATTAAAATATACACCAGTTAAATAAAGAATAAATATATACATTATTCTTAAATATAAGGAAAAATATTGATTATTTTATCACATATTTTTGGAAATAATACTAACATTTCCTTGTATGAAATCCTGAACATCAATCCGGATTTGACTATGTTAGTATTAATTATGATAACTATGGAACGTATGTTTGAAGGTTAGGATATATTGTTAATGTGATATCTTTGTTAAAGATTCAAATTACAATGAATTCCAATGACTTTCAGATTAGATTAATTAACGATGAAAAGGTAAACTGTAACTGTATGATTTAAGGTTATTTTATATCAAAATAAATAAATAAATAAACTCAGTTTTAATTACACTTAATTATCAATACAGATGTAACTATTCTTTATAACATTCTGTATTGTGAAAATTTAATCTACTATTAGTTATTGCTGACAATAAAACGTATATTTATTACAGGGTAAAGGTCTTTTTGCCCTCCGTTCATTTAAAGATGGTGATATAATTTTGGAAGAGAAACCTTTAGTTTGCTGTCAATTTTCATGGAATTTAGAGTATAAATATTTAGCTTGTGACAATTGTTTGAAACCATTAGAAACTGCTGAAGAAAATGTACGCAGATTGACTGGGAATTCAACAATTATTTTACCCCATATTGAATGCTGTGAAACAAAAAAAGATTTGATTACAGAATGTTCTGAATGTGGTACAAAATATTGTAGTACCGAATGTCAGAATGAAGCTTATTTAAGGTAATTCATTATTAAGCTGTAATATTAATAGAATAATTAAAACCTTACTGGAATAAATTTTTTAGGTATCATAGTACATTATGCTTACATTCAAAAGAAAAAGATGAGTCTCATCCACTTGTACAGTTAAATGAAACATGGAAACAAATGCATTATCCACCTGAATCTGCAACAATAATGTTATTAGCTAGAATGGTAGCCCTTGTTAATCAAGCCAACAATAAAGAGGATATTCTTTCAACTTTTTCACAATTTTGTCATCGTACATTTAATGATGCACATGAAATTGCACATAAACTGTTAGAGGAAAAGTTTATTGGTCAAATTGATGTACTCAGACAGATGATGCAAAAAGCTTTAAATACAGAATTGACAGAGCATGTATGTGACATAAATATAATTCAAAAATGTATAATAAAATAGATTATTTAAACTTTAATTTACAGTGGTTTACACCAGATGGCTTTAGAAGTCTGTTAGCTCTTGTAGGTACAAATGGTCAAGGAATTGGAACTAGTTCATTTAGTCGTTGGGTTAAAAATGTATCTGCTTTAGAGTTACCAACAGAAGAAAGAATTTATGTTGATAAATTAATAGATCGGATTTACGATGATATGGAAGAAGGTACATTTTTCTGAACTATGATACAAAAAATAAATCATGTAAATGTTATCAGTTTAACAATTCATTTATCTTTTTCAGTGGTAGGTTCTTTCTTAGATAATGAAGGTTCTGGTCTTTATACTCTTCAATCTGCAGTAAATCACAGTTGTGTACCAAATGCAATTGTAGAATTTCCTTACTCAAACAATGTATTAGTTTTAAAAGCAATACGTAATATTCATCCTGAAGAGGAAATATGTATAAGTTACCTTGATGAATATGATTTAAAAAGAAGCAGACATTCGAGACAAGCAGCTTTAAGTTCTTTATATTTATTTGTTTGCCTTTGCAGTAAGTGTTTATCGCAAGCGAATGATCCAGATTTGACATCGGAAGATGAAATAGACGATGATATGTCCAGTTGAAAATATAAATTTTCATAATGTTCATATATAGAGATGAATTGTATGCGTAAATATAAAATTTGTGGTTTTATTCTTTTTTTTACAATTTTTTTTACAGCTTTATCTTTTACATGCTTCCTTAGCAGAGATAAAAAAATTTCCATTCTATGGTAATAAAAACATTTCTTGTTAATTAAATTATTAATACAACACCACATTCTATTTTATACAATATAGACTAGATTAAAATGAACACGGTTCAATTTATTATTTCATACAATCATTTTTAATATAAAGGTTGCTATTTTGATAAAAGAAATAATTAAATTTTATATTTTTATTTTATACTAAATCTACAGTAGTAGAAATACAGTAATATTTCACGTCATGTAATTGTTGAAAACCATTTGCAAGCCCTAACGATATGTACAAATTCTAAGTTATTAAAATAATAAGCAACCTTTGTATTTTACTAAATATTAAGATTACGCGTTATTCGAATATCGTCAATTATTAAATTCTAGCGTTATTTCATTCTTTCCTAATACCATAAGATTTGATATATAATAAGGTAGAGGTGTAACAAGTACACGCCGTTCTATTAACTTTGTTAAACACTCTGGAATATTATGACTACGGAACTCCCACCTGAAATACATAAAATTAAAACTTTTATTATATAATATAATATTAGAATATATTATAATCTTACGAAAAAAAGAAAAAACACTCACGTTGCATGTATATTTTCATTTGGTAATTCTTTTATTATGTCTTTGTGAATCACAGGTGTACTTGGTGCATTTATAACAAGCAATTCTAGGGTAGCAGGATTATCACCAAAACACGTTTCCGAGTATTTTTTCCGTTGTTTTTGTTGAGTAAAATCTATACCCGTTTTTCTGAGGAACATGTAAAACATATAGTGTGATAAACATTATCCTTGAATCATGAAATATTTGAAAATGCAAAAACAAGTATTACTTAATATTGGGAACAGCATCTTTATATTCCAAAGTGTTATCAATATTAGAATTTAAGGCTCCTTCCATTTTCCTCCAACATAATTTACTCAAAGATCTAAGATCTCTTCCTGTTAATTTAAGTCTCTTAGAATCCATATAACCCATACACCTTATTACTGCATTTAAAAGATCTGATGAAACGTATCTTCTAGTAGAAAAGAAATACTTTTGACCAATAAACAAGGCAAGATATGTAGCACTAACATGCTTTTGTTTCCTTGTATTCTTTCCACTTGTAAACAAAGCTACATATGTGATACCACTGTGCGTATGCACTCTTACATCAATTTTTAAATTTAGAGAGTCAAAATAATTTTGCATGTTGTCTGCAATATCTTTGTTTATAAAATAATTTGTAGATTTATTAGAATTAATGAATGTGTAACCATACCACATTAATCGTTTATTATGCCAACTTATGTCTAAAACATATGAATTATATTATTAATCTTTACATAAATAAATTTAAAGAAATAATATACTTTATATTACCAATTAATTTTAATGTTAGTAGACGGTCTTTCAAAGCTTTCTCCGGTAGATTTATTTCCTATCAGAAGAAGATAAACCATAAACACATATATAATTTAAATGCTTGAAATATATTTTTATAAAGAACTTACAGTTACAATCTTTTTAATAATTTGTGCTACATTAATTGATGTAAATGTTTTGTGACATTTGACCAACTGAGATTTTACATTAGTCCATGATATTTCTGGAAAAATTGGCATTACAGATGATTCCATTTCTTCAAATTTAAATCTTTTAATGACATTAGTCATTTGTTGTTCTATATATGTAGAAGTTGCTAAAACATTTAAAAAACATATCTTTAATACAATTTGAATATTTATACATAATATTTCAATATAACCTCTTTAAATTAAAAATGATAGTCAAAAATTTGAACATATTAAACAATACTAACACGTTGACATTGTGGAAAACAAACAAAATTAAAATATAGAATAATTTTAAAACATCTCTATAATTTTGAAAAGTTTCTCACATATCCACTGAAGTTACTTCTGTATATTGCACACGCGCATAAACTGCTTATAAATTCCCGCCTAAAAGAACGGTTCGTTTTAAATATTATTTATGTATATCAATGATACTCAGATAACAAAAGTTATCCTTGCTTTCTATTGGGCATGTTTAAAAAAAGGAAAAGTATCATCTGAATATATATTTTTCTTTCATTAATCATATCATAATTAGCAAAATGTTTTTTTACTTATATACATATAGTGTAAAATGCTTAATATTGATAAAAATATTAAAATACATTATAAAGAAAAATTCACGTTTTTAGTAATACTGATAATTGCTGATATTAATTAATGATATATGAATGCTTATCTTAATTTGAGTCATACATATACTCATTATTGAAGGAATGATAACATGTCAAACGAATGTCGGAAAGGATGCAGTATCCATTTTAATACGCAGACGCAGTTAAAGAAGGCGAGATTATAAATACAGCACTACTTGACCACTGCATGAAGTTGTCACAGTGCATTTGTTCCATGATGGCGCAACATGTTATTTATTCAAGCACACCGGCAGCCCTTTTGTTACTTGTTTTTACGATATCCAACTTAGTAAACGGTAATGCATTTACAGAAGTGAAAGTATCTGATAGCCTGAAAGTGAAATCAGTGAATGCTTTAATTACAAAGCAATCTCATGCACGAGAGTATCTGTCCGCTGGTCCAGGTTTCCTTGTAGAGATTCTTGGTACCGGCCTCGAGAGCAACGTTTCGTTACGCTGGTCATCTACACCTGACGATTGCGATCCAAACAACAGATTAGACGCAATCTTGATCGCACATAATGGCAGTCGTGCAATATATAAGTTTATTCGAATTCCTAATTTTAAGGTTACCACGATCTATTTCTGTCTGAGAACCATCAGCAGATTCGGCGAAACATGGACCAATCTTGGAAGCAATTTAACTATTAAGCGCCCAGTTCAACCAGAGTAAGTTCGATACCTGATAATTTGCTTTTTTTGAGCGTCGTAATAGAAGATTCTTTTTCCTTATAAATGGTATTAAAACACCGATATTATCGACGACAAGGAACTTATTTTAAGATTTTGCAATTATGCGTGTTGTGCATTTATAATTTCTCTGCTACAATGTAATATTACAGAAGAACTTTCTTTGTTTGATTATCTGTATTGTTGTATCAAAATATTGAAGTGGAGATAATTTTTATATATGTATATATATATATAAATACACATATACAAGAATATGTACTAAATTCAAATAAACAATATGATAATATTTGTATATTGATGTTTTTGTTGTCAATACATATGTTTAAAGTATTTAGAAACTTTATTTTCATATTTGAGAACTTAATTGTAAAAGAATTTTAATGAATAATTAATTTTTAGGTTCATTTATTATTTTATGAAATGATGTATTTTTAGAGAATAAAATGCATAATACACAGAACCTTTTAATTGAATTTTATTTCAAGTTTGTTAACATTAATTTATGGAAATAACTTCATTAAATATGATTCTGAAATTATGAGTTGTTTGTTAATTTTATTGTTTTCTATATCAATTTAATTTATATTTTATACCAATTATATGTTTTATTCTTAGAAAATATTTTCGTACACGTCGTTCCAATGCATTAGATAATTTTGATGATGAATACAAAGATCCATCAATTGATGAAATGCATACAAATGTATTTGTTGAGGGATTAAGAATAGAGACTTCAGAGAAGGATCCTAGCTACAGAGAGGATGGTATTCCTGAGATATTAGCTGGAAGTAGGGCTGTTATACGACTATTTGGCTTTGGTTTTACCGAAGATACATTGGTTGCATTCACAGATGAACCGGCAAACAGAACTGATATTTGTGATAAAATTAGAAGCAGTCAATTTCCAGTAAGTGTTGAATTGTATGTTTTATTTTACAGCTTGAATAAATATTTCTATACATGCATAAATATTTTTTGCTAAATGTGTGATTGTTGTAGGTAAAAAATGTAAAAAATCATACTGCAACTATTGATGTTGTTTTACCGCTTGGTTCACCATTCTATGTGTGTGTAAAACAACCAATATATGGAAAAGAAAGTTCTGACCGTTTGCTTTTTAAACATCAGGGTACTGCATCATGGACTACTGTAAGTTGATATTTTTATAGAGATAAAGTATAATAAAAAATTATTTAATCATATTTATTTACAGATATATACATATGAAAAATTCTTACCACTTTGGCTCAGTATTGTAATTATTCTCTTGTGTCTTAGCTTTTCTGCTTTGTTTTCTGGTTTGAATTTGGGATTAATGGCAATGGATAGAACTGAATTAAAAATACTTTGTAATACTGGAACGGAAAAGGTATTTCTATTTATACTCAATTAGTTTAATTTTTTTATCATTTAACGAAACAAGACTATATAATCATTAATGTGTCATAGGAAAAACAGTATGCAAGAACAATACAGCCAGTGAGAAATCATGGGAATTATTTGTTGTGTTCGATTTTATTTTCGAATGTTTTGGTAAATTCAATCTTTACCATTTTGCTAGATGATCTAACTTCTGGATTAGTTGCTGTTATTTGTTCCACCTTGTCTATTGTAATTTTTGGCGAAATTTCACCGCAAGTATGTAAATTTATAAGGCTGCATTTTATTTAACAAAAGTTAATCTAATAAAGGCATGAGTCATAATATACTACATGTTTTAGGCTATTTGTAGCAGACATGGATTGTGTATTGGAGCAAAGACTATTTATATCACAAAATTAACCATGATAATAACATTTCCGATGAGTTATCCTATTAGCAAACTTCTAGATGTTCTTCTCGGTGAAGAAATCGGCAATGTATATAATCGTGAACGATTGAAAGAACTTGTAAAGGTGAGAAAGAAAAATAGGTATTATTATAATATTATATATTTAATATGGTTTTCTTTAATTGTAATTTGAAGTATACATTATCAAACGCCTTTTTAAACTTTTTAATGTTATGGATCTTATCAGAATGAGCATGGATAGGGCAGATAATTAAACTGACATCCAAATTCAATTATGTGTAGGTAAGATATAGATCTACTGACGTTTGCTTGAAGTTTTTACATTCTACAGAGTATATATGTTAGATTACTTATCATTGTGAAACTTAAATAAGATAACTTTACACGCTTATATTGAGCTAATTTAAGCGGAATTTATCATCAAAATGTGTTTAAGACACATGTGTTCACATATATACATGTTAGGCAAGGAAGGGTAACTTATGTAATTAATATTCCGATTCTTTTATTGCGTGCTCTACTTATGTAATCTAATAACATCATTAAAGATTTGATAAAATCGTAAAATCGTAACTATGTCAATGTCATTACTTATAGGTGACGACAGGGTATAATGATTTAGAAAAGGATGAAGTGAATATTATTGCTGGAGCATTAGAACTGCGGAAGAAAACTGTTAAAGATGTAATGACAAAAATTGAAGATGTATACATGTTGAATTATGATGCCATTTTAGATTTTGAAACAGTGTCGGAAATCATGAAATCAGGTTGCTAAAATGATAATTTTTTTATTTTATTATAATAATCGTTATTATAATCTGTAATACTCATTATTAATTGTTAGGTTTCTCGCGTATACCAGTATACGAAGGTACAAGGACAAACATCGTAACAATGCTTTATATTAAAGATCTTGCTTTCGTTGATCCAGATGATAATATGCCACTTAAAACTTTGTGCCAATTTTATCAAAATCCGTGCAACTTTATTTTCGAAGATGTTACATTAGATATTATGTTTAAACAATTTAAAGAAGGTTAGTATTTGAAATTTAACATTAGTAATCAAATAGTTTTATTTATTTATATGTGTTCATTTCAGGTCATAAAGGTCACATGGCATTTGTGCAAAGAGTAAATAATGAAGGTGAAGGAGATCCATTTTATGAAGTAATAGGATTAGTCACATTGGAGGATGTTATAGAAGAATTGATTCAAGCTGAGATCATGGATGAAACCGATGTATTTAGTAAGACTCTTTAATATACCATATAACATACTATGTATATATTTCGAACAAATTTAAAATCAATTAATATGTAATTTTGTTACAGCGGATAATAAAAGTAAACGTAGAAGACAAGCTAGACATAAAATACAAGATTTTACTGTATTTGCGGAGAAGAAAGAAAATCAGCGTATTCATATATCGCCGCAGTTGACATTGGCCATGTTTCAGTACTTATCAACAAGTAGGAAGAAGTGTTTTGATTTAAGAAACTATAAGATTTATATAAAAATCCTATTCTAACGCTCTTAAAATGTATCTGAGTGTAATGTATGATCCACAGCTGTAGATGCATTTAAACCCGATACAATATCAGAAACTATTTTACGCCGTTTACTTAAACAAGACATTATTTATCATATCAAAGTGAAGTCGCGCGAAAAGGCAAGAAATGATCCGTCAGCAGTAATTTATCAACAAGGAAAAGCAGTCGATTATTTCGTCTTGATCTTAGAAGGTCGAGTTGAAGTTACGGTTGGCAAAGAAAATATGATGTTCGAAAGTGGACCATTTACGTATTTTGGTTCTCAGGCGCTCACAGTTAATGTTGGAATCGGTAGGTGATCCATTTATTTTTATCTACGTGTTTATCCACCAAGGTTTACAGATTTATGTATATATATAATTTTTATAGCTGAATCACCGACCAATACAAATCCTCAAACAGTAGGCAGCATACAATCGGTTAATTTGGATTCGATATTGAGATACACGTTTGTTCCTGATTATACAGTGCGAGCTGTAACCGAAGTGTTTTATGTTAAAATTAAAAGATCTTTGTATTTGGCTGCGAAACGAGCAACTCTTCTGGAACGAAGCCAAAAAGATCCCATACCTGGAAGTCAAGAACAATTTGACGACGAAATAGAAAAGGTTAATTGCGGAGGAAGAAATGCACATGTCTATGAAAATGTTATTTAATTTCTGTAAAAACATTATTTTCATAATTCTTCAATTTTTAGTTATTGCATTCTTTGGACGAGGATGATCGCAGCGTACCAGAATCTCCAGTATTACCGATCGATAAGGACAAGGAAAGTAAAAAAGATAAAGAAAAGGAAAAAGACGGCGTACAATCTCCCATTCATAGTGCTACTGCTCCAACTTCACCTGCTCCAGTTAGTGCTAGTCCAGTTACACATTCAAAATTTATTTCATCGTTCAGTGATCATAATGGCAAATTAAAAAATTCACCAATGAAGGTTGTTTTTTCCATTCTTCTTCTTCTTGTTTTTGTTAATATTTCATTTCTATGCTACGTGTGTAGCAATAGAAAAGAAAAAATAATTTTATATTTGTATTTTAGACAATGATCACGAGTCCGAGTCAAGGACAAACCAACTTGGAGTTAAATTCAGATATTCTTGCTCTCCAAGAAGCAAATAAAATCATATCAGCAAAGAAATTAATCGAAGAGGAAGAAAGAACGAATCTCCTGCCTAAGCAAGAAGACTCTTAACGCTCGAAGATCGGTCGACGATGTTTAAACGCGTCGACGTTGTTGACAATGCAGGTATTAAACAACGAAGAGCAGGAAAAACCTCTATGACATAGAATGCTATGATGGCATTAGGTACTTAACAAATTACATAAATATTTATCGCAAAACAAATCGATAGCTGATGTTAAATATTTTAAGTTCTAAATGGTTGGCTCAAAGACTATCCACTATATCCTAGTTCTGTGAAGTTAGTACGCTCAGGGAAGTTTGCCAAAATTTCAGACATTCATATATTCGATTCTTACAGTCTACGTAAATAGTCCAATACGTAACTGATGTTCAAACCTATTTTTAAGTGACAAATGTTTTATTTCTCGAAAGAGCGGAACGCTTAACTAAGAAAAGTCTATTCTCATCGTAATAGAAAAAAAAAAAAATTCATTTTCTACTATCTACCACAAAATGCACACGTTTGTTCAATAATTTTTCTTGAACACTTGTAAATATCGTTTTACTGTACATTTTCATTTAGAACGAAACATTTGTGATGTGTATTTCATTCTTCACAATGAAATACACGTTTACATGACATTTCTTGACGAGCGTATATTAACATTTTTCATATCGTTCAGTTTACATTACAAAGAACAAAGTAAATTTTGAAAAGGTTCGAAGGGTAAATTATCGAGTAAAACTTGTTGCAGTTTAAATATTATATGCAAAACAATACATAACACGTACCTTATTTAGATTTTGTAAAATTAGAAAGGTTCATTTAAAAATGTACTTGCTCGTGAAAATATTAACGTGTAATAGAAGAGAGTACAAATTGAGGGAAGTGTTGCTAAGGAAACGTTCGAGTACATTATTTAAATATATTCTCAAAATAATGCAGGGGTCTTTAAAAAATAATTCTCTTTTTTCCATCAGTTATACCGTATTCGTTGCATCGTATTTCTTACCTAATTGTGAATAGTGTAAATAGAAGTTACAAATAGTTCACATTTATAATGAATGGTAAGAAAATTTTCGGTACATAGTTACAATAATTGTTTATGTTTTTATTCAGTGCCTTAAAAGAAAGAAAGAAAAAAAAAAGAAATTATAAAACTGTGTTTAATCATCTACGAACAAGACGTATTTTAATACTGCATGCAATTTATTATTTTCATATTAGATTCATTACATAACTTGATTTGAATTCATTTATATTATTACAATAACTTGCAACCCACTTAAGTATTTTCAATCTAACGTAAGGATTCACTTTCTCATCAATTTTCATGCGATGCGTGATATTCATTGCGTATGTATCATAAAAAATAGTATTTTGAACAAGAATGTCAAGTGATAATATACAACGGCGGTACCATCATCCCTGTGACGGAATAGTGAATTTCAAGAAGTTCGATATTTTAATACCAGCCTAACGCGTGTTTTCACATCTCTAATGGTTGTTGTTATTTTGTTCATCATTGTAGAAAACCATAAGTTATCAATACAACCTGACGATCAATGCCGGTACATATCCTAAGTTCGAAATAGTTCTATCGATAAAAATCTTCCTGAATTTCGAAGTATCCTTAACAAAGAGGAGATAATAATTATGTAATAAGCTGTTAAATCTTAATGTAACGAAATAATATACAAACACCTATTGTCGGATTTTTTAATGAGAAAAACAATCAATTACCGTGTTTCATAGAAAATGAACAATAAAAAAAAAAATAGTAGAACAAGTTTATTGTATAAGATTAGTAAAATCGACATATAGTACTTTTGAATCACTACGGCTTACCGTTTGTTGCTATTAAAATTTAATAAGAAAACAATAACTGCCATATTTGTTTGTACTTGCTAAGTGTTGTTTCAGTGCTTGTTTTAGTTAATTTCTTCGAGGTATAACGTTAAAAGTTGAATGTTGCTTATTTGAAAATTTAATAAGAATAACATGTACGCGTGTTTGTCTTCTTCAAAGAATTATCAGCTTTAGAGTAACGTAACTTATACAGAGTCATTCAAATTTTATTTTTTATATAAATATATATTTATTGTTTGAACGATTTTATGTAAACGTACATGTTTGCGTGTTTTTGGACAGTTTTGTGAAGCGTTTTCGTAAATATGAAATATATTAATATAGCTTTAAAAATTATATTCATATTAACATATTATGTTGCAGTTAATGTTAACATATTTAAATGACGTTTATCCTTAAAGTAAAATAAGTAGACGCATATAATAGATGTATATCGTATATTTATAGCATTTATTTTATTACTCTTATATATATACGGTTTATCATTTCTGTTGTTTATCTTTTTAATAACAATTTTTAACTAACGTTACGCGTAACATCATTACTCTGTACTTATTACATTGTGTTAACGACAATGTAAAATACTTGTTGCTACTTATTTATATTTATAGTTTTTGTATGAGTCACAGATAATATTAACAATGTGTTTACATTTATAACAATTTTATGTTATCCTTACGGTGAAAATTACTATATTTTTTATTCAATACTGAAACTCCGACAGAACCTGTGAAGAGATACTCTTTTTTGCATTGCCATTATATCTTTTAGATGACTACAGTCATATAATAGTGTGCCTATAATTAAATATAAGTGTATACTGCTTATATCAGTATGTCGTTTATAGTAAATCCAATCGAAATTGTGATTCGAAATCAAAGATTTTTTCAAATAAAGCGCAAAATAATAGAAAGTTGATACTCATTCCGTATTGGTACAATATGGCAACGGAATTATTGCACGTACCTTTAGTAATACTGTATATTAATTCTACATTGTACTACAATAGAGTCGAGGTATGTTGATAAAAATGTATATTCGAGAAAAACAAAGCCAAATATTTATCAATATTATATTAATCTATTCACAAAATAAAAATACAGCTTCGTTTTCATCGTGTAAGAGTTTTCATTTATTTACGTTTAAATTCATCTGCTTTTGGCGCTTTCGCACAATCGAATTTACGTTGAACAAGCTGCATCCAAATGCACCCTTCCGTGCAAATAATAACGTTACAATCGTTAAAGCTTTCCCCTTAGAGGGTTCGCATAATTTTATATCGTGAATCTACCATTCATATTCATAAAGGATTTTTGAAGGAAATCAAAATTTTAAAGACCGAAGTAGTGAACGTGTAAACACGATGGTTCGATTAATTCGCGGTCGTTGCACAACTAATACAATTAAAAAATTCTTTGACAATTGATTCCGGTACAGTGCTTATACAAAATTAGCTCCTTTAACAATTACAGCGTATATGTATATATATATATATATATAAATATTGCAGAAGTTTGTAAAAACAAGTGGTTAATAACTTGTATTTGAACTGGCTGCGCAGAACGGTATGCGCAATAACGAAAACAAGTACTGGTACATACACAACTCCCGATGGATGACACTTGTTCAGTAACGTGCACAGCGCAGTTAGTGGATAGCATTCGCAGGCGTCGCATTTATTATTTCCAAACTTCTGTTATAAGAATTTCTCTGGATATTGATGAACAAAATTGGGTATTTTCCATTTCGACATTTCTCTTAATTATCTTTTTTCAAATAGAGAAATTTCAAACGTTTGAAAGTTTACCAGGTATCCTTTATATTTTTAATTAACAAGTGTTTTGAAGTTTCAATAAGACGATTGAAATTAACGAATCATTTCACAGGTATGTGTTTTTTATTGAAACGATTAGAATCGATCTCTGACAATAGGTTGAATTTGAAACCGTTAAAAACCGTTACTTATTCCAACGTTCATTGCGCGGGAAAATGGTATGAATGATGTTACTAACGTGGTTACTCTTTTTCTAGGTAAACAATTTTACTTCTAAAACGACGAGGTACTCGTAAGAAGCGAGCAAGAATGTCCTTCGTTTAAAAGGTAAAAGCCACTCCCTTTGGTAATTAACTTCTTTCCTAGCTCGTGTAAAAATACACGATTGTATAAAGAAGACGTATCCATCACTTTTTTTCTTCGCGTAAGTATATTAATTTCTCTTAAATCGATATCGATAGATCGTCACAACACTTTGATCGTAGTTAATTCTAATAGATCGCTAGCTAACTGCTCGGCAGTTAAATTGCATTAAGTGATTCGTTTGTTACGGATCCGATAAGTTCTATCAACCGGATACACACCATATACAGATAGCATCAATAAAACCCACTTAAAATGCGAAACGTTGTTCCAGGGACATTCTTTACGTCCTCGAGACGACAACAACAAGACGAAGAGGAATTGTACAGAGCGTGGTAATAGCAATGGCAGAAGACTAAGTACTTGGTGCAAATTCCGTAATTAATCGGATTGAAAGATGAATCTAGTTTATTTACCACTCAATCGATAGCCGAGAGACTTAAAAATGAATTCATCGTATCTTTGGGGAGAGGACGAAGAATGGGGAGGACGATATTACTTCGCGTATTACAGCCAGTTTGGTAATCGTAAAGGAATCAGCACCGTCGAGGTAAATTTTCATTTGTAATCTTTTAAGGGATATCAGTAAATTAAAAGGACAATCCACAGGTGGTGATATTGGCTATTAGCTTCGTCTTGGCTGTTGGCGGCAACTTAGGAATGGCTGGATGTATAATCGGTTATAAGGAATTGCGAACACCCACGAACATGTGCCTAGTAAACTTAGCCACGGCAGATCTTTTGTTCAGTCTTGGTGTGCCAGCGATTGCTTACACTAGGTTTACACAATCCTGGCGTCTTGGAGAAACGATATGCAGATTATTACCTTATACTCAGGTAGATAGTATCGATAAACCTTGCTCCTTCACGGATCAGAGCCGTAATCACCGACAAAGGATGGACTTATAAATAAAATCTTCCTATCAATACGTTATAGTATGATATGTATACTAATATTTGTTTCGCAATATTCTTATAGTTTGTCTGCGGTTTCGTCCTCCTATGGACATTGACGTTCATCTCGATGGACAGGCATCGATGCTTGGCAGTAGCACCATACAGAAGTGCCTTAACAAAAGTCAAGGTTCTAACCGTCAGTCTTATCACTTGGATAATCGCGGTTGTCGCTTTTTTACCAATCGTATTTTGGTTTCAACAAAAGGTATATCATCGATCGTACAGCGATATTGATCGTACAACTTATCTTTAATAAACGTTCCAATTTGTAGGATCTTAAGAATGGTTCAACGATATGCACTTTAATTTTCCCACGAAGCGAAATCGCGAACGTTTCATTATGCTACACTATACCGATCATCATCTTGGCCTGTTTTCTACCTATGATTCTTCTGGTTTATCACTATCAACGTATCTTTAAAAAAATATTTGATTCGCGAAGCAGATGGGCTGTTCCGTGTGTTGCGCAAGTAAGATACTTTATTATAATATTTCTACGCATTATCTGTAATAATTAAACGTCTCGATATCACGGTCACCTATTTTTAAACAAAGGCGATAAATATATATTCAGGGGTTGGAGAGCGGCGCAACAGGTAGAAGAGATTCCGAATTGTCGGTGGTAGGAACTTTATTACCTTGGACGGGAAGGAAACAGTCGTGTACATCGATAACGGGTCGAAAAGGGCGTACTGGTAGCCTTTCTCAGCACGAAGAAATACGATTGCACAAACATCTTCGAGTGGTGCGGATATTATTACTGAACGTGGTGGCCGTACTCATAATGTGGCTTCCAATCACTATCGTAATGCTATTGATTTATATGGACGGCAAGAGACCCAACGGAGACACCAATTTTTTCTTGAGATCTCATCATTTCGTTTGGACCCTCACCGCTGCTCAATTGAATACCATAGTCAACCCACTTCTTTACGGGGTTTTCTCTGAAAATTTTCGAGTCTATTTTGCGAAACTGTGGAAACGCAAGATCGATAACAATTCTAAAAGCGTAGAACAGCTGGCACCCAAAAAGAGTTCGAAATCGTTAGAAATATTTCAGACTCGAACAGGGGAAATTAGGACTCCTCATAAATTAAAAAGTTCAAATAAACGTTTGCAAAAGAATTCTAGTTGTAGCATAGGTAGCATCGTTGAAGTACCTAATTCAGAAAAACTGTAATATAAAATTGTTAGGTAAACACAAGTAGACAAAACTGTTTAGAATTACCGAATTAGTTTATCGATATTTATCTAATTAAGTAGTACAAAATACATTAAGAAATAAGTACAAAAATTTTATATATGTATATACATATGTATGTATCTCATAGGAGTAAAATTTCTTTCTAATACCATTTGGCCAACTATAAAATAATTTATAAAAAAACAAACATTTATATAAATTATTTTAGCAACACTCTCATTCTTATGCATACTTACATTTATTGGTCAAGTTATAAAGTTAAATTACACGATTCTCTTGCTATTAAACTTTATATATCATTAAATTCTTTTCTTAGACGTTTTTTAATTTCGGATAATTTTTGTACATCAACGTTTCCTTGTTTTATAAAATTTTGAAGCACAGCAATTTGGGAATTTATAAAATCAATTTTATCCGACCTCGTTCTTTTTTTCTTGTTCTTCTCGGAACGGTGGTCGATCAGATAATCTCTTACAAGACACCAAGGATAGTTTTTATCCTTCAAGGCAATTAAATCTACTGTGATCTGCGAGAAATTTCGTGTTTCATCTTCGGGTATGTGAATATCGATTATGGTTTCCTGATCTATTACTTTTTTCGTGTAAAACATATTCTGACAATTTAATTTTAGATTAAGAACGATCCAACTATTTTGTGGTAGCGTATCGTGAAAATTTATGGATAAAAATAATCGATTAGCTATTCTTTGTACCAATATTTTTGGATAAATTCGAATTCTTTGTTTATGAGCATATAAGTTTATTCTTTTTAATTTATCTTCTTCGATCATTAATGTTTTATTCAAATTACACAATTCTTGAGTTCCTTTATAAATTTTATCCATTATAAGTTCTGTACCCTTTAACATATCAGGATGAAGATTAATAAACTTGTTATTCTCTGATGATAGTGTTCTCTCTATAGAATCTACTGAAAGCTCTATTAACTGTTTATTTGTAGTTAAACCTAAAATTATCTTAGAATCATAGAATTGGAGACAATTAAAACTTTTATCTTGAACTTTTATATGTTTGATGTTGTCAGTTGACAATTCTTTGTTTGCATAATATAGTTTAGATTCATCTGAGTAGACTATCCATAAGGTGTCTTTGAATGATAGATTAAAACCAATGCAAATAGCTTCTATCTTTGTTCCTAAACAAACATTTTCAAAAATGAGCATGTTATTTTCTGAATGTATTACAGTAATAACATCTGTGTTAGTAAGAAGAAATAATCCTGCAACTTTTGAATTTTTTTGTATAGGTACTATGTCTCTAATGGAATAAACACTGTTGTATATTAATTGGACAGTTTCATTCATTAATGTAAAAAGTTTCTTTTCCTCTGCAATGATGCATAAACTCTGTGCATTTAAATCGTTATTCGTTAAAGTCTTCATAAAAGATTCTGCAGCATTTTCCACATTTAACAGATATACACATAAATTACGTGAATCACTTTCCTCTGAAGAAAGTTGAAACAATATTTTATTTCTCATTTCTCGTTTATCATCCAAGTAAAGATATTTATTCCTTGGTGTCAGTACTTCATAAAATACAGTGCCCATTCCAATTGCACTTTTACTTAAAACAGCAAATTCTAGATCTCTTGAAAGCTTGTAAATACCTTGTGGAACGCAAATCAGAAAGATTCGACCAGTAAAACATTGTATAGTTTTTATTGAAGCTGGAGCCGTCAAAATTCTAGCAGACGCAGAACCATTAGTTTTATATGGAAATATTACGAGTTTATTTTTGTTCCAACAAAAACAAGTTTCTTCACCATAAAACGTTAAAATCCTAAAGCTTTTTGCTATAAAGTGATTATTCGTTGTAATATACATGTCTCGAAAACAATCATAAATGATACAAATGTTTAAGAAAAATTAACACAACCTACTGACTATAGATACAGAAGAACTGGACATTCCTTTGTTCTCCAGAAAACATGATTGCAGGGGTTTCAGGCACCCCGAGGTGAGTCTAGATAACTTACTATACGGCAGTCGGTACTTCAGTGAAGGGTTGGTTACAGGGCAAAGTCTACCCTTCCAAGATCCACGTTTATTATTATAATATAAATTTGTACCCATATTTATTGTTTCTGCAAATATTTTTAATTATTATTTGTATTTCAGTACAGATGACAGTATCAGTAACATTTTGTAGATTACAAAAGATACCTATCAATTAATTAACTGTAATGTTAACAGAATTATCCAGTTTTAGAGCATTTTATAAAAGGCCCTGTCGCTTCAAGTCCTCGTATGTTTTACGATTAACAACATTTCCAAGAGAATCTTCAAATTCTTCTTCTTGTTCTGGTTGCCAACGTTCTGCTTGTTTCTGAGCTTTTAACTTTTCCCACAAAGCTAAAGCATCTTCTATTTGTGTCACATTAGCAAAGTGTGCAGTATTCGGAATACCAAGGCAACGCATACCATGTGCGTGTCTCCACTCAGCAAAATGTCTTTGGAAAGCTTTGGGTCCTTTGTATGTGAAATTTCCACAAATTTCACAATTATAACTAATATTCAGACCATGCAATTTATATAACCAATATGGGATAGGTTTACCATCCCAACCAAGTGGAAGATTTTTAGGGTTGTAAGGAACTTCATTATCATCTTCTTCTTCTGATTCACTAGCACTAGCTTCTGCATCAGAATCTCCTCTCTCACCTTCTGTTCTGGCTTGCTTTCTTTGAACATTTTCTTTTGTAGCCACCCTTTGGGAAGATACCAATTCTGCAAGTCTGTACACTTGAGCTTCGAAACGAGCTATTTCTTTTTGCTTTTCAGAATTTCTTCCTTTTCCAGATTTCCTATTTCTATTATTTTTTGCCAACAAATTTGGATCCAGTGATGCTTCTCCTTTTGTACTAAAAAGTCTTTGTGCTCTTTCCTCGAGTGTACCGCCACACTTTAAACCTAAAGCCATTAAAGCTGACTTTAATCTATCCAAACCAAGGGATGCAAGTTCTTCCCATGAAGAAAAAGCAGAAAGTTCTAAATGAGCTCCAACATGTGTTAAAGCACTACCAGTTTCTTTTGGCCATCCTGGAAATGTACTATTTTCCCACTGTGTTTCAAATTCTTTATTTGCTTCCTCTAATTCTCCATTTATATCAAGCAAAGGTCTAACTCTATTCAAATAATCAGTCAAGTATTCTAATAGAGATTCAACATATTTTTGATATTCAGCATTTTTTCTTTCCCTTGGGATATCAAATAAATGGTCAAAAGTTGACAAATATGTGATGTAATCTATTTTCTCTATCCCCTTGAGATTAATATATTTCTCATAACATTCGTGTAGATCAAGGTATTTTCCATAACCTTCTTCATCTGTAAATTCAACAAGATTTGAAAGTTCTTCTGTAGGATTTTCCCTCATTTTAGCTAATTCTTCAAACTCCACAGACATTGGAATACTTATCTCATTAGGATGTCGTCGATAAAATTCTTTTATGGATTTCAATCGAGAATAAAATTCTGAAAATTCATTTGGCCCGGAGAGTGCTTGTACCTAGACAAAATAGTTTTTATAAGTATACTACAAAATAATAAATAGATTACAAAGTTATTGGTATACCTCTTCTTTCCTTTGTCCATCTTTATCTTCATACAGATCCTGTAAATGTAAAGTACTGTCCATATACTGATCGAGTAACATTTTTAACCTGTGTTCCGAATTTATATTTTCCCTGTGCCCTGGCTTTTTATAAAGCATTTCCTTAACCATTGCATCCATCAACCTTTCCCTTTCTTCATGGTAACGTCGTTGCTGTTCTAATATCGTTTCCATTTATTTAATTTCTGTAAAGACAATATTCACAAATTGTTTGTCAACTATGTATATAGAGGTTATTGATATAATTTAACATACATAGATGTAATTCCAAACAAAAAATATTATGCATCGACTCTATTGCCACCTGGTAGTAGTTGCAGAAAAGAATATTTAGACATTTCTATTCTGCAGTCACTGTATCATGTTAGTCAATGTTTGGAAGTGTTTGGAATATATATGGTTAACGAAATACGTATAAATTTAATTAAGGGGAGTACGTGAGCTTAAAATTTCCTGTTCTTTTTTGTTTCTCTGTAATAGGTGTTTAGTTACAGTGAAATTTATAAAAGAAGGGGTTAAACTTCGTCTTAGGGGACCAAAAATTAACGAGTCCAAAATATGTGTTCTTGTAGTTTTTGACCTGAAAAGTCCGAAAATGCAAGTTAAAAGTCCAGGAAACCAATAGTTTAAAAGATACGAATATATAAAAATGTGTGTACTTGGCGTACTTTGACAGGACAGTACGATGTCACATTGACTCTTCCCCGCATCCAATCCTTTGTTTGGACTCTATTTGTTGGGTGTGAGTACCTTCAGTTCCTATCAAATCCGAGGGGATATTGTTTATAAAAAAAAAAACTTAACCTTAGGTATACCGGGTTTAGGCCACCACTTATATAATTCTGTTTTACCGACGGCGACTCCACTCATTGGACCAAATGGCGTCGTACTGACCTGTCAAAGTACGCCAAGTACACACATTTTCATGTACTCATATCTTTTAAACTATTGGTTTCCTGGACTTTTAACTTGCATTTTCGAATGTTTCAGGTCAAAAACTATAAGATTTGATACTTTTCATCCAGAAATTTTTGGTCCCCCAAGACGAAGTTCAGCCAAGCAAAATGTTGCAAAGCGGATGGAATATATTTCCTCTGAATTGTAAGCTATTAAATAAGGAGAGCAAAAGTATAAGAAATCCAATAATTTAATAATTCTTTTCGTTTATGCAAATTTAGGAAACAAGTGGAAGAATTAATAACTACCTTAGATAAGAAACAAGATACGCATCGTGAAACATTAGAAAAATATCAACACATGTTTCAACAGGCTCAATTAAAAGCATCCCTTTCTCAACCAAAGGCATAATTTCACATATGAAATATAAAGGGTCTACATAACAAGGTTTTATAATCTTCTGTAATAAAGATCATGTAACCTTGAACATCTTTAAATCTCATGTTTTATTATATTTATTAATAAAGTCTGATCAAAGTTTTTATGATTTTATTTAATTTAGCGATTGTAAATTATAAACTGATATTAAATGATAATAAATACTAATTTTAATTATAAGGCTATATTCGTTTACATTCTCAGCGCTATCTAACAACGTAATGCTAAACTATGATAAAACAAGACTCCATCGATAAATGCGTTTACGTGATTATAAATAAATATGGTGGTCCATATGCCGCCTTTCAGAATCGAGAAATTTTTATTTTCATATGAAATATAAAGCAATTAATTATAACGTTCTTTTTATTAATCAAAAATAATGTTGTTACCGTTAAAACCGGATCATAAAAAACATGTATTGCTTCTTGTAGAACATACACCACAAGGTGGGTATATTTTACGACCTTTATCGTTGATTTCCTTGTAAAGTAATACTGATCTATTTTCTTTAGTTTTGCAGGACTTTTGTAAATTGGTCATAGATTACCTGCAGAAAGGACCAAATTTTAAATTGTATAATGCAGCTGCTCGTAAGTAGATGTTTGTTTTATAGAAACATAAAGATTGTTTGACATTTCATTTTTTCTCAGAAAAACTTCAAGTTGATATAAATATGATTAAGAATTCAGTTGAAGGACTTGTTAATTTATTACTAGAGAGCTGTAAATATAAGGTAGTACATACATAAATTATATTGATTTTTATTTATGTTGTTCAATATATAAAATAACATGTATGATTTTATTTGTTTTTGCAGCTAAGTTCTGAGGACTTTAGGGATTCCATAATATCTTTAGGTTTTTCAGAAGAACAAGAAATAATATTAAGCAAATTATATAATGTTAAAAAAGATGAAATATTGGATACACTTACAAATATCGGATTTAAGTTACCAGAGTACCATGATATGGAATGGAGATTTGAAGTTCAGGTTTTATATCATTTTATCATTCCATCATTTGTTATGTTTCTATTGTTTTATCATTTAAATGTTTTTTATAGATTGCATCAAGATCACTGTTAAAACAGATTGCTCCTCTCATAACTTTAGATTTTTCAATAAAAAACCCAGACAAAGATGAAAGTATTGACCATGTACTACTTCAAACTGACCCTGTTAATTTATTACATATAACACAGGAGTTGGAGGAGGCTCTTCAAGAGGGTCGTAGTCAACACATTCGTAGACTTTCAAGAGTAGTAAAATGATAGCATCAATGTACACACTTATGTTCAATGGAATAAATTATACAGAATTTCAAGAATGTATTGTGTATTATTTGAAATTAGATTAATTATCTAAACTTGAATATAAAAGCGTATGTAAGTTTCATTTTGATTAGATTAGTCTAAATTCCAGCTGACAGCACTTTTCACATGTCATATACTAATGCTGATAAAAGTAATATAAATGCATTCATTTGAATATCTTATTGGATGACTTTATTGGATCTGGCTTTACAAGACGTATAAAAGGAGAATGCTGCATTTGTAGTTGCAGTTATAAAATACAAACGGCTGAATAGAAAAACGAAATGTGCTATGCAAACTTATGTCAGTGTTATATAAATTTCAATTCTTTTTGTAAAATTTTGTTCAACTAATTTCTTGTGATAACATCCAGGTCAAGTGTATGAATTTATTATACGTGCATTAGTGTGTTTTCTTACTTTTTAAAAGATATGGAAACATTAATTTCAACGAACACTTTCAATGCGACGATTTCTCTTTACGATGAAGCTAATCCTTCAGAATTGTCGATCATCACAACTACTGTAGGACCAAAATTTGCAAGACAATGGATGCGTTTTAATAATCAAACAGTTGTTAGCAAAGTACCTGAAGAAATGTTACATTTAATTGATACATATTGGTAATTATAATTATCTTATGTTTTATTTCATATATATAGGTTTATTAATCCTATTTTATTACATTTTAAAATATAGGTACAGGTTTCCTCCATTGAATCCATTATGGCATAAAGTCTTAGGCCTAGTTATGATCATATTAGGAATTATGGGATGGTGTGGAAATGGCGTGGTAGTTTATATTTTTTTAATAACACCCTCGCTAAGAACACCGAGCAACCTTCTTGTAGTAAATCTTGCTTTCTCAGACTTTATAATGATGGGCTTCATGTGCCCTCCCATGGTAATTTGTTGTTTCTACGAAACATGGGTCCTTGGTAAGTAACAATAAATGTGTATTTATTCATAATTGTGAAATAATATACAGTATTCTCACGTGTAAAATAAACATTTTTATGCAGGAACATTAATGTGTGATATTTATGCAATGATTGGTTCATTATGTGGGTGTGCTTCTATATGGACAATGACAGCTATTGCTTTAGATAGATATAATGTTATAGTGAAGGTATGTCTATGCGTATATCTATAGATAGATATAATCACTGATATTTCCAATGAAAATAATGTCGTAAAATCTTTTCAGGGTATGTCTGGAACACCGCTTACTATTAACAGAGCTATATTTCAAATTTTAGGTATCTGGTTATTTGGTTTATTGTGGACTATTTTACCTTTAGTAGGATGGAACAGGTAAGGTTTTTTTATATCAGGATACATTGTTTCTTAAGTGGCTGGCTATGCTAATGAATAACACATCGCATATCAATTAGGTATGTTCCCGAAGGTAACATGACAGCATGTGGTACGGATTATCTTACCGAGGATTGGGGATCTAAATCTTATATATTAATCTATTCTATGTTCGTTTATTACACTCCATTATTTACTATTATTTATAGTTATTACTTCATTGTTTCTGTAAGTATTTAATTGAAAGAATTTAATTATGTTGACACCTTGTTTACCATAGTAAACACCTGTTAAATAGACGGTCGCTGCACATGAGAAAGCAATGAGAGAACAAGCTAAAAAAATGAATGTCGCCTCTTTACGATCCGGAGAAAATCAAGGCGGTAGTGCGGAAGCAAAATTAGCGAAGGTATTCAATTATAAGTAAAGAATATGATGCATCGTAAACTTTGATTATCATAAAAATAAATTTCGTTTATATCAGGTAGCATTAACAACAATATCATTGTGGTTTATGGCCTGGACACCATATCTTGTAATCAATTATATCGGAATATTCAATCGTTCTCTGATCACACCCTTATTTACTATATGGGGTTCTCTGTTCGCAAAAGCGAATGCAATATATAATCCGATTGTGTATGGAATCAGGTACGTATTCTACAAGTAAATGAACATTATTATCAATGAAATAATTAATTTTTTATTGATATTGTATACAGTCACCCAAAATATAGAGCAGCGCTGAAGGAAAAGCTACCGTTTTTAGTGTGTGGTTCGACCGAGGATCAGGCTGCTGCATCTGGAGGAGAAAAAGCGGAAACAGATGGAAAATCTTAAAACAGTAAAATGCTTCAAGGACGTGTAATTGTATATATACAAAGGTCTTTGGTAAATCAACCTCCGTTTAAGTATGAATTTTTATTTAAGGAAATGTGCTCGCCTGGCGATAATAATTAAAGCAAGCACACTGTTACTTGCATGATTTATTTTGCTTTTATAAAATTAAGGTACAGATACGACGCTCCCATCACATTTTACAATAATAGAATATGCTTAGTAAACACAGAGCTGTTGGTACATATGTACCTGCTATACCAAAGTGACCATGTATATTGCTACGCAATAAAATGTACAAAATCAAAATCATCTTACCTATGAATTGATGTTAAATGACTCGCATTGTGGTGAAATGAGAATCATACATTAAATCATAGGCGATTCGAATATTTGCTGATTTAATACCGCGTAATCCAGCAATTCCGTATATGTATTTAGGCATTTTATTTTCTTCTTCATTGAATTAGATCTGGTTGTCAGGCGGCGGCGTTGTCTCTAATTTCTGAACACATTTTCATTTTTATTATTTCAATTTTTCATCGATCTTATCTGGGTTAACGATAAAAAGAAGATCTCTGAACACGACAATCGATGTTAGTATATATATACAAATCGTGTCTGCATTATTCTTATTTAATCAAGTATTTAATCGATTATGTGACCATGCGTGATAATAATTTTGAAAGCGAAAGGTACCGACAAGCTGTTTTACGCGTTTGCTTTTTCGCTGTCCGCGACGGTGGTGGTTGTCGACGTTGCGTCTGCGGGTGGTGCCGGGTTGGCGCACGCCAACGAAGGGAATTTCTCAAACAATGCAGCTCGATACTTCGGATGACTGGAAAAGGATGAAAATTAAACGTAAGAAAAAACTTTCTAAGAATCTGTTAATCGATCCGATCCGCATACCTGATTCCGTATACGATTGGATTGTAAACCGCATTGGCTTTGGCGAACAGAGACCCCCAGATGGTGAAAAGCGGACTGATCTTAACGAGTTCGAAACATCCGGAGAAATTGATGACCAAGTATGGTGTCCATGCCATGAACCATAAAGAGATGGTCATAAGAGCGACCTAAAAATCATTAAAACGTTTTGTCGTTGAATTGCTTGTTAGAACAGAAGATCGAGATATACATATATCTTTGTACCTTTGCCAGTTTACACTCGGCACTGGTGTTTTGATTCTCCGACGATCGTAGAGAAGCGACGTTCATCTTTTTCGCTTGCTCACGCATGTTCTTCTCGTGAGTAGCGACCGCCTGAATGATGAACCAATAACTCCAAATGATAAGAAACAGGGGCAAGAGGTACACCCATATGCTGTACATGACTATGTAAGAGATGGAGCTAAAATCCTTGGTGAAGTAATCGGTGCCACAGGCGGTCATATTACCTTCCGGTACGTATCTAATAAAACGTATTGATTATTGATATTGATCCGCGAATAGTTATTTAAATGAAATGATTTACCGATTCCAGCCTAGCACAGGAGCAACGGTCCATATTAACGAGAAGAGCCATATGCCCAGTAAACGGAGGAGAGCTCCGTTAATGGTCAGTGGTCTACCAGATAACCCTTTGACGATCACGTTGTACCTATCGAACGCGATCGCTGTCATTGTCCATATGGAGCTACATCCGAACAAGGAGCCCAACATCGCGTAGATTTGACAGAAAAGAGGTCCGAATACCCATGTCTCGAAATAACAATTGATTATCTATCGAGGAAAGGAGAATGCCGATCGTCGTCGTTAGTTAATTAGGAGATCGAAGAATTTCTAATGTTTAACAGTTCGACGCACCATAGGCGGAGACATGCAGAACATCATTAGGAAGTCGCTGATGGCAAGGTTGATTACGAATAGATTGCTCGGCGTGCGAAGACTTTTTGTCGAAAGGAATATGTAAACGACCATGCCGTTTCCCGATACGGAGATGAAACCAAGTATACCGATCACCAAGCCGAGAATCGCGTGCCATAACGGGTTCAGGGGTGGGTACTGGTACCAGTGAGCGTCGATCAGATGGAGCATATCCGGTGGAACCTTGTCGACCACCGTCACGTTACCAAACTGATTACCACCTTGGCCACCCGCCCATGAATGGGCCTCGAAGATCGGCCCCGAAACGTGAGGCATTCTGAAATCTGTAAACGTTAAAACGGCACACCCCTGTTGACACTGTCATTCGATCGGATGATCGATCAAACAAACTTTCACATTTTCTAACTTGGACCGAACGAAACACCAACACACTATCTTCGCGACTCACCTGCGGACTACTTGGAGAAAATCGTGGTAAAACGAACTAATCCAAGCGCGCGTTTCAATTACGATTGGCCACGATGAATTCTTTAAATTGAATAGGATTTAGGAATAGGCTGGTTAGGTCCACTGTTGGATGCGGCTCGTTCCAAACTCCTCCGACTTCCGTTTAAATATGAATCGACCACTTCGCTCGGCTCTCCCATATGTACCCTTACGTCTGCTTTTCTTCCTATATGTCATCGCGATCTAAGACGACAAACAGTCTTAAGAAGGTCTTTATTAAGTTAACGAGGATTTAAGAATACCTTGGTGTATTCTTTAGTGCCGCACACAGAAACCTTATAAAGTTAAAATAAGAATAAAACACGAAGAATCACCCTATCCTTTGATACCCTTCTCCTATAGCAATCTTAAACTTGTAATAGAATCTTTGCAATCTTTCTTACGTTAGTCGTTTGAATACCTTTTAAAAACTGTCAATGCGTTTTAATCAATTTTCTTCCCGCATCGATGTCTTTGTTCACGCGAAAGGGAGAAATATTAAAACGACCATATTTACGCATTCGTGATTTTTATAGATATACAAGTTTTATTTAGATTTAAACTTTAATATGGTTTCATGATGTAACGAGCTTATTATAATAGTGTGTAATTTTGTTGTTCAGCTTTGGTAGACTCCAGAATAGAGTTTCGTGTTTTCTTCTTATAAGAAAAGGGGGTGCAGATCCTACCTTTCAAACATACACGTACCCTTAATTTATTTTCTAAGTTTATTTAATTTACATTATTCATTTTCTTAGTTTATTATATAAACTCATAAGGAAGATGAAATTTATGATTTTATTTCTCTGGTGGCCCTTGGCTCACCATCCCTTTTATTTATTATTGACTGACTTATTAATAGATGGAATTTAAATTAACCGCTTGGTGCTGAAGCGCGGTGGTTTGTTTCATTTTAAACCCTTGCGCCATCTATCAACAAACCGCGGAAACTAGTCGATAAATGAGTTCCACAGTTTTCGGATAGATGGCGATAGTAAGTTACCGAAACCGAGGATCACTAACCTACATGAAGCTAGTGGGAAGGAATAATAAAATATGATTATTTTTAATTTTTCTTAGTGTATTTCGTTTGTAAATCGTTTGTGATTGATTATGAGTCTATTTTTAACGTTTATGGCAAATTATTTCTTTTGTAATTAGCAATTTTATTTTAGTCATCATGTGAGCCGAAACTTTTTTGTAATTTTTTATAATAAACAGATTTTGTGATAATTGATAACTATAATTGATTGGAAATCGTTTGTGATTTACAAATATATCATTTTCATTGTTTGTGAGTGAATTATTTCTTAATTATTTACAAGTTCGTTTTATAATAAGTAGCTGTACTGCGCATGCGCTACAGATCCGGTCGTACCCATCACTATCCTGAACAAGTGAGTTTCACGATTTGTTCGTTTTTAGGTCTTATATTTCGCTAGATTGGCTCAAACCCATCACTATCCCGAACAAGTGAGTTTCACGATTTGTTCGTTTTTCGTTCTTATATTTCGCTACTTACCTCGGGGTCCCTGAAACCCCAGATACCATAATGTCGGTATGCATAGTCATTGGTACTTTGGGGTCTCCGAAACCCCCGATGCTATGATCTCGGTAGGTAGAGTATTATTTGTGTTTTGGGGTCTCTGAAACCCCTGATACCATAATGTCGGTATGCAAAGAGAGTCGTTGGTGCTTTGGGGTCTCCAAAACCCCAGATACCTTAATCTCGGTATGTAACGAGAGTCATTGGTGCTTTGGGGTCTCCGATACCCCAGGTACAATAATGTCGGTATGCAAACAGAGTCATTGGTACTTTGGGGTCTCCGACACCCCGGATGCTATAATCTCGGTATGTAGAGTATCATTTGGGTTTTGGGGTCTCTGAAACCCCTGATACCATAATGTCGGTATGCAATGAGAGTCACTGGTGCTTTGGGGTCTCCGGAACCCCAGATATCATAATGTCGGTATGTAAAGAGAGTCATCGATGGTCTGGGGTCTCCGAAACCCCAGATACCATAATGTCGGTATGCAAAGAGAGTCATTGGTGCTTCGGGGTCCCTGACACCCCGGATAATATCAGGACCGTATGAAGAGGGCACAACCAGTATAAGTTTTTTGCGGAGTTTATTTAATTAAGAAATAATTCATTCACAAACGATGAAAATGATATATTTGTAAATCACAAACGAGTTCCAATCAATTACGGTTATCAATTATCACAAAATCTGTTTATTATGAAAAATTACTAAAAAGTTTCGGCTCACATCATGACTGAAATAAAATTTTCTAATTACAAAAGAAGTAATTTGTCATAAATATTAAAAATAGACTTACAATCAATCACAAACGAAATACACGAAGAAAAATTAAAAATAATTATATTTTATTATTCCTTCCGGCTAGCTTCATGTAGGGGGATCACTAGCGCCATCTATCAAAAATCCGCGGAAACTAGTCGGTGAATGGGTTCAGCAGTTTCCGGAGAGATGGCGCTGGGGTACCCCTTTATGGCGGTCTTTTTAAAATAAGCCAAAATTATTAATGAATGTTAATAATTTTCAAACATTTATAAACCCTTTAAAAACCTAACGATGATTGATGTATGTATTTTAAAATATATATTTATTGCGCAGCTGTTTCAGAAACTACCATAATAACATATGCCTATACCTAAAAAATGATTACATACATCGGTTTTTAGTCATAACAAAGTTATAAATTGAATATAATACTGCCTAATAAGTTAATAAAGCTGTAAACAACACAGAATTTATGCTAATTTTTTTTTAGTGTTGACCGAAAAATTCGCAAAAATGGATAACTCTGCTATACCAAGTAATAAATATGTATATAAGTACACCTCCAGAATTATAACCCCTAGAGAACAAAGGCATGTCTATTAGTTCTAAAAAATATTCTATTTTGCAATTTATATGCATTAGAAGTGTCGCCAGATGAATGCTTCGTAATAATGTCCCACTACGTCATGGAGAACTATACATATATAAATGTATAATACTCTACTTATAAATACATACTATGATGTGACAATATGAAAGTTGTCAAGGAAGGGAAAATAATCTGGAAGAACAGCTGATATTAAACAGCTACACTATTCTTTCTCTATTAGTTTAATTTCTCCCATTAAAGTAATTAATTCTATTTAAACTTAATTCATTCATTTAAATGTTAACTATTTGATAGTGTAACTGTTAATTGCTATTATGTTTTCTACTTATAATTTGAAATAGCATTTTGGGATTTAATAAAACTGATATGATATCTCTGCTCTTGGGATATTTGTATTTCTTATCTTACCTTGTATACAATACTTAATATGCTATCTTGTATCTCTTTATATGCGTCAATTTATTACAGTTAATTATGTGTAACTATCTATTGCGATTTAAGAAAACAACATTTAATTAAACTTGAATATCACTGTTTAAAATGAACTAAAATTTTTCTTCCAAAATATTAACTTTTATGGAGTAAACAAAAAATGAAAATAAATTACACACAGTTGCCTATAAAGGCACATTATTTTTTCTTCATGGCAGGCAAGTAAAACTTAATATTGTTTTATTTATTAATATAGTTTCTCTTAATACATGGTATTATTTCTTCTTGCAGCAATGGGACCAATTCTTCCATTTTTACCAGTTTATGGTAAACAACTTGGTATTTCTGTAGTGGTCATGGGTAGCATCACAGCTATTTTACCAATTGTATTCCTAATTGCTAAACCAGCTTTCGGCTTTCTTGTAGATTGTTTTCATGCTTGGAGGAAAACAATTTTTATAGCATTACTAGCAACAACAAGTAGTTGCTATATTTGTATGTGTTTCTTACCAGTACTTCCAAGTCCAATTTTACCAGACCACAATTTTAATAATATATCTTGTACTTCGATACCTCAATGTTCTCCAGAGGTAAGTTTTTAGTTTAGTTATATATCTGCTTGAAATATAAAAATCTGTAATTGCAAACTCATTTAAGGATATCTCAAGACCACGTTTGTGTACTGGAATAAAAAATGCCATGTGCCAATGGACTTGCATGGATAGAAATTTTTTTGTGCCAGTACAGTTTCAAGGAGTCAACAAAGAAATTGATTTTTCTTCAAATACGACGTGTATAATCGATGCCAATATGACATCGTATTGTTCTGAAAACTCTAACTGTGATATTACCTGTGGTACTTTTGAAGAACATAATTGTTTATACGGGTCCATAACTTTTTGGGGGTTTATCCTTTTAATGTCTCTTGGTAATATTGGTTTCAATGTAAGCAATTGTATAAGCGACGCAATTTGTTTTGATATATTAGGTATTTCATACCTTTCCTAATTCTTTTTCTTTTTCGATACAGTTTTTAAAATAACTTTATACTTTATTAATATAATAAAATTACAGGTGACGATAACCAAATGGGATACGGTAGACAACGTGTTTGGGGAACTATAGGTTTTGGAATTTCCGCTTTCTTAGCTGGTTATGCGGTTGACTATTGGTCTAACGGAGAAATTATAAAAACTTACACACCTGCGTTTTTACTTGTGTTTTTATTTTCATTCATTGATATATTTTGTTGCAAGAAACTGGATGTAAGTATTTCATAGACATTTGAAAAAAGCAAGAAATTTATATAATCTAATTATTTTCAGTTACCAATGATGGGAGGATCAGCAGATATATTGAAAGATGTCTTTCAATTATTAAAATTAAAACCTATCATTATATTTCTTATCTTTGCAACTGTTGCTGGAATTCTTGACAGCTTCATAATATATTTTTTATTTTGGTAAAGTAATTACCATTCAAAAAATAGAATATAATTACATTTGTATTTTAGAAGTAATATTATTTGTACTTAGGTACTTAGAAGATCTTGCAAGGGCGACTGGTTACATGGGGGAAATTAAATTAATAGAAGGTTTAATAGTTGCTGCAGAAACATTAGGCGGCGAAGTAATATTCTTTTCCATGTCTGGTATATCATTTATCTTCTCCTTTTTTTACATACTTACAAACTTTCATATAATTGTAATAATAACGTAATCGTTTTTTTGTTTGTAAACAGGTAAAATTTTAAAGAAACTAGGATTTGGATACACTTTTACATTTTGTTTCGTATGCTATGCTCTGCGATTTGGTTTAATTTCTTTGGTATCAACTCCATGGTGGGTCATTCCAATTGAATTATTTATGCAAGGACCTACCTATGCACTTTGTTATACAACGATAGTTGCGTATGCAAGTAAAGTCGCACCACCTGGAACATCAGCTACCGTTCAAGGAATAGTAGCTGGGATGGATGATGGTTTTGGTAATAAAATTTATTTTTAATCAAGCGCCGTAAGGATAATAAATTTTCATATTCAAGTTTTATTCTGTTTCAGGTTTTGCAATTGGTAGTCTAATAAGTGGTATTTTATATAAGCAATTTGGTGGAGTAATAACGTTACGGATATATTCATTGATTGCCGTTATAACTGCATTCTTATACCTCATTTTGTACTTGCTTTATTTAAAGCATACCACACCAGGTATAACCATCTCAGTCTTCATTTTATCTTCAATATGTCTGTTATTAAAAGTTTTGCTTATTACGTGTAGATACGAAAAAGAACGTAGAATGGAAGACGCCTGAAGAAGCTCAAATACAATGCGCTACCGCGGATAGCTGATTATAATTCAAATCAATTTATTTCCATTGGAAATATTGTTACCAGTACTGTAGTGATTACTATTGGTACAAATCATTAATCAAAATATATTGTTATATAAATAATTGTAATATTAAATGGACAGTGTTATGCATAACACTCTATCTATATTTTTATAATGATCTACTGATGAAATAAAATACGAGATTTTTTCTAACACGAATAAGATGAAAAATATGAAACAAACGTGTAATGTAAAGTTAATGTTTTTTTTTTTAATCTTATTATATTGATTATACAAAACATTCGTAGTACCGTATATTCATATAGATTGTGATATTTTATAACGAGGAATATTAGTTATAGTTTAAGACATCACTAATGTAATAATTGTTAACACTTTATTATATTAACAAATGTTTTTAACGATTATTATAAAATTTAAGAATTATAACCCGATTTATTTCGTACTAAATCGTACTATTTAGTAAAAAAAAAAAAACCGAAGTTTTATTTAACTGTGTAAGTCACCTTTCCGAACATTTTAAAGACAAACATTTGCAATACACAAAAATAAATATATTTGTCCAACTTAATATCTTTGTTACTTTTTCTTCGCGGCTTGCAGTAAACTTTCTTTTAACTTATTTATAAAGGATATGGATGTAATCAGACATTATATGCTTGAAATCCAAACTCCAACATTAAGTATTCCGTTAAGTAACATTTGACATTAACATAATAGCAACTTATCAAAGCATTCTTCTAATCATATAATTCAGAATGCCACCATTTTTGAAGTATGTTAAATCTACTTCGGTGTCGAATCGTGAAATTACTTCAAACTTTTTTCCATCGTCCGTGGTAACGGTAATTTTTTGACCAGGCTGATAATTCTCGGGGACTGCTATATCATATAACTCATAACCGGTCAATCCTAAAGACTCTGCATTTTGTCCAGGTAGATATTGTAGTGGAATTATACCCATACCTACTAAATTTGACCTGGAAAAAGGACGAGCAATAAAATATTGTGAAAGGTGAACACCGTTTATGGTGTACAATTTCCTTGAATACCGTTTACAATATTTTTAATAATAATCATTTCTTTAACAAGTAAAATTCACCTGTGTATTCTTTCGTAAGATTCAGCTATAACGGCTCGAATTCCAAGAAGATACGGTCCTTTCGCAGCCCAATCTCTCGAAGATCCTGATCCATATTCTTTACCAACAAGAAGAATTAAAGGTGTTTGATCTTTACCATATTTTTCAGCCGCATCGTAAACATCCATCTCTTCTTTAGTAGGAATGTGAATAGTACGTGGTCCAGGTTTTCCAATGAATTTGTTAAGCAAACGAATGTTAGCGAATGTACCCCGTGCCATTACAGCATCGTTACCTCGGCGTGATCCGTAAGAGTTAAAATGTTTTGGTGTCAATCTAAAAGAAAAAGAAAATAATTAGAAGAAATGCTTATACGATTAATCCAGGCGGTTTTATTAAACGTACCCTCGGCTCGCAAGATAACGCGCTGCTGGAGAATTGCGTGCAATGCTTCCAGCTGGACTAATATGATCCGTGGTAACAGAATCTCCAAGATAAAGGAGAACGCGTGCTTTACTAACCGGTTTTATTGTTGGTAGTTCCTAAGTGTATCAATAAAATTATGGATCAATAAAATAAATGATCTCTATAGAAAATATATTGTTAACAGAATATTCAATTTACCTTAGTCAAATTATCAAAGTACGGTGGACTTTTAACGTACGTAGAATTTGGGTCCCATGGATATAATTTACCTTCAGGTGCTGCCAAACTTGCCCAACTACTGCTACCTTTCTCTATTTTACTATAAACTTCTTTGAACATAGCTGGAATTACGTGCTTTTGTTCTACAGCTTGAATGTCCGCTCTGGTAGGCCAAATGTCTTGTAGAAACACCGGACTGCCATCAGCTCGACGACCTGAGTAATTTTAATATTGCTTATCGTACCAGGTAGACCCATTAAAGTCAATCTTTCCAAGGGTGGAGTATCTATTTACCAAGTGGTTCCTTTTCGAAATCTATATCCACTGTTCCGGCAATGGCATAAGCAATTACCAAAAGCGGCGAGGCCAAGTAATTAGCTCGTGTATTGGGATGAATTCTGCCTTCAAAATTTCGGTTACCAGATAGTACACCGCAACATATCAACTCATTCTAATTAAAAATAATAATAATAATAATAAATTATGAATTCAATTAATGTTTGAATAAGTAGAAAAAAAAAAAAAAATTCAAACTGTTAGATTTACTTTTTCAATAGTTTCAACAATATTATCTGGTAAAGGACCGCTGTTACCGATACAGGTCATACATCCATATCCAACGATATCAAAGCCTAATTTTGTTAGATACGGAACCACTCCGCTTTCTTTTAAATAATAAGTTACCACACCAGATCCGGGTGACAATGATGTTTTGATATATGGCGCAACACTCAAGCCAGCTTCGACTGCCTTTTTCGCAAGGAGACCTAAAATAAATGTTTCATAAGTTTTCAAGGAAAACGATTCTTAATAAAGCGGGTGATATATTCTTTACCTGCTCCTAGCATGACACTAGGGTTACTAGTGTTAGTACAACTAGTAATTGCAGCGATGACCACCGAACCGTGCCTCAGTTTATAATCCTTGCCTTCATATTCAAACATACCTACAGTGTCCACCTTTTCAGGGCTTAGGCCGTATCCCTTAAATCCTACCTGGAAACAAAACACCGCCTATATGTAATATTTCCATAATATTTAAAAATAGATTCAATGGTAATTATTTGGTAAAATATTTTTACACACGATGCATTTTGATAATAATTAAAACGAATTTCTTTTTCATGCAACACAACCACACTTGGATTCATTTACTCAGAGTGTTATAAAAGTTTGATGACCTGAAGAATGTAAATGACCTTTCAAATTCTAGAATTCATTGTCCGACGACTTTTATATTGCTGAAGAAGCATAAACCAGCAATTCTCTGCTTATTTGAAAATGAAATATTCAGTTAATACAGTTACTTTAATTTACTAATATCTCATTTTCTTATAGAAATATCTATTACAATCGTTTAGAATTTCTTTTCCTCATTTTAGTCGCATGGTACAATAGATTCTAAGGAAATTCCATAAACTCATATTGTAGCCACTGTAATTAGTTCCTGGAATGGAAACGTATCGAAATCGCAACCTAGGGGACCCTTAACCCTGCCAAGGAATATGAATCAGTTTAGAACAATTACGTTGTTGACGTCATTGTTTGAGCTTTTCTCGCGTTTCACAAATTCTATGCCAGCCGAACAGTTATTTTCCCCATTCTTCTGATCCGAAAGGAAATTGGTAGAATTATGAAGGGGGCCAATACCTCTCGACTAAATGACCTTTACCGTAAGGTACATTAGGAGAAATATTCGGCAAAGTATTAGAGCGTTACATTGTAATGGTAAAAATAATTTTACAGAAACAATTCGTGCGAACGCGAGTACAAAACCAATCGTTTGCAATACGAGGCACAGCGACGTAAGGCAGTGGTATGCAATAAAACGCGCGAGCTTTGCAAAATGAATGGATGTTGTATCAGCAATTTCAGCGAGGTTGCACGACGTTCGTGGCCTCATCGAAGGCAGTCGCTCGTGTTCTCCGGGAAATTCAAGATCGATCGATCATCGGTAAGTTATTTTTCATTATTCTACTCTCTAACAGTAACTTTTAATAGTTATTAGTCTCATTAGAAGAAACTACATTTGTTAAATATTTCTTCAAACTTCTATAGATACTATAATATTTATAAACATTCATTTTGCACGCTTGTTAAATGAACATCTTCTTCATTTCTTCGTTTTTAATAGAGAATTCAAAAAAAGAAATGAAACGCGTTTCTTAAGCTGGATCCATTATCGTAGATCCGAAAAATCGATGACAAAAGAGCGTTGAATTTCACGGCATAAAAGAACAGTCAGCTTTCTATGATTCACGTGGATGAGTTTTCAGCAAATGTCCTCGCTGTGATAGCATAGTAACGCGATTCCAGTGTTGAACATCTTTCAATAGAAATCGATCGGTCCCTTGTTTTTTAAATTACGGCCGCTCATTGTTGGTTCATCATCACGTTCGCACGTTTATCGTTACCTATTTCAACCAATATTTGTGCCATAAACGCCGATTCGCCATTAAAATTAAATTATCTAAAATACACAGTATGCATTAATTCATTGTTCATACATTATTTGATCTGAAGAGAATAATTAATTTGTACAATCTAATTATTTTGAATTGGAATTTTATATTCGAGCTCAGAATAAATTGCAAGAATCAAAATTAATCCATTCGAATAGCTTGCAAAACGAATGTCTGTAAATATCCATATGAATTATAAAGAAATCTAATCAATATTAATTTTAACAAAACTGATCTAAATAATTAATGGATAGCAGAAAATCCTCATCTACCTGACACGTTGAGAAAGGTATAGGAAATTCGTGGAACATTCACCGGGGTCGAAGATGGCCTGCACTGTTCTTTCAGGGGGTGGGGACATCCTAAACATATATAAGTGTGGCTTGACCAGCGCGGAAGGTCACCAGTATACAATTAGCGTGCGAACAGTGAATTAGTCTTCTCGAACTACATCAACTAGTGCTTCCTCTACCATATTTTAATATTGAGAGTTATAATATTAAATATGTTCAATCAATAGAAGTTGGTTCCAGAAACAGTCTACAAACCAGTGTAATTAACAGAAGCTGCTGTTGGATGAAATCTCGTCCGGTGTGGTTGGAATAAAAACCTCACCGGGTAGGATTCATCCAACATTTGTTTCTACTCTACAATATCCAGCGTGAATTTTATTCGTGCAATTCTTTTTATTAGGGACGAAGTATTCGTCTAGTGTAACGTTGCAACAAAGTCGTGACTAGATCGAAATACTCGTCCCCGATAACGAGATTATCGACACGAAGAAACGTGCTCGCTTAACTATAATACATCATCAAACAGTCCCGTTTATTTTTCTTTGGTGATCTAACTGTATGGTGAATCGAAAGACCATAAAGCTAGATCAGCAAGGCAAAATGTACGAGACATAGCCACGTGGATGCTTCAATGGTAAAAATAAGGTAAAAGAAATTTTGCAAATCATTTTTAGATGAAAGAGTCCGGAGGAACTGTTGCTGTGATGTGTCATTGGTGAAAAATTCATATCACAGCAGTAGTTACCTGGGATTCTTTCTTCTTTCTTCACCGTTACCGAAGAATCACGCTTGAAAACGCGCAAAGAACAGCACCAGCGGATGAAATTTGAAGTACGGCATGGGATGAACGTGATCCTGGTTGACGGTAATGATTGATCGTCACTGGGTTATGTTTGTCCCATACGAATACTGACCAATCATCGTCTTTTCATATTAATTTTCATACTAATCCTAAATTTTCCCATACTACATGTATTAGCACATAAACGAAGTTTTCTATGTTAATAATACGATAATTTAAATGAACTGTAACCTTGTTGGTAAGGCAATTCTTGAAGTCCGTTTTCATATCCGTCACAGAAACACGATCGTGAGGCCTTTTCGGACCACTGACACTGGACACCACCGTTGCTAAATCTAGGGTTACTATCTCGGAGAAGATTGGATCTTGACTTTGATCGTCGTAGTTTCTTAACATACGCACAGCGCTCAGATATTTTTCAATTCTCTCAATATGTTCTTCGGATCTTCCTATAAGAAATTTTTGTATAAAGTGAATTCAATTGGAAGTTTAAAAATTTGTCAATATTATCTACCTGTTTGTCTAAGGTATGTCAAACTTTGTTGATCAACTGGAAAGAATCCAACTGTAGCACCATACTCTGGACACATATTAGATATCGTGGCGCGATCAGCTATGCTCAACTGAGATACACCGGGACCAAAGAATTCTACAAACTTCCCGACCACTCCGACTTGACGAAGATTCTGCAAGTATAGAAAAATATAGCGTAACAATTTTATACAAATTCAATTTTATTATTAAATGTTTCACCTTTGTTATAGTAAGAACAAGATCTGTCGAAGTAGCATACTGATTCAAGACTCCTTCTAATCTATATCCCACTACTTTTGGTACAAGCATCGATATCGCTTGTCCTAACATAACAGCTTCAGCTTCGATTCCTCCGACACCCCAACCAAGAACACCTAGCCCATTAATCATGGTCGTGTGAGAATCCGTTCCAACTACGCTATCAGGATAAAGTAAACTATTTCTATCGAACACGACTCTAGCGAGATATTCTAAATTCACTTGATGTACTATCCCACTCCCTGGGGGTACGATCAACATATTTTCGAATGCCTTTGCTCCCCATTTAAGAAACATAAAACGTTCCTTGTTTCTCTCAAATTCAAGGTCTTCATTTTTTTTCAGTGCATCGGTACTAAAACAAATCGTTTGATATTTAGATACCATTTAAGATTGCTTCGCATCACGGTAGGGGAAATGATTTACCTTCTAATAAAGTCAACTTGTATCGAATGATCGATAACAAGATCCGACGGACATATAGGATTTATTTTATCTGGATCAGCCGCTAATCTTTTAACGGCGTCTCTCATCGCCGCAAAATCTACCACAGCTGGAACTCCAGTGAAATCCTATTTAAAAAAAAAAAGAAAAATTAATTGAAAATAAGATGAATCTATATAGGCAGTTTCTTTAGAAATACATACTTGTAATATTACTCTTGCTGGTTTGAAAGCCACTTCTGGTCCATCTCCAAGAGCCTGGTTAACTTCCCAATCTAAAATTTTTTCTACATCTCTTTGTTTCACTTGAAAGTTGTCACAGTTTCTGACAGCGCTTTCTAGCAGCACTCTAACAGAAAAAGGTAACCTATCTACAGAAATCATAAATTTTAGTAATAATTTGTTTTTCATAATCATACATATAATTTATAGATACTCACCATACTTTTTTTCAAAGCTGGAAATATCATAATACTTGTATTCTTTTGATCCAATTTTCAGGGGCTTCAATATATTATTGTATGGGTTATTTCCTGAAACAGATTTAATATAAAATATTACATCATGTATCTTACTCTTTTTTAGGCTACTACCATATTAGAAAACGAATTTAACATTTTTATGGGTAATACCTTGAAACACAGAGAAAATTCTTTTTAATATATATTTATTTAACATTATTTATCAACTTTATATAGAATTTTGTTTTCAATGAATACAAATAACAGTTACACTGAAATCATAATGTTATTTAAATATTTATAATACTACATTTAATTGTAATAATATTGTTCTATGTGAAATTAGCAAAATTTAAATTGACTTGTCAAATGTAACAGGTGTCATAATTACGTTATGACCCCCATATCCTGTAATATTTTTAATTTTACTTTTATATAAAAATTGAAATGACATTTTATTGATAATACTACATGCTATTATACAAAAATAATACGTAATTATATACATATGATTATAAGATGTCCTTTTTTCCGGTGATTTCTCAAATTGATAATGTTATGAAACATTGAAATTCTGATGAACAAAATAATTTTTTGATTGTTTCAGAGTAACGAGACTAAGATAAATAAGTAAATTAGCGTAAACATTATTTATATCTCTTTATAGTTGAGTTTTTTTCTTAACAATATTAAGAACAAGCGGATCAGATCTTCGCACTTACCAGCCATGATTGTCACTGTACCAGTCACGTCGTCCAATTCGCTTACAAAGCGATATTATTTATACAGGGTGTCATCTTATCAATAAACATTAACGAATTTACCTGTAAAGAAAATTTATCAACTTAGTTATATAATGTAAACTTGTACACTGTGTACTGTATGCTATTTGCTAAAAATATAACTTACTTGTTGATTTTATAAATATACTTTTTATCGTTTTGTTTGATAAACTTTAATTTTTTAAAATAAATAAAGCAGTGAATATTTCTTCTGCAACCACTCTATGCATTCGATAATCGACCAGGAATGCGATGCATCGAATGAATTCGATTAAACCTGTTGCGACTAAACTATATGCATTTCTTGTGAATGTACATATAACAAAGTTGTGTTAATGTGGTGACAGATACGTCAGATCACGTCGGATTAAATTATTTTCATTAAATATCCAGTTTTTAAAAAGTGCATTGTCACTAAGATGGAGAGGAATCTAGAAAAAACATTAGATGATATGTAAGTTAAGTATATGAAAAATTATTCTTATAAAAGGAGTATGTATAAAAATCAATGTTTATATTACTTACAATGCGAATATTTAATTACTGTTTAACTTATTTTGCATATTGATGATGAAAAAATAAAAAATGGATATGCATTTAACCTTGTAAAATCAACCAACCAAACGATTCTTATTTATATTATTTAAATTTCATATTTTTTGAATAGAAATAGTACAGAAGGTATTATTGGTTGCATCTTGGCTGATCATGCAGGATTATGCTTAGGAGGTATTCTTTTCTTAATTAGATTTCATATTTTACAGTATTAATATGATAAAATAATAAAAAAATACTTTTAGCTAAGGGAAATGCATCCACTGATAGTGCAGGCATAATTGCAGCTATCGCAGATCAAGTTGCAAAATTAGAACCTAAATCACCAGCTCCAATTATATCTCTTCAAAATGAGAGCAGGTAATTTTTATATTTGATATTATATGTACTTGCTAATATATGAAATTATTATTAATAAACCAAGATGTTTATTAACTAATTGAATTTGAACATAGTTTCAAACGAATGATTGTATTAAAATATAAATACCAAAAAGTAGTATTAATCATTTTATAGGAAATGCCTTATCCAACGTCAAGGTCCAGTAGTAGGTGCTATTTACAAGGATGTTTCTATATAAAACAGTTTCTGTTGCTCAAATTAATAATATTGATTATATTTAAATTAAATTCAATTAAGTTTCTGTTATTTTGTTAATTATATATATATATATAAACTTTGAATAATTTTAACATAACATTAAATTGAGAAAACTTGTACTTGATTTGAATTATAACAGTATAGAAAATACATAATTATTAAATATGATATAATTTATAGGAATTCTGCATTGCAGCACCTTTGTAAATAATTTGTATGTAAATATAAATAAACAATTATAAGTAGAGTTAAGGTCAGTCACTCTTTTTATTTCTGTTCCTCCTTTCATACCACTTATTTGTACCAAGTCTGATTAGATCATGATGTTCATATATCCAAGATATAAACACCATCATAAACATTATTACTCCAATAACTAAGTGTAATATTTTTTCATCTGGGAAAAAGTAACTCTGAAACATAAAATATGTAAAGCTATAACATACTTTCTAATAATGTATTTAAAAAATAGAAAAGATATTTGTTTACATGAGATATATTGGTGACTAGAGCTGCAATAAGAAGGGAAGCAGAAAACATAGGCTTTGGTACTAATCCTCGTAATGGGTGGTATATCGAATCTTTATATCTCTTATTGATAAAACTAGTAGAATGTAAAATTCTCAAGCTCATGTTTACACAATTTCCAAGAATAAAACCAACTGGCCCGAACCAAATGGCGAACAAATATGATGCGCCCAAAAAGGCAATCGATTGATAAATCATAATTAAATTGCTTTTGTTTATAGTTGCGCTATCAGCTGTTGCATTGGTATAACATTCTGTTACTCCGTTTATTCCCAAAAGTAGAATAGCTAAGCAGTGCGCTCGCATTAGAAGTACCGGTAGATGCGAAGTTAATTTTGCACCACCGTATAACCATAACAGAGTACTTGAATACGATTGTCCAAATACTAAAACAACTAAACCAATGGACATAACAGCTGAACACAAATGTGTAAGTACATTTACACTTTCCTGAATTTTCATCTGAAACATATATTTCTCGTTAATTTTAGTAGTTAATTAATACATAAAATATTTGTTAATATACCACTTACAGGATTTTGATCATTAATTGGTTTATCTCGTTTAATCATCTGGGTAAAATAGAAGTACCCACTTTCTTCTATTGGACGGAAAATAAATCTTGCTGCTAGAGAACCTAAATTATTCACAATTTCATATGTTCCCTTTAGAAACATAAAAACATGATTTATTAAAAATATAATTTATACCGAATGAAATATTTGTTATTAATTAAACACCTGTTCAGTAAATGTTAATACTGGCATTACTGTCATAATTAGCCTTTCTCCTTCAGTTAATATTTGCTTTAGAATTCCTTGTCTAAAGAAACTCCATGTAAGGATAGTTAATTTTTTATCTAGATAGGATTCCTAAAAACATAATTATATGTATATTTCAATATATAACACACGCATCTTTATACATACTTTATTTGCCATTTGTCCTGGCAGGAAGTCCATTACTGTTTCAAATGGAAATTCTTTCACAACATATTCGTCGCCATAGTCTTTCAATGACATTCTCCTTTTTAATTTACAACTGTTCAGTTTTCTAATATAATAATGAAAGTACATATAGTGACTAGTAGTACAAAATATTGCTGCAACTAATTGAGCTACACCAAATGCAAGTAATGCATTCTCTGGATTATAAAGTACCAGTGGAACAAATGTCAATGTGCGGATAGCAATCATAATGGTGTCAAGTATAATCTAAAAAGTGAAACAGTCAGGAGAATGTTTTCAACTTGGTTTAAATACTTTTCAATCAGAGTCTTACTTTCAATCTAACAAATAAGAATGCACTAGCAACTAATTGAACAATTAAAGATGATAGTTCAATAATACAAGATAAAGCAACTGCCCAAACAGCAAATGTATAATACGATGGTAATGCTTCAGATGTTGATAAAAGATAAAGCCAAATATATCCAAACATCATAGACATTGCAACACAAATAGGAACCCTGAAAAACATTTCAAATTAATACACATGGCAGATATTTATATATTTTGTAATGAATTAATTTTAGAAACTTACGTCACCCATAATAAATTTACAACTTGAGCCCAATTATGTTCTGCTGTATTAGTTAAACATGCTTTCATGAATGGTTCTCTAGATAGAAACAAAATCATTGATTCCAACAGCAACAGTCTCACATTTATAACTCCTAAAACTGCTTGACCCACATGTCGTACAACAAAAGCATTTAAAACAAAAGTAACAGCTCTACATATTATCTGAAAGAAAAGTTATTGTAATTGAAAGCTTTGTCATGTGTTTGAACTCCTCACAGATGTTGACATTTTAAAGAAATAAGTTAATTTGTATTTTCAAATACAAGTCTCTTAGTATGTTTAAACTGAAATGTTTTACCACAAGATGTGTTAATTTAAACAGTTGTTACGTTAATGAAATACCTGAAATACAATATTGAAGGAAGCATTTTCCAAGCTGCTTTTCAAAATATTCTGTGACATTTTTCTAGATAATTAAACGAAAGCATAAATCTTTCGAGATTCCCGCCCAAAGAGATGTCAATGAAATTCGAGGTTATGTATACACTTAAACGGTACCTAAAACATTGAATGAATCATTTTTTGGAAATTTCGTTCACGTTCGTAACTTGTCGAAACATATCAATTGCAAAAAGCCACGAATTCTTCTGTACTACATGAAACAGAGATTTCATGACGTAATTGCGTCAATTCCCTCTATATATATCATATCTAGTAATTTTCTGTCATGGATCTTCATCTATTTTTACTAGTGGAAAACTATTTTCAAAACAAAAGCTTCTCCTAACCTTAAATGACAATAGAAGTCCGAAATATACAAGATTAGGTTAGGTTTCGGTAGCAGACAACCACAGTAGATTTAGGAATTATAAAGAAAGTAAACAATGATTTTCTTGTGAAGTGATGTCATTACATAATAGGAACACGTGTCCTTTTATTTTTCGTTACTATTTCATTAACTCGTACAAAAATATTCAAATTCTAAAATAAATTCTGTCTCTGATAAGAATTTTCATCGATCTGTCAAAGTATGCATGTACAATTTGATTAAAAATAACATTCCAATTTATTAATTAAATAATATATTTAATTTATTGTAGGTGTTTCAAATTGTAACAATGTTAATCCGGTAAAGAAGCACAGTATTAATTAAAAATGTTAAATGAAACAAATAATTCTAAACGGAGCGAAAGCGCGAAAAATATTATCATTACGTCGCTTGTCGTAAGTAATAAAATTTATGTATAATTAGCTTTGAATGCTATTTTTATATATATAAAAAAATAATTTTAAATCCATGACAGTCAGGTTCCGTCGCGGGAATTGTTTGCGATCTCATATCTTTCCCTTTGGATACTCTTAAAACACGATTACAAAGTCAGCATGGTTTTGTGCAATCCGGTGGTTTCAAACGGCTATATCAAGGTTTAGCCCCAGTACTGATAGGATCAGCTCCCTCCGGTGAATTTTAAATATACTTCTTTTTTAAAAAAATTAACATTATCTAATAAATGTATTATTTACAGCTGCCTTGTTTTTTATAACATACAACGGGATAAAAGAAGTCTTTCAACCTCGTATACCCGAACAATATTACCCGATTATGCATATGTCGGCTGCGGCAATAGGAGAAGCGGTAAAAATCTTTTCACTATCATTCTTCTCTTTATGTTATTAAAGAAAAGTTTTATTTTTAGAGATATGGTGGAGAATTTTTTATCACTTAAAAATTTTAAGATATTGCTAACAGATTGCATGTGTTATCCGAGTACCGGTTGAGGTAGTGAAACAAAGGAAACAAGCACTTTTAGAAGACCCGCACAAATTACCATTAAGAACTTTGTATCGTGGCTATGGAAGTACAGTAATTCGGGATTTACCGGTTGGTCTGATTCAGTTACCACTTTGGGAATATTTTAAACTATGTTGGACAAAACATGTAGGACGAGAATGCACTCCTATGGAAGGTGCCATGTGTGGAGCGTTATCAGGTAAAAAAACTATCAGTTAAGTTACAAATGATTTAATATAATTACTTACACTAACACTGATTTTTATAGTCGCTGTATCCGCGATTGTGACAACGCCTTTGGATGTTGCGAAAACTAGAATAATGTTATCGAACGCATCGGCAGGAAAAGACGAAGTAAAGATATTTACAATGTTAAGAAGGATTTATCGAGAATGTGGTATTAAAGGGTATGAAGCGAATCATATTTTTCACAGTAACCAATTTTTATAAACATAAATAGTAATTGTTGACAAATACCTTTAGACTTTTTGCTGGTTTTACACCAAGAGTGGGTGGTTTTACTCTTAGCGGATTCATATTCTTCGGCGTTTACGAGAAAGTTAGAGAAAGTTGCATTTCAAATTTATCTTTATAGTGTTAAGAAAGGATTAATATAATATTATTATACAAAGTTCATTAGTAAATTGTAATTTACTACAAGAGGTAATTATTTTCATCCTTGGTAATAATATCAGTACTTTGTTTGACACATTGCATATCAATCATTAATGTTATTAATACAATAAGCTTTTCAATACTTTTCAACTGAAACAATAGTCTATTCATTATGATATCTTTTATTACAGATCTCACTATTTATGTTGCAATAAAACTGCTCACGTTCAAGAAAGGCACAAGATACATACGAAGCATTTAATAATTGTATTTTACACTTTGATTATTAATAATAATATTATACGTACTACACTTTTTAAAGGCTAATATTTATTAATTTTTAAATGGATGAGACATGCACAAATTAAAGGAATGTAAAATATGAATGTATTTAAAAATAATCCTTTCAGCAGGGAATAACGATTCCCTTAAAGTTATGTATATTAATGTGTCAAGATGCGATATACCGTGCATTGATTTACACGCATAATATTTACTTACACAAAGTAATGTGATATATATTAAAGGTGAAAGAATTATGATAATTCTTAATACTGACTTTAGAAAGATTGACAACAATATGTACCTTTGGACTTGTTACTTATCTCAATTGTTTCTTCTAATTCTTGTAAATTATCTGGGTCAGATGCAAAGTCTTGGGCAATTTCATTAAACAATTCAGCTAAAAAAATAAATTCATAAATATTCCAAATATAATACTGGTACAAGTTTAATTATGTATACACCCACTTACCAACATTTTCTCCAGTTTTACTAGATGTTATAAAAAACTTGGATTGAATGCCTGCAGCGTATGTTTCAACAACATCTATCTCAGGAGATGGAACTGCACCATGCTCTAAGATATCCTTCTTTGTAGCACAAATGTACACTTTACAGCCTTCTTCCATAGCTCTAAGCTCTCTCACCCAAAATTTTGCCTTTTGAAATGTATTTGATTTTGTAATATCATAACATATAACAGCTGCCTTTGCACCACGATAATATAATTTAATCATAGCATTATATCTACAAAAAATACATTATTTAAATAAGAATTCTTTATCTTTCTAAGCTTATTTGATATTGCTTAAATTGACATTAATAGGAATATAAAAATCATGATAATTACTCACTTTTCACTGCCAGCTGTATCCCATATTCCCATGATAAGCCTTTTCCCATTGACTTGCATTTGCTTCGCTGCAAATGCAGCTCCTATAGTCTAAGGAAAGTGGAACTGAGTTAATTTGTTTTGCGATGCACCTCTTAGACGATTCTCAGTGCAAATCTTAGTAACTCTATTTTAGAATATTCCTTCCATGTCGCGGACTAAGAGAAACAAGACGGCCTAAATTAGTATATTCCCTAAGTTAACTTCATCTGATTTGTGGAAAATTTAAAAAAGGTATTAGATTGTTGTCTGGATTCTCACGTTACTCTAGAAATTTGATATCAATCTACCTATATATATAATAAACTGGTGCGCGGAACATTTCTTTTTATTATAGCAATTATACTTACATTTTGATATGATAGACTTTCATTAAATCTTTCGTTTATGTAACGTTCCACGAGGCTTGTTTTTCCTACAGCCGCATTACCCAGTAAAACTACTTTCAAATCAACGCGATTCATGCTTCAGTTATTATTAAATCTTCTAAAGTATTAGAAGTATTGCTATAAAATAAATACTACTCTTGCAACATTTAGGTTAACATAATCATTTACGTGTTTTATGTTCGAAACTAATCAGTAACTGATATTCTTATGATATAAACTTCAAACTGGATATGTATAGACTTTTTATCAATAATGATTCAGTATTATTATCTGTTTAAAAAACATAATTTTCCCAGAACAAACATTCCTTATTTGTAACGAAAGCGACATCCAAGATTTATTATAGATGGCGTATTTCATCGTTTCATTATGGTTAGGACGCATTTTCAGTTTTATATTATAAAACGTAAAAGATTTAAAAATTTTAAATTTCAATTCAAAATAAATAATGATAATTATATATTAATAATACACAAGGAAGAGTAATTTTATTTTATTCGCTTCAGGATTCCTGTATTTTATATCTCTTATCATAATCTCGAATAAATATCTTTGAATAAATTACAACATATATATATATAAGTTTGAAACTTCTTGAAACATTACTGAAGAATAATTACTACATTTTAGTTAATTTTTTCTTATAAATAAACTGAACTTTTAATGATAAAACAAGAAACTAATCAATTTTTCATACATATGTAATGTTAAAAATTTGATAATAAATTTTCTTTTTAACATTACTTAGCTTTTCCTTGTGCAGCAACTGCAGCCATTGCAGCTTTAACAGTTTCTTCATCACCTAAAAATTTCATAGACACAACAGGTTTAAAGTTTTCATCTAATTCATAGACAAATGGAATACCAGTTGGTAAATTTAAACCCATGATTTGATCATTGCTCAGTTCTAAAAAGAAAAAAAAAAGAGATATCATGAATACCATAACTGTTTTAAAAAAATTATTTATGTATGGAAATAAAAACATACGATCTATATGCTTTACTATGCCACGTAAACTGTTTCCATGAGCAGCAATGATAATTTTCTTTCCTTCTTTTAATTGTGGAATAATAGTATTATTCCAGTAAGGTAATGTCCTTTCAATAGTCAATTTCAATGATTCAAATTTGGGGAATTCTTCTGGTTTTGGTTCATTGGCATATCTTGCATCTTTTACTATTGTATCATAATATTTGTGGTCTGGTTCCATGGGTGGAGGAGGTACATCGAATGATCTTCTCCAAATTTGTACTTGTTCTTCACCATATTTGGCAGCAGTTTCAGCTTTGTTCATTCCAGTTAAACCACCATAATGACGTTCATTCAGACGCCATGTTTTACAAATAGGAATGTTTTCTTGGCCTATTTCTTTCAGAATTGCCTTTAAAGTTTCTTGAGCTCTTGTTAATACTGAAGTATGAGCTATATCAAAAGTATAACCTGCCTCTTTAACTGATTTTCCTGCTGAAACTGCTTCAGCTTTACCTACAATTAAAAATATATGTATTAATATACAATTACTGCTAGATTATTTAAAATTATATATCATATGTTCATTTAGGATTTTCTATCAATGTTAAAACAAGTTCAATTAATATATAATTTTAAAAATTATTATATCATCATAACGATGTTTATTATTTTAAGTGCACAAAACAATTTTCAAAAGGAAAAACATTACTATTTACAATAATATTTCAAACTGTTTGACCTTTTGCCCTTGAAGCTTTAATTTAGAGATTTACTTTCTGAAAATGACTTACCTTTGTCAGATAAATTGGCATCATACCATCCACAGAATAAGTTTAATTTATTCCATTCACTTTCTCCATGGCGAACCATAACAATCGAATATTTCGACATTTTTCTATTAGAAAAATTAACAGCACGTAAACAGGAAACGCGATTCGCAAGCAGTCCCTGCTCAATATATCTGCACAACTGTTTCAGTTGAAAGCCCCCACCCCCTGTCACATCACTCAATCGTATCAGCATTTTTGTTCAAAATTTTGATATCAATTTACTATATTATCAATTAAATATGTTTTTGCTTTGTAGAATAAGAAAATTTGTTTTCTGAAGAATGCTATTAATCAATTGATATGCGTTTATAGATAACAATATTCAAATTATTTTGTTCAATTCTTGAATCAAATTTTTCCCGCCATTGTAGTAAATGGTTAGTTTTCAATACATCGTGTTAGATGTATGTAACGAATGTTAATATTTAGTATTTAATGATGTAAATAATTATTACTGATTGTATATATACAATTTTTATAGATTGACTATTAATTGTTAGATTTGAAAGTTTTTTGCTTCATTGAAGTATACTAACCTGAACATAACCCTTGTAAAAATGATAAGAATGAAATAGTATTTATTGATTCATTACACGAATCTGTTGTATGCAATGGAAGTTACAAACAATGGGCAAAATGACAATTCTTTGTTGTTAAATAAGGATTTTCTACAAATTTCGTGTAACTGGCATATCAGTAATAATAAACAATTTCATGATGCCTTCACTGTGGCTCCTTTATGTGAAGAACCTATAAAGTAATAAAAACATTTACATATTAATGATGTAACATAAATATATATATTAAAATAACGATATTAAGTCAGTGAAAAATTGTCTACATTTTTACAGGATCAACTGTGAAGATATAGTTTCTTTAAATACATGTATATCTTTACAACCAATTCAGTCGGATAACGAACCATGCATGTTAGATATAAAACTGATTAATAATCAGAGGATATCTCGTATTGCTGTAGTTTCAGAGGCTTATGTATTAGAATTTTTCAAACAATTTGGAGAATACGAAAAAACAATATTTGCAGAACTTATAGATGACTTTGAAGAAAATTTTATTTATTTTGCACAAGCAACAATTAACCCTTATTCTACAGAAGCTAGTATTAAGGTATGTTAACTGTACATAATATATTTTTGAAATGGTAAGAATGATATTCATTCAAGGTTTCTATTTTAGTTCACAAAAACAAAAAGCAAAAATTCAGTTCTGTGGATATATGGGATAAAATTATACTTAACAGAACCTATTAATGAACCTGAAAGCTTCTCTACAGAAATATTTAATCCTGAAATAATAAAAAATTTTCTTACTAAGTTTACCTTAAATAATGAAGGGAACAATATCACCAATGCTGTTCAGTCATCCACTAAAAGTATATCAGATTCATCAACAAACAATAATATTGAACAAAGTAATGAAAAAGAAATAGTACAGTCTATCACTGAAAATACTATATCAAATATTACAGACATTACAACTTATATTGATCAGAAATTTGGTGATATGGAAAATAGAATAATGAAAAGGATTGAAGAAGTGGAGCAAAGAACAAATCAGAAACTTGATATGATTTTAAAACAGTTAGAAACTCAATTTTGTGCCAAATGACTTTCATTCTATATAATACATTCTTGTAAATAACTAACAATGTATTTAATGTATGTAATTTAATATGTAAAGTACAAAGAAAAAGAAAAACAGATTTTGGAAATAATACTGTTTTTCTGATTTTTCAGTATCTAAATTGTACACATTACATCTAATAATACACAATTATATGTACTTATGATTAAATGTATTTATATATTAATTATACTTGTTTTATTTTCATTTAACTCATATTGCAATTCAATCTTTTAAATACACATAATTATCCATGTATCAGATTGTACCAAAATTTGTATTACAGTTCATTTCATTATGTTATACTAATGAAATTTTATATAAATATAAAAAAACATAATACCATCATGTGCATTGTAATATAACATTCATACAACTTTCATCTAATTGGGACTGTTGTCTTGTGGAGGATCCCACTGATGAAGTTGTTTCCTCCACAACCTCATCATGCCATCCCATCCTCTTCTACTATATTTAATGTACTTTGGTGGTGTTTTTGGATGCTCTTTAGTACGTTTTTCTCTAAAATAAATATAATCGTTTTCAATATAATATTTCCAGTGATATTTTAGTATATATGAAATTCTTACTTAGGCACAGCCTGAATGTATTTATCATATCCAATGGTATTTTTCCCATAATCTATTTCTTTCTGTCTACGAGCTAAGACTTTAGGATCAGTTTCATATTCTACTTGTTTTTTACCACAATCTGAGGAATTAGTGGTAGAACTTGAATCACTATAGTATCTGGTACGAAAAACTTTTACATCCTCATAATTTGTAGTACCTTCTCTAGGTCTTTTACGAAGATTATTTAAGTCTTCTAACTTATTCTTTACATTATCTTCATACTGTATGCCATTTATACTTTTTGTTTCAATTTCTTTACAGTAAGACCTGTTATTTACACATACATTTGAAGTAACATCTTCTTTATCCTTTTCATCTTTATTAACATAGGTTTTAGGTTCAGGTATTATTATATCTAAAGACTCCTGAGTATTTTTGGTCTCCTTATCGGAGTTTACTATTTTACTCAATTCATTTGAACTCATACAAATGGCTTCATTTAGAAGAGCATCATCTTCATCTGTCAATTCTATCCATGAACTTTTCATATCTAATTCCATTGTATGTTAATTGAACACAATCTATGGATAATAATTAACATAGGTATTTATAAACTTTATTTTAACTGAAGAAAAAAAACAACAAATAAGCAATGTCTTACCTAAAAAAAAATAACCTAAATGAGTGCAGCAACCTTTATATTAAAGTATAATGGATTACACTTAACTGCAAGCCTTGTATATATGTTGTCCCATATATCACACTATTAATTCTTTCACCTTTTATTATTTAAAGTTCTTTTAACGCTTTTAATGAAATTGAATATTACAAAATGTTCACGCTCATCTAGCGCCTCTTATTTAATAAGTTCCCTCTCTTCATAATTTCAAATTACAGAGAGACGAATATTCAAATTGTAACCCGACTAATGCGTGATACTGTTTACAAGTATTATTCAAATTATTATATTTAATTTATTTTTATTTTACAGTTAGTATTATTGTTAACTTTCTTGGTTTATTTTTTTAATAGAAGCATTATTAAAATATTTAAATATATACATATATATTTATACGTTAATGATAATTACTCAGAATGCCTCCAAGAGTAGCAAAGGTTATATTATTTTTTATATATTAAACAAAGTATATATTTTGTTTGATAATGAAGCACAAATAAACTGTTAATGTAATTTTTTCAGGAATCATTACTATTATTAATAAATATTGGAGTGACAAGTATTAAAAAATCAAATGATCCTTCTCTATTGGTCAAGGCAAAATGTATTGCCAGAAAGAAGATTGAAAAAATGGTACAAATTTAATTGTTATATTAATTACTTCTGATTCTTATTATATACTGTTTTCTAGATTTTTTTGAGACCAAAGGACGAGGTTGCAGTAATAGTAATGGGTTCTTCCAATACAAAAAACTCTTTGGATATAGAACATGTAGAAGAATTTGCAGATTTTCAAGTTCCAAATTGGGATTTGATAAAAAAACTTGAAAATTTGGAATGTACAAATTATTGTTCCAATTGGGTGGAAGCACTTTATGCTGCAGTGGAATTCATGAAAGCAAATATGTAGGTTTTAAACTTTGATGGATGTATTCTCTATGAGTAAATATTAGGACATTAATGTTAACTGGAATTTGTTTCAGCTATGATGTTTCCAAAAAGAAAATAATATTAATGTCTGACTTTAATGAAGAATCAGATATTATTTCACAGTTTCAAGCAAATGAAATAGCAGAACAACTTTTTACAATTGAATTAATTACAATGTAATACAAATGAATTTTACATGTAAATTTATCCTTTTTTAATCTTTTGTTCTATCTTGTCTTATCTTTTTAGAGGAGAGGATTTATTGGAAACAGATGAAAGCTCTCTTAAAATTAGCGAAGTACTTCTTAAGTTTCTTCATAAAAAGGTAATATACATATCATTATATCACATTATATGTATAAATAGTTATAATACATTTTACTAAATATTGTTAAATATATTTTAGATAAACGGCCAACATTTAACATATGATATGGCTATATCTGCCTTGAGATTTTATACAGAAGAATCGAAAAAACCGAGTCCGAGTTATTTTAATTTAGAATTAATTGATATAAAAATACCGATTGTTAGTTTTGTCAAAGTAAGGGAAAATTTTTCAGAAATACGTTTACACGTATAATTATTTCTATTAAGAATTATAATTTTTGTTAGGTGGATGAAAGTAAATTTCCATCGTGGAAGAGAGCTAAAAATGATGAAAAAGTTGTATCCAAAACAGAATATGTGGATAGACAAAGAACCACATATACAAAGGATGAAATTGTAGCAGGATATAAATATGGCGAAATTTTTGTTCCAGTTGAAAGTATGTAGCATTTTATCATTATCATTAATCTTATATAGAAGTGGTTATACGTATAAATGTCTTCATAAATATAGAGGAACAAGAAGAGGCCATGCGTTACAAAAGTGGAACAAAAGGTTATAAAATTCATAGTTTTACAAGTAGAAATAATATTAACTTAGAATATTTGTACAGTAAGGGTACCCATGTTATTTTACCTTCCACTAAAGGAAAAGTATGGTTTCTCATTTTCTTTTTACTTAAAAATCATAAATTATTTTTACAAGTATTCAATTTATTTCTATTTTTAGGATGTAACAAAACTCTTTTATTCTTTGGTACAAGCAATGCGTAAAACAAACGCGGTTGCTATCGCAAGAAAAGTGTACAGAGATAACTTGGCACCTAAAATGGTAGCCTTATTTCCCTGTACCGATGTTCCGGATGAACCCTGGGTATTTTAAAATCTTTTATTTTTAAATTAAATTATTTTAATAAATTTGTACTATTACGTAAAATTGATTATATTTATTAACGCGCAGTGCTTGGTAGAAATAGCATTAACATATTCGGAAGACCGCAGAGTTATGGAGACCCGACCGATTAAGTCCGTAGTTAAACAATTGACGGATGATCAGAACGAAGCGCTAGATAATTTAATAGATTCCCTTACATTATCTGATATGGGGTATGTACATTTGTACTTCACTGGGCTTGTAATTGTTTATTTATATATACTTTTTAAACAGAGACAGTTACGAAGTAGATGGAAGCCAATATTTTTTGCCTGGCTGTGTACCAAATCCTGCAATACAGCATAGGTGGCACGCGTTGTCGCATCGTGCCTTAAATCCAGATAAACCATTGCCACCAGTGGAGGATTATTTGAAAGAAATTTTGGAAGTTCCATTAATAAAAGAAAGAAGTAAACAATACTTAAAAAGAATTACAGAACTGTTTCAGTTGGAGGATGTTGATCCAAAGAAAGAGTAAGAACTATTTACAGAATTCAAACATGGCAACTATTAAAATAAGTACTAACAATATTTTTTACAGCGACGAAAAAAAAGAAAATGAAGAAGATAATGCTGAAAACAACGACGACATTAATTTTAAACTATCCGATAAAATGAAAGATAAAGTTGACGACGAAGATGATTCATATAAGCAAAACTTTATGGATACCTCAGACGTTGATCTCGATGAATTGGTATAGTAGTACACATGCATTAATAAATATGTATATATTTATTGCATTTATTTAACGTACCTCATATTTTTTATAGGCTGCCAATATATAGTTTGTTGCTGTTTCTGTTCTACTGTTAAAAGAAAATTATTTTATATAAGTTATACGCCAAACGCGTTATATCTTTTTGTACAGAAAAACATTTAAAATAAAATGTTAGAAAGCGACAAACTTCTTCTGTACTTTAATTAGAAGAAAGTCCTTCGGAGCCCACTATAAATTGATGACACTATCCAATCTGAATATGGAAGGACGAGGTCGTCTGCCCACCTAACACCCACTCCAATTTATCTTCATACTATCCAAAATTCTAGCTGTACAATTACAAATGACGATCAAATGAATATTTCAAAAAAAATATGTTGTGTTATAAAATACAATTGTAGGATCTACAGGGCATAAATGTTTCTAATACCTGGTTTTTCTTCCCACCAAGTATTGCGACTTGAATTCACTTTACAAAAGGAGAAAGTTAAATGTGCATGCTTCTTTTTTTCTTCAGATTCTTTGTTCTTTTTGTAATACGTTGATACTGTTATGGCCAACGTTTTTGATACATCCTGTATAACATAACGGCACTCACTCTTTCAGGAGAGTACGAGAAGCCGCCTGCAATCTCAGTCAACCAAGAGACGCCGTCTCGCGTGGATCAACAGGCGTTGTTACCCGTGCAAAACGCATTCACCAGCATGGGTAAGTTCAAGTTCGTTTTACGTTATAATTCATTCGGATCTGGCTGTTTTATTTAACACCGGGATACATGACCGTATTGAGACTTATTTTAGCTATAAAAAATGGTGAAACTCACACATGTAATTCCTTGCGTCTTCGTTTAGGTATGCGGGATGAGACACGCGAGTAAGTACATACATGCAACGTTAGGCGTTACGCTGATGCTATTTTGCTGACATAATAACAGCAGTGAATATCTGCAATAAATTGCAATTAACAAATTTAACGTCAAATAATTCTTCTGTTTGATACTAACTTTTTAGTAAGGACCACAATTTAATCTTGATCAGAAAATGGATGTAATGGTAATAGAAATTATAGATGTGGCAATGAGTTAGCAACAAATTTATGGTGAACGAATTCCCAGAAGCCTTAAATGTCACAGACAAATGTCGACACGAAAATGTCAGGTTGAAATGTATCTGCTTGCGTCGTTTGCGACCACAAGTTCTCGTTTAGAATTAATATGCCTCAAATTTTTGGTGAATCAGCGATCACTTTCGTAACGTTTGCGCTTTTATACCTCGTTAAACATTGACCTAGAAAAAGAAATAAGAACATCTTGATGAGCGAAACAGAAGCTCTTTTACAAATTAAAATAACAATATTGTTTTTATTCTTTTTCCATTCATTCATCTGTTTTTAAGCGAGCCGTTTTCCTTATTAGCGTGTCTCGCATAAATTTAGAATTTAAAAATAGCAGAAACCTGTTGCTAATTCATAACTACTATACGTATAACTATTACAATGCAATTATTTTCTATTTACATACAATTCAATGTTAGATCATTGATTTCCTTGTTAGATAGATCTTTAGATACCAAGCGTTATAGTTCAATGATATACTAGGACAATTTATATTAAAAAATAATAGTATAATAGGTAGAACGGTATCGTGACACGCGAGTGTCGTATCTTGTCAACGAAATGTCAGAAGGGCATCAGACTGATCAAATGCACCACGCGGAACCGCAGCCGGTCTCGTCGTCCTTGCAAAAGACGCGCTTGAATGGTGTTTAAGATTACTACTTTCTTAATTAACGCGTTACCCATTGTTTATAGATAAAAAATGGAATGGGTAATCTACGTTACCAAATGTCCTTATATTACAGAAAGCTTGATATTTAAATTCCATCTTCAGTTTAATAAAAGATGAGAATATTGTAAAGAAAAAAAAGTCTACCGTTTCTCGCACGGCATTGACTCCCTTTCCAAGCGGCCCACTTTTCACAGTTTACGTTTACTTAATAATGGAGCATGTCCACGAGCGATCTTACGCAAGCTTAGATTGATACCTCTGTTTTTCACGTAAAACTGATAGGATTTTATTTTTTCCAGGAGCCGTGTACGCTTGTTCTCTGGTGGCCATGTTATCCGTAAGCATAATAAACTTGATCACACTTTCCTCTGTCTACTTCCTGCCAAGTTTCACGAACCCGGAAGAGATCCTCTAGCAATGGAACGTTGGCTGGCATAATGAACTGTGGATTCATTCTTTAATCTTGAAGTAGAATTAATTGGGAGACATAATGGAGTTTGAATGAGAGAAATTTGACAATAATAGAACTCTCGCTTATTTTGCATCCAGAATTTTAGATACTGGAATGAACAACAGAGCTACCTATCAATAATAAAAAGTAATCTCTTCTGTAGAAATGTACTAGCATTTTTTTTTGTCTGTTTACGCGAGGCCAGGAAAGAAATCGCACGCAAACGGCGTACGCTTTCTTGCGTAAAACAGGTGGTCAAAGAATATTGATCCTTTCACGAGTGGAAAGTAAACTTAACGACGAATGAATTACGTTAAATAAGCACGATTGATATGAATTATACTCAGCCATAATCGTTTTCCTTATTCAATGAAACAGATGAAAATACTTCAATACCTTATTGAAGAAACTTAACAATCATCATATAGATTACTAGAAAAGAGAAGAAATATAGTAAACACTTGCATTTCTTTCAATATAAAATGATTAACGTTGAATAATCAAAGAAATTTCTTTCATCAGGTACTTCTGACGGTGGAAGCTGGCGACTTGATGCGAAAGAGCATCGTCTTCGACAAGAACACCCCGGATGTATTCTACTGTCCTCAACAGAAGCCGACTGGTTTCGAGAAAATGATCGTTAATGCGAAACCGTTGTCCAGGCTTTGCCAATTCGAGGGCAAACCGATACCACCCGATTACAAAAGCGATTGCTACAACGACGTGGACGAGACCGAATACGCCTGTAAAGAGAAATATAGAATTATGGTGAGTCATCGGTGAGCTCACGAGGCCTGAATAAACGAAATTTCATGGCGAAAAACGATCTACGTTTGGAAAAGATTTATAACGTGAAACGCGTGGCCAGGCATCAATACGTAATGAATCAGAAAAGAATTTTAATCAAACGATCGAAAGGGAGCTTATGCGCTTAAGCTGAGTTACATGCATTACACGGTTAACGCGATTAAACTTTCACACATAATGCGAGGTTTAATTGGATCTTTTAATTTTTTATTAAAATTTAAAATATTTAGAAATTTAAATTTAATTATATTGAAATAATTGATATGCAAATCCATTTCCAGGATAGAGTATTACTGTTGTCTAATTGAACCTCGCAGAGCACAGGAGAAAAAATAAAGCTAAGCCAAAGTTTTACCATTGATTATGCACGCATCATTCGATCATCGTAACACAGCATTATTCATCACGTGTAACGGAGCGGTGTCGGTTTTGTTTTCTTACAGAAGCGATTCAGAAATATGGAAGGGGACGTGAAAGCTACGGATGACTTCGCCAAGAAATAGATGAGAAAATTGTTGCTGCACGGCCGAGCCACGCGTGCAATTTTGCAATGATCATGCCGGCTCCTCCACTAATGCTCAAGCTTGCAACCACCAGTCCTATAATTACAAACCAAATGTTTTTTTTTTTTTTTTTTTTTTGTACACGTTTAGATAATTAACTGGACAATTCATACATACGTTTAGCAGTAAAATCCCATTTATTGACAAGTTAACTGCCACAGTAGAAGGTCTCTTCAATAATGTTTAAATAAATGGAATTCTACTGTATAGTTTTAAAGATAAGTGACTCTACGATTGTAACAGTGTTAGAATATTTATAGAGTTTATACTTTTTCTAACTTGAGATTGAGCGTCAAGTTTGTCATTCAAAATTTACCGGTGCTATGTAGTTTCCAGGTTTGGTGCCGAAATTTATAGATTAGATTCTTTTTTTTTTGTAACAATATTAATAAAACTAACAGACAACGGATTATGGGCAAGATCATTAATATCCATGGCTGATATTTTGACAACAGTTTGCACACTAACTTTGCATTTATTTGATTTCGTCGATGCACGTTTAGCAGATGAATCAGTTATTATTTGCGCAAGATTAAAAGATTGCTACAAGCTGAACAAATAAATAGTAATTATGAAAAAAATTTCTTTATTCTCTCTGTATTCATTTGAAAAGTATCTTCTTTACTTTTGATTGTGATTCTTGCAAATTATGGAGAAAATTACCTCTAAGAATAGAATTTGTTCATGAGGTGAACCTGAAGATCATCAGATGTGTGTCGTGCAGTAGGTAATATTTTATTCAAGTTTGTCCAACAAGAAAAGTGAAGTATATTTAACTACTGATTTGTTCAATTTCTATTCTTTGTTTTCATATGAATTTATATGTATATTTCTGTTTTAGATGCGACTACATCCACCTGGAAGCGAAGTACCATATAATGGTTCACGTCTGTCAAAATTCTTAACTTTTGACAAGGAGAAGTATAAGAACAGGAATCAGATCGAAGATACTGATTGATAAGAAGAATTTTTCACTCGTGGCTCTCTTTAATTTTCTTTAGCATTATTAAAATTATTTTCCGCAATTGCTTGATCCATTTCTGTAAGCGAAGATATTCCAAGATTGAACTGTTTGATTTCCCATAATAATTTGGCTTTGTCATAATAACATATTTATGTAATTTATTGTCAACGTTGATGGTAAATAATTCAAGTTCCTGTAACTTTCCAATGTTTTGAAATCTAAGTCTAATTTAGACTTTGCTACGTCTCATTTCTTTTTCATAATTGAAAGAAACGCGCATTCATTGTTATTAAAATATTTAACGTTCCTATTCACTGTGAAGTGTACAAAGCTTTTTGTTTTAGTGTACTTTTGTAATATATTTGTAACATATGTGTAACGTACTGTAAAGAGAAGAAAATAATATATGGAAGTTAATACATCCTTTAAGCTTGTAAATTATTGATTATAAAATAAACATTTTTACCTGAAAATTGTATTATCCTTCATCTGGATTTATTAAATATACTGTTTACAGACATCTGTTAAAAAATTTTTGGAAATGTAATTTCTAGAATAAAATACAGTTCATGCAATTTACAGTAAAATTTATGCAATATATTAATATGCATTGTATGGGATCAGTTTTATTAATACAAACTTTTAGTAAAGTTAATAAACTTACTTAAAGTTTTAATTTATACAATTAATTACCTTTCTCGGGGTTGTTTGATGAACGTATTTTTATGTATTATAAAAACTTAACGTTTTGAATAAAAACGAGGTCTTTTCACAATGAATTTGCTGCTCAATTTTTCTACCATGTACCAAAGATACAAAACTTTATTTTCTGAACAATTGTCGTTGTAACAAAATCACTGCAATTTTTAATATAATACAAATAAATTCATTTTGGGTTATATTTTTACTTTTTTCCATTGCTTTTCAAAAACTTGCTGCTCATGATTGATCATTTTATAAATTATCTTATTTGTAAGGATTATTTACATACCTTATTCTATTGAACTTAAAAATTGTATGTAATTAATAATAATATGCATTTATGACTTCGTTCAAAGCTGGTTACTATACAAGAAAAAATGTTCCACTCAATTCTGCAAACAATACAAATAACATAATTTGGCAACATATGGTAATATGTTTTGGTAAATGAGAATTAATCCTAGAACTTCTGATTATCACCATAAAAATCATCTTAATGCTTCAGAAAAATGAATATTTCATTATAATATTTGATATTTTCATACAATTTAAGACACCAATATTGCTCTGCTATAACAAAATATATAAAAATGGATATAGACATCACAGGTCCCAAGTATCACTCTAATTATTTTCTAACACTGCAACATGGGAAAAAAGAAACATTTAAAATAAAATTAATAACATCTTCCGTTAAAAATTTCTGTGTAAATTAATACATTTTTTGCAAGGAAAAGAATCGTACTTCTGCTGCTGTACTGTAGGAACATCAGAATACGTTGTCTACGAAGATACACTATAGACAAAGAAGAGATCAAAGTTCATTGTTTCCCACAAGTTAGAAATAAGTTAGCAATTTTATAAGATTAGTTTACCACCATTTGAAGCTCGTATCTGTGCCACCTGCTCAGGAGTAAGGATCAACTTGCTTCCATTGGGTAATGCTAAGGCATAATGGCTTCCAGTTTCGTTCACGACCACTACTAACTGTGTATTCGAATTCTGAACAGGTGGTGCAGACTTAATTGGTGTTATAGAAATACCTCCTTGGCTCATACGTTGAATAATTTGAGGAGAAATTGTACTTTTTGTCGTCGTTGTGGTCGTCGCCGTTGTCGTCGTTACCGCCGTGTCTTCTGACTTAGCTGTTATATTTTGTTTGGATTGTAAATAATTTTTACGAGGTGCCGTTTTTGTTCTCTCCGATTCAGCGTTAGCACCAGTCTTTTCAGTAATAATCATCTCGATCTCATCGTCGCTGTCACTGAGAACGATCAAAGAAGTAGTCTTTTGGCCGGTGTTTTCCGAAGGCACAGCCTGTCTTCTTGGCCTCTGGAGTCTTGTAGGAGCACCACCACGTGCTTGTTGGACGTTCTTCGTTGGCCTCCCATTAGCTCTATGAGGGAAGTTTCCTCTAATTGGCATACTACTTCTTATAACCGCGCCATGGGGATGAGGAATTTGCTGTCGTGGCGTCGGGTACCTGTTTTGAGGTGGTTTAGCTGCTGGCATTGGAGATTGAATGTACATTGAAAGATTCTGAGGGGTCTGTTGAGCAGCAACGGTTTGGGATTCTGTAGGCACACACTCAGGGTGAGACTGAGGTGTTATCATGTAAGGTACGTAACTAGGCTGGCTGATAAATTGTTGAGGCGCCATCATTTGCGGCCCTTGTGGCTGAAACGGTGGAGAAGGTATGAAATTTGGTTGTGGATTATGAATGATATAATTTTGTCCTCCTGGCACATAATAACTTTGCTGAACCGGTGAAATAATATTCGAAACTACCGGACCCGGTTGCCCGTATGCATTCTGCGGAGCAACGTTCACAGGATTCGGTTGCATCACATAATAGTTGACATAATTTGGATTGAAATTCGTGGCGTAGCTATTTTCGTACTGACCCGTAGAATCATAAATAGGACCTTCATCCTTAATGTCCAACTCTGAGTGTACACTTTCAACGTTTTCAATTTTGCAGTTGATTTCCATGGAAGGCACTGTTTGTTTGTCATTTTCTACCGAGTTATCATGATTCTCTGGGGCATTTTCTACCGCAGCATCACCGTTCTCTGAACTGACTGGCTCGTTTGTTTTACGTATTTGGATTTCTTTGATTTTCGGCTTAGGTTTTTGGTTTTTTCCATTTAAAGCAGTTATCGTTGATTCGGCTGCATTTTGGAGTGCATCAACTTTGATGCTTTGTAACTTGTGTTGGAACGATTTTAATCTTTTACTCGCAGCTGCAAAATAATAATAAATACATTTGTATTAAATATATATGTATATTACTGATATTATTTATTGGATGTACTTACATGGACGTTTATTTCTCCTTTTGCGAGAGCTCGGTAGAATCCAATCTTGGTCTGAGTCCTCCTCGTTCGTTCTACCATCAGTGTTTCCGATTTTCGGAGCAAGGTGAGAAGCGGATGAATCGGTCTGTGCAGCGGGAGCCGCGTACACGGCCTCAAGGTCGGCCCATTCTTCCAACTCGTTCTCCTCAGTCTCGTCATCTGAATAAAAGGTGTACGAGGAGACGCCGCGTGCACGCAACACTCTTCCACTTTCGTGGCTTGTGTCTTCCTTTGGATCTTTCTTGATTTCTGTTGAGTTCTCCTGGGCGTTGCCTTCGCTTCCTTCCGACTGACTTCCTTGCGTTTCATCTTGCACGGTCTTACCCTCAGGTTTCTTACATTTTTCACCGATATTTGTATCGCACTCGACGGCGTTGACGCGCCGATCCTCTTGACGATCTTCGTTTCGGTTTTGAGAGCCAGTTGTGGATACAGTAAACTGCGGTAACGTTTGTAACGTTGACTCTCCGGAAATTGGACAGCTCTGTGATCCAAGAACCCACCAATTAGAGTTGACACCCTCCCCAGATGAGTCCTGATCCTCCGCACTGCTACAACATACAACAATTTGTCTGCTATATACGCTCGACGACAAAAAAACAACATTAATGTGGCTGAATTCCACTTAATTAATTATATATATATATATTAATTGTAGCAATTACAAGAGGTTTCAGGTAAAAGTGATTTTTAATCTGGGAACAACAGTTTGAATAATGTTTCAAAAGTAAGCTGAGTTTGCGTTCTTTTCAAATTATTTCAAATATTTTCAATCATTCCCAAATTAAATTCGAGGCGATAGGATGAACGATGCATTTAATGTAAATAAAACTGAATATACCCTTCTTTAAAATTGGTCCATTCCTTTTGAAGTTTCCCTCTGGCTCTTCTCGTTGACTCGCGTAAAGATGATTCCATTTTTTCTACGGTGGTTAGTAACTCTGTCAATTCTTTGATTAACTGTATTTCACAGGGAGGAATAGATTCTTGCTAAAAGAATATCAGAACGTTATAATAGCTTGAAATGAAATAAAAGAAAAAGAAAGAATAGTACGTACTTCAGTAGAGGCGTCGGTAACTGGATTATCACACTTCTGAGAAAAGGTTGAAAGGAGATCTCTTAATGAACTGACACTGTCAGCTACGAGCTCAAATTTCGAAGAGCCAAGTTCTAAAAGCATGTGGTTAAAATCTTCCGCTTCTTGTTTCCACACATCTGGCTTTCCGTTCTTTCTACTATTATAATCCACCCTGCATTCTGCATCAAGATAATACCCGTCGTCCATTGCTTCCTTTTGCAACAGGCATCTTAATTCGCTTAAAGAAAGATCTTTATCATCGTTACATTCTACTTCGTTATTACTTTTATTCGTTCGTTTAGAATTTCTCATTTCCTTATCGTTAATTATTAAATTATTTAATTTCTGCCTTTTTGAAAATTGCCCATTTGCTCTCCTCGGTATATCATTTTCCTCCTTTCCTTCAGGAAGATTAGCATCCTCTTTAATTGTATCGTAATTAATTCTTGTTTCATTTAATTTTTCATCGTCAGATTTCGACGTCGACACCTGACACGTTTTATTAACAACATTAATGTCACTAATCTCGTTTAACTTCAAACTTTCAGCACTGATAATTTCGTTCAACTTTTCGTCGTCTGTTTTCGAGATACTGGATAAATTATCAATGGTTTCATCGTTAGCTGCACTTTTGCTTACGTGTAAATTCAATGTATCTAAGTACTGCTCTTTCGTCGATGTTAATTCTAGTTTGTCTTCAGAGGTATGCGTTAAACTAATGTCAGATTCTTCAGTATTTTTCTTCTCGCTCAGTTCGGACTTTAAACTATTCATAATCCCATCAATTATTTCTACATTAGAATTTTTATCCGTAATATCACTGCTATTCGGGAAACCTTTAAACGGTCTTTCAGACGATTTGTTTTCATGAAGATTGTCGACCGAACGATTCGTATCGTAGCCGCTCGATTTCGTGCAACAACTTTTATCCGATTCCGTACTCATTTCCGAACATTTCGATGAACTTCTTGATCTTTTTACATTTATAGTGTTTGGATTAATATCATTATTATTATTATTACTACTGCTACATGTGCTTATACTAATCATATCTATATCTTCATTCATTAAAGAGCTCGTTGCACTGTCACTGTTGCATTTGCAATCATTCATATGTTTATCATCACACCTGTTTCCTTTTTTTCTTAATTTTGGAGGTAAACCGTTGCTCCATCTTGACCTTCTTTTTCTCCGTTTACCTTGTTTCTTTAAATCATTTTGATCCGATACTTTGTTTTCTCCATTTGTATGCAGCTTCGACTTGATAGGCTAAAATAACAATATTATTAATTAGAAAGAAAATATAAATTCAAAGAGAGTAGAGTGAGTGATTTACTTCTGACGCCGGTACCTTTACTGTCGAATAAATTTTATTATCAAGAGAATGTCTGTATATCCGTAGATCGGTTTTTAGAAATTCTGGAAAATAAATATATCTTGCCCCGTAACGATCAGTTCCTAGGACTGTTTCAAACTGGTTCTCCCATGGTTGTTTGGCTATTTCATCTTGTACAGTTTTCCTAGAGTGCTAAAAGGTGTATATTATACGTAAGCATATATCTTTATATGTTGCAAGTTCTCAAATAAATTCTGTCGTACCATAACTGTATCACAGACTGTTTTCAGAAGCCACACCTTCTGTTTAAAAGTTAATTCCTCGAAATCCTTGCCATTCAGCAAAGGAGCATCCGGAAAAACATTCCAGAATTCTGGTTCAACCCCGATGGTTTCTAGAATCTAAAAATCTTTTATCACTTTCTTTATCACTGCTTAGTACTGATAATGTACTTAGTTTGTGAAAAAATCGTTGCATAATTTGATTCACCATTTTAAACGACGTCTAAAAAAGCAATATAATTAGATGCTTACTTTGACTGCATCCTGGTGTTTCGCTTCGTATACTTTGAACCAGCTTTTCATTTTGTAAGCTAAAATATTTGTCCAAAATTCGTATGGCATGGGTGGTATTTTTCTTAATTTTGCTTTTGTCACTGGAGAACTGAAAGCAAGGATTTTGGGAAAGTATAAAATATGATTTCGGCTCAACCGGTTGATCGCTTAATTATTTTTTAAATTAAGTATACCTTAGTAAGGACGTCATGATATTTGCCAGCTGTTTCGAAGCTCTTGGAATTAAAAGCATACGCTCCATTTCGTACATGGATAAATGAGGTATATTCAGAGCTTCCTTAGCCAAATGAAGGAACTGAAATATCTGTGGAATCTGAGAAATTGTACAAATAATTAAAAATATGCATCGAAATGATTAAAATTGATATCAATAAAAATATGTACCTCCCACATAGATTTCATTTCATTTTTTATTTCCTCAGAAAAAATATTCTCCTCCTCCCAGTCAATCGGCGATTGATTCTCATCCTCAGATTTTCTCTTTCTGTTCTTCTTCGACATGACTATAATAAAAATAGAAGAATTAATTTTATAATATCAAGAATTGCATTGCTGTAACTGTTCAACGATAGATTTTCACGATGTTGAACAAAAAATTCTGCTCGTTAATCTAGTGTCATCTTTTACAACGTTATTAATGGAAGATAAACAATGCTGACCTACAATCTAACGACAAGTGTCGATGCAATTTCAAGTGCATCTTATCAGTATTAATTCTGCGTTTTTAACGCGCCTTATGAAACTTTCACGAGCTTGAAATGTCGGAGGTAATGTTTGCTCGATAACATGAATAAATGGTACTTAATAATGAGTTTGTTCCTTGTGCAAACATTTACACGTTTCTCGACAACAGAGTCTCTATTATGTAGGTAATTTCAGCAAACACTTTTTAACCGTCAGAAAGACGCAATCTTTCAATTTCATTTTTAACAACTCACTCTACATTATGATTTCAATATTAAGAATACAGCTGACCCTTCTATACCAGCCAATGCGTTACAATTGATTAACGACTTATATAAACATTTCTGCATGAAATTCGTTCATTCGAAGAAGAATGAAAAGGAGAAACGTCGACGCGATATAGCAAATGGAAGCTTGCTTTCCTCGCCCTGTGCTCAGTCAAAGTGTGCAAAAGATATCCTTCGGAAAGGAACGATAAAACAGTAATTTACAATTCTCTGCGTCATCGTACGCACACTCTTTCCATGTAAGGAAGTTAAAAGGACGCCTACGCCATCGTTGACCTCAAGTCGATTGACATCCTTCGCAAGGATCGTCATACGATTATAATAAGTTGACACAATTTTCATTACTCTTAATTGTAGGAAAATATTTCCTGATTAAACTAAACGGTTGCCTTCAAGAGGCTGCTCTGAGTTTGAGAAATTTGTAGAGAAAAAAAGGGGAGACCTTATAAATTAAGAGAGCGCCGTTTGAGACACCGATGCAACTTTTCAAAAGAAGGTAACGCTATTCTATAATCAACAACGAAGTTGCTTAAGAAATAAATTGATCGTATAGCAATCAGACAACTCAAGAAGTGAATGCGATGCCGATTAAGCTTTATTACCGAGAATATCCGAGTACGCAGGACGACAACGAACTCGAGAACTCTTACAAAACCGTCGACAGGACAACGTTGAATTATTTAAGAAGCCACGATCCTAATCTGCCGTATTCGATTAACACTTTGCATCTGCAAAATCCGTATCAACCGCCTCAAATTTTGGAAGGATACGCGTCACGAGAAAATTTCAAAGTACGACCAACACCCTTCAAGGTAATCGAATAACGCTGCTATTGCATTAAACTACGAGTTATACTAATGTAAATACAAATTTTTACAAGATTATGTACCGATCGAAAGATACAACGTTGAGATCTAGATACAATAAGAAGTCGATGCTCAAAAAAGAAAGTACTCTAGCGCAAAATTTGGACCAGGATGATGATAAAAATTCAAGGTAAAATATAGTATTAGTTAACTTTCTGTTGAGAAATACTTAGACAATTAATTAAATGCCGTTTTCTTAATTTAGTAAAGGTGAAAATCAATTGCGTTTGAAACATTTGGATGTTAAAAACACTATAAAGCAATACTGTACAAACAGTAGTCTTCATGGTTTACGTTATATTGGTGACTCAAATTTAACAATACTCGAAAGGTAAGTGAATTGTAATTTTTCTGAAATAATATCTAGAAAACTTATCACGTTGCATCCTTTGATATCTTTACAGAGTCTTCTGGATAATTTCGTTTTCTCTCGCATTTCTAACCGCAGCTTATTACATTTGGTTTCTGTACAGAAAATGGGTTTCAACGCCCATTATCATCTCTCTAAGCCCTGAATCAGTGTCTCTAAGCGAGTTTCCGTTTCCTTCGGTTACCGTTTGCAATATGAACAACGCAAAGAAGAGCGAGGCTGCTCGAATAAACGCTGGGTATACGAATAAAAATCTCCTGGACGTAAAACTAATCTAAAACGATAATGAATTTTTTTTATTGCAGTAACGACGCACGCAAGAAAATCTTGCTGGATGATAGATGCAATTTTGATCATAATACGAGTCTAAATCTTGACGAGACTGCAATCAATTGGAACAATATGCTACATTTTATGATTAACGTAAGTCGCAAGATAATTCAGCTAATTCGCTAGATGATTATCGATGCTCTTCTAAAGAAAATGTATCTTCCATCCTGAATATGTGTACAGAACATCTAAGTATTATACGTATCTCCGTTGAATCTGAAAATAGAAAAAGAAGTTTTCTCAATCATATATTATTTTAATAATTTGTTTGATAAATAATTTTAATCCGATACTTTGGTAGTTTAGGTACTACATAGAAGTCGCGGTTTTGAGGGACTAACTTTAGAAACTCTTGGGAAGTTCTAGCGAAGTTTAAATGAACGTAGTGGAATTTCTTCAGACGTTCTACTACATTAATAACGAGGAGTGTTTTTAAGCTTTCATTGAGTAATTTTCAACAGGTATCACAATCCTGTACAGAGATGCTACATCTATGTAAATGGCATGGAAATCTAACTGACTGTGAAAAGATTTTTAATCCCACGATGACCGACGAAGGAATATGTTGCAATTTTAATTCGGTACACAGGAAATACTTGTTTTACAATCCGTAAGTAGATATAGTTTACGATATTAATTAGGATTGTCTAATAAATTTCAATGCATCTTTCAGACGAGACTGGTCCGATCTGAACATCACGTTTCCGTTTAACAGCATCGACTGGAGTCCGGAAACTGGTTACGACGAGAACGTGGCCCCGGATTCCATACCATGGAGACCTTACGGTGCTGGACAATTCTACGGTCTCACTTTAGTCCTTGATGCGGATGTTGGGGAGTATTATTGCTCGTCTACCGCCAGTGTTGGCTTCAAGGTATCTTAATATTTTTCAAACCAAATCTCCTCTAATTGGGATCATTCGAGTAATATTAATAGTGCAATGATCAAATGAAAATGTTTCTCGTACAAGTTGCTGTTGCACAATCCAGTCGAAACACCGAAGATCGCAGAATTTGCGTTCTCAGTGACCCCGGGAGATGAGACCAGGGTAATCGTGGCGCCTCGGATATCGACCGCCAGCAAGTCGATAATATCCGTTCCTCAGAGGAAGAGGAAGTGCTTCTTCACATCCGAGAGAAAGTTGCGCTATTATAGAACTTACACGCAGAGGAATTGTGTCCTCGAGTGCGAGGCAAATTTCACGCAGAAGATTTGTCACTGCGTTCAATATTACATGCCCAGTAAACAATTTCACATAAAGAATTCGAAAGCATAATTAATATAAATTCCTGACTCTGATTAACGATTATAATTCGTGCGTTCTCAGAATCGTCGAACACACCGATCTGTGAAAAGAAGGACGAGACTTGTGCGACGATTGCCCGCCGAGCAATGGAAGTGAAGCTTTACGACGATGACATTGGTATATCTTCTCTGAACGTTTCTGAAACGTGAGTCGTTTATATTATGTGTTTCGTAAGGAACGTAGATGATGTGTATATCATTTTACAGACCTAGTTGTAATTGCTATCCAGGATGCTTTGAGATCAACTACAGCGTCCAAATTTCGCAGAGTAAATTGGTGCCCTCGTTCTCTATCTCGGATAACTATGTGACGAAGGGCAGGGAATATTTTACGTAAATATAATGAATATAAAAATTAGAAATAATTATCTTAAAATACTACTTGAGAGTAAAACTTTCGGGAATTAAATTAAATTGAACGATTAAATCTTTTTGTTAACAGGGAGAACATGGCAGTGGTCCATTTGTTCTTCGTCGACTCTCAGTTTACGAAATACGTGAAGAACGAGCTGTTTGGATTCACGGAGTTTCTCTGTACGTAAATACAACATTTCTGCTTCTAATTTAATTACTTAAGTGCCAGTGGTAATTAACTGTCCACGGTAATTCTTGCGCTTAGTAAACGGTTTTCCATTGTTTGCAATTTTCCTAAGTTCCTCCTTCTAATCCTTCCACTACATACGTGTACGTACAGATCCTGTGTCCTAATATTGATTATCTTGCGTCTATGCTATAGAGTATCTCTCCTATGCCTGGAATTAAATTAAAGGCACACTAATTTTTAATTGTGCTCTACAATGCCATATAAATCAAGAATAAAGTAGGAAATAAAAAACAAAAAATATTTTACCTATAGAACAAAGGTAGTTAATTGAAATTTGAGCGAAATACTTAATTTTTCGAAATGACAATAAATTGTTAAAAGCTCGATTTGAAAAATTGCAACGGTCTCAATTATAAAATTCCATGTGTACAGCCAGCACAGGTGGTTTGTTGGGACTCTTCATGGGCTTTAGCTTCCTATCCTTGGTGGAGATCATTTACTTCGCAACATTACGTCTATGGTGCCGTGTACAAAAGAACAAACAGACTCATAATGTCCTTCAGGTACATCCTTTGGATTCAGGTCAAAATATTGTGTACCCCTTTGTACAGTGATTTATCATAAACCACACGGTAAATACAGCTTACTAGATCTATAAAACAATACACTAAAAATATACATTGTTTTTTACGAGTGTAAACTATGTAAAATACATTTTATAAAGACGCAGCAGAAATTTGAATTTATCGCTACTGGAATTCGAGGGTTTCGATTATCGAAGATTTTCGATTATTCGATGTATCGAACATGTACAGGACGTAACAATAGTTGATCGAAATTATCTGAATAATTTGACAGTATTTTATTTGAATAAACGTAATTGCTAAATTTATAGATTAATTATACTAAATGATTTTTTGTCGACAATTATTTTCTTCTATGATGTAAGTACAGGATAAATTTAATAGAGCACGCTTTAATGTAAGCGCAGTTGACTGACTTTTGTCAGACACTGTACAAAGATGACAACGACTATGTTACATGATACTTTGTTATGTGAGTAAAAGATGTAATACATATTTAAGATTATTTTTTTTATTGAAGCATTGAAAGTTGCTTTCTTATTTCAAGATTAATACAATGACAGAATAGCGCACATAGATCATAATTATGTACGGATTTAATTTGTTCTGGCGTCTTGATTACCTAATTGGTCGACCTCGATTAACAGAGATCCTATTGTATATGTTAAAATTAATTATCTGTCATAGTATACTTATTAAGAAAATAACTTATTTCTGTCGGTAAGAAGATAATTTATACGTATAGGGGAACTAAGCAAAAACAAACGTAAATATCTATATATTATTTGTATTTATCCGTTGTAAAAAAGTATTCAACAATTCTGATCTTCATAATAGTTATTTTCGTTTTTCTTCTGTTTCTAGAATCTAAAAGATAATTTAAACTTTATGGCTTTTAAAGTTTTTATGGAGTTGCAACGTAGAATTACATGCCGCACGAGAAAATATTGACACTCTTATAAACAATTACAACCTGTCATCATAGTATGATAATTAAATAACCTAATCAAAGGAGAGTATGGAATCTTTATTAAACTATTATTTTTAAACTAGCTATCACTTTTCAAAGCACAAAAAGCAATTTTATGACAATATGACCGACGGTACTTATTACAAAGAAATGTATCTTTTTCAATGACCTACCTTCAGCGTGAGATTTTTGATGAAATTTCAATCGTAACCCAGTATCATTCTTGGGAATATTATGAGGCGGTTGCAATGAAAAATATTGTCACATAAAGGAATTATAAGCACTCAACACTAAACACACTTCAACATTTTCCACAACGCCATGTTTATTCCTTGACGGTGCGCGTGTGACTAAATTCACGCGCAGCACGAGACTGTCGACTATGGTCACGTCGTTCATCGAACCGGTTGCGCATGCGCACCACGAATCCGCCATTTTTCAAAATATTTTCTTCCACGCGAATTTCAAGCTTTAATTTTTATAAAATTTAAAACTTTCTATTCATTTTATCAAACAATTATGATTATCAAATTAAAGTTTGTTGTTTGTTGTCCAACAAATAGGAAATTTCTTGAAAATCAAAGTGAATAAAAATATAAAATATACAAAATGAAAAATGAGGAAGAACTGATTGTTATAATTGATGTTTAGACATACTAATATTGTTAGATACGCATGCCCGCTAAATAAAATTCACGTGAATCTTCAAAAATGAAAATGTCCCATGGACATCATTTATTATTATACCTAATGTCTGATATAATCGTGCGCTAACTTTTAATCGGTACGATTTCCTTATCTAGGCAATAATTAATATGATACATGTTACATTCAAAATTATAATTCTAGTTATATTGACAGCAGACTAATCTAAAGTGACAATCTTTTTTTCCCTTCATACAAAACGGTGTCTTTGTATACACGCATTTCATAAGTTCTTTCACAGTGGCTTCACCATCGCTATTTGCATAGTTTTTCTTTTTTTCTTTCTTTTGCAAACACAAAGATAAAAGAAAAAGAAAAAACATCGATTTGCCACATTCTCGGGTCAAGTAAAAAACACGCGAAAGTCGAAGCCAAAGGAAAACGGAAGATTGAAACTTAAATTTTAAAAGAGCGCATCCCGTAATACAATTCGCTTTTTTTTTCTATATAACACGTGTTACATGATAAAAGTAATTCATTTTCATTTTTAACTACATCTTCCGAAGAACGATCTTCAGCATTCTCATACGGCAAACGATGAAAATACCAAGATCGTTTAAAATTTACAACATTCTTGGAACAACGATTTCGGTATTCTCACAGATACAACGACGATGAGAATACCGACGAAAAATCGTTAAAATTCTCCCGTGAAAGAACGAAAATAATGATTATCTTCTTCTTCTTCTTCTTCTTCATCGTACACATTTGTATGTATAACTTTACATTCGTACTAGTAGAATATTAGAAAGTGCATAGATTTCCAAAAACTTTTTCCTTTCTTCTTCTTTTTTCTCTCTCTCTCTCTCTCTCTCTCTTTACAATGGCAAATGAAAAAATATTTCAATAGATACCCTGAAAATAAATTATTAGATTAAATATACAGTCTCACATCGTTATACGCGTTTTTATCAATGTTCCTTTCCTTATTTTCTTCTCCAGTCGTTGCGATAGAAAATTACAAGATTTTTCTTTTTAAATTCTTCTATCTTCTTGATTTCTACTAATTTTTTCTTCTTCAAGTAGAATGTATGTTCCTTATATTTTACAAAGAGGCCATTCGATTCATCTCATGTACCATCTCTTTGATAAATAAGAAATCGACACTTCCTCTATTCCGATCTATCTCAAAGATGTATCCTCTCCTTTTTTTTTCTTTTCTCTTTTTCTTCTAATCGCTCGCTCCGCATCAAAGACTTAACAATACGACAATGAACAGATAATTTAATAGGAACGTGTTTCTTTTATTATCATTATCAAAAATTCGTATGATCAGCATTTATTGCCCATACAACTTGGTGTTATGTAAAAATTAATCTATATCGCGATAGGACTGCATATTTCTGTTCTATTTATCAATCCTCCTCTTTTCAATGAAGAAACTTTTACACATGATCCACGTAATCGTACGTTTCCTTCCTGTATTCTTTAGTTCCCTTTCTGTTGGCTAGACGACGAGCATCGTTTGTCAAAAAGAAATTAAAATAATAGGCAAACAAGACGATACGAAAATTCGTTTTCCCTTCTGTCTAACGAAGAAAGCTTTTGTACAAAAAAAAAAACCTCATCATCTTTCGTCTGTACACGTTTTGACTTATACAATACGCTTATACAAAGTCTTACGTATATCGATAAACACGTTGACTGTCGTCTGGCTGATTTTTTATGAATAAACGAAACCTAAAAATTGGGAGTTTCCTGTAATCAGGATAGAAAATCGATGAAAACTTTTAAATATCATTTTAATTAATGTTAACCCATCCTGTTTCTAGCTCAAGACACAGTCAACGTATTAATCCTTATCTGAACGTCGCATCGGTCGGTTTTGACGTTTAATGTTATAAAATACTGTTGCGAGGATAAATCGTTCGAAATAATAGGGGTTTTATCGACGTATCCTGATAAGGATTAATCATCCGGCGAATGACGCGGTCAAAATTCATTAAGCCGTCAATTATTCGAAAAAGAAAAAAAAAGGGTCGAACGTTTTAAGGACGAGTGATATCCTTATTAATTGGCGACACAAGAGCGTCGAGTTAATTGACCCTGAAACCTCGACCCTTAACATTCGTGGACGAAAGAAAAATTTCATACGTTTTTTTTCTTTTAAATGTGATTCGCGAATTTGCGAGAGCTTTGTTATATATACAATTTCGATGGGATTCTCCTCAGGAAGAAGACGCTTCCGGGCGTTTTGATTAAAATGGAAGCTCCGAATTTTTCTTTTTTGTTCGCTGAATATCATCTAAGAACGCGGGTAAATTGCAAGGAGCCACGTAACCGTGTAACAAAACTCAACACGCTTTTTGTTATTTTCAAAAAATTATCAGAGGGTGAACGAGCAATTTTTTTTTCAAATCGTATTCTACTTATGTAAAGGCCAAAGTGTTGAAAGAGAATGTAATAAAGAAAAATGGCACTGCAGGTATAACAAAATTCAGAAAATTGTATCGCGAAACGGCCCCGTATCTCCTTCGACAATTTCAACGTCGCGAAATTCCTAAAATTACTTATTTATCTAGGACTTCGTACTTACAATCCCCGTCGACCTACGATCGGTAGGTCTCTTAACGTAGGTACAATTATATAAAAGCGAGTTACACTCTCGAAAAGAAAGGGCTCATTGGGATTTTCATACACACAATCTAATTGAAAAATTTTCAACAGAACGTTCCGTTCGCTCAAAACAATTAACGGGCTCTTTAAACGAGGTCTGAACAATTCTGGAAAATGAATTAAAATTCAGATATCGAACGAACGGCGTACCATACACAGGTTCGCCAAAGTATTCGAACGTTATTAGCATAGAAATTAAAACTGTATGTAAATTACATAGTAATAGCATGCTTGGTACATTAATTAAATTAAACATCGTTGTAACGTTGGAAAGGAAATTTTACACAGGTTTACACTTACCTGAGAATTTAAATTTCATTTCCTAAGCTGTTTAATATCTAAATGATATTTATCTCGCGTCTATCATATTTTACATAAGCACATATTCCTTGTAAAATACATACCCTATTCTATATGTATAATTCGTGTGTACAATTAAAGCATAAAACGTAATATCGTTCGAATACTTTAGCCAGCCAATTGTATCTTTACTTAACAATAATTTTCCTGAGTATTTAAATTGTACAGCATATTTTATCGAGGTCGTTTGAACTTAACGATACCATTATTGTTTTGAGCAGCGTGCATTATGTATAAATTTGAACAATACGTGATTCGGAAAACTGTTTTCGTGCTTTCGTTCACATTGATCGAACAAAAGTGAGTCGTTTCGTAAAAAAAAAAAGACACCTTACGATTAGAGCCCTCCTCTTCGATCTCGGGGACACGTCGTATAATTAATATTTACAAAATTCTCCTCTATTTAAAAAATAAAAAATAAAGGGCTGATGAAAACAACGTAATTATTCAAGTGTTTCGAATGATTGCACTGGCAAGCTGAGACGAGATGATGCTCTAAGAACAAATATAATATATCTACGCCGCACCTCAGTCTTGGAAAAAAAAAGAAAAAACAATTTTTCTTTCACTACAAAACACTTTGAACCTTTGATTTCGAAACGATGAATACAAGAAAGATTAATTATTATCGGGGATAACACCGAAGAAAAAGTCTCTAATCTAATCAAAAATACTGTAGCAGGTATTATGACCATATTAAAAGTAAATTAAACGTAACGGTATTATCTTTATTTTACATGTTGTAGCGATAAAAACAAAGTAATCCCCAATCCCAGATTTCTTGCAATGAAAAAAGAAGAGAAAGAAAGTGAGAATTTGAAGAACTGATCAAATAATAATCTGCAAAGGGTCGATCACTTTGTGATCACGCGTTTTTCGATGGCATTATTATTAATAATAATAATAATAATCATTATTATTATTTTTCTTTAATACTTCGCGATCGATCAGCAATTATACACTGTATAAAAGAATGATCCGGGACATCATCGAGCCATTCTGCCTGTCTCCCTTGTTTCACGGTTGTTTATTTCTTTTTTCTCCTTCTCTGGTACAAAAACAGTTTGCAGACAATAAGCTGTACAAAATATTAAAACAATCCTATAAATTCGCGATTTAGATTATTAAATTTCATCCGAGATAGAAAAATAAAACAGGGAGAGAGGGTATGTATGTGAAAAGTGTGTGTGTGTGAGTATGAAGTTTCATTGAAAAAGCAATCAGAAATTGCTGGATAATTTTAGATTAAAAAAAGTTTAATCGCGGAAAACGATACAGTCGACGAAGATGTCCGAGGAACAGCGCTTCTTTTTTTATTTTTATTTTATATATATATATATCATTCTTCAAATGGCGCGAATGCATCCTTGATCATCGTCGATACCACGAATTAACCGACCAGTCGGATACAGTGGCATCGTCGATTTTATTATTATTATTATTTTTTTTTTTCTTCTTTACTTGATTTAATTACAAATCGAATCGTTTCTTGATTCACTGTTATAATTCAAGAGTTCCACAGCGACACAAGTTGTTGGTGCCATCGCTCTTAACAAGTGGGGATATAAAAATTAATATGTATATATCGTATAAGATAATCTAGCCAGCTATTTGCCGTTTACAAACTAGCAACTATTTTTTTTTTCTTTTTTAGTAACTGATATCCATTATAGTTCACGGCCTTAAAATTATAAAACAGATTAGTCTGCCGGTCGATATTCACTACTATTATTGCAGCTCCAAGTGAGATAGAAATTCTTCCTCGCGTGGCGATATACTCCTGCCGTCATTTTTTCTTTTTCTTTTTTTTTTCTTTTAATCGTGGTCGTTGTCATTGCAATAAACGCAATTCTTTTTATTGTGATCCCGAATGACTGGACGGAAGAGGGCTCGCTCAAATCTGCGATATCCGCACCACGACTTCCGTTTCAACGTAGAGACGCGCGTATAAAGATGATAGTTTCTTTTATTTATAATGATCTGTATTTTTATTTTTCTCGTTTTTCTTCTCTCCCATTGATTAAATTCGATGATTAATTTCAATGAATATAAAAAGGACACAGGAGACGGGCAAATTAATTATTCGCTAGATCAAAACAATATTCCATTCCATTACTGTCTCGTCATTGTGTTCTTTTCTTTACTTTTTCTCTACTTAAATTATTAGAAAGGGCCGAGGTTCAGGCGTTTTCAAACGAATGCTTTTCATATTCCTTCAGGCACATTATTATTTGCCGTTCGCGTATCGATTTCGCTTGAAAACATTTTCCATGCAGCTGGTAAATATGCACAGCACGCACAAATTGCCAGTATCAGGCAAAGCGATCAGGTTACCGCGCTTCCTGCCTAGCCAAGATTTAGTCAAAGCTATCACATATTATCGTTCAATGAGTCATGAAACCTCGATATAATACGTTTACTACAATAAATTTTTTTTATTAAATTCCGTGTAGAGCGAGGGGCGGACGAGCCACGTAAATAAAAGATAAAAGAAACAAAAAAAAAAAAAAAAAAAAAAAAAGAATCTAATATCTGCAATTCGATTTTTGTAAATGAATTGGAAAGTAACTACAATACCGTCGGAACGAACGAAATTGTTATTCAACCTGATGTCAAACATTTCTAGTTAATGCGCTTATCTCGAGTGAGAAAATATAAAGTAGATTTGTTATTATTAGTTCCTTTTTCCATCCTTTCATATCGTTTTCGTATTCATTCACAAAAGACCTTTCATGACTACTTAACCGTGGTCGGGAGAGCGTTTCGATTATTTTACGAGCCGTACTCTTCCGAGTCACGTTTTTCTTTTTAATATGAAAATTACTCACTCGCGTAAAATATCGCCGAGTCTTTGTTATCTTTTTTCCCCCATTTTGATATATTCATTTCATTATTATTTCAATGCGTTTATATCCGACTGTCACCAAATATCCTCCCACAGAATCCGAATCTGCACGGGAAGCGTGCTGCCAATCACTCTGGAATCTTGTCTCTTGCTGAAATGTTGTCCACGTCTCTCTTAACAACATTTATAACGTTTCCACGCACGTGTATCGCATTCTCAATTGTTAATTAGCGTATCTTTTTTCCTCTTAAAAGGGTTAAAAAATTAACCCCTTTACCAGCTCCTGAAAGGTATTCTCTAGCTGAATCATTTAGGCTCTGGGAAGGTCACCTGACACTTGTAGACTTCTTCGAGCATTACCGCTTGCCCTTGCCCTTGGCTGACGGTAACAGGAGTCGTGGTGTTCACCACGACAACCTGTTGGCCTTGCTGTGCTTGTTGGGGCTGCTGCTGCTGCTGTTGCTGTTGCTGCTGTTGTTGATTACTCGCGTTCGCTTGCTGTGCGTTACTCGGATTATTTGCATTCTGATTCCGGGCCGTTTGCCCGTACTTTTCGTGGATTGCACGATGACGCTTTAATGCAAAACGATCGGAAAATCCGATCTCGCATATATCACATCTGAAAGTGACAAGAAAATATAATGACAACAATGAAAAAATTTCGATTAAACGAACGACAAGTTTTCGTTGAAATTTTATCCTATCAATTACACTACCTGTGCGGCTTTTCACCAGTATGGACTTTCGCATGATTTTTCAGATGTGTAGCTTGATTAAAGGCCGAACCGCATATATTACATCTATAAGGTTTTTCACCGGTGTGAATTCTTCTATGATTCCAAAGGGTTGAATGTCTAGCAAATGTTTTTTCACACACTTCACACTGATACGGACGTTCACCAGAATGAATTCTCTCGTGATTTTTTAAATGAGGACTTTGCGAAAATTGCATACCACATACACCGCATTTAAACGGCTTCTCACCAGTGTGCACCCGTCCATGATTTTTTAGATAAGCAGCTACAGAAATTGGAAGTAAACATTGTAAGTACATGTACATAGTATGTATCATATTTTTGATTTATATTCTTCTCTTTTATAATTTACCTTTTGCAAAAGCTAAACCACAAACTTCACATTTGAAAGGTTTGTCTCCAGAATGAAGTCTTTTGTGGGACCAAAGCGACGAATATCTGGAGAATGTTCCATCACAGACGTTGCAATGAAACGGTTTTTCTGCCTGGTTTTGACTGTTCTGTTTACCGCCTGGAATTAAAGAAACACCCGAATTCTTAGTATTCCTCGAAGGGCCAGTTCTACAAAAATATATGTACATTCTTAGGTGATTTTGAAGAGTACGAGACACTGGATTATGTATGGTTGTTTGGAAAGTATTCCCTTTCCTGATATAACCAAAAGAGGAAGTCTACATAGTTTATGAAACTTGTGCTCCCAATTTAAATACAATATCATGTTGAAATTCGAACATGCGGGTTATGGAAGTTAGTGTAGAAAGTAAAAAATGAGATAAGATGTAAAATATTTTGAATCTGATGATTTGTGTTATTATATATATGAATAACATAGTCATGTTGAAACTATTACACGAGCTTGTAAACCTATATCACCAAATAAGGAAGGACTTAAGTACATAAAATGAAATCTAAAATAACTTTTGAATATCAAAAGTGCTAAAAAGTTAATGAATCAAATTTATAAAACTGTCCCTTAGGGGAGATTTCATTCCGTGCAATGATTCTTAAATTTAGATATCAACAATGCTACCAAAAAGAAAATAGGATCGATGCAAAAAATTTAAAATGTTTGTAATAATAATAAAAATGAAACAAATGCTTAATTAAAAATGTTCTCTTTTTACTGTCTACCTACGATAAATGCATGCAAATAAAAATATGATCGATAACTAAAGAAGTTGATTGAATTTATAATAAATATTTATTTTATTTTCCTAATAGGAACTGATGAAATAAACTTAAAGAAGGTGGCGATTATAAGTATTCTTCTTTATGAGAATGGTGATAGTATAGTGATTTTTAATTTATTATTAAAGAAGATATAAAGATTCACTGAAATAATAAACTGACTTGATCCAATGATCAATGGAGAATTATGAAATATAAATCCCTTATTCTCTTTTCGCTGTAATTTTTCCGACTTACTTCCTATGATGATGCGGCCTGTTGCCTTGCAGCCGCCACACTTTGCGAGGGAACTGATTCCAGAATCTAGTTTTTCGTCGTGTTTACCTACCATACACCACCCGATGTACGATCATGATAGTAATGAAATGATAGAAGTAGAGGAGAGATGATCATGATTTGAGAAGAAAAATGTTTTTCTTTCTACTTTCGAACAACGCTTGAAATGCTGTACTTCTTTTTAAGTAAACATTTTTCTTCAATCCGACAGCAAGACAATGACAATCTCTACTTACCAATAAAAATGATTCCTGTGCCATTACACTTATGACATTTAGTAACACTGGTAACACCCCTTCGTTTCACAGGATGATGACCGGGTTTGATAGCTTTAAAAATAGAGTTACGAATGTTACGATAAATTAACAATCATTTATAATACATTTTAATTATCAATTCATAGGACATACTCTTTTTAATTTTAGTAGGATGATGTTCACAGGGGTCCTCGCTACCACAATCTTCACAAATTTGCACCTTTGGTTTCTGATGCATATTTGTCTTATGGCTCTTCAATTCTCCTGGTAATGCAAAGCATGCTCCACACACATCACAGGTATACGGTCTTTCTGGAGTTGTTGCAACAGTAACTGTTGTAGGTGCTTGTACAACAACTTGTTGCGGTTGTTGCTGAAGATTACTAGGTGTTGTATTATGAATCCGTTTATGATGATTCAGCAAGCTCATGTGCCCAAAGACCAAACCACAAATGTCACATTTGAAGGTCGCATTGGTGGCAGCCGCAATACTCATCTGATTCAATAATGTGTTATAACCGACAGGTTGCACATCAAAGCGATAACAACCCTTGTCGTCGGTTGTGATCGCACCGATCGTGCTCACCGCGTTTGTTTGAACCTTCTGGAGCATGTTGACATTGTAATAGAAAGGGAACTCTGCAGTTGCTGATTGCTGCTGAGATTTGTCCTCTTTCTTGTCTGTTGTGACATACATTTGCTGAGACTGCTGCTGCTGTGATTGTTGACCCTGAGCAGCTTGTTGCTGCTGTATTTGTTGCGGGTCAAACATGGCTGCTTGCTGCTAAAAAATTATTATACGATCGTTTATTATATCATTATATTTAAAATACATTATACAGAGACAGGTAAATACATTATTATTAAAAAAATGAAGACATATGATTTCTTAATTACAGCTTAATATAGCAGAGCAATATGAAAAAAAAAAAAAGAAAAAAGAAAAAATGTAAAAAGTAATTTAATGAACATTCATTTGTGAGATTTAATACATTTCAAATTTACATTAGGATAATTTCTTGTATAGTTGTCATCATATGTAGGAACCTATCTCTGTCAGCATTTTTATAAATAACAACCTGTCTCTGATCGCCGTAGCTTGAATTGCTCTGCTCCGTTTGAGTAAAACTATTGGTTTGCTCGGTTTGAGTAAACATGGAACACTTCACTGGCTGCTCAATTGGTTGGCTCTGTTAAATAATAGATTCTGTTAGATATTACAAGATTGTACTTTTCGAGCTTGAAAACAACAACATTCCGTAATGCCTTGTTAGAAGCAACGTGCTTTGAGCACTCCGTACGCATTGAACATAAAAAAAAAAGCCAGTGAATACCAAAAGAAAAAATAACTTGTTCCTTCTTTACATCGCTGTGGTGCACAAGTTGCGTACCTGTTGTATTTGATCAGGACGGGTTGTGTTCAACCACACCACGTTGTTGCCATTTGATTCTAGGGCCATTGATGTGTTGCCTTTGACCCTGCACAATCAGTAGGCATTCGTTACACAGAAATACGACCGAGTCCGATACATCTAGATAAGCGTGAAGCATTCTCCCTCCCTGATCAAAACCACACCAAAGTAGAAAGGAATAATTTCAATGTATTGTACACAGTGGGTAAGCTTACTGAAGAAATGAAAAAGAAGAAGAAAAAAAAAGAAAAGGAAATTAAGATTCAAAGTATAACCACGACATTAAAATACTCACATGTGATAGTCTACACGGGCGCCGCGGGTTACATGTCTGGGTGCCAAACGGATGATCTTTTAGTTGCCATGATTCCGGCGCGGAATACCGCGCAACTGGTCACACTATTCCTGACGATCGTGATACCTTAATAACTGATTTAAGTATTTCGTCCTATACAACATCCGAGAACAAGTTCCTCGTGTCGGTTGGGCCGTGGTCGCGGTAGAAAATCAATGGCGATCGATTTAGTGCTTTGTTGCACCTTCTTAATATCTTAGATCCCGCTAAAATTAACACTAATCACAAAGCCGCTGCGATCTTACTTTTCGTCGATGCCGCGAAATCAGTTTTCAGTTACACGCTTGTCAACGAGCAGCGTTGACCCGCGCAGATCATGTCGTCCAAGCGCGGTGGCGGCTGCGGCGACTGGTATACGAAGCGCGGGTTTCTCGGTTGCATAAAATTGGCGGTACCTCGGCGTTCAGCACTTCTCCCTTTTATTTCCCTCGTGTTCGTCCACGTCGTCGTGTACCGTGGCTCAGGATAGGCCGATGCGCGAAGAAACAGACCGAGCACCGTCAACAAACTCTACGGTAGCCATTACACGCGACGAGGATAACAATGGGCGACACGAACGCGCGCTGCCCCCGATGCCTTTTTCCGAAGCGTTTTCGGGCGCCTTCCGTGAATGCAGCAAGTACCGCCAAGGTCAGCTCCTGGTGGCGCTCCACAGACGCTAATACCCGTTACACTGCGCGTTTTCATTGGTCCACGACTTATCGTCCACGTTTCTCATTGGTTCATACATTCTTTCCAGTCGAAACTTGGAAACAATAATTAATCCTTCTTTAAAAAAAAAAAAAATTATTTCTTTATACAAAATTTATAAAAATATTTACAGCCCTTTTAATCAAGTTTTTCAATTCAAACTTATCGTTGGTTCTTGGCTTTGTTAAAAAGAATAAATCAAATACCTCGCGGCGATACTACGTGTTAGAACAAAGAGTATAGTAAAAGGATTAATGTATCGTTTAATATAATATATTTTAATGAGTATATACTGTTGATAAGAATGTATAAAATTTATTCATATTTATAAAAGTTGCGGTTGACGTGGAAATCTAGCTTTGCACTCAGTAGTTCAACGATTTACCGTAAGATGGTGCTAGTGAATTTCTGAAACTGTTAGAGATATTCAAAGTTCTTATTTATCGTACATAAAATACTACCGTATTAGCAAGTAAAATGCTTGTGGTTTAATTAAAATAAGCTCCATCACTTCTGTTAATGGTTTCCAGTCTTCAGCAATTCGCGAAAACGTAACTTACACATTTATATCAACAAGCGTTTTCAAAATATCATTATAACACATCCTGGCAACACTCCATTACTCATCGATCTAGATACCACAATTTTTTCCTGGCAAACCCTTATGGTGAGAAATAAGCAATTCGTATCTCATTTTAAAGTTTAAATGAATTTTAGAACAAGCAAATGTAAGTATGCATTAAAAAGAATGAAGATTCTATAACCTTTGAAGTACAAATTTGAATATTAAAATGTGCGTTATTGTGCATTAACTTAAAAAAAAGTTCTTTAAGGATAATACACCGAGTAGGTCAAGCTTTGATAAAAGGATAAGGTATTACAAAGTTTCATGCAAAACTATGAATTATGTAATTATATTCGTATCAGTGCGTGCACACTGAAACATAATTACTTTTTGGATTTAATTCGAAAGTATCTAAAGATGGAGTAAAACTTGGCACCATTTTGAAAAGAAAATCCTCTAACAATCCTTTCGAATTATCGCGGTATGTTATAACTTTTAATTTTTAGTATATAAAATATAAACGTTGAAGAACCAAATAAAATAACTTAATTTTTTCAGTAAAAATATACGCAGCTTTTTTGGAGTAATTATCAAAATCTACAGTTACAACCTATTCGAATTCTACAAATTTTTCTTTTCCCTTCTCAAAAGCTTTCACGAAACAGCATTTTTATTCCGATGTATTTTTTTCCAGTTCCAAAAATAACCGGCGTCACCGTTTTGTATGGTAGCTGTGGTTTGCTGGTCCCTTTGAAACGGCTCGGTGTGACCCAACGAACAACCCTTTCATTTTGCCGCGGACAATGTACCGGTCAAGTCTGCGGCGAAGTTCTAAAACGAAGCGTGTCATTTAAAATTCAAGAAAAATGTCTCTTCTCATGAATCGATCACGGCACGAGGCTGTGAATCTGTATTTGTTGGCAAACGGATACGACTATGATCTTTTCGCTTTTCTAAATAAGTTAGTCTGCGTGGGAGGCGTTCTAAGCGTCTGCAGACGATGTCACAGGATACTATTGCGAAATTTCTGTGCCGTCTTTCTGAATGGTGTCAGTAAAACTGCCATCATCACCCTGGTGTCTTTGTTAACTGTAGAACACAGTTAATTCAACAAATGCACAATGGTGCATTCATAAAAATTAGACACTCAAATTTTCCAAACGAACACGGCTTTACATACATTTCATAATTTTTTCCTAGCCCACTAAATGGTTTTCACTTTAACTTCAAAGATCATCTTTATTTTTATTCTGGCCCATTTTATGCGTTTTTAAAATGTTCTACGGGATACGTATAATCGATGTAGGTGACCCACTTCGGGGGATCGCTCTGCGTGAAACACTTTGCCTCCGGATAAAGTGGAGTCCTTGTTTCTGGAACAAGAAAAGGTGAATAGAGCCTTTTCACCGAGAACTCGGAATGGAATAGACAGTGATATGTGTTTTTGAAAGCAGGAGATCGAATCTATTACAGCTATTTAATCAGCAATACTTGTAATGCTTGTGGAAAATAAATGATTCAGAAGTAATTAGAGAAGAGAAACTGGACAATTTAAGTTATTAACAATTATTAAATATTTCAAGAGCACTGGAAAACATAACACTCTGAACCATACTTAAAAACAGAGGAACAGAAGATTAATTTATAATGGTCATTATAGTGATCCAACCATTCTATACGTTTAAAACTCAAAATAAACAAATTTTAAGGTAAATACTTGTTGTATTCCTGATATTTTATTTTTTTTTTTTACCATATAATTGAATAATTAAAGTTTGTTGAATTTTGGAGTGGCCAGTACGGCCCTGGAAATCGTAGCGCCTGTTTCAAAACGCCACGACGCCCGGCACCAGTAGTCTCGCTCAGTCAGTTGGCGTCGCGACGCCGCCGCCAGAGGTATCCTACAAGTACGTACGACACTATATTCCCGGCTTGTCTCTCAAGCTAAGATAATAATTCGAATAGTGCACGTGAACAGTGAATACTGAAATTCGAGTTTCCAGGGGATCCTCAAAGTTCACTGACTCTTAACAAGCAGTTGATTAAAAGGAAACAAGGAGCAACTGAATCACAAACGATATACTTTCAACAATATCTGACTGATAAATAAAACAGAAAGGAAGAAATCAATATCCAATGGGACACAAAGGATTCACCTAAGCGTAAAACGTTGCCGATCACGTTGAAGTAATAAAAATTACAATATAAATTGTTCCGTTGTAGAGGAAAGTACCGATGACCCGTAAGTTTCCAAACGTTATCTCAATCCTTTCGAGTGGTGATCAGCTGACTTTAAAGATACGTTATCCTTGATCCAAATGACGCGCACCAGGATATTAAAGGCGACGAGTGACGTGATCGTGTTCACGATTAGAATGAAATGACGAACGAGCCTCGTGGTTCCTTCGATAGTCGAGAAACTAAGGGAAAAAAAGGGTGAAAAGTTTTTGAGGACATTGCAGGATTCATCGGTACCCAACGTGGAACACGATTAATCTATACAAATCTGTGTGAAATTAATTATACTGGGTAAAATTCCTGTGAATATTTGAAACCTGGATGCTGGAAGATTCTAACAACTCGAGTGAAATGAAAATTCATTTAGCGACTGATTGCTACAGTAACGATTCATCTGCTTGATTGGAGCCTTTAATTGGCAAGAAATCCAAGGGAAGAGGAATCCGAGATTTCATCCTCGATTGGTCCCTCGAAAGTCCGTGTTTCAAGTACTTAAATTCAGCATCGATTTAAAAAAAAAAAAAAAAAAAACTCTTCTTTGAGAGAGACAGAGTGCAGAGAGTCGATTTGCATCGTTAAGTGAAAAAAAGAAGCTTATTTATTCACCGACGGGTAACAAGCCGGCAAGTCGAAGATACACAATTTTTTGAGGAGATCGTCGGTTGTTTTCATCGTCAAGATGATTCTAAAACGCACAATTCTCTTGGATCCTTCAACGTTATCCTCTTAAATATTTACAAGATATTATTCTTCAGACACGAGGTAGAATACTGTACTAGCTGCCGACTAAATTCGTCTACAGTCAATCTATTTATTGCTGAAGATGCACCCGGGGTTGCTGACCGTCAAGGTGTCACCATATTAATTTTAGACGTTCGAAAAGCCGGAAGTCATCGAGATCCTGATCGAAACCGAGAAACCGGACACGGTCAAGATCAATGAATGCTGTTGCCGGTGGTCCATTCGCTGGTTCACGTGTTCGTGACTTTATTTCTACCCACGAACGATAATATCCCTTGCCTTTTTACCTCTTCTATTTTCTCTTTCATTCATAAACTTGTTAAAATATTCATTTTCATTCTGTAGGATGTTAAAGTGATCGGTGCAGACAGATGTTTATAAGGAATGCGTTCCAATTTACAATTCCGGAGGAGTTTCATACAGACGAAATTTTTCTACGACACCAATTGAAATTTGCGGTTTCATTTATTATCATCTAGTAACCAGAGTTTCTCGAGTCATGTGACACAGGATAGCGGTTTGATAAATTAAGAGGTATTCAAAAGCATCTTGGATTCTATGGTACCGTGGAAGCGTGACTGATTGCCTGGCGTCCCGATTCCCGCGATAAATTCCTCGTGAAATTTTCTTGAACACCCGCCGAGGCTCTCTTCGTCTTCTATCCATCTATTTATATATAAATGTGTTCTCGAATGGAACACATTCAAGGGACAAAGCTATCCTGTTCGAACCGGGATTCGATCCTATCAAGATACATCAAGAAACATAATCGAAACGAGGCACAAAAAAACCAAAAATAGTGTGATAACTTGTGCGTTAAATTTTAACGAATCTCAAGTATCAGAACATACTGTGAAATAGACTGTTGCAGAAGAAGAAGATAATTTTGTAAAAATGTCGAGCTCACCGGGTGCCCGTAAAGTGCCACCACCCAGGCCGAAGATTCAACTTCCTCTACCGGGACAATATTACCCGCAAACGGGTATGGCTTACGTACCCACACCCTACGGACAGACTCCTATCCCCATGACGCCGGTTTCCGGCCAGCCGCAAATGATATACTCCAACAGGGCCAGCGAGTTCGTCTTCAGCCAATTCAAAGGTATCAAGGATTGGACCAAGTCTGGACTGAGCGTCGGGGAGAAAAGCGCGTTCTGGCTTTACGAGAAGGTCCGCTGAAATCTCGAGTGATCACTTTTTTTCTTTTTTCTTTTCTTTTTTATTCCTCGTCGCGAACAACGAACACTGATCGGTATACGAATTTCTGCACAGGTCAGTTCCTGGAGCAAACGATGGTTCACGCACATTTTCTTATTTGTTGTCGTGCTTTTGTACAGTATCGGGGGTGCGATGATATTCGTAACGATCGAGGGCACACACGAGGACCTGATGCATTTCAACATTCGTAAAGAGAGGTGGGTGCCTTCAGTGAATTAGACCTCGGGAGATTGTTTTTCAGATCAGACATTTGGTAATTTAAAATTCTATTATTATGAATGATCGATGGATCGATATGCTTTTTATTGTTGCGTTTATTTTAGAGGAAATTTTCTGGCCTCCCTTTTTCTTGCCTGAGATCATCAGTTTGGGAAACATTTGCTATTTAGTAGTGAACTTAACAAGCATCGAGTTTCCAGTGTTTCTGGAGAAATAATCACAGGAACGAAAGTGATAAATCGTTCCTTCCATCGCAGGCATATCGGACAGAATGTGTTTTCCCATTATTTTCCTCTACTAGATACTAGCTTGACGTATATCGAGCATAAAGCGGCAGTTACAGCCACTATTTGTTATTCCTTGTCTGAAAGTATTCGAAATAGTCCATCACCATTCGCTGGATGCCAAATTATTAGTTTATCCTCTCTACTAGGACAAGCATAATAATTCATACATTGATGCTTTAACCTTCGTTGCAAGGAAAAACGAGCTTGGAAACGTAAGCAGATATGCGACGATACGAATGGTGAAAATGGCAGGAAAATATGGGACAATCGAACCATCGTTAACACGGTATACGAAACGTTGGAAAATATCCTTGTAATTGCGAATAATTATTCGGAATTTTGAAGAATGACAGAAAAAACAATTTGCTGAGAACAAAGTTTCGTTTCGATTATTTTAGACGCAGACTGATGACGTTCTGGTTTATTTCTTGCGGTTTCCATGTCTCAATTTTTAAATAGTTTCAATTCTGATCTGATATCAAAGCTTTCTGACACGCGAGCAGATTTAAAAGCATCGCGATAATGTTTTACATTGACACAATATTCACCCTTCAAACACGAAGGATACGAATATAATATAGATATTTTATAAACAAGTGGAAAGTTTCAGTTGGTAAATTTAACTTTATGTATTTCTTTTCTTTTCTCCTCAGATCCAGAATCGAGGATTAAGTAGAGAAATTGTATCGGGAACGATAAATGTCGACGATTTCCTTGACTCGTACTACTGTACGAGTCGCACATGGTCATAACAATCCCTCGCGGTTTAGGAGAGCGAATCGATTTTTCTGCAATCTTCTCAACAAGATCGATTGACCTTAAGACGAAGGCCAGCTTCGCATTAGGATTCACGATTTGGCTTCTTTTGTTCGCATGAAAATTACCAATTGCCTGACCTAACCGATAAAGAGTGCGTGTTTCAAGCCAGCAACAGTAATCGTAATTTCCTTTAAGCTTTTACTTACTATTATCATGCAAGTGTTAATTGATAGAAACGATTCGCTAAGAAATGAGCTGAAAGTGCAAGGAGGGCGTGAATTCGAAGGATTAAAAATGAAGAATAAAAAGGAATTCTATAGAGTGAGATTTTCTTAATTATTAACAAGTATTTTTTAAGAGATGTATGTACGAGGAAGCCTCTTTCATTAACAAATGAGAGCTGGTAACTTCATTTGACCGTTCGTATGTTGATCCTGGGGTTACAAAGGATCAAGGTCTTGGTTGGCTTTATCAGAGGATTTCGCCGTCCCTTCCAATAATTCAAGGCATTCAAGGCAATTCAGCGAATCAGGGACGAAGCCAACACGCAAAAGAAAGTGCTTTCCTATCTAGTCTTTCCTCGTTAACGAGCGAAAAGGGGGTAGAATGACAAGGGAATGGTATCCATCGGATAATCATGGATTTGAGAAAATTGTCACGTATCTTCTTTTCAAATCAAGAAACATTTCCTTTCAAAGTGTTGCAATAAAAGAAAATAATATGAAATCATGATGGGTAATATTAATGATAATTTGTATTATCTTTTACAGAAACGAGACACTGACAATAATTAGGGAGCTATGGAACGACGAGACACTTGCATCGAATTCAGAGCTTTGGAATGGACGGGCGAGAAACGAATTGATGAAATACGAGGAACACCTGTACGAGTTCTACAAACGTGGACTATCGGATCGTGGTCAAAAAGTGTGGACCTTTTGGAATGCTGTTTTCTACTGTGGCACCATTTACACCACCATAGGTAAGTCCATACCATAAAATATTGCACGTTATAATTGTTTCAATGTACTAAACGTGATAAAACGTGATTACTTTGATAGATTCTTTCAAATATAAATCTAATCAATTTGACGGAATGAAATTCAACCCCTCTATATTCACTGGTTAAATGAAGCAAATTCAATTCAAGTGTAGATCAATATTTGCCTAGATTCAAGGGATAAAATGTACCGATCCAATTCGTCCAATTGTTTATCAATCTCTAACAAAATGTGTTTTTCGATACAATTCCTTGTTTTATCGAAACGAGGAATCAAAACGAGGTACGTTTTATTTTTACAACAACTAACGTCATCGAACATCGTGACCACCCTCTGTCGTTTTTAAATCACGAAAAACAGCACAAGTAGTATTTTTTTTCTCTCTCCGAACAAAATAACAAGAAAGGTGCCTTGGATCATGATTTACGGTAGGTACAAATCAAACAGATGGAAGATCCTTCAATTTATTTATCCAGATTCTCGAGGGATGAGGTTTGTTTGTTCTCCGCCGACCAGTTAATCGATTCTATCTTAAAAATTGCCGAGAAAAATATTGTTGCGTACACGTCTGAACGTGCGAACGGAAGATCTAAATCCACGAGGAACCGGGATAGACACCCTTGGTGACCCATGAACATCCTCGTGCAACGTCAATGGCGACGAAACATACCCACGCATACTATTTCGAGTTTCTTCGGGTTACGTAATAGAAAAAGTAGACGTGGGTGATGTTCCTGGGGAGAATTAGTTTTCGAAATCATCGATAACCAAGAGAAAATCATTCTATGCTTTCGGAGAGATCGTAAATTCTATACTCTTACAGGATCCAACAAAATTGCGGGAGTTAAAAGTGTTTTTTATTTGTTGGAGAGAGAAATAAGAAACCGCTGTTTATTAAGAGTACAAGGCTATTCAATTTTTATAGTACTTCGAAGTATAACTGAGAAATTGGTGGTTCCACGTTTTCGAGAAAAAATTAAGCTCGAATTATCGAATATCCCGATGAATCACTGTAAGAAAACTAAAACGAAATGTAATTAGTCATGGCTCGTTTAGTTTCGATCACAAAGACAATGACGAGTCAAATGGACATTTTATTTTTGGTTGGTGTTTCACGATGATCAGTCTGGTAGTTGTCCAAAAAAATATGTTTCACGGTGTCGTCTTTATTTTCGCGTATCTTGGAATCCACTTAACAGCTCGTATTTATACCAATGTCACCATTTATTATCGAGTTGTTTCGTGGAACAGTTCCTCCTCTTTTGTAGCGTGTCTTCTATGAAATTATTCACCCTTTTTTTTTTTATCTTCTCTGACAATATTTAACGAATATAATTACAGATATATTTTTCCTGATTAAAGTTAGCTTCTACATTTTCATAAAATTTTTCATAAATTTTTCTTTCTCACTCTGTTTTGTATTTTCATTTCCACGCTGATTCTCCGAATCTGTTGACGCAGAGACATCGACAATTGAAACATGCCAGCATTCAGTCACATCCAGCGGAAAGACAAAAGGAAATTGCTAGGTCGTTGAATTGAAACTCGTTGATTTAGAAAATGTTACCCCTCGCATTTCCATTTGCCAGCTCTTCTCTGTCCACCGAAACGAAAATATCTTAACAATCCCGGCGAGTCGAGGCGACTACCCTCGCCCGGAGATCTGCATATTTCTTTAATCCCCCTTCCGGAAACGAGAAAACTCCTACGATAAAGCTGTAGACGTTGCTTCAGGATTATGTAAACACCGACTGAACGAATCAACTGAGAACAGAATCGTGATTGTTCGATAGAACTCGATACAATTGAACGATAATAAGAAGAAGAATAGAAATCTTGAAGAACGCCTGAAAGCATCTCAACTCACGGAAGGTGATTGCGAGCACATGGCCGATCCTGGTGTCGTTTAATGCAGCTGCGGTGCAATTGTGAACCTGCAAACTTCTCAATCGCGCGAATGAAATTTCTTTGACAAGATCGATCACCAGATGCAATTAAACGAAACTTCTTTCGCTAGCTCGTGGCCTGGATCTTTTCATGAAAGAAGTACACGAGATAAAAACAGACGGATGTTGGAAAAACGAAGAGGTGAAAAATAATATCTGGATCGTAGCGTGGAAATAAAAGCAAATAAATTACCTGACGTACACCAGAAACGTATGAAACAAGAGCGGGTAAAAATTCAAAGGTTTGTATAAATTGAATCCTTGAAATTCGGACAATTAAAAATAGTTGAAATTGCTAGGACGACTAATTTGAGAATATGAAAAAATTGTTCAACTAATGTACGGATTGCTCGTCTACAGGGGCTACTCCGTAGCGAAAAAGAGAAAGAAGGACCGATTGCAGGTAGAAACGGAGCCGTTGAACGGGCTGCAGTAGCTGCAGGGCCGTCACCGCGGCGCCGGGCGTCGTTGTTAGTCGGTTGCGCGCGCGATTCGGTGTCTGGCGTCTTCGCTCGATATTCGCTGCGGCAAAACCAGATGGTTTCCGTTTCGTAGCGTCGAGGAAGCCCGCGGTTGTGGTGGGAGCAACCTCCGTTTTATTTCTGTACCGGTGTCTGTCTGCACCGGGGCCAGGAAAGTCGCGATCTCAGAGTCGCGCGAACGTCGCGTTCTCCACCGCGTTCCTCTCGTTCGCCATCCGTCCTCGTTAACTATTTTCTTCTTCCACGATCCTGATCCACCCCCGTCATGGAGGACAGCTACGCGGTGCACAGGCGCCGGAAAGCCGCGGCCCGTAGGCGGGAGAAGACTCCAGACCCATCGTCGAGGAACCAGCTGGTAGAGACCTCGGACGACGAGGAGGGCTCGAGACGCGCCAGAATGGAGAAGATGGCCGACGAGGCTGAACAAATGGAGCAGCAGGAGAAAGAGAAGAAGTTGAAACCAGAAGTTGAAGCGGAGGAGAAGAAGTCTAACAAGAGGATGAACGTGGAAGGAAAAGTTTCTCCTTCGAAAGAGGCACGCGAGAACGACGCTGAAGACGAGGCTGCGAGGTCGGCAAAGAAGGAAGCGGCGACGAAATTAGACGAAGAGACGTCTAAGAAAGATGAAAAGTATCAGGACGCCATACCTAGATCGAAGGAAGTCGATGCTGACGACGAACCATCCTTGGAACCGAGGAAGGAGAGGAGATTGAAGAAGAAGTCAAGGGAACGAATAGAAAGGCAAGGTCAGTCGACTGACTCTAGCGAGCTGGACGAGAAGATGGAGAAATCAAGGCGAACGAAATCACCGGAAGGCGGCAAACACCGTGCAAAGAAATCTGCGAAAAGGATCACTGGTGAAGAACACGCGAAGAAAGACACCGTCGAGCGACCTCCGCGGGAAAAGAAGGAAAAGAGTAAACGGAAGGCCGAAGAGACGGAGGATCAGCCCCGAGAAAGAAGACCTTCTACGCGGCACAGTCAAACCGACGACACCGACGAAGACCCGAAGATGAAAAAGAGCGAGTCTTTTCCTAAGCCCGACGAACCGGTCATCAGAAGATCCGCGTCGGATATAAAGAAGCAGATTATTCCATTGAGCGACGACACTCTCATAGAGGATTTCGCCAAAGCTCAAAGGGAATACATGAAAAGAGAACACAGCATTCTCGATCCCGATAACTATGAAATTTTCGAGGATGCTCGAGAGGAAACGACGCTCAGACGAAGAAAATTCAGCATTCCCAGTAAAAGCGAGGAGGAAGAGGAGGTGCCCGTAGAGAAGCCGAAAGTATCTGAAAAGAAATCCTGGCTCTCCTGGCTACCCTTCTTCCGGAAGAAGAAAGAAGACAAAGAAGTTGAAGAGCAGAAAGTTGAAGAAAAACCGAAGATTTCATCGGAGATGAAATTCGTGGCGAAGCAATTCGGTGAACCGGAAAAAGTTACCCTCCTGGACTTTCTGAGAGCCATGAAGGACGTGGTTTCCGAGTTCAAGGCTTTCGTAGCCCAAAATCCGAAAGAGGTTCGGGTGGTGAAAGGACTTCGCAATCGTTGCATGGCGGAGCTTTTGTTGGTGATGATCTATTGTGGCCTCGGCGCGTTCGTCTTCCGGTTCACCGAGGGGGCATTCGAGAGTTTCTACAAGTGCGGCGTGAAGAGGGTGAAACGCGATTTCCTCGACAGCTTGTGGAACTACAGTCACAATATGAGGGAGGACGATTGGAAGAGCATGGCTCGCCGGAAGTTGATGGAGTTCGAGGAACAATTGCACACCGCCCACGAAGCTGGTTTGCACAGCTACAGCGGTCAAAGGAGCTGGAGCTTCCTGAACGCTGTCGTGTATTGTTTAACCGTGATCACCACTATCGGTGAGGAGTCCAGGGTTGAATAAAACAAGATTGTCGTAAAGCGTTTCACGAGTTCCGTATTGATTTTCTAACTGGCGGATGTAGTACCGATGCTGTGGCACCGGTGTCAAAATTGGTTGCGCATGACAAGGAAAATTCTGAAAGCTTTGTACGCTGAATTTCATCCTAAATTCATGGAACTTCATTTTCTAAACGGATCTTGAATTTGCATAATCCCTTTTAATCCTCGAGGATTTGTAATCGTTCAGGGAAATGAATTTAAGTAGGAACGAAACGTGACAGTTGCATGAACCGAATGCGACTATTTTACTAGCAAACAACCGTCGAATAAACTTAGACCTACAGCTATTTTTGTCCTATAGAAATATGTATAGACGTACACAATGAATTCTATGAACCTTCTAAAATCTTTGCTACTACCGAACGATGATGATAATTAGAATGATTTAATATAAATGAAATTGCGCTTCTGTTATTTTAGGATACGGTCACATTTCACCAAGTACCAACACAGGAAGGGCAATTACGATAGTTTACGCCATCTTCGGGATCCCGATGTTTCTGATAATATTGGCCGATTTTGGTAAACTCTTCACACGCGGTATCAAGTTCCTCTGGGCGTTCGTTCGAAGGCTGTATTACACCGGAAGTTGCAGAAAAGTTCGTGGAACTGTACCTGTACAAGTAAGATAATCTCATCAAATTTTCCTCCTTTATTTTTAATTAATATTCCCCTTCCATTACTTCTCGTTAATGAACGTTCTGACTGGCAGGAGGTAATGAAAGGGGTTCAATTAGTATACGACCTAGCAACGTTCAAGAGACCCTCTCAAATCAATCCAGAGGATATCGAGGAGATACAGAAACAAGCTCAGCAATCTCAGACAGTGCTGAATTTAGATGGAAACGTTCCTGATACACCAGGAACGCCAGCTATGTCCGCGTTCGCAATTGACGACGAATTCAATCTACCGATCTCGGTGGCCATCTTCATCCTCCTAGGTTACATATTCGTAGGCGCCGCCGTGTTCTGTCTGTCGGAGGGATGGGGATTCTTCGAGAGCTTCTACTTCGTCTTCATCTCAATGAGCACTATCGGTTTCGGCGATTACGTGCCAAAGGTGACCATCCTTAGCAACCTGCTTTGCACTTGCATCATCCTTTCATAATCGTCATGGCATTCCTAACTCATTTGCATTGTTTCGACGTTTTAGAAAGTGGATCGGATTAATGCGAATGGGTTAAAACGAAAAATTGATTCGTTGCAAAAATAATTTTGAGATACTATAATTAAGCATCTTTCAAGTAATCATTAAGAATGCAAAATTATAGTAACTCATACTGTATGATTGTATGGGTGAAGTTAATTACGAAAGAGATCAGTGAATGAGAGAAAGCTTCATTAATCAGAAGTATATTCGATTTTCCTTTGCAATTAGCGATTTGCTTTGTAACCAAATGGAATGTTCTCTGAAAAAATCACCCAAGCATTGTCGACCTGTGATTAACTTATTTTCTTGCTTCTTTTTTTCACGGTGGCGTTCAGATGGTAAGCTTTGAAATCCAAAAAGTTCATCAACAAACTAAAAAAAAAAAAAAAGACAAAATCACCGTGTACACACTCTTTCATTCGTGCTTTTTGCATAAGTCTCACTTCAGCACAATTGCACGTGTTTTCTTACTGACATTACAAAAACCGCCCGATGACAGAATGACGAGCAGAAATTAACAGATTAATTGGTTGATTGATTTAGCATCCCATATACATGATGTGTTCGATAATATACCTGGTGTTCGGCCTGGCTCTCACGTCCATGTGCATCAACGTGGTACAGGTATGTATAATAAATAAATCTTTTAAAGGAAATGAAATTAATAGAAAATATTTCTCTTCCTTATCAGGTGATGCTATCAGACTCGTTCAGGCAGGCTAGTCAGAAGATCGGTGCAACGATCGGTTTCGCCGTCGCCGAGGAGGATGGATCGGTGAATCCAACAGTGCCTCCACCGGTCGAGATCGCCGATATTCACGCCAGCGTGAAGGAATCCAACAGCGACGAGAAAATTGCACCCAAGGCTAAGCAAGAGGACGTCGATTTGTAGATGATCCTCGATTATGAAAATTTATGAAAATTTATGAAAAAAACAAAAGCGTGCATCAATGTGGAAGATCGCGAATCTACGTTTGAATTTCGACAAACCTTTTTTTTTTTTTGCAACCGTCTTCTCCATCCTATCAATTGGATGTAACGCGTTCAATTGAGATATCCAATTGGTGTGTAAACGGTTCGTCGAGTTTCTAAGCTCCTCATGGGGACACGTGGGAATCATCTGCTATGAATTTTTATGGTCCTCTTCACTGCTGGCTGCACCGTAGTCGCCACAGATATCGCACCCGATGAATTCCCCCGTGTCTGGTATGAAACCACCTTTGGAGCATCACCTGAAACAGAAATTATCCTTTGTCAGTGCAAAGCGATGTTTAAGTCAATTTATTGTTAAACCATATAAGTGAGACTGCTCGCTGCGTTTCTTTAATTAATTGTTATCATTTGCGTTTCATAAAAAGTCTGAGGATTTATAATATGAATGTTCGATCGTTAGTTTTGCTTCGAATGCTAGAATATTAAAACGATGAAAGCTTTAAATTTCTTGACGATCAATGATTTCATTTAATCATTCAAAAAGTTTTCAGATAAAAGTTTATTATTTTGTAAATCGCATATGTACAATCAACTAACACTGACATAGAGGCTGTTTAAATGAAATCTTTCAACGAATTACGAGAATTGAAAGAAACTTCTTTATATCTGAGGAATAAGAAAGAAAGTATCACGATATTACAGCTGCTCTCGCCAAACTATTGGGCCAGATAAAAATCTTGCGATTTATTTTTCGTAGTATAATGTCTATCGACAATAAACACGTTGAACTTCGTACTTTGTATATTTTATAGATTATCGTGTCGTTATTTTCTTTTTTTCCTCTTTTTTTTTTTTTTTTTTTCTTAATATTATACATATGAATGTTATCTAAAAATGTGTGATCTTATTGTTTAAACAATCCTCCGGTTATATTCAAGGAAAACGAATCAAAAATTCTGCATTAACAAACGTTCTTATAATTACTGTTTTTCGTTTACGAATTTTTTTGGCTTTGCAAAATTGTTTTTACTATAAGTATTACGTTTAGAAAGAAACAATTTTTCAAATACCTTTGATAGCTCAATCGATAAAACAGTTGTTCATGAAAAACCGGAGGATGAAAATAAATTTTCGTAACACGAAGAGGAAGGAAACTTGTGCCTTTTTAAGAATCAACTGTGTTAGCTACTTATATTTTATCAGGTACGATAAGAAATTCCTGTAATGCGATTAAATTACAATTATAGAAACAGAGCAAAGGATACATATTATGGCGTATAATCGTTGCTATTTAAGCGGCAGAAATATACTTCTTCTTTCTTACGTTAAAAAGAATTAAAAGAGATAAAACAAGGTATGGCAGATCGCTTAGTATCCTATACACTGTCTTTGCAATTTTATTACACGTTACAACATCACATAGTAACAGTTTACTGTTAATTAACTTTATTTACAAATAAATGTTTAAGATATTAGGATCTTTCTATTTATGTTCCAACCATATCTCCCTTACACGTAATAAACAATTGTATACAAAGAAACATTTCTATGGCATGTTTTAATAAATATTACTTTTATGAATACCTTTCAGTTGATACATAAATATTTTTTCACTCATAAAATCATTATTATTGAAAATTATATCAAATAATTACGTTATTATAATGAATCGCGTTTAACATTATTAATTGTTAACATAATGATCATCGTTTTGTTTATAAGTTTATAACAAGGGATAATGACTATAACTTATAACTGGTAACATCATCTAGCAGCGAAAAGGTGGAACTAACGAAATACGAAAAAATCATTAATAACTTCTTTTTGACAAACAATTTATGAACTTTTATGATTAATTCTTAATCTACATACTCCCAACAACTTTCACGTATAGGTTCTGTAAGTATCTAGTCAGTATTTTTTAATAATTAGCTTATACTAATTTTTCATGTTTTGAAATCGCCATCATTTTTAAAGTCCTCACTTTGTAAATCATGGCGACACTGACTGGTTTTACAAGACTATTTAATTTTGCTACAAATACCTGTATTCGAAGGATTCTTCCAGCTCCAACGTGTAAACAATACTATCCAGGTATATTCAACTTTTACTTTATAAAATAATGAAATTGTGTCCTCTCATTTAAATACAGTTTTAGGTTATATCACCTTATTTTATTAGCGTATTAGATAAACTGGAAAAAGATTAAGATTTCAAAATATTATACCGTTTATTTTCATATAAAATGCCTAAGAAAGAAATTATATTTTGCAGCACCAAAGTTATGGGAAATCAGAGTAGCAGATTACCGTACTAGATACAGGTTACCTTGGTTTACAAAACCACCTAGCTATCAAGAAGAAATTCCTGAACATGATGAGAAAAAAGAAGAAGAAGCATCTGGTCATTACCTAAAACAGATATATATTTTTAAACATATTATCAATTAACTTTCGTTTGAATTTTATTTTATTTTAATTTGATATAATCTATGTATTCATGTTTTGTTATACATAAACATTTTTTGTTTATTTCTAGCTGTAATAAATGAAATTAACAAACAGATAAGTACTAAAGCAACTGGCCGCTTATTCGCGGTTGTATATTTACGTGGATTACAATTTAAAATCACAGAAAGCGATATTATAGCTATTAGTGGTCAGTGGGCACCACAACCAGGAGATAAATTAACATTAGAAAAAGTAATGCTTGTCGGCGGCAAAGACTTCACACTCATCGGAAGGCCTATTCTTAATAGAGAATTAGTATCGGTCGATGCGACCGTAATTCAGAAAACTTTATCTCACACAATTACCCGTTTCAGATTTAAAAAACGAAAACAATATCGTAGAATAAACTGTAGGTACCGATTATATTACGAGATAACATAACTAAAATGTTTTTGTTTAACTTTTTTTTTTTTTACAGTTTACAGAATACACAGAACAATGTTAAGAATAAATTCGATAACTATAAATGGAGATATTGATAAAAAGAAAGAAATTGAAGGCTTAGACAGAATATATTAAATGATAAATAGAGTAATGTAAAGTACTACTTATTCAATATCTTTTCAATAAATTAACAGTTAATTTAAACAATTTTATTTGTTGTACTTTGTGAATATTAAGTATGTATAAATATACTTTGTTACTAATTGTACAGACACACTCGTTACTGTAATTAAATGAAACTTGAAACTGATCAGCTGTTACTTTATACCATTCAAATACAATAACAATAAAAAACATAAACAGATTTGGAAGTAAAACGGTGAGGAAAGTAAAAGAAATATAGATTATAGTTTTTAAAAATCAATCAACATTAGCACAAGATTAAAAGATTATTAAAATAATTGTTTGACATACATGGATTTTAAAAGGTCCGCCATAAATTTTCAAGTTCGACCGTAGCGCCATCTATACGAAAACGGCGGAAACTATTCGACGAATAGTTTCCGCCGTTTTCGTATAGATGGCGCCATGGTCGAACTAAAAAATTTATGGCGGTCTTTTTAAAATGCATGCATGTCAAACAATTATTTTAATAATCTTTTAATTTTGTGCTAATGTTGATTGATTATTAAAGAATAGAGTCAGAGGGAGTTAAATTGTGTCTTTTCAAATACCATGTATTTTTATAATTATTTTTGGCATCGGTGATATACCAATTTGCTGTTACCGTCAACGTGCGTTAGACTGTTGCTGTACGAAGTGTTTCACATTTTTACGTTAGGATAGAGCAGATGGCAGTCGTACTCGAGGCAGAAATTGAAGGACCCCTTGAAAACAACAGCATGTCCAGTCTTGTAGGATCTCTAGTCACTGGTTTAAGAGTGAGAGTACCAGTTTGTTCTTTATATGTACCTTGCACTTGCGATAAAAGTAACGCCGATAGTTCGTAGCCCATGGCAGTTGCTTCTAAACCGTTGCATGGAGTGGGTCGGTGTTTTTGTCGTGATAATATGCGACTACGCAATTAATTAATAATATAACAATCAAAGAAATCCTGCTGGTCCATGTATTAGCGTCCAAACGAATGTAAACGATTCCCATTCAACTAATCGTGTGCTTTCGATAAAACTACTAAGTAGTACCCTAAGTGTTTTGTGTCATATACAAATTCGAAAGATGGTGCTTTCAGAATGTTATGGATTCGCTAAATATGCATTAATTTGCGTGAACCTACTATTTTGGGTAAGTTTATACTTCTCTTAGTATTCTAGATAATTAAATGAACAAATAACGAAATACAATCGACGTTATATTTATCCAAGTTCCATTAATCAATAATATTATTACTCTTCGTTTAATTATTAAAGGATATTTTTATTCACAATGGAAATGCGATATTAAGTATGTATACGAATCGTGCAATAAATAAGCATAATTTGGTTCAATAAACTCGAGCACTATTTATACAATACATGTATAGCGTACATCAGTAGAAATACGTATAATGTATTTGAGTATTATACAAATATTTGACTAATGCTGCACGTAAAAGTACATAGCATTATAAAAATAAATGATAATACTAAAACGAAAAGACACTTCAGGAACAGGGGGCTGATAACAAAAGGAAATAAACAATTTTAGTATCAGCATCAATCTCGCTCGATATACTCTGTAATTGCATTTCCCTAGCGACACCCAATTTACTTAAAAATGCTATAAATTATACTATTATATTACCTTTCACGCTTCATGCATTTCATTTTTATCCAAAATTTATTTTTCAACAGATTTATAAAACATCAAGTGATAAGGATCAAAGACCCGAAGTTTCGAGATTTTCTTTTTAAATTCGATACTTTGTTTAGTATCCAGCGTCCATGTAATTTTAGCGTAGCTGAATCGATTGTATCTGGGTGTATGCATCTTTTTTTTTTTCAAATTCATTTTCCTTACAAAAATCTTTGTCTCTACGCGAGATTATCTAGAAATTCAAATTTACACCAGAGTTTTAATTTATAAGTATGTAATAATAGCGCTTACAATTTTAATAAATAAAATTTACCAACTTTGTTCAGGCTTAATGATCAGTTAAAATATTTTCCTATGAACGTTCATCCAAATGCTTGATCAGGAAAAATATCCATAGTTAATATGTTTTCCTTAATTAACACCATGGCCTTCCGGTACGAAGCGTAGTAATCCGAGAGGGCGGCTGAATCGATTGCATCTGGGTAGTGCGTATATCACGCATTAATTGCTATCTGCCCTAAATTTCAATAATTCACATTTGTAAAAATTAGCAATTGAAGGGATGAATTGAGAATTGTTCTTTGCGCAGGGCCGACCCTGGGCCTAGGTAGACTAGGGCCCCGTAACACGATTATGCGTTTAATTGTAAGAATGCAAGAATAATAATGTTTACTTGAATATTAATCTAAATTAGTTATACAAACTTTAATGTTAATTTTATAAATTTTATTCGGGCCCTTTTTCGGAGCTCGCCTCGGATCCCCGAAATCTCAGGGCCGGCTCTGTCTTTGCGTTGGAACTACGGCAGCTAGATTATTTTAAATACATTACCATTTTACTAACGGATTAACAATAGTGCTTATGTCAGCTGCGCGTTTAATTTGAAAATATTCAACAGCGAATAAGTGCGTTTAATTATAGATTTCCAGTCAGAGAACGAATATGTTCTTCCTACGAGCTTTTGCATCCTACACTGCGGCCCAGTTTTCTATCCCTTGCGACTGTATCCATGTTACGTATTGCATCGTTAACAAACTTGCTGGAAAATCGATGGATGTTGATCATTATCTGAAAATAATAAATACGGTCGTTCCAACAGATTGTAGCGTTATTTTTAACAATAAATACCAACAGAGTTGAACTTGGCATATTTGGCACGGTACAAGAGTGTCGGATACTTTCAGAGAAAAGCTATAAGCCCGCATTCTTCGGCTAAAGGGTTAAAAATATACATATAATAAAATATTTAAGAATTTAAATTTTATAATTATTATAATTTTCTAGCTATTGATTTAAATAACAAAAATATAAAATTCGTCATTGTATTTCCAATGAAATCAATGATGAATCGATTCAATTAACCGCTTATTTTCGTCGTTCAAACGTGAAATCATAGTTCAGAAACAGAATCTGACATCAAACTGACGATGAACGTATTTATACTGACTATTACCACCGGTAACAGTAACATGCCTGTGCACACTTGCACGATACGAAATGTACAGATGTTAACAAGCGTCTAATTTCTCGTTTCATAACTTTAATCTTAGTCGTTTAAACTGTTAATCTTTAATAAACGTGGGTATTGCTTTATTCAAGTAAATATCACCGTGTTTAAAAGTTATATTAAAATTTATCAAATCATAAGCTGATTTTATTTCATCATAACTATGTTGAATAATTCAAAAAATAAAAATTAAATTAAAATATAAAATATGGTATTAACACGAAAGAGTTTAAACTAGTTATGACTTGCGTAATATGCTAATATACTAGTACTAAAGTCATATTCGAATTCACCGATCAGTTTGCAATGTAAACGGTACTTTTACCTTATTAAATCATAGAGAAATGCGAAAGTAATCATGCCATTAAATACAGTCCACGTCTGACTTGCATTAGAGAAGAATCTGGTTGACTCAACCGATCTTCCCGAGTTGTTGCATCTGCTTCTTACATTAGCATTCACAAGTCGAACTATACGAGAGACGCGTTGAGAATACAGGAAGTCCTCTGTTTAAAGGCACGCCTCCATCGGGATTCAGACATTGAGTGGTTCTGCTAGCTTAACCCACTGAACCTTCAATCCTGGAAGCCATCGTTCTTCGTGTAAACACCAGTCCAACTGCAACGGTGAAACATATAAGTAATGGGTTGTTTTCAGGTTTACAAAAAGATACTGCACTTGGCCGGAATTGAGTTAGCCTAGTTCCGTTAACACATTTTTCAAAGTCCATCATTAACTTCTCTATAGAAAAGTTGTATAAAAACAAAGAAAAATTGAAGCTTTATTTTATAGTAACATTTCATTTACTATCTATTTTTTTAATTAAAAAGAATTTATTTTTGAGCTAGTACCTATTCTTAAAAGAAATGCTTCTATAGAAAAGAGGAGAATGGGAAAATCCAAGTGCAGTTTGCATGAATGTGCACACATCTGGTGGACAGGCCGTTGAAAAAGGGGCGCGTCCTGTCCTGGTTCGTCTGTTTCACAAGAATACATCATTATTTATCCATATTGTGAATGGTGCATAAGCCATAAACCAACATACTCGTTCCACGCTTTGTCTGTTTCAATAGGGCCAAAAAGGTCAGGTATATTTTTACGACAAAGTAGGAAAAGGACGATTCACGCCGCACAATGCATCGTTTATATCGGCAACATTTCATCATCCATTCATAACTACATTTTAATCTAAATAAATAAATAAAATTCCATAAACATTACTTACAAATATTTTTTACCTAGGAATGTAGAAACTATGTACGTTCTGGCTGGAACGCGACTAGCATTTCAATACAAGTAACGGTATCCTATCTAAAAAGGACCCTGGTTGACCCTAAAATACAGAGGAAAAAGTCTTATCGTTATCTGTACTACCTCTCTATCGTTTCTTAGAAAACTACTGTATACTTAACGTATCACTGAAAAAACCAATAGCAAGCTGTATACTAACACTTGTGTATACCTTCTAATCGTTCCTTTATTCTCTCTATGTTGAGTGTATAATTGTAAGTTAAAGTAACGTTAAATTTTCAGGCTGTGGGTCTAGCAGGAGTGGTACTAGCAGTATGGATGTTAACAGACCAAACGTTCCTGATGTCCCTGACTCAGGAACAGCATAACTTTAACGCTGGTCTCTATATCCTCCTCTCAGCTGGGATCCTGATGCTGATAGTAGCATTTCTCGGCTGCTGTGGTGCCTTCCGTGAATCCCAGTGTATGCTGGTCGTTTTCTTCAGTTGCCTGCTGGTGGTTATCGTTGCACAAATCGCAGCTGGAGCTTGGCTTTACAGGAATAGCGATAGCCTCGAGGAGCTGGTCAAGTCTTCCGTGATAAATACCGTTAAGGTATCGACAATTAATCTAGTTAAACACTCTCGACGTTAAAGGGAATTTCTAATTAACCGGAGACGTCGTCTATTCTATGTCAACCATCTATAATTAGTCTATTCGTCTCTGAACCGGACGCCTATAATTACTTCATTCATCATCCTGAATTAGTTACTCGTTAACACCTTCTCTATTCTTTTTACTCGCGTCGCATCGTAGTAACCTTGAAATTTAGTATGTAGTAATCTTCAAGAAGTTACACCTGTGTACTACTACTACCTTTTTCAGAATAAATATGGCGAGGACGACTCTCAAACAGAGGCCGTCGATGCATTTCAATCGGGTCTCGGATGTTGCGGAGCTACTGGTCCAGCTGATTGGACGGGTAGTAAATATGCAACCAAAGATCCATCGATTCCCGTCAGCTTAACTGTTTCTGGCGATGTGAATACCATGTACAAGGTGCCCGAATCTTGCTGCAAGGAGAAAGATAGCACTGTTTGTAAAATAGCTCGCAATATTAAAGTCGCCAGTATCATTAATCCAGCAATTTATAGCGAGGTAAATCTTTGAATCTACATACATCCTATAGAAAAGATTCACCTATGGAATCATCGTGTTAATCTACCAATTATGTATCATGAAAGTATGATCTAGATTGAACCAACATTTTTTTTCTTTTTCTTCAGGGTTGTATAGACAAACTGATGGATGCACTGAAGAGCCAAAAAAACATTGTCATCGGTGTAGCAGCTGGCGTAGGTATCCTGGAACTTCTTGGATTAATATTTTCCCTGGTATTGTGCTGTGCGATTGGCTCCTCCGATAGATACAAAGCTTGAATAGAATAAATTCTATCTATCGGTGTATAATCCTTCCTTATGCCACATATCGTTGTGTCACAATTTTTTAACTGGTATTTGATCTCTGTGCCAATCCGAATATAGGTTTTTTCTTGTGTCTGTCTCTAAAGTTCGCATGAAAAAAAAAGAAAACTTATTTAAGAGATTACAACAAAGATAGCTCTATTCAAGTGTTCAAATTGAATCTCTTTCATTGATAAGGTTCTGATATACAGTTTTTCAGTATTGCATACTGTAACGTTGTCCGAGATTTCTAGATATTGTATTATTATTCTGCTCAGGGACACAAATGACAGAATTTTTTTTACCCATATGTATATTTTATATGTTCATGACAATTAATTTACACGGATAAGGGAAATCCATTATGAATTAGTATCTCAAAGAGTACTAATGCTGATTTAATATTCGTTGTCCCATATATTCATACTTTTTTAAGTATCTGTAAAATTTCATATCGAGGAAGGTACATTGTAAAAAAGATTCGGTTCCAGTTTCTTACTGCCAAATGCTCTTTTCATCTTTTTCTATGCTAAAGACTTACACGAACGAGCATTTAACGTTTTACAGAGTACCTATATGATTTACATTTTTTTTTTTTTCTTTGTTAGGCCAAAGTAGTAGACCAAACTAATGTTAATGTGTTAAAGAAGAAGCGAGAGAGAGAGAGAGAGAGAGAGAGAGAGAGAGAGAGAAAGCGAGAGAAAAAGAGGAATGAATTTAATTAAATTTCGAATCGAGTGGATAATTCTCTGTTGCAACTGGTATATGCAAGGAACTGTATACAATTTCATCTTCTTTTTTGCTCTCTAAACTGCCACACGATCATTTTTCTATTCTATTTTATGCACAAAGTGTTTCCAACGTATAACAATTTTTGACTTCTTTTTCTTGCGTCGCTTTAACGAGTACAAAGCTTTGGATAAATAATATCCAAAACTGTTCTGTCGTTGCCAATATACCAGTTTTAACATACGTATATATAGATAAATATATATAATATATATTATAATATACAAGATGATCTGAAAAGATTGATCTGATAATTAATATTGACGTCTAAATGAGATTATGTTAAGAATGCTACCAAGCGATTTTGTTTCGTGTAGCATTATAGTCTATCCATGTTATCTTTAAAGTAAAAGAAAGTGGCTATCTTTAAAAAAAAAAAAAAAAAAATTTTGGACATAGCTAAACAGAAGCAACTAATTTGATAAGACAAACTTCTTATTGTAGAAATTCCCTTGTTTTCAATATTTTTTCTAACAAGGTACCTCTCATAAAAAAATAACATTCGAGTTCAATTAATTTCTGCGTGTATATATCGAACAAATGGTACCTTGAAGAAATGAACAATTGTTCAACAATTCAAATGTTAAAAAAAGTATTTTACTATTAAAAGCTGCTTTTGGAATAGTTATGTCTTGAAAAAGTGATCGATATATTTGACGATGAATGTTTAATATAGATTACAATATATAATAATAGTGAATAGATCAGACATTTATTAACTGTTCAACTAATGTTCATCGTCAAATGATTTAGTATAGATTAAAATTAAAAAAAAAAAAAACAACAATTTTTTCGTATAATTATTCTGCTGATGAATATGGTACAAAAATAATCGCGAAAGTATTTAAATTCTTTTGTTTCTTATGTATATGTTTCAAATCAACATCATAGTGTCTAGTCTGTAAAGATTGAATTCCTAATTTATCAAATTAATATTCTATTAGAATTAACACGTTGCTTAACATTATATAAATATATTAACAAACTTGGTATCACAGGAAAAGCTTATTAACATAAATCATCAATGAAAAACAATGTGTTAATTTCTTGCTTTGCTGTAATATTAATTCACTGTTTCTTATTTTATACATTTAATATATATCCGATGTTATGTGTGTAAAAAATTAATAAAAAATAGAAGCATTTATTCGGATATAAACAGAAAGATATTGAAACGACGTAAGTAATCCGATTGCTATAAAATTACAGGTTCTATCATTTCCGATTGTTAAGTAGTTTTGTAAAGCGCAAAATTATTTTATCAATTATTACACGTTTATATAAGCTACATTTTTAAAACTATCTTCTGTATTGAACCTCGTGTGAACGTGATCTTTATAAAAATTATTAACGTGAAACTTCAAAGAATAATAAAACGTATATTGTAAAGTCGAACACGTTCCCAAAGGGTCGAAGGAGATTACTATGTTGTCCAAGTATAAAAATATATTTTACAAACTTTGTTACTCTTACCGTTTTACATACTGCAATGTATTGCACCTTATTTAGCGAGAATGGATTTGAGGACAATCTTGAAGAGTTAATGATTGTGGTTACCATTGCACATCTAACGTCATTTTCCTTTTTTGTGTATGTACGTTGATTATCTTAAATTACACTTGTGTACTCCGCTCTGGAAAAAAAAACAGGCGTTAGATATGCAAGAAAAGATGGATAGTATATTGCAAAATTTACAATGAAGCATATTAATGTTACAAAAAGAATGAAATATCATCAGTCGTACAATGTTCTTAATTTTGATATTAATATATTTATATACACTTACATAAAATATATACATATTTTCTTACTAATTTTTGAGCGAGATATTTTTATTCTTAATAATTTCATTGTATATTCTTTTTTAAAATGCTTCTACACGCTATACAGTTTCTTTCAAATGCAAAAAACGCATTTCACTTTAATGTCGTATTTGAAAATAATTCGTCTGCAAGATGGTAACTTTGCCCCGCGTACTTCCAAATATTTATGCAAGGATAAATGGTATTAATTTTTGCCATATTTTATGAATAAATAAACGGAACTAGACACGATACATCTTAATCTATGTATACACAACTTTCAAGTGTGCGTTCATTTGCAAACTTATGTATGATATGCAAGTAAATGTTATGAAAGATGTTCAAAGAATTCAATATACACTTAATGGAACTGTTGTTGAGTTGCTTTCATCCTTTTTAAAAGTATTTTATTAAGTATTTAGTATCTAATTTGTAAAATTTTAAACATACCTCAAAGAACACAGTAAAAATTACAAAATGAAAGTTTCTTCATAGATTTCAAATATTGTCCAGATGGCGCTAAAAGTCACATTGTTAGTGACGTCATCGCAGACGAATTTGAAGGTATAATTAAAAAATTGAACAACAGATGGCACGATAGAATTAATTCGAGTGTTGCCATGCAAGATTGAAATGGTAACGAAGAAGGAAATGGATTAACGCATATAAATACGCGATTTAATATTTCATACCGCGTAACTGTAATACAGCAGTAGGATTCATTTGAATTCATGGTATTTGCTTATGCGTTCACCACAACTTGAATATTATATTTTTTAATGTATATACGTATTATTTTCAGAACGTTTGTACTTGTAATACACAAAGAAAAGTACGAAGTACCGTCCAAAACAATTACTGAATGAATGATTATGATTAACAAAGTCTTTTGATCAATTGTTTAAATTAAGGCGGTGGATTATATACGAGTACAAAGTAATTCTCTGTTGCTTATCATTCTGTTAAACGCAAACATAATCTAACGCCAGTGAGTAATGTATTCAAAAGATAAACGGACGTTTTGAACGGTATATATGTACAAGCGCTGTGCGTCTCAGAATTTATTTCCAAATTTTATTTTAATCACCGTGATTAAAAACTCCTTTTTTTTTGTAGTGAAACCTATGTTTTAAACGATACCAATATTGTAGCGATATTGTTAATGGAAATATGTTGCATCCTTGATGAAGCATTAGAAAAAGGAAATACATAATCAAAGGACACTTCGCGAAGTCTCGGAAATTATAGCTTCGTGATTATTAATACTTGTTAGAGGTATTCTTTCATCTTTACCACCTCTGTTCATTTAAAATGAATTTTTTTTCAATGATATTACTATGCCATAATCGTTTCACTTTAGGTTCTCGTATCTTTAAGAATTACCTACTTCCACGTTGAAATTGTAGGCAAACATTTACATACTTTCTGTTCAGTATACATCGCACAGTTTAGTTAGTCGGCCGTGTCGAAGGTTCTGTAAAAAGGAAAGAAAGAAAAAACAAATTGTAAATAGGACAATTTCCTCGTAGAAACTTCTACAAACGGTTTAGTAATATTTATACCATGTCTACATTCCAAAGCAGGTAAACATTTGATTAATATGATTCTTTTATCGTTACTGATTGTAAGACTTCAGTAATAAAATTTAATTTATTTTTTTTTTTATATCAAATTTAAGTAAATCATGCTACGAAGGGTTAATAATATGAAGTATTTTAAAGGAGTTACTTTGAGCGTCGTGGCTTGCATCACACGTTCAAATTTTAATCGCCTTGAACTGGAACGTCTCGAGAAACACGTGCACACATGCAAGGTAAACGATACTAGTCAGCTAGCAGATTCATCGAAGCTGTGTAGATACAAGAAGGAAAAAACACCGTTTAATTGGAACGACAAGAACACAAGTAGGTGTAAAAAAGGAGATAACAAAAAGATAGGAAATGACATATAAATACTTGCATTGATGTACAAAATAAAGACAAGGTTCAAGGTTTTAGGTATTCGGTTAATACACACACGTTCCTGTAACTGAATATTTCATCAAAATAACTTGAAGATGCATTTCTGATGTCCTATATTAGGGCGAAACCTCGTGTGTCCCCGATGGATTCTTCTCTCGTAGCTCTAAAAAAAGAATGCACGCTGAAGAGAAAAAAAGAAAGTAAAAAAGAACCTGAGAAAAGCACTGGCGGACCGAGGAAAAAGGAGGGACAACGGGTAACAAGGAGAAAGTGAGAAAAGGTGTAGAGTGTAGGAAGGGTTGGAAGGAGGGAGTACAGGTGCGGCTGCTACGTCCAGAGCGCCTCCAAGTGTAATACTGTCCGTCGTGTTGCTGAGAGTAGTCCTCTTTTCCAACTTGCCCTGATATTTCAAATATTTCGTGATTCATTACCGTCTTTCTTCAACAGGTTGTCTCTAATTTAGATCAGCAAACTTCGTGACTGCTGCGTTAGTGAAATTCAAGTGGACTTGCTACTAAAATACTGATATTTTCAATGTTATTTAACGGGAATCGCTAAAATACTTACACGTATTAAAGTGAAACGAATAAGAAATGAAAATAAGAGAGATTCTTACACGAGTTTGTCAGTAAATCTGAATGAATCAGAATCGTTGCTTCGGGTGGTGAGTACTCGCGATTGTGTAAATAATTGTTTATACTTCGAACGTCACCGCTGTCCCTGAGTAATATCATTAATTCTTCTATTTGCACAGAAACGTAACGCAATGTAATGGTAGAATTTATGGTCAAGAATGACATCATACTTGAGCATGGATGTGTAATTAGTATGCCATTATCTGTAATAAATATGTATTTTCTTTGTTACAATTAATATTGTTTGATAATAATCTACTGTTCAGAAACAGAAGGTTTCTTAATGAAATTGAAGAGATTTTGTACTTGATATCACCTGTTGCGTGGGTGAGCAAGTTTGACGTTTTACGAGTATGACTCGTCGACCTACTTTGGTTCTAACATCGATGCGACATAAATCAATCTGTTAAAAAAAATTCCTGAATAATGTAATTTCAAAAGTAATAATAATAATAATTCTGATTTATAAAATAGTTGGTAATTGAAAACAAAGAAGTCTAACCAAAATCAAGAAGCATAGTTCACATACAACTTTTTTATTATTACATGAAATTTGAATTAAATAGTATCTTTTTGAATGATATTTTGAAAGTTTTTGTAACAAATTTGTTTAAGTTTGTTCAAAACTTCATCTTTATACGCTTGCTCGTGAAAGGTTAATTTCACTGGTCGAACAAAACGCCATATTAATACTATTTAAATGTTCCAACCAATCGGAAGCCTTGATCTAAATTTAAAATACGTTTCGCACTGAATTCAAAATATTTAAATCCTTTTTGTAGATATGGAAGAACATTGAATATAACTGATAAAAGGCTACGAATAATTTCGAATCTTGAAAGGACAATTTTCCAATGAGGATTAAGGAGAATATAATGTCTACAGCCTGATATTTTCAGACTCGTCTTGCCTTGGCAGATGATCATACATGTAAGTTTCATGTTTCACAAAAATTGATTAAAACACAATATTGTTAATACTAAAAAAATCATTTCCCATTTTAGATTGACAATGACGAAATTTTATGTAATATTTCTTTTAATATGTGCGTCTACCGCCGACGTGTCTAATGATTGCGACGATCCTAACTGGCACACGTTGGAAACGTTGGAGAGCGCCAGATTGGAATGTGGACCGTTTTTTAAAAATCGTTGTTACTGTATGAGAACATGTTACGAGCACCATCATCAATATGTTGTTAACTGCACTAATTCGAATTTTCTTAACACTGAACCACTGGCACACTTACCGAATGAAACACAAGTAAACTCATTGTTTAAAAGAATTCATTCTCTTCCTAAATGAAATGCCACGTATCAATAAATTTAATATTAAGTTTTACAAAGAATTTAACAGACTCGCGTTACTTTCAGGTGCTAATTTTTACCGGAAACTATCTTGAAGAACTTCCATGGAACGTATTTGGCACCCTGGATAGTTTACCTGATCTAAGAGTAATCGATATGTCCAGGAACAAAATTCGTGAAATTCGAGGAAAAGCGTATCACCACGTTCAACGGGTGGAACGACTGATTCTAGATTTTAATGAATTATCCTTAGATCCTGCAAAAAACCATCCCAGAGTGTTCTCCAATTTTGTATCCCTTTTGGAACTCCACTTAACTGATGCTTTTGAGGATGACCCACCAAATCTTGCAGCTATGTTACATAATATTTTTGTGAATAGGTATTACATTAATAATTTTAACAAAACTTATATTCTTTAAATGATATTAAACATACCTTTTCGTTGCAGTAATTTAACACAACTAATAAAATTACATTTGGAGCAAAATGAAATATCAGAGTTTCATGATTCCAACGTTTTCTGTGATCTACCAAATCTTTTGGATCTCTATTTAGGTGACAATGCACTGACAGCTCTGCACTTTAACATTTCATGTCTCCGCAATCTTCGATTCTTGGATCTCCAACGAAATAAATTTAAGAGAATTCTTGAACGTGATTTGCACGCGATGGACACGATCGTTAAGCACAATCAACAGATAGTAGTGGACTTCACCGGAAATCCGTTAGACTGTTCCTGTAAACTCAATCCATTTATTAAATGGATGAAGAAGACTAAAGTATTTGTTCGCAATAAAAACAATTTGAAGTGTTATAAAGGTATTAATCTTCTATTTTACTTATTCTGTGAAATATTAATTATATAAGTATCTTCGTTATTATTGCAGGTGATACACCTCATGAACTTCACGAGACAAAAAATTGCACGCCAAAATTGTTCTCATCAGCTTCACGCAGCGCAACCGCCTTACTATTCTTTCTTTCATTAGTGTTGATAGGCCTTGTATGCGCTTTGATATACCTTCAACGTGCAAAACTACAGAAAAAAATCGAGCCTATATTGGATTCTGTGAACAAAAGGGTGCGGTACACTTCAATAGCGACTGGTGATAATCGCGAAGAGTTATAATCAGTTTCATTTAAATAGTCGACTGTTCTTAAACTGTTAAAAAAGTTCCATTCTTTTAGTATTTAAATAATTTTGTTTGTTTTTAATATTATTTATAGTCTGAAATCAAAAAAATTAATAATTACTTGAAAATTAAAAAATAAGTAATAGTTTTCATAGTGTTTAGCTGTAACATTAACAAGTTAAATTTGTTAAATTAGTGATTAAAAATAGAGCATATGTAATTTTGATAATACGTCTAATGATAAATAAATGTTATATATTTTGTATCTACATTTATCAATTTTCTTTCCAATCGCTGCGTGTGCTCATTAAAACATATTTTCACCGACAATAGAACAATTATTGTCTTTCAGAATTTCTTAGCCACTAAAAGTCTTACACGCGAAGTATTTTTAAAAGTTTCATTCTTTATCATTGGCTATCAGACCATTGACTTTTTGATAGAGATTAGATAATGATTCAAGCTGTTTAAACGCCTACAATGTGCAGCAGATTATTCTTATACAATTAAGCGCATTAGTAATTTAACATTAAAAGTAAGAAAAAATGTCGTTAACCAGGCGGCTTCATCTCGACGAAATTGTCACATCATTTCCAGAGTTAGGGCCCACAGTACCTGACGGTGGCTACTCATGGATTGTTCTATCTGGAGTATTTTTGGTCCAGGTATGAAATCTGAAAACATACATGAAATTGTCATTATGTTATTGCCTTTTTTAGATGACAATTCCAAGTATTTTTGCAATGTATGGAATAGTACTGGCTTACATACATGAAAACAATACTAATAACTCTGATATATTAAGTGAGAAAATTATGTTGACACCAATACTGTTTACTGCTTTCTGGAATTTATCAGGTACATTGAAATTTTAAGTATCAGTTAAACCATTTTACTTAATCTTAAGAAAATAAAAAAAGAATCTTTATTTCAGATCCTTGGGCAAAAATGATTGTGAGTATGTCATCAATTCCTCGCTTGGTAGGAGTAATAGGAGTGATTTTATTAGCAGTTGGAACCATAGCATCGGCATACCTTGCAACAGGTGGAGTCGGTGCATATTTGACCAGTGGCAGTGCAGGTGCAGTAATGGGAATAGGCGCTAGTTTTGTCGTCTTACTGAGCGATTACGTTCTGCGAAAATATTTTCGGAAGAAGCTTCTTTTAGCGCTAACAGTGAGAAACATTGCAACTTCATTTGGTCTTGTACTCGTTCCAAGCATCACATATTTACTGTTATACAAAGCCAGACTGAAATCTGGTCTCCAATTAATGACCCTTATACTACTGCCTGCTACTCTTGGGACATTAACTTTTAGGCTGCCTACTCAGCAACAAACTCCTTACAGGTTCATTTCACAGATATCTTAAAACAATTGTTTAAGGATAGATTAATGATATTATAAAATCAATTCATAGTCTTCTCCTTTCAACCGAAGACACCGAACTTCCCATAAGAATCTCTTCAGATGTTTCTAAAAGCGAACAGCAATTAAGTAATCAAGATGAGATAGAAAATTCAGAATACGGTCAAACCGATGAAAGAATACAACACGGTGGAGGATTATTGAATGAAGGAAGTAACATGTATGCTTACGAAGATCTGGATGAAGACGTAGATTTATTTGTTAATCCAGTTAGTCACTCAAACAGTAATTGGAAGTATCAGCTTTGTGCTCTAAAGAACTTCAGATTGTGGGCTGCAATTGTTGGCTGGATCGGAATGAAAGCGTCTACTCTCTATTTTTTGATTCTATTTCCTCTACTCAGTAGTAGAATCGTAGATGATCCTTACATTTGGATGCCGTTATTTATTACAGCAAGCTTTGCTACTTTTCTACCAAATCTGATCAGTTATAAAATATTAAAAGCCACCAGTCAGAATAGAAGATTGTATTTTGGTACAGCATCTTGGATTTGTGGTACGAGTTTAATAGGTATGTCATTTCTTTCAATATCTTTGTATATAAAATAATAATTTCTTCCTTTTTAGGTATAATTTACGCGAATAGTTACTCGTGGATGCTGATTTGTGCCCTTTTAGGTGGTATTAGTATTGGTAGCTTGTTAAGTTGCCAAGATTTAGCTTTGTACGATGTTCTCGGTGTTGAAACAATGCATTCTGCTCATAGAGGATTATCAACCATCGTGGGTTTATGTATACTGATCTTTTGTTTCATACACAGTAAGTCATGTGACAATTTTAGTTTGTAAAAAAAAAAAGAGTTCAAACGATCAAGGCAAATGAATAACCCACGACACATGTATGTATTTCTGATTACAGACATAACCATCTGTTTGAGTGTTACAGCGCTCTTACAATTTCTCGGTGCACTTTATTGGATCTCCTCACCTGTGCTGAACTTAATTAAAGAAACACAGTATAGATCATTTCACACGATGAGCAGAACAAGTTGAGACGAAACATGATAAAAACAATTTTACATTTAAGAATAATAATTGTACCTTATATTTTATCTTAACGATATGTACAGACGTTTATATTAATCACAATAATCTGTTATCTAAAAATAAAAATAGTACATATATAGGTATATAAAATCGTAAAAATAGACATTTTATAGAAATTAAAAAATAGGCGACGAATATTGTCTAATATAAAAGGAATAAATATTTCACAGTAATATCTCGAATGATCTTTATAGATTCTCGTTTTAATTTTTCCATACTCTTATCTTAGTTATATTAAAAATATTTTGAAATGCAATTTACTCGGTTCTAAGAGGAATATGTTACACTCTGGAAATGTTAACAGTAATTTATTTCTTTTTAGACTAAGTTTCATTTAAAACATTTCGCTTATAATATTAAGTATTCATATTAATTCGGTGCGATACGATTTCTTAATTACTATTTGAAATATTCCCGTATTTCCCGTATAAATGTCTTTTGAAAAATATTTCAAAGGATTTCAAGATAAAAACGTGGAAAAATTAAAATGGAATACCCTGTACATACATATACAAATAAAATACATAATTTTGTAATGCATGGTGATATGAATCTATACTAATTATAATATTCTTCTCTCTAAATTTCTTGTAAATATATTTTTGCACGTGTATGAAATAAATTGTTCTTAAAATATCAACAATTTTATTTTTTGCATATGTGGTGAATATATATATATATTATGTATGTATAAATATCGAATAATGATACCTCAAAAATGAAAGAAAAAGGGGTGTGAAATTCGAATGTTATGCATATATTGAGATCGTAAAATCGGTCTCCTATTACTTACACTTACCAACAATTTTGTACCTTGTTTGCCAATCCACTTATAAACCTCACTTATTGATATTGATGAGTATTTTTCACTCGATCATCACCTCAACTTTCTTTTATTAACTTTGTATGTAATAGACAAAAAAAAATTTGTTTATGTCACTTCCAAGCTTACAAGGCACTCTCTTATGTCACAATCATCGACTATCTTTCCATTTCTTCTTTTAAATCCTTAAATAATAACTTTTATATAAATCTTTTTTGAATATCACAACTTTCTTTGCACAATTTGGTCACCGTGTTTACACGGGTAATTAAAATTAATTTTCTTTTCAACCACATGTAACGAACAACAGTTTTGAATTTTCTTTGCATCAATTTTAAAATACAGCCACTTATTTTATGTCAATTGTGAAGAAAAAAATATTGCTTCAAACATCGTACATTATTAATTTCAGTAAATATATTGCAAAAAGGGACAGTTCAACGTGCTATAGATAAATGTCTACTCTGAGTATATTACTCTTATAAATAAAATCTTGGTTTGACTATTTCTTTCATTACTGTTTAACTATGTACATACATGCATATACTGAGCAATCAGAGTAAGTTTGCATTTTTCTAAATGAAAATATTATTTTCAAAACTTACTTAATTAACCAGGAAACTTATCTTGCTATGAGAGGCAAGAAGAATCAATCACTAATGATCAAGAAATGGTATGATTCTTATAATCTGTTTCCTAAATCACTTTTTTTTTTTTTTTTTTTGTTTAAATTAAGAACCTGAATTCATAAAGAATGAGAAGAATTTAAGTTTCACCAAGCTCTGGATCTTTATCCTTTGATCTACTAGGCCCTGCGCTGTCGGACGATTTCGAGCAAAAACCATTCGGCACACGAGTGAATTGTTTATAACCGCTAACAGGTCTTGGATTATCCAACTGATCGTACTCTGATTCATCATTATTTTGTTTAATTTCATCGTAAACGTGCTCAACCTTTTTCCCATCCATTTCATCAATACTATGGTATACGTTAAGATTTGGATTTCCCATATCAGCATCTCGATTCTTCAGATCGTATCGATTATATGCTCCTAAAAAAATAACATTAATAATCATAAATATACGTTCAACACAGAATGATTTTATTTTTATATTACCTTTACAATCATCGTCATCATCAGTACAGCTATTCAGTCCCAGTTTAGCTTTTTCATTATTTATTTTCTTGCTTGTCCCTAGATTATTTCTAAATTGGAAATTATTTAATAAAGTAGTTGTTCCATCATCAAATTTAGAGGAGCCTTGATAGGCATACACCGGATTGTCAAACTGAGTTTGTTCTGCAAAAAAAACGTATAACAAGGAAAATGAATTTTCATTTAAACAGAAAATAAATAGTGCTCTTTTATGTACCTGGAGGAGAAGGGGGATCAGCGACATAATGTACTTGGGCAATTTCGTTTTTAAGATCAGCTACTCTGCGCCTGTGATATATCCAACCTGCTAAACTCATAGCAATGACAACAATTGCAGCGAATAAGAATCCTGCTACTATACTGCCATATCCACCATCATCTTTCTCTTGAACGTTCCGTGAAAATAGTTCTTCGTCACAATTTGGTCCTGAATAATATTAACGTTCCATTATTACAATGTATGATAACATTAAGTTTCAAATAAAATATCCACCTCCGTATCCATGTCTACAAATGCAACCGTCGGCAGGATGACAAGTGTAGAAATCACTTTTACAATTGCAAGGTTCCATACAGTGATCACCGTAGTATCCTTCTGGACAGACTATTATCAAGTATAATGATTAGTATTCAAATATTTTGTTTCTCACGTGAAATGTTTTCACTTACTTTCAGTGCATTTGGTACCTATCCAACCAGGCGTACAACGACAGTGACCATCGTTAGATCTACATTTTCCTCCATTTTGACATGTACAATGTTGACTACAATTTATACCATATGTTCCTTCTGGACAGGGTGTTTGACAGTGCTCTCCTTTCCAACCAGGTCGACACTGGCACACACCTAAAGTAATAATACATTACACATACATATATGAAAATTATAATATAAAAAAAAGCGATGAAAATCTTACCTGTTACATGATGACATTCTCCACCATTTTTACAGCGGCAATGATTAGCACAGTTTAATCCATAGCGATTGGGAGGACAAGGATGCTCACAAGTTAGACCCAAGTATCCAGGACGACAAACGTATTCTCCGGTGACGTGATCGCAAGTCATATTATCTAAAAAATAATATATTTTACATAGACTTTAAACTATGAGTTAGAAGAATATGAATTTGTTTTTGACAAATGATCGTTTATTAATAATAAGAAAAAAGTTATTGCTTTATGTCAGTTTATACGATGACTTACATTATATGTGAAAAATCATTATTTTACATGAAATGTTCATGACTTACCAGGGTGATTGAAGTTTCTGACTTATGAGAATGTGCAATAAAAAGAATAGTTGTTACACCAACAGTTAAAACATTACCAAATTTTTTTATTATTACCAAGTGTTAAATAATTTGTATTAGCTAACTATATCCATGCTCAAGAAAATATTACAATCTACTTTAACTAAAAAATATCTAAAGTGTTACAGCGAGGTTCATGCTGCTAATTAAACTTCAAAAACATTGATAACGACAGCTTAGCTCACCTTCGCATAGAATAATTCAATATTATTCTTACCCTGCATTTTTTCTGGACACTTCTCTTTACAGCCTACACCGTACCAGCCTTCATTACATGGCTGCGAACAATCGGATCCTTCCCAACCCCTAGCACAAATACATGTGCCAGTTTCAGGATCGCACGAGCTATTGTTCATGCAGTCACAGTGCGAATGACAATCACTGCCGTAAAGACCTTCAGGACACTTGGTTTCACAGCGGATTCCTGTTTTATATTATTCAAATCACAAACTTTATCGAAGATCCAATTGCCATTGAGCAAGCTTTCTATGACGATTGATCAACGAATGAAGAAAGAAAATAATAAAAACAGACCTCGCCATTCGGGCTTACAGGTGCAACGACCCGTGGCAGGATCACAGCCCAAACTATTCTCTTCGTGACAATCGCAGATCTGGGTACATCCCAATCCAAAATATCCCTCTTTGCAATGATCTTGACAAAATTCGCCGGTGAAGCCAGCTGCACACGTGCATGTGCCTGCAGGTGGTTAAAAAAAAAAGTAACGTGTGTTCTGGTGCAAGTGCAACGAAGATTATATAAAATTGAAACGTAGCGTGATTCTCGACAAAGTAAGATAAAATGAAAAAAATCGTTGCAACTAACACCCTTACCGTTTTGAGGATTGCAGGCGGCATTATTAAAACACTTGCACTTGCCCTCGCAGTTTTTCCCAAACGATTTGTCGTCACAGGGACGATCACAAGAAACACCAACCCATCCTGACAAAATTTAACACATGCAAAAATATAATTTACACCGAATTCTTAAGATGAATAAACTCAACTGTTGCTTCTAAGTTTTACCTACCTTATACGCAATGTTTAATCCACAACTTTGCCATTGGCGTAACTAAAACAATGAGAGGATCAGGCCCACCTTGGCCCTCGCCCTAGTTACGCCAATGAACTTTGCAGATAATGGAGAAAACAAAAACTACTGTTATACTTTTTCATGCAATTCACGATCGTACTTCTATATTAAATTAACGATTACATTCAAACAGAAAATAGAAAAACATACAGGTAGCAGACAAGTGGTACGATCGCAAGATGCTTAAAGGATACTTCTTTCAATCAACAATTTGAAATTTAATCATAGACTTACAATAGATAGCACGTTCATTTGCATCTTTCATCTTCGATCGTTAGTGTTTAATTAACGTATCTAACATAAAAATATGATGATTACCTGCTGTACAGTTGCATCGGCCGTTCTCCGGTGAACAAGTGGCACCGTTCTTGCAGACACATTTTTGTGCACAATTCTCGCCGTAAGTGTTGTCAGGACATATTTCGCTACAATCCTCACCTCTGTATCCAGCAGCACAGATACAGGTCCCGTTAACAGGCAAGCATTGTGCATTATTCTTGCAGTTACAACGATTCAGGCAACCCTTTCCATATGTATAAAAAGGGCAAGGTCTGCTGCAGGTATCGCCATCCCATCCAGCCTTGCAAATGCATTTTCCAGTCCAGGGATGACAGAGATTTGTATTCTCATCGTCGCACTGGCAAACCTAAAGGAAAGATCCTATTAATTTGAGACTTTAATGGATGGGACATTCTCTTCGCTTACGTTTGTACAATTAGCTCCCCAGAATCCATCTGGACAAGCACGTTTATTGCACTTTTCACCGGTCCAACCAGGATTACAGGTACAAGTACCATCAATGGGAGAACAAGCTGCTCCATTTTCACAAGTACAATTACTTGTGCAGTTTAAACCGAACTTTCCTTCGGGACACAGTTGCAAACACTATCAAAGGATTAACGTTACGAATCAAATGTTATTAACAACTGCATACCAAGGGACAGGGTTAAGGATACTTACTTTTTCATCATAATAGCCTGGTTTACATTCACATTTACCAGTAAGATGATGACATCCAGCTTTATTGTAACAATCACAAGTCTGAGAACAATTTTTCCCCCAGAAACCTTCTGGACAGCGACTGGCGCAAACTAAACCCTATTCCAAAAAGTACGCTTCACGTTAAATTCTATTTTTACATGTTTTGCATAGATCTCTGCGATTTAAATGATGTTTACCGTCCATCCAGGTGCACAATAGCATTCGCCTGTTGTAGGATTACAGGATCCACCGTTCTGGCACTTGCACTCCGATTTGCACTCGTCGCCGTGTTTACCAGGTGGGCAAAAGTCATCGCAACTAAAGAAAGGATAAATTATTTATGAATTACATAAGCTGATGAAAATTGGTAACCACATGGAAGAACATTTACAGAGGTCCTGTATAACCAGCAGCGCAATGGCATTCTCCAGAAATGTGGTGGCAACTTCCACCGTTTCTACAACGACACTCTTCGCCACAGTTTTGTCCATATCGATCAGGAGAACATTTCTGATCGCAATAATCACCGGTCCAGCCTCTGGTACACTCACACTTGCCGTCGAATGGATCACAGCTGGCCCCATTTTGGCACATGCAGTCTTTCTCGCAAGACTTGCCCCATTTCCCTGATGGACACTCTGTGGAAAGAGAGATATACATACTTAATATACTTAAGAAGCAGAAGCTTCTGTACAGAGTGAATCAGACAAACGATCAATCGTATGCTCACTGTAATCGCATAATGGTCCTCCGTATCCTGACTCACACTTGCAGACATCAGGTGCAGTACAAATGCCATGAACGCAGTCCTCGGAGCAGACAGGAATGCAACGATCGCCGTCAGTGGTTTCTGTGTAACCCTTACAACATTCTTCCATAGGTCTTTGCTTCGTTAATTCCTGATTGAAATCAGTCATTAATTATGAATACTTTTCTAATCACGCGGTCAATACATATTGGGTTAACGTTTTACCTGTTCCTTGTAGACGGTCTTGAATACTACTTTGTATTTGGAGCATCGTGGTGGAAAACTGAGACACCAAGTGTACTCTCGGACTGTATAAGGCTGCTCCTCCGATACCCTCACCGTTATCTTGTAACTAAAAGATGCGACATGTTATTAAAAGAATAATGTAAAATTTTGAATGTAAAACTAATACAGGCTGTCTCGTAACTAAACACCCTGTATAGAGTATGGAATCTGTTAGGCACTAACGGTCAGAATTTCTAATTTATCAGTTAATTTAATATAATTAAACTTACGTTTCTTGTCTTGTACAAATATTTGGCCCTTCCAGAGCATCGGCTGCTTCAAAAGCTGCAAGAACAGCTAACAAATAAATCAATAGATCCATTCTGACTTAAGTTAATTCCAAACAATATGCAGCAGCATCTATTTACATTCCTTCAAAGATATTTCCACGTTTCTGGGATTTAGTTGTAAGTATATTTAATTCCATGTATTCAATAAGCTCCAAGCAACCAGCATGCTTCTGTATCTGAAAAATGGATAAACAATTTTTAATTAACTCACCGGTTGGACGTTGTTTGACTTTCTCATGAAATAAGAGACCCTGGAATGCGAAATCGGCATAACGAGTCGCATTCCAGATCGATTCCTAATCGATGGTAACTAACAAAATTTGAATTAAATTTAATACCAAGTTTTCATTGCTGAAAAATGTCCATTGCTTTTTTAGGTCGACGGAAAAATGCTCGTCCAGTTCGAAAGGAAGAAAACGCTGATTGGTCAATGCAATTATACTTATAATATACACACATACACGTTGAGTCATTGCAAAATGCGCAGAAAAAAATCGCATATAAACGCCGAAGAATGATTACTTACAATTTCCGGATTGTCCTCTATCATTCGACGAATAGAAAGTTTAAGCATACGTGTTAGACGAATGAAAATGATACGTCAGGAATTTACAAAGCGTATCAGTCTTGACCAATACTTTCTCAGAATACCTTGAAATTTGAAAAAAAAGAAAAAAAGATTGCTGCAGCTACTTGCAGGCAAATTGATTTTCAATGGATTGTAAGTTTAAGACATTGATATTTTTGTATTATGTATAGAGATGGTACAGTAACAGTATAGAACACCTACACCTCGCTATAATGGCCTTTTTTAATTATGGCACTTTTTCAAGACCCCTCGAGTATCTAAAATAAAATTTATAAAATTAACATTAAAGCTTGTATAACTAATTTAGATTTGCATTTATATTCGCTTAAAATCGTCTTATGGGTATAAACTTTTAATCAGTTTCAGTTCAGCAGCGATCGTGTTAATGAATTAAACGTAAATGATTAATAGACAGATGTTCGCAATAGCGAGGAAGCAGCAACTGTTCACCATCGTTGAACTAAATCTCTGAATCATTAATAGGGATCACGTTTTTTGCCGCAACGCGAGTTTAAATTTCATGATTCACTTGTAAGCATGTGCAAAGTAAAGTATGATATGTATATGTATCGAATGACTCTGCCACCGGAAGTGGATAAAGTGACAAACTGTATGAAAAGATTGCGAAGATGATATTATAATGAGATGGTTGTTTCATGAGCAAGAGTGATTCCTAATCAAACAAGAATTTAAACGTACAAATTACAAAGATACCTGCTTATCTGTATTATTTCAAAGCGGAGCAAAGGGTCACTTTATTTATTGAGTCAGTTAAGTCAACGAGATAAATTGTTGTTTATACGTTTCTCGTATTGGCACGGATGGATACACGGATGTATACACAGCTGGATACATAATTTAATCACTTCAAATGGTGTAATAAACAGATAAAGTTAATCAATTGAAGTAAATGTAATATCTCTAATTAGTGAATTTGTGAATTTCTGAATGGGTGATTCTTATAGTGTTTCGTACGCTGATTACGAATCTGCATACCGTTTTGCTCCTACTCGTACAGTTTTTGAGAAATTTGATTTTGAAAAAAAAATTATATTTTTCAGATTTAAACAAATTTTCTGACGTAATTATAAAAGATATTGAAATTCTATTTATACTAAAAGATTCTGTAGACTTTCCTGAATACAACGATACCTATCTTTAATACATTGTAAATGTTTAAGTATGTTTAAACGATCATTGAACGCGGAGGGACCCCGATTTGGCACCAATTTTTTAGGATACTTTTCAATTTATCTGAAAAAGTAGAGGTCCAGCGTAAAATCAAATTATACCACGCGATAGAGCAGATTTTTATCTTGGATTTTTATACGTTGGACCTCTACTTTTTCAGATAAATTGAAAAATATCCTAAAAAATTGGTGCCAAATCGGAGTTCCTCCGCGTTCAATGATCGTTTAAACATACTTAAACATTTACAATGTATTAAACATAGGTATCGCCTACAGAAAAGGAAAGTCTACAGAATCTTTTAGTATAAATAGAATTTCAATATCTTCTATAATTACGTCAGAAAATTTGGTTAAATCTGAAAAATATGTTTTTTCTTCAAAATCAAATTTCTCAAAAACTGTACGTATAGGAGAAAAATGGTTTGCATATTCGTAATCAGCGTACGAAACACTATAAGAATCACCAAGTGGGAATCGGAAAACAGAAAAAAAGTTAAAATTTGTTGGACAGTGTTATGATTCCTAACTACGTAAAATTCAATCGACGAATGCAGAATATAAATTGACTAAGGACGACGAAAAAAGAACCTACAGTTTTCTTCTTGAAATCATTCAAGGCTACTTGCTCTGGACAAAGAATAACGAGGAGGGATGTTGGAAATTTGAGCTAACTTCCTAATTCTTTTCTCAGGCCACGTTTCTAAAAAATTTTCTCATTCAACCTAAACCGTGGGTGAACACATGTCGACAATAGCTACCCACATATTTGGAGTTCGGTCAATCTATGACCTAATTAGATGATGCTAATAAGGATTATGTAACTCCTGGTTATTAAAGGGGTAGACACGGCACGTGACCTCTCCGATTCGGGACGTCGGTATTACTTTTACGGGAATCGGTTATTCGTCCTTATATGAGAAGATCTTGAGCTGAGTAAGGGCTCATTCGAAAGAGGAAGGTTCAATGCAGGACGGTCAACTCACCGTTTGAGTCACAAAACTCTTTTAGTGGCCTAAAAATGCTTCGATTTCTCAACTGCATTTTCTCGATTTTTTCTTCTACTTTCAACACTGATATCATTAAATATGGACATAATCTCGTTAAACCATGAGTTGACCGCCCTGCATTGTACCTTCCTCTTTCGAATGAGCCCTCATCCAGCCCTATGTGTTCTCATATAAGGACAAATAACCGATTCCCGTAAACCCAAGGCCCATATTTGCCGGTAATGTCACCTCGCTGCATTACCCGTGTCTACCCCCTTAACGCTTTCACATCCTGATAAATTTGATACTTAAACATATAAATGAACAAACTGAACAACATTAGATATTATAGAATGGACTTGCATTAATATTGACATTACTGTTTTATAGAGAATACACCCAAGTTTGACGAGATCGAGGCTAGAGGCAAGCGTAATGATCATCCAGAGGCAGACAAGTCTCTGGTAGGTAGAACAGGCCAGCAAAGCCCCTCTAATGGTGCAGCAAGTTGAATAAAAACCAGACCAGTGTAGACCAGAATTCACGTGTAGACCGACTAACGGTGTTAAATACGTATGCACAAGAAGCAGGGAATGTAGGGGCCAAGGAAAAGGATCGAGTTTCCCTATCTCTCCCTCGATACAACGGTATTGCCGGTGGACACACAGCACAGAAAATCATAAAATAATATCTGTTTATAGGAAAAGTAAAATTTGAAATTTTCAGGTTGATGTTTTTCTACTAAAAAAAGGGGATAACGAACGACCTTCCGCAACGTCACAAAGGAATCTTTGTAACTGTACGTCAGATCAGAAGCAAAAATAAGCCTGCACATTTTCCCAACCCATTGAGCATTGATCATTCTCCTTATTCGTATCAAGTGGAAAATAACCTGTCGTTCTGAACGCACGCAAATCGTGTTCCATGTTACCAACATTCCTTCTCTGAGTAAGTGCAAAATCGAATAAAAATAGTCGGATCGAAGGAACTTGCTCCTTCTCCAAGCGAACGTTCTACAGGTGCAATGACGAAACATTCTTTACGTTCATGTAAGCAGACGTTGAAATCGAAGTCAACGCGATGAAATACATATTTATGAATCGTTATTATTACGCTCGAATGACTAAATTATACGTTTCAATTTTAACATATCCATTTTTTTCTCTTTTAATTTCTTTACTATAAAAAGCTAACACCGCGTATGGATCATTAGAATTAATTTAGATTAATGTGTTCAATGGATCATATAATAACGTGTTTTTCTTCGTATAGGATGACCATATGACGAACGTACGTACTACGAATATGTACGTGTGAGCACAGATACCACCGGAAGAGTCAATTTAACGGGTTCTCTACGGTACGTTTATTTATAAAGTAAAATGGAACGGCCCGGTTAAGCCTGTTAATTGATCGTAGAAACTTGTCATGCACACCGTGTGCATTATGTATCTGCATAACATGAATTCGGTTACAAGTACAACGATGGAATGCAACGGGTGTCATCAGACGCGTGAAAGAGCGTGCGTGAATGACGAGTCTATGTATATTCCAAGGTCTACACCATGGCAATGAAGGAGATATTTATTCTTTTACGTGTACTGGAAGATTTCGCTGTAACTATGAAAGGAAAATTAAGTATTATAATACTTTAACAAATAGTCTTGTTAAAATTTTTCAAAATAAGTCAGAAGTACAGAAGTTCCTGAATAACAAACTCTGATTACTGAATGAAATTTACATCAACATTTCTTTGCGCGTGTAAAGAGCAATATTTATTCAAAGCATGACAAAGGTGAATACGGAAGAAAGGTATGTCTGAACAATTATTCTGTCCACGTGTTCGGTAATTCACCGTCTGAATATCATTCGCATTTTTTGGTAAACTACGATTACTCTAATAATTCTGAATTCCACATGCTAATACAAAGTTTTAGGGACACAATGCCTAACGAGTAGTATATCTGCGTAATCAATTAATCAAACTGCGGCAAGGCTGAATGAATTAATCAGGAATGGTTTTACTTTTTTTTATTCTACATGTACCATGAATAATGTAGCAGCACGGACTTTGGACAGATCTTTGCTCTTATGTTACTTGAAATATGATAAATAAATAATTGTGCAGAAGAAGGAAGTGTCGGACGAAGAAATCTCAGACGACAAGAGTTGTACCGTTATTCATTGCGCGTGGGAACGCAGATAAAGATTGTATAATCTCTTAGAACAGTGAACGGAGGTTTTTTAATTAACGTTAAGTTGGTCACTGGGTGAGTACCTATTGTGCATCGCCGATTCTTGACGATAAATCATTACTATTAAATTCACAAACACGTCGATAACCTATTGTTAGGGAGTATGTGTAACATAGGCTCCCGAACCCTTGGATTTCGTGGCTAAAAAGGGAGTTAATTCGTGTACAGGAAGGGAGAAGAACTTTTAGGGTGATGGTGGACAACACGATGCTTCGGTTTACAAGCACATGAGTCACAGGAAGTGCTGGCAGTTCGCGATAAAGAAATTATTCGAAATTATCATGTGTCGTCTAGGCGGGATGTGAATCGTTGATCGTTATGCTTCTGGTGATCTTTTAGTCAAACAGAACAAAAGAGCAAGCTGCGAGAAATCAACCGAGAAAACAAGTACAGATTTCACTGACGTTAGATAAACGCTAATTGCTTTCTAATTGAGCAATCTGTTATTAATCAATAGTGTTATTAATCATGATACGAGGTAAGACGCATTATGTAGTCTTTCAAAATAACAGAGTCGAGATAAAACACTGGAGAAAGTTTCAAAAAATAAAAGTAAATATTGGTCAATGAACCATAACTTTGACCGTACCCATCAACTTATATCTAATCACCAATGTCCGTGGTTGTTCAATGAGATAGAGTAAAAATATCAGGAGATTGCTTATCGTCGTACAAATTCAATGATTAGATAAATGGTGCATTCGAAACTTTCAAGAAATGAACCTGTTACTGTGTGCCCTAACGCTTCAACATTATTGACCCAAGCCACGATATCGGGTGAGCTGCTATTTATTCGCGCAAAGCGTGCAATTTGGAAGGTGAAGCTAATCAATTGGAATTAAAATTAGATGATCTAAACTATAGAAACTCGTCATTATCACGTCCCAACCGAATGAATAAACCTTTAATGGATTTTAAATTGCGCCATGCGAAAATGCGCTCGAAACTTATTCACCGGATAATCGCAAAGTCGAACACGGTACGATTTTTCTTACGTAATCAAAGACATAACGGTAGAAGTGAAAGCCTAGATCAAACGCGAAATTCTACGGGAGCAACCGTATCATTTTTTGTATTTCATGGCACACCTGGACGGTATCATTTCTTTCGTTAGATAACATGGAAAATGACAAGTTTCAATAATGCAATTGCAAATCTGCAATTTCCTCTGATTTCAAAATTAAATCAAACTATAATTTAAGATTTTGTATCTTTTTTTTTTTCACAGATATTGATCACTAAAAATGAGGAAGTCAGTTCTCAAAGCTAACGTCTGTGTTTGCTTTCTGTCGTTTCTTAGAAACAGGTGAACAGATGGGTCAATTTTGTTTACTAAACTAGACTAAATATGAAGGATAATAGAAAAATAATAAGCTTTCTAACTAACGGGCTCGACAAGCCTCCTCCTTGGTCTTTTCAGGGATAATACTTTGAAACTAATATAACCACCGTTAATATAACGTAATATGATTAGCGATGGTAATATGATACGTATGCCAATCGATCGAGATTATTAAGCACGCAAATGTTCTTTGAACATACGCGGATCGTTGCGGTGTTTTGTCGCGTCCCATATACGTGACACCATTCTGCCAGATTCAAAGTCCATACAACAAAGGCTCTTTATGCATTCTTCAACAATGATAAATATTCCAGGACACTTTTTGTCTCGCTGATATTTCCTCGAAGAACAAGAGGATGATTTAATCTTTGTTTCTGTTATAATGCAACTGCGAGCTTAAATCATTCTCTGTTTTGTACAACTATTTTTGAATAGAGTACGAGGGTTAATGCGCTATTCGTAGCGCAAACGTGTGTTTAAATTGGGCTCTGTAGTTGTATCCGATCCAAAACGATCCATTTTCGTTGTTTAAGAAAGTTTTTTAAATAATAAATGAATCTTACCTAATTTAAATTAGATTCTTACGCATTGTTAAATTACTGAGCACGGAATATCACTCTCACGAAAGGGGTCCTTTGTTTCAGGATAATCCCGAATGTCAGGCTTTGTTTCATCGATAATTTGAACAAAGAGGAGAAAGCCTTAGGATCTACCAGCTTGGTGGAATACCAAACTGGTCACGTCGCAATCCGACTCATTTCGCGATTGTTCTTCATTTACTGTCTCCACAATGTCATTTATAATGGTATATCTTATGGACAATCAATGACGACAGAAACCTCGATCAAAGTCCGTGGAATTGTCATCTAATTTCGTTCAGAACAATAAGTTTCACTTTTCGTAGATAAATCCGTAGATAGAGCACGGATTTGTTATTCTTGGAAATTTCAATACAGACAAAATCTATGGTTTTGTATATAATTATAACGTATTATGATGATCAATAATAAAAGAGATTTGTATCTACCATTGTCTGTAAAGTGAATCAACCTTATCATGAGATTCTACAAATTTTATCACTAAACGATGATATAGTTATTTCCTACAACAATTTAATACTTTCTAATCTATCACTATATGTACATTTAAACGCGATTTATAAATTAAAATTAGAACAAAAAAAAAAATTGAATTTTTACCTCCTTAGGAAAGTTGTTCGATAACAAGTGCTTATCTCGTTTTAAACATGCTTTTCCATCTATGTATACTGACAATATTTATATACTTTCACTTTATCCCTGAAAACTTATCATTTTATTATCTGGGTTACAATTAATAAAATTTCAGTAACATTTATTACTGTCCGCTGAAACATCCTAGGCGATCATTATCGAAATAGATTTTTATAAAAAAAACAAAGCAAAATCTATTAATTAATAAAAATGACACCTACTATTTGCTCATATTTAAAATGCGAAGAAACGTTGTATCGAAGTACCCACATGGGATATCGATATTTACATCGATTGATCCTTAAGCGCGCGATGCCGCAAGATGGCGGCAATACCCTTTAATCTCGATTTCAAAAACCATCGCCGAAATTGCGTTCTAACGTTACATTTATAAATAAACCTGTCACTGCTGCGATTCCTATCACTATTGTAGCAGGTTTATTTACTTCGTAGATATCAAATGAATATGTACATATTTATTGCACGTGTTCAGGTTATACATTAACAAGTTTCGTAAAATTTCTACGCGTCTATTGGATTAATTAGTTCCATACTTTGAACTGCGTCACAAATTTGCACGAATTCTTCTCGTTGTAAACGACCTTGATATTCTTCAATTCTGTTCGTAAATGTCGCGTGGTCATTCTCGGAAAATCCAGTCACCGACTACAAAACTGTCTAATTACACTTAATATCGCGTTTGCATCTCGAACGACAAATATTCATGTCACGAACTGATTTTTTTTCTACTTTATTAACATTTTCTTATAAATATTGGGAGAGAAATTATGTATTTATTTATTTTACTTGTCAGGAGAGTGCTTATTAACCCCTTCATCCGCAGAAATCAAACTACAGCATTTTGCAGACAGTACTATTTATTATAAACAAAAATGTAGACGGAAATAAATAGTTATATGTTTGTTAATATGTTATTCATGATTTGTATCATTAGTTTTGAAACGACCTATATAAGAATGTTAAGTACGACCGGTCTTGTATCCATGTAAAGTAATCACCAATACTAAAGCCTCCGCTCAATGAACGATATTCTCAGGCTAAAGCCATACAGGTAAAATGTCCCTTTCCTTTTCGTGTTACCAAGAGTATACATTCCTTCGTTTACAAACCCACCCTTTTTAATTCATGTAAAATAAAGAGGAGAAAAAAGAAAATTGAAAGCAAACGCAGGTAAGAAATCTGACTGTGTCGGGAGATAACACGATCACCTATATGTGTATATAAAATGTATTTTAAACGTAAACACTTCGACTGAGATCACTTTCAACATTTACCATGACCATACTACGATTAAAATTATTGTAAAATACAATACAAGAGAATAATGACTAGTTAAGGGCATTTAACAGTGAGAATACTTTGCCAAAACGGTACAATCGAATCATAAAAGCACAGCATCTTTTGTCAGATGGAACAATAAATGATTAAAAATTGCAAGTTTTTCGTAGTACTCACTTTGTTACAGTTCTCCACGCGATAATCCAAAAGTATTTAGATATGCACAGGTAAAGTAGAACAGAAAAAAATAATTGGCACACGAAACGAACGACGAAACGGACACTTCGCTGTTCAATTTACAACTGAGGCATTCACATTCACCGTCCACCGATTCTACCGCCTCGCTTAGCATCAATTTACGCGCGCACTACTCCCTCTATCTGAATATTTCAAACTTTGTAATTAAACAATCAATCGATAATGTAGAAATCGGTAAAACAGGCCATAAGAAATATAAGAAAAAATATAGAAAAATACATAAGATATTAATGGTATTTAATAAATTATCACCATAAAAGCAGAATAAATGAGAAATATGTTATTTTAATTTGCATCTGTACCGACAAAAGACAGAGTATAAATTTTCAGCTTACGCATTTCTGAACACAACGTGGAAATGATGTCAGAAGTCACGACTCCGGTCTTCTCTTCAACTTTGTCTTCTGTTTTTTGTATTTTTGATACTTAATACACAATTTAATATAATATTTACACATATTCACATATACGAACTGCGAATGAGCGCGCAGTCGAGCACAGAAAACGAACGAACTGCGCCCTACAGAAAAAACGAGGGACTAAATTTGATATACTTCCCTACATGCATGTATTGGAAGTTACACCTCACATCAAACATAACGTATAGAACACACATATAAAGTTAATTTAAATTCATCAGTGATAAAAGTTTACGCACATATGTATTGCACTGTACGTTATTTTTTATGACATCAGTTGAACGTGAATATATGAGTTGTCGAGTCTTCTTATCTACAACATCTGAAATTAAAAATCCAAAACGTTGGATATAACGATTACAAGAGGTTTGTAAATGTATTTGTTGCTCCTATATAAAATGGTGCAATCAAATCAAGTCTTTTAGTGTACTTGTTTAACACATAATTCTTGTCATTTAGTATTTGAACATTAAAAAGATGAGTTCAAGATTTGGCGGTCTCAAATTAGGCCCTCCAATAGAAGTTTTTGCGCTTCAGAAAGCATTTGTTGAAGATAATTATGAAAAAAAAGTAAATTTATCTATAGGAGGTACGTATATATCTTATTTCAATATTTACATAATTTAAGAATAGTTAAACAATTTTACATAAATATTATTAATAATTAAACAAATTTCTAAATTGTTCATAGAAAAATAAATGTATACTTTTTTTCATAAGTTATTTACCATGTTTGTAATGAATCTGTTCTTGAATGACCTCCAAGAACACCTGATGATTATGTAACATATGTTATCAATGTATCTGTTAGCTTAATGAATCATTTAAAATAATAATCATGGAAAATACAATGAATTTAAATTATTTTTAGCTTTTCGTACCAACGAAGGAAAGCCCTGGGTGTTACCAGTTGTTCGAAAAGTAGAAAAGTCTTTAGCTGCAGATGAATTGCAAAATCATGAATATCTTCCTGTTTTGGGGTTGGAAGCTTTCAGTCAAGCAGCAACAAGTATGTTGTTGGGTGCTGACTCTCCTATAATTGCACAAGGTCGTGCTTTTGGTATTCAAACATTATCTGGTACTGGAGCTTTACGTGTTGCTGCAGAGTTCTTGAGTCGCATTTTACATTATGATACCTTTTATTATAGCAAACCAACTTGGGGTAAATATAAAAAAATTAAATATACTGTATTTAATGTACAATATTTCACATAGAATATTTTAACAGAGAACCACAAACTTGTGTTCATAAATGGAGGGTTTAAGAAAGCTTGCGAATACACATACTGGAATTCAGATACTCGTAGTATTGACATAGAAGCAATGCTTAAAGATCTTGATGATGCTCCAGAAAATGCTGTAATTATTTTTCATGCGTGCGCGCATAATCCTACTGGATGCGATCCAACTCCTGAGCAATGGACAAGAATAGCAAATCTAGTTCAAAGAAAACGTCTGTTTCCAGTTTTTGACAGTGCATATCAAGTAAATAACATTATAAATATTCATGAAAGAAGATAAAATAATTTTGCATGCACAATGTGAATATTTATATTTCGTTAGGGTTTTGCAAGCGGTGACTTAAATAAAGATGCTTACGCAGTGAGATTGTTTGCCGAACTTGGAATAGAATTTATATGTACGCAAAGTTTTGCTAAAAATTTTGGATTGTACAACGAACGAATTGGAAATTTAGTACTTGTTATATCAGATATAAAAAATGTACCTCAAATTAAATCTCAGTTAACTTTAATTGTTCGAGGAATGTACAGCAACCCACCTAATCATGGGGCAAGAATAGTTGCAACTGTATTACGAAATCCGGATCTTTTCAAAGAATGGTACAGTGTTAATAATATAGGAATACGTTAATTGATCAATTAAAATGTTACAATTTTTTTTAGGAAAGGTCATATTTGCACTATGTCTAATAGGATAAAAGAAATGAGAACAAGTTTGTATGAAAGACTGGTCAGATTAGGAACTCCTGGTTCTTGGGAACATATTACTCAACAAATAGGAATGTTCTGTTATACAGGTCTCGCTGGTTTGTATCTGATAAAAAATATTGATTTTTATTTATAAAAAGTATCTTCTTTAATATAATAAATCTTATTTCAGAGAGACAAGTTGAACATTTAATAAATCATTACCACATTTACTTGTTGAGAAGCGGTCGAATAAACATGTGTGGGCTTAATGAAGTTAATTTGGATTATGTGGCAAATGCGATCTATGAAACTGTCTTACTGTTTCCTCAAAATAAAACAAGTTGCACATGTTGAAATGGATAAGTGGAATAAGCTGTCGTATAATAAGTATAAGTTACTGAAATTCTAGAATTGGAAACATTATTGAAACGTGGCAATATTTTATGTGCACTCAAGTTAACTTAGAAGTGTAGAAGTATTTTATAGAGATTTTCTTCCTGTTATAATCTTTTATTTTTTTTTTTTTTACATAGTTATTAGAATGTATAGATATCAGGATAACAAACTGCTTTTAATCAAAGCATTTATTTTGACAAATTTTAATACTGAAAAAATTCCGAACTCAACAGAAATTTTATTTTGTGCAGAAGCTATACCATTTCATTACAAAGCGCCTTGTATATAAAAGTACAAAATATTACAAAGTATTATGAATTGCCAAATTTTCAAATCGCTTATTATTAAAGTGATTTCGATTGAGCTTAATAGTTTGTAGAATTATAATAAATATCTATAGCAAATATTCATTAAATACTATGTTTTTACAAAGTTTTAAAGTGAATAGGATGTTGATTATACAAAGCATTAACATTTAGTATTGGTAATCACAGAGCATAAAAATTGCATGAAAATATATATTAAAATATACATGCAATATACTTATATATATTTATGTATTATACCAGTTTTAATATTCAGAAGATGGCCATCTTTGTACATAAAAAAGGTAATATCTCTGCTATATTTTTCAGAAACATATTTTTAATATTCAGAGTTCAATATTTTTAATAATAACCTGATATGTATAAGCACAGTTTACGAATGCTGTTATTAAGGACTGAAAAAACAGTAACTATAATATAAATTAAAAGAATAGAACTAAAATTATTTTAATAATAAGCGATTGATTTATTATTGAAAATTTGTTATCATTTGCGCAGATTAACAAGTAACCATCTAAAACTATTACAGTTTCAAATGTTACTGTTAGTTCCTGTTTATCTTATTCTAAAAAAAAGTCGATTATTGTGATTTCATATAACATATAAAAAGAAGAATATAGTACTATATTTTCTTTATAGTGAAAAAAAAATTATAGCATTTTCTTGTAATACAGATACTATACACATTTATTATATGTGCATTATAAAAGAGATATCCATTTTGTTACCTAAATGCTTCCAGTAATTTACATAGTATAAATGTATAGGTACAAGAAGTTTAATGAGAATTAATCCAATGATTGATATTAATTACATTCTGTATATCACTTCCAATACTATGTAGGAAGAATGCAATCAAATGTACTGTTTTCCTTTTTATAAATTTTAGTATATTATTATATATCTCAAAAGAGAAGTTATATACATTTGTTACATTTACAGAGTACACACATATATATATATACACATATATTTTTAGTAACATAGAAACTTAGAACCTTCCTTGTTCATAAATCTGGACCAAATTGAAAAACTTGAAAATTAAAATCATCTATGTACTGCCAAATTTGATAGCTTGAATGTGCAGCGATAAGAGTTACTTTTTTATGTATTTACATGAAGTAAATGTGATGCAGAATGCCATGTATATTTTATAAAAAGAATGTATAATTTTGTAAAGTTGATACATCTGAACAATAATCTAGCTTTAATGTATATTTAGATGAAATTTAAGTATTTCAATAAAAGTTTAGCTTTATTTCAAAGGGATATTGTAATTAATAAAATTATATATATACACATATATTTATATATTATATAAGTGTTATGTGTCTTTATTTACATATTACAAAACTATTTAACAAGAAATAATGAACAAAGTATTGTATGTACACCAAAATATAATATATGAATAACATTACAGTATCTATTTATATAGGTATATAATTGTTATTAGTTTGAATAAAATACTTCAAATTATACTACCCATTTGGATGTTTTCTTTTTTAAATGAACTGTTTCATCTGTTGCAACTGCATTATAGTATTCTGAATCTTTATAATTCTGACGCATATAGGTAATATATCCTATACAACCAAGCATTGTAATAACTCCAAAAATCATTATCATTTTATTCTGAAAATAATAAATTTTAAAAATGTTTTAGATTATATTTATGTTAGTTATATAATCTTACCGGTTTAACGTACAATTCATAATTAATTGTACGAAATAATGGTGTACTCTTTAAAGAACGTAATCCATCACCTGGTGCTGGTTTACGTTTATTTTCAGTCATTATAAATTTCAATTAATTATCTCTGGTAAATATAAACAAATGGAAAATTATTTATTATCTTTGGAAGGTTAGGATTTCGATGTCAGTTCCTTAGATGCGTTAGGTTAAGTTATATTTGTATATATAAATAAAACGCTACATTACACGTGGTGCTAAGAATTAATTAATAATCATGGTACGAAAATTAAAATATCATGAACAGAAATTACTTAAGAAGGTTGATTTTATATCGTGGGAAGCCGATAATAATTTACACGAAATAAAAATTCTAAGAAAATATCGGATACAGAAAAGAGAAGACTACACCAAGTATGATTGCAATTTAAAATATAAAGTTGATTTAGAAGAAACATGTTAATAATAAAATATTGTTAATTATTATAGGTACAACAAGCTAGCACGTGAAATTCGTGAACTCGGTAAGAAAATTAAAGAACTTGATGCAGATCTTCCATTTCGAATAGAACAAAGCGCACTGTTATTAGAAAAATTGTACATGATGGGACTTATACCAACAAAATGGGATTTGTCATTGACACAAAATGTTAATGCAAGTTCATTTTGTCGAAGGCGATTGCCAGTTGTTATGGTACGCAATAAAATGAGTCAAAATATTAAAATGGCTACACAATTTGTAGAGCAAGGCCATGTTAGAGTTGGAACAGAAGTTATAAAAGATCCTGCATTTTTAGTAACAAGGTAGATAACAAATGTTCTAAATGAAGTTCTAAAGCAAGCATATAAATGTTTATATAATTAATTTTACATTTTACAGAAATTTAGAGGATTTTGTTACATGGGTAAATGCATCTGCTATTAAGAAACATATATTAGAATATAATGATGCTGTAAGTAATATACCTGTTTTACATACAACATTTAGATGTATTGTATTTAATAACATATTGTTATTATTACAGAGAGATGATTTCGATGTGGCTTGATTCTTAAGCACTGTATTGCTGAACTCTGGCTAAATTTAGAGTTAACACTAGGTTTATTGTAATGATATTTACAAATTCAATCAATTATTAATGCTTGTTATTATCATTATTAGTAGCTTTCTGCCTTTTTAACAAATTGTTTCTTATGAATTTCTTGAAGTATAATTTCACGCATTACATCAATGCAATTACTGAAAAAGACACATTCAAATACAATTTAAAAATAAAATTTGGATATCTTTGAATACATACCTAAGATACAATATTGATTTAGTAATCTTCAGTATTTTTCTATGATATTCTGAAACATTTTTAATAGTGCAATTCATTTTCTTTTGAGATCTGTTATTTAAATTATTAAGTTTTGTTAATGCCATTCCATGTTCCGCGGCATCAGATACAACTTTTCTTTTTTGGTCAAAATTGTTTATTTCCTCAGTTATTGTACTAAGATTTTCTATTGTTAGTTCATCGATTGTTTCGTCTAAAATAGACGGTACACCCACGCTATGTGTGGATTGCAAAACAAACTTACAAGAGGAACAAAAACTTGACCATTCTTCATCAGTATCATCATCTTTTATCATACTAAAAGAATTCTCCATTTTGAATGAAAAACAATGTAAAGATACTGGAAGTTCAAAATATACATATATACATTATATTACACATTGTATGAACAGTATAAAATAATGAAATTATTTTTATAAAACTTATTTTCAATTTCTTCTATGACATTTAAAATAATAACACGAATTCAATGTTTTTTCAAAAAAATGAAATTTCATTTATTAAAAACCATGTTGACCTCGTTATGACGTACAAACTGAAAATACTAATGAGTTTACAATTTAATTAATCATTTAAGTTTTTCAATTAAAGTTCCAGTATGTCATTTAACTTTCAATTTCCTTTTAGGACGACCGATGAACGTAATGCAAAAATGATGGTGTATTTATTCAGTGAAAAGCGTTACACTTTAATATATCTCTGATATGGTTCCTATTTCATAATTTAACATTGTTATAAATGATATAAATTTTTTAACGAAAATAATAGTATGTGTAAACTAGAAAAACATAAGAATTTATAAGATTCAAAAATAATAACTCACACTTTTGATTATTTGAAAATATTATAAAATCTAAAATCACTTGTTTGTGGAAAACCACTCATTCATATACCTACAATGAATAATTAATATTCAATATGATACACATGTTACATGTTATTAGTTTTACATTAAAATCGGCAGTCATTGCTGGTCTCTATGACACTATTACCACATTTATATATTCATGTTACATCACAAAAAATAATATTTATTATCTTAAAAATAATACACTTATTCGTGAAAAGAGAAATTCAGTAATTTTCAAATCTATATTTCAACTATTTTCAAAATATTTGTCTGCAAAAATGATGTTATCCTTAATAAATTATGAATATATCTTTTCGTGACGTAACTATGAAAATGAATGGGTTTTGTGTCAGCTCAGGTCCCCAAGTATCCTCCTTTCCTTCAACTATTTACAAAATTTCTCATTGAAATTTTCTCAAAAGTACTGCAGTACAATATGTTCACATTATACTGATTTTCACCAATATATCAATACAATCTCCTAATTTCATTTTATAAAAATACATCCCATTTCCTCGAATAACTATTGCTGCATACTGCCATCATTTAAGACATATTATATTTAAATCAAAATAAAATATAACTGGACCGATTGTTATATTTCTTTTTTCCACAAAAATTTGGTATCTTTATGAGAAAATGTTATATAAAATTAGTTGCTCTCCAAAAATTAAATTTTGTACGAAATATTCACTTCATGATCATTTTTTTACATTACGAATATAATACGAATTTCTGAAATGTTACATTAATCAAAATAGTGTACACAAAACATAATCATTATTATCAATTAAAAATATTTTTTTTGTCTTTCCTCTTCACTTTCACAAATTATTATTGCAACTTTACTATTGTTTTTATTTTTAATACAAATTTTTAAATGTACTCTATTCTATCAGTTAATTATAATGAGATATTTGGCATAACATTATATAATATTTTCAAATAAACCGGCTTCAGTAAAAAAAGGTAAATATTTAAAAAAATTATGTAGTAACATGTTTGTGTTTCATTTTACTATTGTATCGTGATTCCAGATGTATATGCATGTAAATACTACGCGCCAAATACCTCATTAACTTTCAATTTATATTAATATATTTTGTATGGTTTCAAATTTCGTTAAATCACGATACTGAAAAATATCTCTTTCCGTGATTTTCAGAAATTTGAAACGATGCTTTCTACACGCATTCCTGCTTTCTTTGTTTAATTTATCAATTCACATTCCATTTTATAATTAAATCACGGAACAGAAAATATATATATATATATATATCATAATTCCTTTACACTATATAGACAAGTAGAAGATAAAACTAAAGAATTACATTTACAACGTATCTGCAATAATTATCAATACAAAAGAATGGCTAATAATAATAATATACAGCAATAACACAAAAGCAATTAACACTTTCCAATGGAACATAATTACTATTTACAAAAATATTTATAAAAAAAAATTCATTTCAATTTTAATTTTCATATATATATCCGACTTTTTTTGTATTTTCTTTTACGTAGAAAATGTACGAGGTACATTTTACTAGTTTAATATAATTTATATTTATCATTATGATTTTACTATATAAAATTTCAATAAATTAATTTGTTTGTTCTCCAAATAATAGACAGTTGTGTATAGTTTTCAATGTGTTCTGTTTAAAATTGGTTTTTTAAACATTGCACAGTTATTTACAACAGTTGAGAGAAACTTGTACCGAGTACAGTTGCGTTTATTTTTTTACTTGTTCAAAGAAGCACCTTTTTAAACAAATTAATTATTAAACAGGTAAAACAATTGAACTTCAATCATTATGACAAGACATATTGAAGTTATACCTTTTTTTTTCGTTAACCCTTCAACGAATATCATAACGTGTTATAGAAAAAACTTTTAAATTATTTTTCTTCTACAATTGTTATGTTACATACAATTTGACAATCCACATTTTTTATTTTGATTCAGAAACTCAATATTTTAAAACATCGTTATATATCATTATATGAACACCGAAGGGTTAAAATATTTCCATCTTTATGCATGCTTGAACACCTTTTGCAAACACAATGGTTCCACGTATTGAATACACGTGATCTTAGGTTTAGTAATACTTGAATTTTACACAATTTTTTTGTTTGATTAAATAATCATCTTTTAAGTTATGATAACCATATCAGAGAAATAATTGTTATATGGAATTTGTTTTTTGTAGAAAAAGTGCATTGTTGCAGTTAATATATAAACACATTTCTTACTTTCTCGGTTATTTACTAAAAATTATTTCATTGGAACTTACCACTGACATACTGTACCTATTTATTAAATTTTTTACGTAATAATCGAAGCGTGTAACGCCATTTAAGATTTGAAAATAATGCAATAAAACATACGTATGACATATCTTCATTATTTAAACCCCTTATAGTACGAATGATTTTTTACTGTTTGGATAAAATAAAATGTTAACGACAAACTACTCATGCGTTACGTAATCACAGTTGGTGCATCGCGACCGGTGAATTCACGTAATTTACTCATCTCTAATGCAATATTAACCAAAGGCTTAAGAACGTCTTGAGCGTTTTTGTTTAAAGATGCTGCATCATTTTCATAACTATCAACATATACACGAATGGTAGCGCCAGAACTTCCTGTACCAGATAAACGGTATATTATACGAGAACCGTCCTCAAATAATATTCGTAATCCCTGTATATAAAATAGTAAACAAAATATGTTTTTAAGATAATACATTGTTATTTTATATGTAGCATATAACCCACACAATACCTGCTTAGTAGCTTGGCTTCCATCAATAGGATCTACATAAGAGTAATTATCACTTAATTTAACAACATACGTCTTATCTCCAAACGTTAATTTTGAACCCTTAAATTCGGGTTTGTGAATTTCTGTTTCAATGTACTGCATCATTTTGTTTGCTGCTTCGGAATCACAATTTTCATAGTCATACCTAAACCATAATTTACAAAAGTAAAATAATGTGGTAATTATTGGTAAAATTAGTTTGATTTTTATGGAAAAATGTACCTTGTGAAAAAGTTCCTCCCGTATGTTTGCCAATGATTTAATAATATTTCCTCAACAGATTTTCCAAGATTTGCAACCACGCTAAGCCAGGCAAGAGAGGCCCATATTCCATCTTTTTCACGAATATGATCAGAGCCAGTACCGAAACTTTCTTCTCCGCAAAGCGAAAGATAACCAGCATCCATTAAATTACCTAGTGACACATTATAATTGAATACATTACAAAAGCACATTTATATTGAAAAGGTATAGCACGATATTTACCAAAATATTTCCAACCCGTGGGTACTTCATAAAGTTTAATGCCGTTCTTAGCTGCAACTCTATCTACAGCAGCACCTGTCGGCATAGATCTAGCGTATCCTTTAACGCCGGTCTTCTTAAAATACGGTATCGAATGTAAGTTAGCAGCTAATACAGCTAATGAATCAGAAGGTGTAACGAAAAACGCCTTTTTGCCTAATATCTATAAATATAATATCAAGTATAAGTATACACATTTTCAATTTGTTTTTCACACTAAGTTTCTTTACCATATTTCGATCTCCATCTCCATCGAAAGCAGCACCAAAATCATATGGTCCATCTTTAATAGCATTTACTAAATCTTTGGCATACGTTAAATTTGGATCTGGATGAAGTCCTCCAAAATCTTCTAATGGAACCGCATTAACGATACTTGAATCGTCAACGCCTAATTCGTTACTAAATATCCGTTTAATATATGGTCCTGTAACTGTAAATTAAATACACCATTATAATATTGAAGATACTTTTTAGATAATTAAATATTACATACCTCCATTCATTCCATTGATAAGAATTTTAAATGGAGGATGATCATTACATCCTTGAAGTAATTTCTTTACGCTTGGAAAGTCAAAAATGTTTTTCATATGTTCTAAGTAATCATTCACAGAATCTATAACATCTACTGTGAATGGTTTTCCATCCACCTGAATAGTAGTACTCTGTATTTTATCTATATCTATGTTTATATCAGAAGCAATTTTATAAGTTTTCAGAGATTTGGTAATCTCATAGATTTTATTCGTGACATGATCAGGAGCAGGGCCACCATTTTCACAATTAAATTTTATCCCAAAATCAGCATCAGGTCCACCAGGATTATGGGATGCTGTAAGGACAATTCCTCCTTGGGTTTTATATTTTCTTATTATAGTAGACACGGCTGGAGTTGAGAATATCCCATTTTGGCCAACTATCAACTTTCTTACCTAATGAAATATTATATTAATTTATGTTCAACAAAATAAAATATAATTCTTATACCTTTAATCATTTACAAGATCTTCAATTTCTTAATTACCATTATTGTCAATTTATTCAAACTAAAGTGTAATAATACTTATTACTTACTCCATTACCAGCAGCAATTCTGATAATTTTTCCGACTACCTCTTTTCCATAATATCGTCCATCGCCACCCACGACTAACGTACTCCCAACCAACTGTTCACCGACAGCTAACAATATCGCTTGAACGAAATTTTCCGTATAATGTTCTTGCATAAAAACTCTTACGGCTTTTCGTAATCCGGATGTACCCGGCTTTTGGCCCTCGTACACTTTAGTTTCTATAACTTTAATCGCCACCGCGTTCGACATCTTTTTTCAAATATCACGATCACGGCTAAGATAACTGAAACAAAGAATAAACTACTTGAATTTCAACAAAGACAACAATAAAAAGTGAAGATTTGAGAATTTCATAACACGTCCTCGATGCCTACTAGCATGTACTAGCAGACTGAACTTTGTCTACCAATGACAAGCAAGGGCACGGGTCACCATCTTGAAACATTGGCGCCCGCGCCCCGCGCTTTACTACTGGACTAATAATATCGGACCTTTGTTTAGATGAATCTTTTAAACGCAAACTACAAATATTTCTTAACGTTGATAATAGAATGTAAACATTCGGTAGGAAATCTAAATGATAAAAATTTTAAGTTAACATGTTATTGGCTTAAGTAGTAGCTTCCGTTTAACATGAATCATAGGTGAGAGAACTTAAAAATGTTCAATTGAATTTGCCTTATCGCTTCAGTCTTAAACAAATATTCTTTCTCTCTAGAATGTTCCCTCTTTATATACAAGAAATATAATTAATTAAACGAACATTCTGAGAAGTATTAATAAAATCTAATGGTAAGTATAATGCAATGAATGTTAGAAGAGTGGTACTCATTGTTTTTTCTTTTTTTTTTTTTTTAATTTCAATTATTCAAATATGTGATATTAATACTTCTTATTTTTAGGAATATTTGAAGATCTAGAAAGAACAGTTTAAGTAGAAATTATATACGCACGCGTAAATGATGGGCACTTATTGTGACAATCAGTATTAGTAAAGAAAAATGAGGAGGAGGGAGTTTGTTATGTCAAGGATACCCGATATAAGCACGCGGGTCCATAAAACAGACGCTTACTTGTTTAAAACAACAGTTTTCCTGAAGTTTCAACTGTGAAAGTGTATGTTTTCAAAGTATTTAAAACTATAAATTTAATATTATCATTCATTCAATAATTACAATTTTATATTTGAAAAAAAAGTATTAAATTTTCAAAATTTTCTGTTAAAGTTCCTTATTAATTAACACTGTACTAGGTGAGTAATTTGTTGAGTATTTATCATTTAAATATATGAATGAATGTTTTTTGTTTTAGTAGGATATTTTTCTTTTGATGCTACTTATGATATGAGAATAAATTGAATAAATCATGCATAAACGAAAGAAAGATTGGGATAACACCATACAACACGATAGTGGGTCTGAGAGTACACCTTTACTCTCCTCTAGCTCTCATTCTAGTATCAAATCAATTGAACTTCAGGATTCTGAGACAAGTGACTTGGATCATGCTCCTATCAACAATTATTTCAAGTACTAATTTTCTTTTTCCTTGTTATATTGTTAATATTGCTTATTAGAAATATTTTTTATATGTAGGTATGGTAGTGCAGAAACTTGTACTCTTGATTCTAATGCTATTGCAATATTAAAAAGGCCTCCACCTCTTAGCGAAAATCACATTTTAGCATCACCTTTATCGCAAAGCACACCTTGCTCATTAAATGTAATACAAGACAGATGTTATGAAATCCATAATACTGATCTGGTGAGAATACTACAAACACTATAAAACCTTGTTTTATCTATTAATTAAAAGTAAAAATATTTTAATATTAGAAAAATAATATAATTTTAATGTACTTTTTTCTTTGTTTTGTCAGGTATTCAATAATGTATCAAATGACAAAGAGTCCCAGTTAAATAATGTTACAATTAAATTTTTATCTTTGTCTTATTCATTACAACAAGAACCTACAAACTCTGCATGTAACATTGTGAAACCAAAGCAAAGCTCCCTAGTCACAGTGTAAGTAATAATAAAGATATTTATTTATTTACATTAAATAGTGTTTCTAGAATCTTTAATAGAATAATATAGTTATCATTGTTATATTTGCCATTCTAATAATAAATGTAATATTAAAATTGGCACCATGGCATAATATATTACTATCAAACAACATTTATCATCAAGAAAGGGTTTTGGGTCAATTCTCTTATACTATGGTCAGAAATCTAATCACATTCATAAATTTTTTACTATCTCACCACCAGCTATGCTTTTAGTGATGAGAGAAAAATAAAATCTTGCATCAGAATTGCTTACATGCATTTTGAGTATGATAGATTGATGCGTATCTTTCAAGTTATAAATCATTTCCTTTATATCTCACCTCTCACGTTAAATGTATATATATCATAAAAAGAAGGTATAAAAAATAATATCCATTTGTAGATAAGAATTTTTTGTGCCACTGACCCATCTAAAAAGATAAAAAGGGTAATAGTAAATGTTTATTTGAGTTTATAAATATCATTTTTTAGCACATTATATCACACACAAATAACTTCTTTAAATGTTATTCATGTTGTAATTTTTCAAAAACAAAATTTAAACGTTTGTCACTTGAAAAAAGGATTTATCTACATTACTATGTAAAATTATATAAATACACTTACCTATTTGTGTCAAAATTACTTCAGGTAATTACATATTAAAGACACAGGAATTTTTAAATGTTTTTTTTAATCAAATTTCACTACTATTCATACGTGAATTTTAATTATTTAAAAATCGAACGAAAGATAATTCGTTTTCATATCTTAAAAGCACATGTCTCATTGAATAGCACAAATTTTCTATTATACGTACGGATATGTTTTAATTTATTTAATTGCAAAATTTTGTGAACACGTGCTTTTAACATATGAAAACGAAAGAAAATGTAACAAAACATGAATACCGGTTGCTCACATTTGAACCTTCATCGGGTAGTTGTGTCGACTACATGACATGTTCACATTAGAAGGGGTTAGTGCTCTGTCGGTTGCCTGGGTAACAGACGACCATTCGACAGGTCAATGTCCTTATCAAATACCTATAGATATAACAAGGAAATGCATCAGTTTCAACGAAGCTTTACAAATTAATAAAAATATACTACTATTGTAGTAATTATGTATGTTTTTGTAGGTTTTCAGTATGGAACACCATATTAGGTTCATCTTTACTAACAATACCATGGGGTATTGAAATGGCTGGATTTTTCCCTGGCATTATTCTTATACTCTTAATGAGCGGTTTATGTTTGTATACCGCTTATTGTCTTCTTCTTGTGCATAAATACCATGGTAAGGGAACAAATGAAATATGTTGAAAACCTAATATAATATCAGATACAATCATTTATTATTTAAGGTGGACATCAGGGTATAGAAGTAACTCATCTGTGTCAAATATATATCAATAAATGGGCAGAATATATTGCTAAATGTTTCAGTGTTATAGTTTTATTGGGTGCAACTATCGCTTACTGGGTATTAATGTCCAATTTTCTATACAATTCTGTAAATTTTGTATATGGTAAGTAAATATGCGTTTATACTTTTATTTCATGTGTTATATATTCCATATCACAAAAAATATAACTTTTCTTTTCACAGATGGTGCATTTAGAATACCTGAATATTCTACAAATGATAATATTTCTCATTTATCAGAAGGTATTTCTTTTGTTCATTAATGTGTATTTATTAAGTGTATATTTATATTATTTGTATTAATTGCAGTATTGTGTTTGAAAAAGTCAATATATAACAGTACAAATTATGTGACTTATGAGTACACTTACAATGCTTTGGGTCCAATATGGGATTTATATAAAACAGTTCCCATTTTTCTTGGTTTATTAATATTTCCATTTCTGAACTGTAATAGTCCTACTTTCTTTACAAAATTTAATTCTCTTGGTAAGAAAACTTTTACTTTTATAACAACAGTAGTTGTATTGCATGTGAATTATTAGCAAACTTGATATTTTTTTTAGGTCACAACATGACTTTGATCTATAGATTAATATCTTGTTCTATCAAATTATGACAACTCTGTCTATCTCACAGGAACCCTGTCAGTCATGTATTTGATTATGTTTGTCATGGTTAAATCAACATCATGGGGCATAAATATGAATGAAATAGAATGGAAAAATAGCTGGGTATTGAAATCTTCCTTTCCTGCTCTTTCTGGAATGCTGGCACTCTCTTTTTTCATTCACAACATCATTATAACTATAATGCAGAACAATCGTGATCAAAGTAAAAATGTAAGTAAAAATTTGACTATCTCTTTGATTTTATTTATATTATTGAATAATTCTATTTTCAGGGAAGAGACCTTTCCATAGCTTATCTTCTTGTTACATTGACTTATATCATAGTTGGTGTATTATTTTATGTATGTTTCCCCCTTAATAAGTTGTGCATTGAAGATGTAAGTAAAATATAAAAGTACATTATCTTTCAAACAAAAATATTAACACAAACTATTTTTACAGAATTTTTTAAATAATTTCCAAAAGTGGAGCGGTTTAACGGTAGGAGCACGTATTGTTTTACTCTTTCAATTATTGACAGTGTATCCATTACTTGCATATATGTTACGTGTGCAGCTACTTTCGTCATTGTGTGAAACATACAATACAGGCTGTGTTATAATCATAAATATTATTCTAATATCTGTATGCATTTTATTTGCAATTTTTGTGCCGTATATTGGTACGATAATAAGATACACCGGTGCGTTGAGCGGTTTTATATATGTTTTTACATTACCCAGTTTGCTGTATTTAATAACTTTAAAACAACAACAAAAACTAACAATATGTTCTATATTTTTACATGTTAGTATACCAATATTTGGATTGTTGAATCTAGTAGCACAATTTTTTATTACTGAATTATGAACATATTTAAAGAAATATTTGAAAAAATCAAAAATGTGTTCCTAATAGTATAGTACAATTAATTTTACAAGGAAATATTCATATATTTTGTATTATATTAAAATGTTAGATTAACGTTATATATTAAGAAACATTTTATATAAGAGATATACTCATAAATGACACAGAAGAAAATTTATTTATTTACCTTATTACAAGCAACTGTGTAAGATAATATATATCACCTAAACATAAATATAATAGAATATTTTATACATCGTTTTTCAGATGCATTAATATTCACAATTGTTATAAATACCTTAATTGAATAATCTAAATTTTTGTTGAAACTTTGTACACCCAAACAGTATCAACTCCATTGCCTGTTACTTTGATTATATTCATATTAGGAAGTGGAAATCTACAAGCAACTATAACACAGTCTTTCTTTAATTCTCTCATGAACTTTTTTTCTACATCTGCCATCTAAAAAAATTGGAAACATTAAATAAACAGGTAATAATGCATGAAAGAGAGTAGGCAAAGTTTACCATTTGATCAACACCAAATATAACAATATTATCATAATTCTTCAGATTGTGTTTCCATAAATTTTGCTTTATAAAAGTTGTCTTAGATGATGATCCTGTAATTAATGCTTTCAATCTGGAGTACCATATCAACCATGGATTTAATTCAATACCATGAGCTTTGAATCCAGCTTTTGCTGTTGCAAAAACCTATATAATGCATTTATTTGTTCATATGTATCTTAATTGGTAGTTTATATTAATAAGTTATTTACTATGCGTCCATCTCCACTGCCAAGATCAATTAATGATCCAGTACGTCCTTCTAAAGCTTGTAATACATTTTTTATTTGTTGAGATGTAGCTGGTACATAGGGTAAACATATTTTCCGAAAGGCTGGGCTCACAAAGGGAATGCATATTATACTGATAGCTGTTGCAATACCTCCTAAAAAATAATATGAATGTACATACATGTACACCAAGAAAGTGATATTATTAACTTGCTATTTCATTACCTGTTATTCCAATAAAATATAAACCAATTTTTGATAATCTTTGTGATGGATTGGTATCATTATTTTGAGTTATAATGTACTTTATGTCATTAATCTCTGCTAATTAAATTGAAAAAATTAATTGAAATTTGTAATTTTGATCTTGTACTTTATAATTTGTAATTAATAAATCTTACACATCCTCTATGTTTAGTATCTACCAATAATAAAATAAATCGTTGTTAACACTACCCCGTAACAAATAAGCCATAAACATTATGGAAATAATTCCATAATCCATGAATTTGTTTGCTTCGTTCCCTCTTTTAGTAACATTAAAGCATTCGGAGTGTTGTCTGCACTGTTCCCCTAGATTTCTCTGTGTTATGCATCGATACGATTTTCTTGTGTAAGGCAATAGTAATTCTTGATCGTGATCCATCAGGGGTTGAATTGTTTTCTTGCTGTTCTAACGAATTGAGTTTCTTATTATATTTTTAGTGAATTGTTTCGGATTCGTTAAAATATTGTTCATGTTTTCACGCGCAACTTTGTCTTTAAGTTCACTACAAAATTTCTATCTTATTGATACATTTTAATAATTAATATTTTCATATATTTTCACATCAGAAAACTACCAAGATGCCAGTATTTCATACGAAAACTATAGAAAGCATCCTTGAACCTGTCGCACAGCAGGTAATTATATTTATTAATCAATTTTATGATCATTCAGTCGTCGTTCATGTCAAGATGTTTAGCTCTCCCCAACGTTTCCAAAAACGTCATCTAAAGAATGCCCTATCTAATCAATTGATTTAAATTGATTTTTTGAAATATATATTTTATATGCACTTACTTTAACATACGTACATATTTGTATAACATGTTGTAGTACATTTGAAATTTGTCATATTAATTTATATTTATTAAATAAAAACAATTGAATATATTTGTATATAAAATATTTATTGAAAGAACAAATTATGATTTAAATTTCATAACAAATTACTGTGAATCATTATATTTTGTAACGAGCACATTCTACCAAATGACTTGTTTCTTTATATAGAACTATGACATCATTCTATAAATATAGGGCAGAGATACTAAATTCATCTTTAGGTCTGAAAGCTTAGATGCAGGAAACTTAATCCCATCGGTTAAGCATCATAAAAAACTATGTTAACCATCTGAGATCATTTACTGTTTCCAAAAAAGGACATGTTCAAGCTGGTTATGATCAAATCATCCCACACATTATACATACAAAAATACTAATACTCTTCAAACTGAGCAACCTTCTAAACATGTTAATGACTTTACTTGCAATATTAATGTATATGCCAAATAATATGCATTTATTATTTTAACATCAGTATTTTGTAACTAAATTAAATGCATAAAGTAACAAATAAGCTGATTATGTTCAATGTTTCTTATGTTTTAGTAAGGAATACATAAATTTATAATCCTTAATGTACATAGTAATATTGTAAAGTATAATAATTTAATTGTATATAAATAAAAAATTGGACTGGATTTAATCTACCAACATCACCCACCAATATTTATTTTATCCTTCAATGTGTGCAATTATATCTGAAAAATAATTATTCAAATTTAAAATTCTCATTTATATTATTTAGGTTTCAAGGCTTGTTATTCTTCACGAAGAAGCCGAAGATGGAAATGCGATGCCTGATTTGGGTAGACCTGTACAAGCAGTTAGTATGGCAGTGGCAAATCTTGTAAAGGTAAAATTCAATAAAATGTAAATAAAAATTTTGTATAAAATTTACATATCTTCCTAAACTTCATTATTAATGTCCAGGTTGGAAAAGAAACAATAAATTCTTCTGATGATGCTTTACTTAAACAAGATATGCCTGCAGCCTTACAACGTGTGGAGGGAGCTTCGCGTCTCTTGGAAGAAGCATCAGCAATGTTAAAACAAGATCCTTATTCTGGACCAGCTAGGTATTAAAAGTAGCATATAAATTTTGTACATAGAAGGCGAGCTGTTTACACATTGAAAATTAAATTTGTTTTAGAAAAAAACTTATCGAAGGATCGCGCGGTATTCTCCAAGGAACCAGTTCATTATTATTATGTTTCGATGAAAGCGAAGTACGTAAAATAATCCGAGAATGTAAGAGAGTATTAGATTATTTGGCAGTGGCCGAAGTTATCGAGACAATGGAAGATTTAGTTCATTTCCTTAAAAATTTAAGTCCTTGCCTCAGTAAAGTATCGAAGGAAGTAAGCGCTCGTGAAAAAGAATTAACTCATCAGGTACACAGAGAAATCCTAGTGCGCTGTTTGGAGCAAGTAAGTATATAAAATCAATTGATTTCATCTTATGTTGATACACCATTGATGTTGATAATACCGTTACAGGTAAAAACACTTGCACCAATTCTTATCTGTTCTATGAAAATATTTATTCATATTATCTCCCAAGGAGGTAAAGGAGCAGAAGAGGCCGCTGAAAATCGTAATTATCTATCCGGCAGGATGTCAGATGAATTAAACGAAATTATTAGAGTATTACAATTGACAACGTACGATGAAGAAGAGTGGGATGCGGATCAATTAACAGTACGTATCGCTTAAAGAGGACAAAAAACTTGATACAAAATGTACAGTTGAATTAATTCTCACGTGCACCTGTCTAGGTATTAAAAAAAGCCCAGAGTGCCATAGAATCTAGAATACGAGCTGCCTATGATTGGTTGGACGATGGTCTTGCTTTACGCGGTGGCGTAGGAGAGAAAAGCCTTCGTCAAATAGTTGAACAAGCACAGCGATTAGCAGAGAGATATCTTCCTCCTTCGCAAGCAGAGCCATTACAAAAATTAACTTCCCAGATCGTTACTATGACCAATGCTCTTTGCGAGCTAAGACAGAATGAAAAAGGTTTCTATAAATATAATTTTATATTATCCTTCTATGAAATAATAATATATCTTGTATTTTTTAAAGGAACTACGCCTCAAGCAGAAGCTTTAGCACGTGGCATAAAAGAGAAGACAAACGAACTTCGTAGCTCCATCGCTTCTGCTATTGTAGCAGCAGATAAATCTGGAACCACCCAAACTGCTCACACAGTTGCAGGTCGTTTAGAACAGGCCAATAAATGGTTACTTAATCCGCAACACGACGACAAAGGACTTGGCCAGAGGGCAATAGCTCTGATTATTCATGAAGGGAAAAAGGTACAGTATATGCAATATTAACATTTCCTTTTCTATTCTACGAACGTTCATTTATCTTTAATAATGAAATGCCCGCAAACGGAAAGAATCAACAACATGTAGCAAACGTAAGTTACATGTAACATTCAAAGTATTTGTTCTAATGTACCGATGGTATCACGGTGTTTATATACGACAAATTTTCTAATCTTTCTCATGTTTATTAGTTGGTTTATACTCTAAAAATTAGGTTGCCGAGGGCTTACCAGGAATCCACAAGGCAGAGATTTTACAATTGTGCGACGAGGTTGACAATCTCTCTCACCAACTGGGAGACTTGTGTGCTCATGGTCAAGGAAATACTCCCCGCGCTCAGGAAATTGCCCGTCAATTATCGCATAAATTGTATGAACTAAAAAATAGAATACAACAAGCGGTCGTGTCAAGAGTGGTTGAAGATTTCATTGATATAACTACACCTTTGAAACAATTTACGGATGCTGTGTTAGCTCCACAGGGCACACCGGGACGCGATCAAAATTTCAATGATAAAACGCATGCTCTTCAAACGTTCTCGAATAGAGCGGCAAAAACTGCTAGAATGGTCGCAGCTGGCGGTAAGCACCCATATTAGGTCTACAAATTAATTTGTTGCTTAAAAAAAGAATTGTTGGAATTGTTCTTTCATTGAAATTTCAGGAAGTGGAGGAAACAAAAAGTTAGCAGAAGCATTGACCGCGAGCGCATCCCAAGTTGAGTCTCTAACACCGCAGTTAATTAATGCTGGCCGAATTCGAATGACTTATGCGGACAGCAAAGCGGCCGACGAACATTTTGAAAATCTGCGACAACAATACGCGGAAACAATGCAGCGAGCACGAGCGCTATGCGACGAAGCTACCGATAGCGGAGATTTTATTCGAACTTCCGAGGAACAAATGCAAAAACATTCGTTTCTCTGTGAAGAGGCTATTGCTAAAACTCATCCGCAAAAGATGGTCGACAATACGGCTGCTATTGCTAGATTGGCTAACAGGGTAATACTTGTTGCGAAACAAGAAAGCGATAACAGCGAAGATCCTGCATTTATTCAAAGAGTAAATCATGCTACGGATATCCTTCAAAATAGTAAGTCGTACGAAATGATTCTTTCAACTCATCAAACTTTTTCCTTAACTTATGAAAAAAACAACTTTGATTTAGGTGTCGCTCCAATGGTTCAAGATGCAAAATTAGTTGCAATTAACATTAATGACAGTAACGCAGTGTCTCGTTGGAGGGAAAGTAATCGTTCGGTAAGTAATATGGAAATCATTTATTTTCGCGTATAATTATAATTATTTTTGTATCTTGTAGCTTTTAGCCAATGTTGGTCAAGTTCGTAAAGCCATCATCGTTCAACCAGATTTAATACCTCCGCCAGAGGTGTCACAATTACATCTTAACGATGGTGAGCATATAAAATACTTTTTATTTATGTATCTCATATTTTTTTACGTTACATTAGATATAAGTGATCCTGAAAATTAACATGTTCGTTCTTTTATAATCTGAAGACTTACTTCTTTACAGTACAATATAAACTCTACATCTTTATAATATAAAAGTCTTTTAACGTTTCTTACAGACGCACAATTGCCAACCCGTCAATATAATTACTTCACAGATAAAGGTACAATAAATTTGCATAAAGATAGTTTGTGCATGATCAATTATCATAGTGTATTAATAAGGTATCACTTAGATCGATTCGTTAAATATACAACCATAGAAGATAGTAATGAACTATCAGATATAATATTGGATTCGTTTCAGTATAAAGTTATTTTTTTTGTATTTCGTTTAATGAAAACATTTGAATATTTCTGAATATTTCTTTAAATACCAGTTGGTGAGCCTTTAAGAAATCAACCATCGCCAAGCAATTTACGTGTCATGAGCCCTAATCTGAACACAAATAAATCTCAACAACGTTCTGTCAGTCCATTACCTAAGTGGGCGCGTGAAGGTATTTACTATTATTTGACCAGAAATTCAATTAACTTATTTCTTTTGCTTAAATGAAATTTTCCATACACTGTTTCAAAGTAAGAATACAAAATAGCAAGGTATTATTTTTTTTATATTTATGTATAATTACTTTCTTTGTCAGGAGATAATCCAGATCTCCTATATCAAGAACTGGCTTCTGACAACGAGTTAGAAAAAACAGTTCACAATGGAGGTAAATTAAGATCAGTACTTTTGAGGATTGATATCAAATTTTCAATACTCAAGACTGTGTGTATTTTAGGGGAAAAAAAGCATGTGTGCATTGAAATTAAATATACCATATATTCAACAACTTAAAAGATATATAGATTTTAAAATATAAGTATGTACATGAATATGTACAAAACTGAAAAAGAAAATTTTATTTTACTAACATTCATGTCAATTTCATTGAACAAATTCTAATTGCATTCTAATTTCATTAATATATTTTTGTTATGTCTTATCGTGTTTGTATATTGCATGGATACTAAGATAGTTTTGCATTAAAATATCATTTAAATCTAATAATATATGTGTGTTACATCTTTAATGCTGCGTGGATGAAAGGCTATCATTATGATTATAATGACGACGGTAATTATAAAATCTCTGCATTGTTTCGTATATGATTATTGTGTATAATGTACGTTTATTGTTTGGACTACAGATTGAAGGTTTTAATATTTCAATTAATCAGTTATTATAAAGATGTTTAATTTTATTTTAGAAGTTGCCCCTCCACGTCCACCTTTACCTGGTGGAGATATACCACCCCCGCGACCACCACCTCCAGAGACAGATGATGAGGATGAAATGTTTATGCATGCGCCACAACCTAATCAGCCCATTATGGTAAATCTACTTTTCAGTACTTTTAACCATTTCTAATGCACAAATTAAAAATATTACAATTTTTAGATGGCTGCCCATGGATTGCATCAAGAAGTACGGCAATGGTCCAGCAAAGATAATGAAATTATTGCAGCAGCAAAGAAGATGGCTATTCTAATGGGTAGATTATCAGGTTTGGTTCGAGGAGAAGGTGGTAATAAAAGAGACTTGATTGCCTGTGCCAAAGCCATTGCAGAAGCTTCTCAAGAAGTGACTCGTTTGGCTAAAGAGCTTGCTAGGGAATGTACCGATAAACGTATTCGTACAGTAAGTGCGCTTTTTCTATAATACAATGTTTATACATATATAACACATGTATATTTTTAAAATTCTTAACTTTTTTTTTTTTTTTTAGAATCTTCTTCAAGTTTGTGAACGTATACCTACTATAGGTACACAGTTAAAGATATTGTCAACTGTAAAGGCAACAATGTTAGGTGCCCAAGGTACAGTATGCAAATTATTTCATTTAACATATTTCTCTATTAATATTTCATATTTTATTCAGTAAATCTTCTAAACTGTTAATAAATATTAATAGAGGTTGGGGAGTATAATTTTATATTTTAAACAGTTTCTAAAACGAGAACAGTTATTAATAACATTTTTTACGCATAGAGACGCTCCCCACCTGGGAAGAGCTGATGCTTTATGGTAAAAAAAGAATATTAACAAATTATGCTTGATGTCTTCAGTACCTATTTTTTGTTTGATTTATGAAATATTTCAGTTTTCTATTTGCATTATAATGCATGCATATTTTAGTCCTCATCGTGGGTGAAACTATGAAAACATTCAGTAATCTATCATTCAGTGTAAAAAAGAAATTTACAAATTATATTACGTATTCAGTTGACTATAAAATATTTGAATTTATGAAAATATTTCAATTAATTAATGTTTATTGATGTCTTGTTTAAACTTTAAATGGTTTGCGGTTGATATGCCTCTGCTCATCGCGGTGTAGACGAATTGATTGGCTGCAGTAAGTTTATTACAGTACAAGTGTAGATCATTCTAGACAATACATATAATTGATAATCATAGATATGTGGATATTAATATTATTTGTACGTACCAAGAAACGTTTTTACTCCAAAGATACGTTTTATGTATAATACATGTATCACATATTATGTTGTCAGATTAGTCTAAATTTTAGTCTAACATGAAATTCATTCACAGTATATTGATTTTATTAACGGTAGTATAAGTGTTAGATTTTTCCATGTTTGATTTCCATATTCCATCATCTGTTTGAAATGAATACAATGTATTTTTGAATTACATTAAGTAGTAATAGCAGTTATGTATTGCATGCAATTTATTTCATAGTCTTTTATTCTTTATCATATATTTGCAAACAGAAACTCACATTATACTTGTATACATTTAATAATAAAAATAGATACTTGATGTTTTCAAATTAAAGTTAAGACCCGTTTTTTAATCTTTGCTCTGTGTTTCAAAAATACAGGTACAGAAGAGGATCAAGAAGCAACAGATATGCTTGTTGGCAATGCTCAAAACCTCATGCAAAGCGTGAAAGAAACGGTTCGTGCAGCAGAATGCGCGAGCATCAAAATACGTACCGCGTCTGGTATGAAGTTACGATGGGTGAGACGTCAACCATGGTATCAGTAATAAATGGAATGCTGCAGTAAGAAAAAGTGATCTAAAACAGATAAGTAAGATTTTCTAATATTAAATTCATTTTAATGAATTGATTCTATATAATATATTTCAAGAAAGTGTTCTAACAAGGACAACATTCAAGTATTTACAATTGATTTAATGTCTGATGAACTGTCTGAAAAATGAGTGTCCATTTAAAAGAAAAATAGTTGTTAAATTAATGAATATAAATTATATATATACCCGCCAAATTTTCATACACAGAAATAATTAAATCCATTTTAAATACCTGAACTGTATCCTTGTAATAAGTATAGCATAATTTATACTTATTTTCATATATACACACTCTGACAAACTATATGATCATTATATAATATACAAATGATAGTTTTTAATTTAAAAAAGAAGCTAGTGACTAATATTACAGATACTTTACAAAAAACTGAGAGACATATCTCAATTGGTAAACTTATAATTCAAAAATATTTTTAGATGACACATTTAAGGGAATGCTTAAAGCCAATGTCTCTCATAATTCAATTAAAAGATAGAATCTAATTAGAGATGACAAAGCTTATGCCTTATACAAATTACCAATTTGCAATATATATTTTTATGTGTATTTGCAATAAGTGTACTTTACACATGTGTATACATATTTACCTAAAACCGGCACAATAGAAGAAATTTTTTATCTACATTTATTAATCCAAGATAGTATAATGTATTTTTTCAAACTAAAAAAATTAGAATATAATTTTTTAATAGGTGCTATCCGCCGCAAAATACACGTAGAAAACATTAACATGCAATATTATATAATAAGTAAATATATTTTTGTAATTCTTACCTAATAATCTTTTTAGAGAACATACAGGGTGTTCGGCTACGGGTGGGGATCTTTCAAGCGGGTAGCAGCTCGGATAATTTTGAACAACTTTTTCCAAGAAGGAAAAAGTTGTTTAAAATCGTACCAGCTATGCACCAAAGGATGCTCACTCGTAGCCGAACACTCTGTACATAGTTATTTAGATATTTTCAATGTTTTCAAACTGGTGCTATATGTACGTGCAATATAATACAAGATAGTGGAAGATAACATAAGATTAAACAATGTTAAACCAAATACACGAAATCAGTTTAATATGTTCTTAAAAAAATTTAGATTAAATGCTAATGTAAACAGTTATTCGTAATATCAATTTTAGTAATATACTCTATGATAATTACATGTAAAACTATTTATAATAAATATTAATTTTTATTATATAATACAAAATATAAAAATTTAAGAAACATTAATTTGTATTATAACAAGATTATGTACACGTGTTGCTAACCTAAGGATTAATAAAATTATTACTCAAGAGAATCCCTTTTTATCGGATGTAAGCTAGGAATTGTAACTCCTGGTATTTTATTTTTTGGTATTTTCCCAGGTCTCAAATAAGGATTGTCTATAGCATCCTGTTGGGTTGTAGTTTCGCCGTTTTGTTCGCCGTCTTCGTTTTGTCCTTTCATACCTATAACCATGTCAAATATCATAAACAAATTGAAATTTAAGTTTATTTATATTTATTGAACATTTAATCAGACCTTCCTCCGTCTCTTCGATCTCTTGTTCTTTTTTCTTTTTAACCGGACTCGGTTCAAAGTGAAAATCTTGATCAGTTTCAAATATTTGATCTTGTGGAAGGAGCGCCGAGAGGTAACTAGGAAATTGCGGTTTACACGATATTACTGAAAATATGAAATACTCAATATCATGGATATATGTATGTTATTCGTACATAATACCAGTTACTTACGCGGAAACATACTATTATCCTCTGCTAAAAATAGACTATGCGTTTCTCCTGTTTTTGCAATAAACCTTGTTAAAGCCCTTTCAATATCACGTTTTTGAGTGGCTGCTTTTTCTCTTATCGCCTCGTATTCTGTTACTGGTTGTTTATGTGTCTGTTTACAAGTAAAAATGCAATCTCGTGAATATAATAAACACTGTAGGTAAACTAAAAATATTAATATATTATATGTGAATTGCACTAATCTTTAATATATTATATTCAATTTAATTTTAGCAATTATACCGGTGTTCTGATGTAAGCATGCGGATCCGGAAAAGGTGGCAAATGACTCGGTATATGGGCCGGATGACCTTGTTTTACACCAGCTTGCAAAATATTCAATTGTTTCGACTGAGTTTGTTGCTGAAGCGGCGGTAATACTGTCCTGTTCGCTCTTTTACCATAACTTTCTAAATTGTCTAATTTTATACCCATATTTATTAAAGCCACTATAACGTCTGCGATCAGTGGCTCTGTTCTACCAGAAAGTTCACAGTAATTTCTTGCTGATTCGCCAACTTCTACTATAACTGTAAACAATTGATCAAATGTATTAGATTTGTGATATTATATTCATCGAAATAATGTATAATAAATAAATCCTTAAACCTTTTCATATTTAAAGGTTAGGAATATTAAATTTAGTTTAAATACATACAAGACTGTAACATTTCTGTAAGAGTTTCTAACGCTTGCTTCTCACAAGTATCATAACCACTTTCCACCAACATACTGCAAACAACATGATTTAATATTTTTCTTCGTGTATTTGTTGTTTGAATGTCCATATTTGTTTAATATAAACACTGAATAGGTAAAATCTAACAAGGGAATTCGCAACTGTATGAAGCACCATCTCGCGTGAAATTTAAAATGTACATACATACAGACATCTCTTCGCAAACTGGTTGGAACCGGAACTACAAGTGAAGTCTACAAAAATACCATTTTTCTGCATTATATAAACTACCATTTTTAAATTATTACATTTTAATTAATCTCATAAGAAATACTCCGTATTAAATAATAAATGTTAACGAAAAGACTTACTAAATTTAATAAAAATCTGGCACTTTTTAGCAATGATTTATACATGTGCATATATGCTATCTATATGCATGTTTGCTAACAGTTACTTGTTGTGTTTAATCTTCGTATTGTGAGGAATCAATGATTGTTGAATTATCATAATCATTCTTGTTCTTGGTAATTCGACAAACTTTGAATTATGCAGTTTTATAAGGAAAAACTTTTGTCACCTGGACAATTGAAACGTCTGAGTGAACACAAGTACAGCTGTACAACGAATAGCCTTTTGGACGGACTTCTTCAACCGTGGTGGGACTGGCTCGTTAGCAAAGTTCCACTTTGGCTTGCACCTAATTTAATCACGATTTTGGGGCTTATCGTGAACATTGTTACCACTTTAATTCTTATTTATTACAGTCCCGATGCTAAAACCGAGGTATTATATACATAACCTATTTTATCTTCCTTTTCCTGAATGATAGTTCAAGATCTGTTGCCTTTTTAAAGATTCAATGAAAAATCATTATAACATTAACGAGCAAAGGAACGTATCGAAAAGATAACGATAAATAAAATTAAATACTTAAAAATAGATTCTACAATATTTTAATTTATTGTAGTTTATACATAAATATGATGATGGTTTATTTTATATACATTTTAGGCACCTAGGTGGGCATGTTTTTTATGTGCACTGGGTTTATTCATTTATCAAAGCCTAGATGCCATAGATGGCAAACAGGCAAGAAGAACAGGAACTTCAACACCATTGGGTGAACTGTTTGATCACGGATGTGATTCTATATCAACCGGTGTGTATGTTGTTTCAATTGATAAACTTATCTAGTTCTTTTAATTGACTATATTAAAGTACATATTACATTCCTAAATCTTATCTTGTTTATAATTTAATTTTTGTTAGAACAGCTGAAATTATAATTTTATGGTTTTAGTGTTTGTTGCTCTATCAGCATGTATAGCTGTACAATTAGGATATTATCCAACATGGATGTTTTTCCAATGTTTCTGTGCAATGACACTATTTTATTGTGCTCATTGGCAGACCTATGTTTCAGGTATGAATTTATATTTATCCATAGATACTAATAATAATGATTTCATCAACTTTTTTTATATTATAGCATAAGTGTTTCTGAACAGGTTCATTAAGATTTGGCAAGGTTGATGTTACGGAAGCACAGTTTACTATTATAACAATTCATCTGATTTCTGCAATCTTTGGGCCCAAAATATGGATGATGGAGGTTGTACCTATTTTATTTTTTAAAATTTTATTTATTTAATTTTAAAATATTTTATGCCAATCAATCTGGTAATATAGGTATTTAAAATAACTGTTTTATATTTAGTGATTTTATTGATTGTCATAAAATATTTGTATTTATAAGTTTAATCATCTTCAATATTAGAAATTTATTCAATGGTAGAAACTTCATTTTTTAAGGTACTGTAGTATACTATTAAAACTATAATCATTTAGTATTTAGGAAATAAAATATTTGAAATTTAATATAACTAAACACACTAGTGTCTAGGTTTCCCTACAAATACATCAAACTCTTACCAATTCATACAATGTTGAGTTTTTCACAAATTTTTTTTATTCTGAGCCTTCATCAAATTTTGTTTGTATTTGCTTAGTTTATTATTATTATTTCTATCATAGTTTTAGCAAAAGTGACAGTAACACATGTATGCTTAACATATTTTAAGTTTGATTGTTTAAATAACTATAAAGAAAAAAAGCTATTAAATTAATGAATCATTAGAGATTTTGCTTTCATGCAGTAAATAATTTATTACAGTGAATGTAATGAATGCTATAGTGAGTTTTACGATTTTATATCTCAAGACTCATGTTGTTTCTCAAAAAAGAAAAAAAAAATGAAAGAATTCCGTTGCATGAGTCTAATGAGAATATTTCTTACAGATACCATACATAGATGGTTTTATGTTTAAGTATTTAATAGGAGTTATGACAGTAATTTGTGCACTGGCAAACTTATATTCCATCTTTTCGGTGATTTTCACCGGAGGAGTGGGCAAGAATGGTTCAACTGTGGCTGTAAGTTAGTCAATTAGACTCTTGTTTTTGGAAATTATAAAAATGGGAACAGCATGGCATGAGGAGCAGCATGGCATGAGGAACAGCGCTGAAATTACTTATTTTTTTCTATTTTTTGCTATGAATCTTATTATCATAACATACATTTAATTTTTTACTCATTTATACCTTTTCATCCATTTATTTTCCCTCGCATCATTTTCATAACGAATACTTTCATTCATACCTACAATTGTAATTCATTAAGTTTTTATTGAATTTGGACAAAATAAATATAAAATCATCTGTGTATGAATTTAGGGTATATTGTCATAAATATGAAATTATATGTCAATTCTGTTTATGGTATATTGTCTTTTGAATATACTTTCTGTATGTTATGCTTTTGAAACAATTTCTATTGAAAAATTTTAATTTACGTTATAAATATGTTATTTTAAGATGTGTACACGATATATACATGTTCTCAAATTAATATTATTTCCAATCATTTAACTATGCCAATAGAAAAATTTATATGATAGGTGTCAGGTAATTTTACATTTTGCTTCATGCTCATAATTTATTTATTTCAAACATTCCTTTTCATCTTAACCACATATTGAATTATTATGAGATTCATTTATACTAACAACATAGATAGAAAATTGATAGGGATATCTAAGGTAATTTTCATTGTTATACATTGCAGCTTCCTCGTGCCTAATCTATTTTAAACATTGTTATTGATATACAAACATGGGTCACAAGTAGAACTAGCCCATGAAAATACTGATTAAAAATTTCCTAAACATAAGTAATGTATAGAATAACCTTAGGATAAATATATACTGAATTTTTTACATTTTTCATAACAAGCCAGATTTTGTACATTTGTTTAGATGCCAGTGCTTGGTGTAGGCACGATCAGTAACTACGTAGCAGTGTTATTTTATGCAGGCTACATTCATGTATTCCTTGAATTCTGTAAAGTGTTTGAATCTGGTGGGATTGGAAAGAATGGTTCCACAATTGCAGTAAGTTTTAAGTGCAAAAACAACTTAGTTGCATTTGTGTAAAACTTTAATACTATTGTCACTATATGTAGTTATGAACATCTCTCTTCTTTCATTCTGCTTGCCTGTCTAGACTTTTGGGTTGTTATTTGCAAGGAACAGTTTCTGCATTAATAAATTTATATCTTATCATTTTTCTGCACATTAATTTATTATATGGTATGCAGGCTATAAAAAATATGGCTTATATTTTGATACAAATAAAAGTGCTACTTTTCTACTCTGTTTAAGCGCTTATAATTGTGTTCTTTTTCATTTCTAAGTATGTAGCATCCGTTATGAAAATGTTTTTAACAATGAATGAACAGCTGTGTATGAATACTTTCAAATAAAAGAAGATGATGTATATATTGTCAATATAATAATATTGACCTAAGTAAAGAGTTTAGAATTCATGAAAAACAACATACTATTACTTTCTCTTATTGAATGGTAAATATTGTTGAAGTGGAACCGTTCAATTTTACATGAATAGGGTGTGTTAAAATTTCAATAATAAGATTTGAAATTGTTTCAAGAGCAGACAGATTTAATAACAGGAATCAATATTGAATTTGTATTAGAAATGTATTTAAAAGTAACTAACAGAAAGGTTTTTTTGTGTCACTTGCACAGTTGCCATACACTGGCACAGAGGTCAAGGTGTTTCCATTATGGGCTGCTGTGGGCATCGCTATTTTATTTGCACAGAGCAGCATGTCCGTCATTCTTGCCGGTGGTGTCGGAAAAAATGGCTCCACCGTCGCAGTAAGTCAGTTCAGAAGTAATAGAATCAATGTGTAGTGCACTTTGCATTTTATCTTCATTTAGACCTACGTTAAAATAAACTATTCTACAGTTTCTCCAATACATTTAAATAGAATATGATACCATAAAATAAATTTGCATTAACTATGTCTTTTGTACATTATTAATACCTAATGTATTGTTATTTAATTAGAGTTTAATTACATAATATATGAACAACTTTTAATTCAAGTGTGTTCTAAATTATTTGTGGGTCTAAATTTAGCAAGAGCATCACACAGAACTGTTTACTGTACCTTTTTTTCCATTTCGGTTAACACCTTTTCCTATGTATTTCTGAATTTATATGGATATATCATACATTTCCATTTTTATAATCCTATCCATTAATTGCACTTTTCCCTCCATCTTTAAAGAATTGCATGTATTGTAAATAGTAATACACTAACATTAATTAATATAGGTTTTAATGCAACTGCTATTTTATTAATATTAAATAATTTTGTACATACTGCATTTGCCATACTTAGAACCTAGAAGTAGTTTAATTATCTTTACATTTCTGTTTTAATCTTCATATTTTAACGTGTTTCATAAGTAAATACTTCTAAACTTGAATGTTTCTAAAAACTTGCATCTTGTTCTTGAATGTGTTAATATTGTTATAAAATTTATGATTCAGTATATCTTGCAATTAAATTATATTTGAGTTATAATAATTAATGATCAGCTTGCAAGCAATATCTTTTTATTGATTATATGTACCTTTATGATATTTATTTTATTTCAGGGAACATCAGTTTTATCACCAATTATTCCATTTAGCTTTGTGGTAGTACCAGCTTTTATAATTTATAGAAAAAGTGCTGAACATGTATATGAAAATCATCCTGCACTGTATATACTTGCATTTGGAATGGTTGCAGCTAAAGTTACCAATCGATTAGTGGTAGGTATATACTAATGATAAATATTTGTCTGTCTTTGATTTGTAAACTGTATTATGATTCATTATCACAGGTTGCTCATATGACAAAAAATGAAATGCAATATTTAGACAGTTCATTGATTGGACCAGCAATGCTGTTCTTGAATCAATATTTCAATTTCTTTATCAAAGAATATTATGTTCTTTGGCTATGCTTTGTAAGTTTTATAATCTATATGAAAATATTTCTTTTTCTTAATTCTTTTATTTTTAGTTATCCTGTTTTATGTATTATTCGTTTTTATTTCTAGATCTGGGTGACTTTGGATTTATTCCGATATAGTGCTCAAATATGCCTTGAGATTTGCGATCATATGAAGATCAAACTGTTTAGGATACCCTTAGGAGATCATCGATCGAGCCAGGTTTCTAATACAGCTGAAAAAAATGGTACTAACAGGTCCCAACGTAACAGATTGCAAAAAAAACATCATTAGGATTTACTTGTGATAATAAATCTGCTGTATGATTCACTTTATGTATAAAGGAGAGTTATAATACAAGAGATCATAGATATTTGATAAATTTTGTTATTATGACTGTATATATAAACAAGTGTTCGAATAGTACAGTTCATTTATTATCACATTTATTTGTAATCATCGTCGCATCTGATTAGTACTGAATATATAAATAAAAGGTCTCATCAACATATTTGATTAAAAGTTACTCACTGCTTCTCGTCGATTGCAGCTATTTTCTGTTATCGACGAAAAGATATGAACCTAGTGATCAAAACTAAATAAATAGAGCAATAGAAACAATACATAGACACATGACAAAAAGTAATGCATAATTATCGAATACTTGAATGAAAAGACATGACAAATTTTAAGTTTCATAGTTAATCTGATTAAATCAGTAAATGTGAATTTATTTATTTTTTAATGATTAGTGGACAAAACATTTGTGTAGTATAGTGAAAATTCACTTTAAATATCATAATTATTTTGGAATCTCAAAAGAAAGTTTTTTTAAATACAGTATTAAAAAGAAAATTATAAATTAAATAACTGTTTCTTGTTTATAAGTTTCAAATATTTTTGAAGGTCTCTTTTATGTACCATATTATAGTCCTGGTTTTCATCTAGAATACTTGAATTTATTAGAAAAATAAAACAGTTCTGTTTTATAACCAACATGTATATAGTTATATACTACAAATATTTCCATAGTCAATTATAACATAAACTATTTATAGCGTAAGCGAACAACCAAAGATAGTTACTTTGAGTTCAAGTGACCCTAATCTACGGTTTTCGGTATTTTTCTTGCTTATCTACAATTTAATGAGGAATTGTAAGGAATTGAAAGAATGTTGCTGATTAACAAATTACGATAATTGTGTGTTCTAATAATCTCTTTTATTGAATATTTATTAGTGAACGAAGAAAATTGTAAACGCAAATCGTATAGAGCATAGGAAATGTACGTATATATTGCACATGTATATTAATGGTAATATTTTTCATTTGTAATGATTTATCATTTAGCTCAGATGTGGCCTTAACATACGCTTATCAATTGCAACTATAAATAATTATAGTTCTATAAATCCACAAAAGAGATTCATTAATTTTTAATGATCAACAATATGTGGCAGAGATTCTTATTTTTTTCTTTAGTACAATTAATGCTATACGAGAAACATGAATAATCATTGTAAAATTTATTTGTTATTGCTTACATAAAGTATGGCATATTGATCGAATAATATTCAATTGTACAAAGTGTCATAGAATTATATGATAAAGATGTGTTCTCTTATTAAACGTTCATTAAATGTGCACATTTAGATTCTCAATATGTTGTAGACTTGGTGATTAATGAAAAGTAAATTTTACAATAATTGTGCATTACTAAATAAGAAATGCATCATTTCAGAAGTGTGATACAGATGTTAAGTATACTTCAATTAAAAAATTTCTGTTAGTGATCCCAAATGTGAGAGGAAATATTTTGAGCTTTTAATAGATTTTTTTGCAAGAATTAAAAGCATTTGAAAACTTAAACAGTGATTAAATGGTTTATAATAGATCAATTTATATTGTAACATTAAATCATTGTAAAGGTTTTTCATTAGCCATGAAGTATTCTATTATAGCTGTACAATAAATCTTCAGTTTTTATAAAGTAATCAAGATTCTCGGGATGATAATATTAGGGTTGTTTGGAATATTATTGGAAAATAAAAAAAAATATGTACCTAATATTTTGATGTATCGTATTTTGGTTTCTATTCATAAACTGTATGATACTTTTTAGATAAACAATTTTCCTATCACATGCTATATTTCATTTACACGTTTTTATTGAAAGAGACAATGTTTAGGAATTACTGTCCTATTTCCTAGTCTTTAGAAACTCTAATCCATGTTAATCCTTCTGAAACAAACTTTCAAAGGTGATTCTTCCAAGTAAACTGTAAATCTCACTTTCTAATATATAATTCTATGGACGTTTTAGACATTAATCTGCATGCTGCATTACTGTACTCGAGATATTAAAATTTTAACAAAATGTTTAACAATTTTATATCAGCCTTGAATTGGTAAAACAATGGATTTTAGTATATCGTTTTCTTTGGTAAAGCGATGAAGTACGTAATCCAGCAAGTAGAGATGGCATGCTAAAACTTATGTTTGCATGTTTCTTTGCCTATGTGCATAGTTTTAAAGCTTCATCAATTACATTCTCTAACTGTTCTATTAATTTATATAATCCAATTAACTAAACACTGTTACATACTTGATCAACCAGGTATGAAGAAGGAAAGCATACTGTATATTAACACCTATATTATACTAAAACGTTTAATGAAAAAAGAAATGCTTCTAACTTTAACATGTCAATATTCCAAATAATTAACAGCAGATTAAAATGAAACATAAGAAGAAGTTAGAAATATTAATAAGAAGAAGGATTATAATGGTGTAGTATCAAATGGTTATCAATCTCCCTGAATTATTATTACTTATTAAAGATGGGTATATAATTCTCTAACTGTTAGATAGTATTAATAATGTCTGTTAAAGTATAATATATAATAACATGTTCACTTACGTATGTGCGAATAACACTGGCCAAAAAAGAGACAATATTAGAGCAATAAAATATCAGTAGAGATGATTAAAAAATGTTCAACTAACACTGTAACAAGGTATTCGCACATGCCCATTATAAATGTTCTTATTCGTTGGTGTGCATGAATATAGTTTTGTTCACAGTTCACATGATGGTGGAACAAGAACCTCTGTTAGACGAGGATTATCATCATGGATCCGATACCACCCTCGACCTATGACGATTGCAAAAATATTTCTCAACGTTCAGAGATGGACAGGGTGTCAATAAAAAGTTTCTGCTAATTGGAAATTATTTTTTCCAATGAAAGACTCGTGTACAACTGGTATGGTAGCAAGTACAAAATCTTGGCTGACCTTTGCTCCCTTCTGGATTGCTTGCATTTTTTTTTATCAACATTTAGATAGAGAAGGGAGATGGAAGCTTGTGGATACGTATAGGATACGTTTGAAAACCAGTGATTGAAACATAGTTGTTCTAAACAACTTAATACACCGTTAGATAAGACTTCATTATCAATTGTTTCAGATTTTAGATTTTAACCCTTGTGCACTGTTTAAATGAAGAAATATATTAGATCTGAAAGAGTGCTTGAGGGTTGAAAGATTTAAGAAAATGGGGGTAGGAAGATAATTCTTTTTCTTTTTTTTTTAGAAGGTCATCCTTTATAAGGATAATCCTTGATACTATGTAAGAGGAGATAGGACATTTTTCTTGATACAATTTTAAATGAGAACTTTTCTCTGGACATATTTGGTATCAAGATAATACAGGTGTTAGCATAATAAAGTAACATATGTATTAATTTCCAATGTATTATGGTCTTTTAATTTTCACTGAATTCTTAAAATACTTGTTTAAAGTCATAGAGGAGAGCAAAGTAGGGCAGCAATGATTTTATAAATAGCAGTTCGACGTAAAATTTATGTAACACTTTCATCTATTTATTTACTTAAGATTCAAGTTGAAATTATATTATTATCTGTATAAAAAAATTTTTTCACCGAAAGTTACATGGTTTTTAAAATACTACGTATCATCAAGTGAATGACTACGTATTGTTGTAAACTGTGAATAATGTAATTTTGTGCAATCAAATAAAATTTTCATTAACACTTTGTTCTTTCTTTTCTCCTTAGTTTAAATTTCATTAAAGTGATTTATATTGACGAATTAAACATAAAACATTGTTTAAAACTGATTTTGAATGTAACAATATTATACCGCAAATACATATTTATATATATCTATAATTCGTTGATTAATTTTCCTTCAAAGTTTTAACTATTAATTATTGAGATTAAACTAGTTCGATCTTTTATACGCTTGAATTACGTGGGCAAGTATATTAAATTTTTTTGGATCAGCGCCATCTAGCGGACGGTGATAGGAACTAACGATTTCTAATAGGAGAGCAGAATGAGCAAGGAGGTATGCCAGGAGGTATACTATGCACACCCAAGGAAAAATCATTAATAACTCATTTTCCAGGAACAATTTATGAACTTTTATAATTTCTATATAAACTACATGCTTGTAGCTACTTTCTCATATAGGTTTTGTAAGGATCCAGCCAGTGATTAATTAATTACAACAGTTTTAAGATCGACCCCTCGATCCGCGCTTACCGACGGGGGAGAACTTTCAAAGTTTTCTGCTTTCCGGTGATTAATTTCCGTACATCAACAATTAAAGAAGAAAGAATAGCATCTTAGCTTTCTTCTAATATAGGTTTAATAAGCCTACTTTACTCGATTAATTAATTATTAGCAATTTTTCATGTAATCGTTCTTGTAGGTTTGAGCCGCCGTCCATTCAACTGTTCATAATTAATTAATTACTGACAGGATCTTCACAAAATCCATATGTGAAAGTTGCTACGAGCATATACTTCAAGAATTAATCATAAAAGTTCATAAATTGTTCCTAGAAAATGAGTTATTAATGATTTTCCCTTCGTGTGTCGCTTTTTAAAAATTTGGCAGCGCCATCTAGCGGATGGAATCGGAACTAAAGAATGTAATGCTAGGCCCCCGCAGGGAAAAATCATTAATAACTCATTTTCTAGGAACAATTTATGAACTTTTATGATTAATTCTTGAAGTGCGTGTTCTCAGCAACTTTCACATATAGGTTTTGTAAAGATCCTGTTAGTAATTAATTAATTATAAACAGTTCAAGGGACGGCGGCTCAAACCTGCAAGAACGATCACTTGAAAAATTGCTAATAATTAATTAATTACGTACAAGAGGCTCATAAAACCTGTAGTAGAAGAAAGCTAAGATGCTATTCTTTATTCTTTAATTGTTGATGTACGGAAATTAATCACCGGAAAGCAGAAAACTTTGAAAGTTCTCCCCCGTCGGTAAGCGCGGATCGAGGGGTCGATCTTAAAACTGTTGTAATTAATTAATCACTGGCTGGATCCTTACAAAACCTATATGAGAAAGTAGCTACAAGCATGTAGTTTATATAGAAATTATAAAAGTTCATAAATTGTTCCTGGAAAATGAGTTATTAATGATTTTTCCTTGGGTGTGCATAGTATACCTCCTGGCATACCTCCTTGCTCATTCTGCTCTCCTATTAGAAATCGTTAGTTCCTATCACCGTCCGCTAGATGGCGCTGATCCAAAAAAAATTTAATATACTTGCCCGCGTAATTCAAGCGTATAAAAGATCGAACTAGTTTAATCTCAATAATTAATAGTTAAAACTTTGAAGGAAAATTAATCAACGAATTATAGATATATATAAATATGTATTTGCGGTATAATATTGTTACATTCAAAATCAGTTTTAAACAATGTTTTATGTTTAATTCGTCAATATATATCTCTTTGTGGGCGTCATGACTAGTTATTAATTGTTCTTATTATAATTCTTCAAAGGGAATACCGTACCCCAGGGGTTGTGGACACCCCCAAAATGATGAGCCCTCGAAAACAAGGACATGTCCATTTTTGTTGTATCTGTAGTTACTGATATACATTTACGTGCGCATACGCAGAAGTTTGATTAAGATACAAAAGTCACGATTACAATCGCTCAGAATCAGTTAGCAGTTGAAAGCGACTCGTTAACACTGTCGATGTTAATGCTATGTATTACCAATTAAAATATATGATGTTTGATTTGTTATATGATACCGATCAGTTAATTAATTACTTAAGTATGCATATAATTTTTAAGCCTTTTCATACAATCTTATGAAAATATTATAACTGATTCGTAAAAAATTTCATACTTTTCTAATTATATTGTACTCTGTGATTATTTTCGCAAACTAAGGACAAAAGACTACACAAATAAACATTAGAATAATAAAAATAAATTTAATTTGTCTATCTTCAGTTACAGTTCATTATAAAACTCTCAGTTTTTCATTGAAATAATTGAATATTGTTGATTTAAAGGGCTCTTAGACCTTCGAATATAGTTTCTACGTCCCTGTTTTCCACCTCCACGTTCCCGAACATCCAACTAAGCCTGACAAAGTTATTGATCCAGCTGGTAGCAAGCACGTCTATGCAATGAGGCCATCCATTCTCGAGGATGGTACACGTTCCTTATCCAACATTGTAGTAGTCGTTCGGAAGGTGCAACGTCATATTGCGCAGCCGGACTCTCCTTTCTTACGTACTCCTTAATCACATTAGTTTTGCGCACTCATCCTTCGTCTATTCTGAACTTTGAATCAATGGCTTTATCGACGTGTTTTGTCAGCAATTCAATCAAAAGCAGACCAAACTCCTTTCAATTATGTTTCTGACAAAGAACTTCAACGTGCTGACTGATGTGGAGGGTCATCACTCGCATCACAAATTTAATTATAATGGAAGACCTGAAAGAAAAGAAGAAATTAACAAAAATTTGCAATCAGAGCATCTTGCACTACTGTCTGCGTTATAATCTATTATTTGTTTAATTTTAAATCATTTATGTTTGTCTTGTTTTGAATATAGATAAAATAGCAGTCTTAATTTTCAATGAACAGCTCTATTATCGACCTAATAGGATACCTATGTTCCATTATGCAAGAGTAAATAATGAAATTTCAGAATTATTAACAATATTGAAACGCGAGAACATAGAGGGGTTTCACGCACGTGTGTACGATAAGTTAATTCCACGAGGCCGATAAAGCTTGAGAGAGTGTGTGTGCATAGTAAAAATTGCAAGGAACAATAAGGCAATTAACTTGCCAGCTGGTAGCTAAAAAAAGGCGTAATTTCATCCGTCTCCTGTAATGTAACTGATGATCATGTAAACCTTCCTAATTATATTATTCCATGTATTGATTACTTGTCAAAATAAATAGAATATTATACATCTACGATTTATTTAATATTATTTATATTGAATTTTTTTTTATGTACTATAGTTTTATTGTGTATGAAGATAGGGGTGCAAATCAATCCGTATTCAAAACTAAATGACAGTAACGCATTTAACATTATTCATATACAATATAGTTTCATCAAATAAGAATTATTTTTTTGCAAAGAAAGTTAGTTAACTTTCTTCAGGATTCTAATAATTCAAGGTGTTGCTCGCACTAAGGCGTTATCCTTGAACTGAATAATTAATTCAACCCCTTTAGAAGAGTATTGCAATGAAAAAAGTGAACTCCCTTATCCAAGCCATTATTCGAGAACTTAAAATAAGCTTTGACCAACTTGGCCAATTTCTCCGATGGGACTTATTATTGTTCTAATATTAATATTAATATCGTATGCAGATTGGTGAGATAATAAAGCGACGTACAAATGTGTTAATGTAATATGGTCCCAATTTGATGAGTAATTTAAGTTGAATAAAACTTTCTTACGAGGTTGAATGAAGTTGTTGAAAAGCATCGGAGAAGCAGCCTGGTACATCCGGGCTCGCTATCAGTTCAGGGTAACGATGTCCTTTTTACAACGCAAGTGCCGCCCCTGGTTGCACGCCTGCCTAGTAGCTTTGCTGCGAACGATCGTCAGTATGGTATCGCCATTTGGGCGATGCGGAGCGTATATGAGCCTCTGGCTTTTTCCCATGGCACTGTTAAAATAGTGATCACCGACTATCCTTGTTAAACGACACGTAAGTCCTTCCTTCGAATCCTTCGTCACTCGAATCATCAATCTTTCTCGTTTTCATCACTATTCTCCTTATATTCGTCGATTCGTAAAAAGCCACGACATCAATCACGAATGACGTATCACGACACGTTGTAGAAAAGCTCCTCTATCGATGGGCATGTATTTTCACCTGAAACAGGATACATTTTTTCTTTCTTTTAAACGATTGACAAACATTTTAATTAACAGTGAATTAGATTATGTTCAGTTTAAACGTGCTTGAAATAATTTCAACATATTGCTTTACTTATAAAAGGAACTTTGCAGAAAGCTCAAGAATAAGGGATTAAGACGCTAAAATAGTACACAATTTTGTTGAAAAATCATTTCCATTCGAAGTGAACACTTTGTTGATGTGAATTCTTGTTTAGTTTCAATTTAAGAAAGCATTCGAGTGAAGTAAAACAAGAATGTACACATATAATTAATGAAATTAAATAAAAATTCTGATGGTAAATATTAATCACTATTGCTGGGCTGTTCTATGAATTTTTCAATTATTTCTGCAATTTTTATAGTGAATAATAATCATCGTCCCTCGATATCACGTTTTATATTTATCGCTTTGGGTAACCGGAAGCGGAATAAAGCGACGTTTTTCTTTCCTTAAGTTGTTGATTTTTTTCATTTTGTACGGTGATATCGAAGGAGGTGTAAAAGTACAGAAAACAGTAGTTATAGTAAAAGAATTCCTGACAAATACAAGTGGATTTCTAAACTTCTAAAAATTGTTTCACGAATGGTGAATCAGCTTAAACCTTGTACAATGGCCGAGCATTTTTGTGGTTCTTGTTAACTTGATATATAGGTCACGAGGTTCGAGAAATCAATGAGAGCCGTGCTCCAAATATTGTTTCGCGTACTAGCAGTCGTACTATCAATTAATCCATTTCATTCTAATCATCCGGGGACACTGAAAAATCGAATATTTTAACTTACATCAATTTATTACTTTTAAATTAAAGATTTAACATAATTATTAATTAGGTATCAGGTGAAGAAAGAAAATTCGATGCCTTTTGATATCACACTTGAACTTAATTGAACTTAATTGAACTTACTTTATGCCGGGGAAGGTTGTTGTATGTACGTGGTATTGATTCGATCGTTTTCAGATGTGGAAGACCAATTGAAGAATGATACAAGGATGATTCGATCGGGAGGTGATCCTGAGAAAAAGCGAACGGCTCAGATGACTCGTACACATTGCATAGAACGGTGACAGAGCTGTAAATTACAGCTATGGATATACAGAAGAAACACCTGTGCCCCCGCTTGGTGGATTATCTCGCCATCGTGGGGGCTAGATTGCCCTCAGTCTCTCGTCAGCCTGTGCAGGTATCGTTTATCGCTGCTTCTCATAATTAAGAAAACTAAAATAGAAAATTGATGGTACAGGTTCCAGAATTATTAAGAAGATATCCAGTGGAAGATCACAAAGATTTTCCATTACCTTTGGACATGGTTTATTTCTGCCAGCCCGAGGGTTGCACCAGCGTCGGCCCTAAACGCACAGCCTTACGAGAGGCCACCTCCTTCACCTTCACTCTCACCGACAAAGATTCCGGTATACGGTTGCATCTTAATCGATATCTTTTTAAATAACTCTAGACGCGTCTAGATTATTTAAGGAATCAAACTGGATAGATCCTGAAAACTGAATAAAAAAGATTTTTGCGCTATTTTTAGGTAGGACACGTTACGGAATCTGCGTAAATTTCTATCGACCAGTAGAGAGGGTAGCTTCTGCGGTCGGAAGTGGAATCTCCGTGAAAAGGGACAAGTACAATACTACGTTCCGAAGGGAGAGCTGGAGGAAGAGTATGGAGAAGAGTACAGACTCTGCATTTTCTAGGTGAAATATAAAACGTCATTTTACCATAATTAATTAATCAAATTAAAATTATTCAAATTGAAACACGTCACAAGTACCTCGAATGATTAAGAAAATTAATTCTATAACGTTTGATGCACGAGTGGGAATCTTATAGATAAATTTAGAATGAATTTCAACGAAGAAAGAGTATTACAATGAGGAAAGCGGTGCTATATTTAAATTATCTTATTATCCTCGTTCAAGATGATTAGCATAAGAGTTATTGAATATACTTTCAATAATTATGAGACTGTATCTCTAGCTGTTCTTTATAGCGACTATAGGAGCAGTGCAGTAGGACCTAGTGATTCTGAGAAAGATTGTTCGAGCAGCAGAAGGGATTCTGACACGTCTCATGCTGTTAGCGCGCCAAGATTGGGTATCACTGCACCGAGCGGGGACAGCGAAAGCGGTGGTAGTCATTCACCATCACCGCGTGCTTCACGAAGACGTCAGGTAAATGTCTGGTTATTATTTAGAAATGATTTTCAAATTGAAATATCCAGAATTTCAATAGAAAATACATTTCAAATTCTTTAGTACAACAAAAATCATTTATTCTATTTTCAGAGGGTACGAAACCATTCTCTAACGTCACTATGCATCATTTCCCATCACCCTTTCTTTTCGATGTTTCGGGAATGCCTTTTCGTTTTGAAGAAGATCATCGACGCGTGTAACGAAAGTTCTTCACCGCAAAAAGTGGGTGCTTCCAGGCAAACCAACAGGTATATACGATACGAAAGTGAATATTTACTTTATACTAATTAAATCTGATCTGAATTTACAATAGGGAAACAGTATGGAGCGTTCTAACCGGACAAACACTTGAAGGAACACCGTCGATAGTTCTCCACGATGTGAGAGAAATAGAAACCTGGATATTACGATTATTGAGCAGCCCGGTACCAGTTCCAACGAAGACACGAGTCGAGGTCGAAATCGTGTCTCAAAGTATGCAGCCACCACTCTGTTTTGCACTCCCAGATCACACTAGATTTTCTCTCGTTGATTTCCCTCTCCATCTACCCTTGGAACTTCTTGGCGTTGACATATGCTTGAAGGTCCTCACGTTGATTCTCTTGGAGCACAAGGTAATTCTCGATTACCATCGCCACCTTAACGATCATCCTCCATTTCACGATAAGCCTTACTTTGCCTGAAACTGATAGATGAAAAATTGTTTACATTTCAGATCGTGTTGCAATCTCGCGACTACAATGCCCTGTCGATGTCCGTAATGGCGTTCGTTACAATGATCTATCCTCTGGAGTATATGTTCCCCGCGATACCGTTGTTACCCACGTGCATGAGCTGCGCGGAACAATTGTTGCTTGCACCTACACCATTTGTTATCGGAATACCCGCTACTTTTTTATTGTACAAAACGAACTTCAAAATGCCCGATGACATATGGCTAGTGGATCTAGACAGCAATAAGATAAACCCACCTACCGGTGCGGGTGATCAATTGCCTCCGTTGCCCGAGCCAGAAGGCACCGTACTAAAGAATCACTTGAGACAGGTAAATAATCAAAGAATCAACACAAACGATAAATTGTCGAGTTCATTAGTCTATCAGTCTCTATCTAATACTTGTTTTTAATAATATACTTGCCTGGTTCTGCAGGCAATGCAACTGATGGACCAAGCCGGCTCTGGTGTAAATATTTCATTAATCACTCTTTGCATGTAGACGCGTTTAGCTGACCTCTTTGCATCGTAGTTAGCCGCATGGACAGTCTGGCTATGACAGTAGAGAATATCATTATTTTTCTTTTTTCTTTTTTTCTTTAGTTCATAATAATTATTATTGTTAGGTGTACTGGAAAGTTCTGTCTATACAAGGAACTTTGTTACTGGTTGTACAGTATATGTAAAATAGACAAAATTTTCCAATAAATCCAGTAGATTAGAGCTCTACTTCGTAGAGAGGAGAAGCTTGGAACACGAAACGTAGGAGCGCATAGCGTAGATCTGAACGTAGTGGCTTCAACAATATCCCAGACGAATGTCGCGGGCTCTTGGCAAGAAAAGGTTGCTCGAGAACCGCTTTAGATATATTCTCTTCATGGGGCTATCCTTTTCAGGCAATGGCTAGCATGACGACTCCGCAACCTTTGCCCCAAGACACTTCACCTCGAACGTCGTTGCAAGCACCTAGCAGAAGGGATAGCCTAACTTCTCATTTGTCCGGTTTGAGGTAATATCAACGAATAAATCATAGTTCAGACTTAATACTTGACTTAATTATTTAATACTCGACAGTGTTTCGTCGATGAAACACAGACCAAGCATCGATCACCATACCCACCTCCATTCAACGAGTTCCACGGTGACAAGCGCAGCCTCTGGACCACGTCGACAGTCTGTATCTCAATCATCAGGATCTTCGTCGCCTCAGAAACCCATGTCCTCGCAACACATGCCTCCTTTCAATCCTTTCATCTATGGCAACGACGTAGACTCGGTGGACGTTGCCACCAGGGTGGCTATGGTGCGTTTCTTCAACTCCCAGAACTTGCTTGCTAACTTCACCGAGCACACAAGGACTCTGAGGCTGTACCCAAGGCCGGTGGTGGCCTTTCAGATCAATTCTTTCCTTCGGTCGAGGCCGCGCACCAGTCATTTCTTGAATAAATTCGCTAGAACACAGGCGGTGGAATTTCTGGCCGAGTGGTCCTTAACTCCAAACAACGTGGCATTCCTCAGGGTACAGACAGGTGTGTTCGACCCAACGCAAATCGGGGATAAACCAAAGTGGTACGCTTCGAGCCTCGAACCCATTTATTTTCCTGTATGGGACACGGGTAGCTCGTTGGCGAACGCTCTGAAGGCAATGAAGGAACATGAAAATCAACCTACCGATGAAAGTGGATCAGACTCGGAGGGTGCTGAGAGTACCAGCTCCTCTTATTCTTCCTTGAGCGATTTTGTCTCTGAGATGGTGTCGTCTGATCTGTCGCCCAGTAAGTTATTCCTAAAAGTAAATTAATAGAAATTACTACCCTTTGTGCCAATGTTACATTTCTTCTTAATGTTTCATAGGTTACAATTGTACCGCGTTAGTGGCACAGCCACAAATGGCTCTGTCGGTAGATCCAAAGAATGTCTACAATCCACCAAGTTCTTTGCAATATCCTGGAATGGAGGAGGAGTCAACAACCAGGCCGGAAAGTCCACCGAGCACTTCCTCCAGTCATAGCGATCTGAGCAGTCCTAGCATGAACAGAGATTCAGAATTTGAATTAAATCCTCAGGCTCAAGAAGGTTCTCAGTCGACTAATGTAAGTTGTTTTCCTTTAACAAAGGTTTTCTTTACCGAACTCTTCGTATCCTGCTAGAAATCTTCGTTTCAAAAAACTTTATTATTCCGTCTTACTGCAGTTAAAATTGTTAGAAGCTTTAATTTTGGTTATTCAAACATTAGCAATACAGTTTATAGAAATAATCTTTTAACAATTTTAACTTGAATTCAGTAAGATTCAAGTTTTATTCAAGAATATCTCACATTGAAGAAACTGGTTTTCTCTTCAGCTACCTATTGGTCAAAATTTCTAACGAACCTTGACGAACCTAAAACAATTATTGTTCCTAAGAAATTTCTATGGATCCATGTGAAAGTAATAAAGAAATGTAGCGTATAAAACACGCTAACGAAACACTTGATCATAGGATAAAGAGGAAGGTGGTAGCTTTGAGTCAGACTCTGCATCAACAATAACACCACGCACAATCCTGAGCGCACAAAGTTCTATAGGACAATTTGGAGTTGGCACGGGATTATTAGCCACTCCAGCAACGATCAGCGACACTGAACGTCCTACCACTTCCCACAGGACCTCGCGTGTCAGTAGATATGTCGTTCCTGTGAGTCATCCTTCATCGACTGTCACCCCTATCGATTACCTTCTATCTTGATGTCATCATTTCAACTGCATGCATATTCTGTCATCAGAAGCATTTCTCAATGTATTCAGCATGAAACACCTTCTCGTTCTTGTTGAGTTACCAGGATCTTCCTTTCCATTAATTACCCCTTTATCACGTTTCACACGTTTCTACGTGCATTATCTCAACAAATGTTTTCTATTTGATAAATAAATGTTATTTATTGAAGATTATTTTTCACCTGTTGGTTGGTCATTTGTTCGATTTCTCTTAGATGTCTATCCAGTTTTGTGATTCTTATTTGTCACCTGAAGTGCATGGATTGTCTTTGGTAAAACAATACCTGGCAGTATATATTGTATGATTTTAATGATTCTCACTCTGGCATTCTGATATTAAATGCACTCTAAAATAACCTTTCAGTAAGTCTGCATGAATGATAAAGGATTTCAGAATATTTATAAATGACTTTTCAACCTACCGATCATAAAGAAGTACAATTTTTCCAAATATATAAAAAATGTTCGACTGAAGTGTAAATGTAATTTTAAATAAGTAGTTCCAACGTCTCGTTAAGTGAAATTGTTTTATTTCAAAGATCCAACCAAGCGGAGCAGTTCTTCAGCGTCACCCAAGTGTTGGAAACGTTCTGGCAAGAGCATCAAGCTTTAATACGGGCACAGGACCACTTTTGCCACGTCAAATGAATAGTAACAGTGAAAATGGCTCACCTACTGTTCCTCGACAACTTTCATTGAGCGCTGGTACTCAGAAACAGGTTGCAGAAGGTGTACCGAAACAAGGCACATCCAACGTTACTGGCAATGGCGTTCTACGACAAGGATCACAAGGATCTTTGTTCGAACAAATTGCAACGCAGGCTAAGGATCTCGTTCGGGAAACAACCAGACAGAGCAGTCAGGATGGTCTTCTTGCCCAAATGGATAAGGTAAAAAGCTTCGACCTGAAAATCACAAGTTTCAGATATTAAAATTGAATAGAATATTAGATTACTATTATTATTATTTTATTCAACAGCTGAAACATCAGGCAAAGGAAAAGATTACAGAAGCTGGGGAGGATAGTCTGTTCGCTCCGCTGGAACAGGTAATATATTCTAAAGTAACATTAATATGTTTAGAAACATTTGGAAAGGGTAGTTTCACAGTCCTTTCATTAAAATATCAATTAGTTTACGCAACAGACAAAGAAGGCTGTAGGAGAGGCGACAAAATCTGTACAGGAAGCATCAAAGACTGCTTTGGAGGCAAGTAAAACTGCGGCTGGAGTTAGTAAAAATACTTTTGACGATTTGACGTACGTTGGTAAGAGCACTTTTGGAGATTTTACGAAAAGTGCTAAAGAAGTTGCTACGAAGAAGGGTTTACTCAAGGTATGTAAAGATAGAACACAATGATAGAGCAATAGAATTTCATTAAAATAAGAAAAATTGAATAAAATTGTGTAGGGTCTCGGTGATACGCAACAATCACCTCCACCATCTCCTGGACTGGTACAAAGAAGAGATTCGATTAGCACCCAATTGGTCGCCTCGGATAATCGCGGTGGGCGTAGAGAAATCGGACGTGATTTTTTCAGCAATATTAGTAGTGATTTAAATGGCATCGCTGCGCAAACTAGCAGCATGTTTAGTGATCTATTTGGTACGTTCTACTTTTTGTTTTTTTTTTTTAAATAAAGACATTCATTACATACTTAATTATATCAAATATTACTCGGCAGGAAGTAAAAATAATTCTAATAGAAATGCCGGTCTCCACTCTCAGTCGCAGAAATCGGACAAGAAGACACCGATGCTTGGACCATTCCCTAAAAGTATTTAAAAATTATTATCTTATTATCTTATTATCTAATTGAACATTTACAAGATTAAAAGCGTTTATTTTACAATAGGTAAAACAGGATTAGTGGAACGTTCATCGTTGATTAAACATTCGACGAATAAAAACACTCAGGAAGAGCTTCAGAGGATGCAGAATGCTGAAAGATCCAATGTAAATAGTGACAATCAAGCATTCTTGACCGATGTACGTTTCTTTTTGGATCCATCGCTCTAATTAATCGTATGGAAATGTAAAATATAAACGATCGAATTCATTTTCAGGTAGTGAATCAAATTTTGACAGGCGAAGGTGTCGGTTGGTTGAAGTTGAATAGATTGAAGAAACTTATGGAAGATGAAAGCTACAGAGATTTTGTTGTCACGAAGCTTAACAAAGGTCTAAACAAGAAAATCAGCCCTGATGATCATATCGACGATGTGGTATGTTGTGATAATTCATTCATTCGAAGAACACGAATTAAGAAAAGGAGACAATCCTAAGTTATGATATTAGACCGAATTGAAAGAATAATATTTTCTTCTCTATTTACAGTGTGTTTCAAAACCAGTGTACAAAGGAATGCTAAAGTGCCTTCAAGCAGTGGCTCACGGTCTTGGACACACTTACAATAACTTTGGACTTGGTGGAATGGCATCAGTTTTCCAATTAATGGAAATTGCACACACACATTACTGGAGCAAGGATCTTTCTGAGGGAACTTTTGATAGTTCTTTAATGTCTCAAGTATGTGTATCCTTTTATCCTTGATAGTATTTATGCCAGTATTCTTCTACTTAATATGTAATATGTAATAATTCCAACTTGAAAATCGGTAATATTTTTCAGACATCTAGTCCATTTGGCAGTAGAGAAAATTTGAAGTCACCGCAATCACCATCTCAACCTGAACTAACTGAAGCATCTCAAAAATCAGGTACATAATAAATGAAATGTGCAAACGATTTAAAAGAAATATTTCTTAATGAAAATTATGAAAACGACAGACCCGCCACAAGTTCATTTGGAAATGCCACACGGTCACACATCACCAGCGAACGAGGGGAATCAATCGACAACAGACATGTTCCTTGATATGTTCACTAAAAAAGGAAAGTTCCTCAGCAGGCTAACGTCGTTTGATTCTGAGGTAATAGAAAAGAAACGTGTCCTTCGTAATGGAAGGACGTTACCTTGGAAAGGTAACAAAAGTGTACTCACACTTCACTTTTTAACACGTTCATTGCTATATTAAAATTCTGAGTAACTCATTAATAGTAATTATGTAACAAAATTACAATTAAAATTGTAGCAATCAATGTGTTAAATTAACAAAGCTTACACTTTCGCTATCTCTACGACGCCTTGCCAGTAGACTAAATAAAAGAAAAAAATTCTTCCGCAAAAAGCAATCAGTGGTGGCTGTATATACAATTAATTATAAGTGTGTCTCAACTGATATATGTAGGTACACGATGGATATTGTTACCAATGTTGCATGAATAATTTTTTGAAAAAGACAATAACTAAATTCTATTAGACAAAAAAGTATTGCCCAAGAGTAAAAAATGATTTTGTATCTCCGTGGTATAGCTTTCTAAAACGAAACCGTTCAAAGCGATATATGCTGTTTGTAAAGTGTGCTACATAGAAGCGTCGTGTGTGTTTTTTAGAGTGGGCGGGGAGGTGGAACAGGAAGCAGCGAAGCTTTATCCACAGACGGAGGTAGCATTATCACTAATCCTGCTTTTCGGCAAGCCCACCAAGCTTCTTTCCGAAGCACTGTCTCTGATAGCGAGGTCGAACAAGGAAATGTAAATGAATCAGTTTGTCTGTCTGTTTGTCGTATTCCTTAATCTTAATTAGATTAATAGTTGTTTGTTGGAGCTAAAATAGAGCTGACTCTCCTCGATTGACAAGCAACGAAATGAACCCTTGTTCTAGACGAATTAGATTCGTTAGTTGGACATTGTTGTAGAGAAACAACGCCAGAGCTTGTGCAATACTTGCATTGGGAAATATTCGATTGCTAATGAATCACTTGAAAAAGGAAAAAATCAGTGAAATTCATAGAATGGCATGTTGCTACCATTGCTAGACAATAATTTTTGGATACGAAAAGATATTTAATGCTTTCATGTTTTCTCACTAGTACACGATAAAGCACATTTGGTTGTTGCACATTAAATGACGATTTCACAGCTTAATAGTTACTTAGTACGCTGAACGAATAGAAAGTTGTCTTTCACGAATGTTTTACAATACATTTGATCGCTTGTAAATACTTACAATCATGCGTAACGATGTGCCTTTTCTTCCACAATTCCCCTCGTAGAGGGCAACCATCATTGCACGTGGTTGATACCTTGTTACTGTAATATTATGCATAATTATTTATCCTAGAAGAATTTCTCATCAACTTTTCAATCCCTTGAAACTTTCCTTGAATCATAGAAACCAAGTGTTCAAGTTGACCTATTTTAGAGGAAAAAAGTGAATCAATAGTATGACTGATATTACGAATCGTGCGATAAATAATAAAATATCTCACGGGAAATTCGACGATTTCAGTTTCCACGTCAACCAAAGCAACGTACGGGAAGCGTATGGTCCAGCAAATCCTCTTTGAGTACTGGTTTCCGGTATCACGGGGGAAGTTTGGTACCCACCACCACTGCACCCAGTCCAGAAGCAGCAAGAACCTATTTATTCGAGGGTATAATATAAGAAATACAAAACTAACATTCTTTGAAATACAATTATAACACAATGGATGATAGGTTTGTTAGGGAAAGAACGATCTTCGCTTTGGGACCAGATGCAATTTTGGGAAGATGCATTTTTGGATGCAGTTTCTCAAGAAAGAGATATGATTGGCATGGATCAAGGTCCTGGAGAGATGATGGAAAGGTACGATCATTAAAGTTGTTAGTAATAAGACTTCCAAAATATGTTATACGCGTTGTCTGTACACAGGTATAAGAGTTTGAGCGAAAGTGAAAAGAAACGTTTGGAACATGACGAAGATAGATTACTGTGCACTTTGTTGCACAATTTAACGGCAATCTTGGTGATGTTGAACGTTGAAAAGAACGAGCTGAAGCGTAAAGTGAGAAGGCTACTTGGGAAAAGCCATATTGGTTTGATCTATAGTCAAGAGCTCAATCAACTTCTTGACCAAATACATAACCTTGTAAGTGGATGATCGATTTTCTTTACCCTTTCTTAACCCTTTACATAGAAAAACCAATTGATTATACGTGTCTCTTATTTCTATTAACAATAATTTAAAAATTATTTGACGATTTTTTGGATATTTCAGTACGGTAATGATATAGATTTGAAGCCTCTTACGTCTCGACAAATGCATCGGCAGTCGTTCACAGTGCACGCTGGTGTTGATGCTGAAGGTGATCTACGTTTTCTCGAGGTTCGCCACGACGGACTCGTGTTGAGATCCGTGAACGGCGTAATCGTTGAACGATGGTGGTACGAACGTTTGGTGAACATGACTTACAGTCCAAAGAACAAAGTTTTGTGCCTTTGGCGACGGAACGGCGGGCAAACGCAGCTGCATAAGTATTACACTAAAAAGGTATACACTTAATTAGATCATTGTTCAATTAAGGCAAGAAATTTCTGTATTTAAAATTATATGAACGAACTGAAAAGAGTAATATTCTGTTCATTCATGGGGAAATAGTAAAAGAATTTGAAAAGTGAATGGAATTTTCAGTGCAAGGACCTATATTACTGTATAAAAGATGCAATGGAGAAGGCTGCTGCCCGTGGTCGTGGTGCAAACGTAGGAATTGAACTTGGCGGTGAATTTCCAGTTCAAGATATGCGTACCGGTGAGGGTGGACTTCTGCAGGTTTGCATGGAGGGCGTGGGTCTCCTCTTCGCGAATAGCAAGGTATGATTCGCACTTAAAAGTGCATCACGCTATCACGTTCTATAAACGAACTGCAAGAAGAATGGAAACTTCGAAACTTACTTATTAAACGGTTGTGCAAACGTTTCCTTTTTTCTACATTGTCCAATTTTGTACATGTAATGTTGAAACCGCATCCGATCTTATTCATATATATATATACATCTTGGATATACCAATTCCTTTTATTTCATTTTTTTTTTTAGCGACTCGTTTTTAAACCTCTCTCTCCACTTATATTGTCTTTCTTCTTCATTATACCGTGTCATGTCTTTCTTTGGCGATGTTACTCTGCCTCCTAACTAATGTTAAATACTGTATAACAATGTATTTATTTCAGCGATTTAACACTAAGTATCTAAGATTTGTTATGTTGATAAGTTTATGAGAACCGTTCACCATCATTCGATTTAATTGCTATGAAATTACATTTCATACGGCGTTATTATGTAATGAAATTTTCTCCTATGATTTTCGCGGAATTTTTTAATTATATAATAATTATTTACATTACAGTCGTTCTATTTTCTAAACGATCGAATGGTGGTGAAGAAATTAGGGTATAAAATTTGCCACTTTACTTACAACCTCTTACTGTTCATATTCTTTCGATTATATGATTCTTCTTCTCTGTGTATTTTCGTTTCTATCTCCGTTTTACTGCATTGATGCAAGGACCACTCAATATTATCTCCCATCGCTAGCCACCACGATCTGCTTAATTTTGTATCTATACGTATCTTATATCAGTCTTATGTATGAGTCTGTGAGGTGTACGATGACGACAGGATCACACCAAAAACCTACAACCTCGGTTGACTGGATCTTCCATTCTTCCACTTATTCAATCGAGGAAGGATTACTGAAAAAGAAAAAAAGAACATTTTCAGGCGATTATTAATTAGACAAGAGACAATGTCATACATTGAGACACACATGCACACGAGGAACGGAAACAGTAAGGAAGCATAAAAAAGAAAAGAGAAATAACGATAAAAAAAAAATAATGTTTTCTATACAGTCACACCTTGACTTATGTCCTCACGAATACTTATACACGCGTGAATTTTCAAACTTCCAAATTTTCAATAGTTTGAAAACTTGGAAGCTCCAAAATCTATACTTCATTTTCTTGACTATTTTAGAAGAAATTAATATATAATAAGTCTTGGGTATGACCGTATACGCATAGGACACGACATATAACACGCATATCGCTATTATGAATCACATACTCATACACGTCGTTGAATATTGTTTTTTTTTTTTTACACAGGAAGAGCAGCCCTGACACGCTGGTTATTAATATTCTACATATTACTATTTAACATTTAATTTTGTGGTAATTATATTTCACATACAGACAGGGATACTCTGATATGTATAGACATATATACATAGCCTCACACATAATATATGTATGTATACGGTATGTCAGTTTCAAGTACATGTATACACGTTGATTATATTTATCTATTGAAAATATGAAAGAATATTTAATACAAAAGTTATTTGATAGAGAAAACTCAATAGAATATCAGCAGTTTATTCGTGATTATTATTTATCAGACATCAGTATTAATGGAATCGTATAAAACATTTTTTCGTATTTTCAATAATTAGTAAAATAATAGCATGTATACACAATTAATCCAGGCATACTGTATGCATACTGTATATATAATAATCGGTCATTTTGTTGGGTAATATTTTCGTTAAAGCGTTAATCGGTGTTTTCTTGCATGGAGCTCGATGTGCAGCTGCAGTCTCTTTTATCTGTATTATAATCATTACATATTTATCATTATTATATTCGTAAGAGATAAGGATTTAGGGAGTATAAGAATTTGATTTTATATATATATATATACCTATTATGATTTGTACTGAATGTTGGATGCAATATTATATTTTTCTCTACAAATCTAACGATTTGTTTCGTTTTCTCATTATTTGTCGTGGTCATTGCGAGGAAAGTCTATTCAAAATCATTAATAATTTGAAATAAGGAATATAGGTATACAAAAAAAATATATATATATATTAACACGTTAAGTGGCGTAGACTGGAAAACTCGAGAACTTGATGGCTTCAAGTTTTGAAAATTTATTTACTATACGCCCATTTCTTATCGCAAAATTCAATGTGTTAATTGGATTTAATTAATCTAATTTACACGATGCTGCTTATATAATTGATAAATAATAATGATGAAATAATTGCGATCATTACATTGAAACCGATTAATTTATCGTACATAATAGATAGACTTTTCTCAGCTTGGGGAACTTTTGAGATGGTCCTTGAACAATGGAAACTATATGCTATTTTTTAATTGGCCATGACTTGATAGGTAATTTAACTGTATTATCTCATATCGTAATTGAGCCCCCTTAATATTTTCTATCTAGTGGATTTAATTGTTATACCAGAGATTTAATTTTCTGTTTTTCTGTTTTCTGTTTTCTTGTCCTGTCCATCGACATTGCCCCTGGGCTGGGCATACAGGATTTCGAGGTACTAATCAATAAATCACTGTTTGTTATATGAACTCAGTATATTAATTATAATCAGTGTTGGCCGTGTTCCGGAAATGCTTCTTTATTTCACCATTACTTTTTAGCCGTATATTATTAATCATACATATATATATATATGTGTATATCTACTACTACACTCCTAACAGTGCATTTAAATTTAACTGATCTGCTCTGTCTACACCTTTTTACTTGTATTTTTTTTTTTTTTTTTTTTTCTTTGTTTCCTTTAACCATCGATCGGTGTTAGTTGTGACACGTATATGTATATACTATACAATATATATATACATATGTACCTGTATGTTAATCTTATATCGTAAAACTGACTCAGGTACCAGTAAATTTACTTATAATATGCAGAACAGTGTCTGCCGCATTTAAACATTATTTCAATCCAAACGATTAATACTGTCTTTTAGATGAAAGTATATTTGTAAGTAGTGTTTAGTGCAACTTGTAGAGCAATGTATTCGGTGCACACAATTATGCAACTAATGTACTCGTTTTTACATAGTCTGTGTCATTCGTACACAATATCGGTCTGTACACCAAACGAATCATTTCCTTCTGCCCATTACATTCTATACATCAAGTGTTCCATCATGGAAATTAGTTTTATCATATCGTTAGAACTTTTTTTTTTCCAATCATTAACTGCTGGTACTGGAGGTGGCAAAGAAAGAAATGATCCCGATACAGTATTCGTGTTGCAGTTATAATAATCAGTCCTCTGATAAGTAAAAGTAAAAGCAAATTGATTTATTTCTGAAGTAGTTAACCGGATTTCAGAAGCTTATTTCTTATCCACCTTTTAAATTAGACAAATAATAAAAGAAATAATAATTAGTAATAATTTTGAATCTATTCGTGAAATGATGAAACGAAATTAATAAACATTTAGTAGATATTTATTACGGGATAGTATAATTGAAATTAATTGATCCTATTTTTAATCATTGGTGAATAAAAATAGAAATGAATGTTTCTGTACGTTTCTGAGGAAATTTGAATGCACTGCATGAACGAGTAGATCTCGATATATGTACAATAGAGAAAAATCGCCCGCTTATGCAGAACCATCTATAAAACCACTCTCACATTGCCAGTTATGTAGTAGAGCAATGGTTTCGTGCTATATAGTGATGTCTTAATTTTTATGAATGAAATTCCCAAAAACGTGGAAAGCAACTCGAAAGAATTCCAAACACCTTATTCTCCGACCTCCACGACACTTTTTTTATAACAGTGTTTTCCAAACTTCAATCAACAAGAAAAAATTAAAAAGGAACATTCTAATTTAGCTATTGTTTAATCGCCTAATCTTTCGAATTTGTTTAAAATATTTCAAAGCCTGGAAACTTGGCAAACTTGAAACCTCGGAAGCTCGAGATCAACTTGTATAAATCAAATTTATTGTAAAATTGTTAATATTATTATAGAAAAAATATTCTGCTATATCCGCTTAAAGAAGAAAAATTAATTATGTTTAAATACTGCTTTGAAAAACACTGTTTCTAGCATGGCACCGCTGTACACGATGTTTCGAACCTTAAATCTAATTAATCAACCACACATGCGCGGTTACTTAAACCTCAATCGGATCGTGACTGTGCATCATTGGAAAAAAAAAAAGAAAATAAAAGAAAGGGGGATGAAATCCCAGCGCATTCTCGTCTTAGACGATACAATTGCACATATATAGCAGAATTATCGACGCTGAACGATCAATGACATTTTTTTACATTGATAAGTTTAGGCCATCTCCAGAGTTGCCTGCCTGCCGCTACTTTTTTATCGCTGCGATTAGAATGCTGCTCTTTGTTCTGAGATTTTGCTTGAAAAGAAAAAAAAAAAAATAAAATTGGAGAAAAAGAAAACAATTAAACTTACCAGTTTTTTGCAAACAATTCGTCTAACACGCGTGTTATCGCTTCTAGCCGCTTTATCAATTCTACGCTAATGGATATTGGATATTAATTAGCGAAGAAAATGATGCATGGTGTTATGCAGCTTCTTCAGCTTTTTCGGCCTTGTTGATTCCTGCATGCTCTCGTCGATGGTTGTTCTCGTGTACATGGACTGAAAAAATGAAAAAAAAAGAAAATATGAGGAATCATCGAAGATTAACATATTTAATATCTAGTAAATTTAAATCTATTATCATTGTTACTACCAGTCTGGAGATGATTCCTCGATTTACAAGTAGATTTACTGATAGTTATGTTTAGAAAAATATTTGATTATAGAGAGATAGATAAATCTCGAATATAATCAATAACAGCTTTTCTCTTCGTATGAAGAAATTGAAAATGACATGATGCCAAGGTTCATTACATTCTGCTTTGATTTTCTTGAAGTTTAATATTAATTACCGATGGAATGATGAACTTTGGTAGCAACGACGAAGAAATGTCTCTTAATTACCAATTTCCAAATTATAATGAATACATTATACAATGAAAGAAAAATAGAATAAAAAATACTGAAATAATCAAAGCGTTAAGTGACATTTCTTTAATCAATAAAATACAGCTTTATTAAGTAATCAAGGTGCACTGTGATATGTATTACGATAATACGTGAAAGTTAATTTAATTGAAAAGCTTATTACAACCAACCGAAACGAGCATTATTACGATAAAAAACACGCTTTTTTCTCCAAAGCGTTGTTGGCACACACAACTTTGTCCGGGGCATTAAAAAGGCCATATAGAAAAATAATCACAAGTGTGCATGTACGAGTAGATGCTCGAATAATCCATTGATATTTATGTAATGCTAACTAATGCGAAATGATCGTGTTATTTGCAGTTTTTTGTAAGACTCGATCATATCCGCAAGTGCTTTACTCAGAAGGATGGGATCTTTGTATTGGAAGAATTCAGTGAGTAAATCAAACACGTTTGTTGCGTGTGTTTATCTAGCACTTTGAGTACCACCACTACATGCCACCTATACATATTTGAATGAATACGATTTTTAGGGTACGATGACAAAGAAAAAATGTTAAATTTGTTAGAAATAAAATTACTAATTAAAATAATTTCCAACAATTTTAGCATGGCACTCAAAGTGCTAAAGAAAAATGTAGTTTTCTCCAAAAAGACCGACCATTGAAACTATAATAGATTGTCTTCTTTATATGGCTCTATATTATTTTTCTTATATTTCAGATCCTAAAACTAGACAAGTAATTCAACGTAAATATAAGTCTCAAATGGTAAGTGATATTAAGCGATAGATTACCTGTTCTTTTTTTCCAATTTCTTTGTAGAAATTATTTATTGTTGTGCGTGTTAAAAATTTCTTTCAATTAAGTTATCGTAATTAATGACTTCATCAATGATATTTTTGATTTATATGCTGTGTGACAGGCCAATGAACTGTGCCACTGCATGCACAGGGTATTCTCCGTTGCCTTTACATTATCTGAACTCTCGTCTGAAGTTCAAGACGATCCTGAAAACGACAATGCATGAAGGTTTAGTTAATTTTTTGTTTTGCCTATTTTAAAAGTAACTTTATGTTCCTCTTTTCAGAATGCTTCTACATACACAATAATTGATGCATGTACTTTCTTTAATTTACCATTAAGCTTCTTTTTTATTACTTATTATTCTTGTAAAGAAAAATATCACATTATTCCTTGAAATTCCATTGATTTCTTGGATGAAAATTCAAGGAGCAATCCTACCGTATATTTTACACCACTTCAACATAAAAATATGATTATTTTCAATGGAATTACAGGCAGATCAAATCTGCTATTCCGTACTCTGTGTGTTCTCTTACTTGGCCGCTGGTTTGGAGCAACGAAAGCAACAACAAATCCAGCAACCACAGCAGCAGCAACATCAACAGCAACAATCTCAATCGCATCATCATCAGTTTCAACAACAACAACAACAACAACAACAACAACAGCTACAACGTCAACAGGCACAACAGAAACATCACCAGCAACAACGTGCACAATTACTGCAACAACCGCAGCAGCAGCAGCAGCAACAGCAACAGCAACAGCAACAGCTGCATCAACGTCAACAACATCAATCTCAAGCTCAACAACATTCAGGTAGCAATATGACCCAAAGTGCGCAGGGTCATAAAAGCACTCATTTCGACTCCTTTCCTAAACATCACTGACACAGAGGTAGACACTCGCTCCCATTTGTGCATAATTACAATAAATGTGCCCCCTATGCTTGCCTACCCTGGGTGTAAAAGCATTCCTAAACTCTCTGTCGTCGTATAACAAGTTGGCAAAACAAATCTGGTTTCATTCAATTTTGATGTTTCTTTTCAAAGTGAGTAATTGCATGCGCCAACTGAATACGAATCTCATTTATCCCATATCATTCTCAGAAAATCAGCTTTCGCTATATTCACTGGCGTAACTAGGATCATTTCTATTATCTTTGGGACTGGCCAGGTCCCCGAACTTAACTAAGAGATTAGAAGTTTTGAAGCTTTAACGCTTGAAAGGTTTACTAAAAATATCAATTATCAAATATTACTTAATTCTAACTTAATTCTAATATTGATTAGTTAAACCTGGCTGATAGGTACTTAGTTACGCCAATGATTCTATTCTTAATGTGAAAACCTCTTCGTTAGTCTATTCGAGAATGAAATGAACAGACAAAGGGTTGAAATTGACGCGTTGAATCGAATAACAATTAATTTCAAAAATCAAGTAATAAAAATTCATGGTAAATTAAAATTTGAATCGAAAACGACACAATCGTGGTAATTATTTGCAAAACGGGAGCCGTCACGTGTACAAAATAAAGAAAGAGAGAAAGGGAATCGGATTTAAAGCGTACGAAGATATTTGTCGTACGATGCGACGATGATGACAATGGCAATGTAATAATGTAATTCGTTAGAAATGATTATTGTACATTTAGAATTTGAATGATGGTCCGAATAAAAGCGTATTAGACGTGTTTTAAAAAGAATCTTCTATCTGAATCGTCGCGTAAGTTTCTCTAGAAGTTTCATTCTTTGATATGTCCGTTGTGTACACGTGTAGAGACATGAAGTAATAACTCAAATAAATGAATTCATGGTAATTATAGAAAATATAGTCCACCGTGATTATTTCAATTACCTTGATATGTTTGTAAAGAACAATATCCTAGGTAATTCCAGAGAGGGATGATCGTTCTCCGAGTAAATTCATTTCTATTTACCAATTCGGTAAAATGATGCTTTAAAACAGCCTCAGGAAATCACCTACAAAATTAAATATGAATATCTTTAATATTTTCGTAATAAACGTCGCTTATACGCGTATAATATGAAATTACTCAAAAACTGACCTTCAATATCACGTATATATCAAGATATCAACGAGATGGATCTTATTTTATATAATTACCATAAGTTTTGAATTATTCGTGAGAATTTTACCGTCGTGCTAGCCCGTTGCTTTCTTCGATGGTCTCTCGAGTGATATATTTATTCAAATGGAGTTGGTAATCGAATTAGAAGTGCTGCTATTGATAAATATCGATGATAACTTATTGATAATGGACAGCAACACCTCTAAATCGTATAGATCTGACAATGAGTCTATTTCGTGTAAAGGTGTTTTCTATGAAATAGCACGTAAAGCAATTCTGAGATACAATAAAGAAACTAAAATGTAACTATTCATAATCGGAGGAACAATTTTGTATAAATACATCGAAACAGACTAACTGTGATCATCTAATTTGATGGAGAATAGAAAGCTATTTAATTTCTTATGGTCGTACATATACGTGGGTGGGTGTAAGAAGTATTTGTACACCCTTTAAATTCTTTTCAAAAGCTAGAACGATGCATTCATACCTTTAATTTATATTCACTTTCAAGTTCTGTTGACGATTACAAGGCTTCAATGAAATTACAACGTAGCTTAATCCTTGTAGACATCACGTGTTGCTATTCGAATTGATCAGGCCAAAATTCGAGGTGTTCCCCTGGAAATAAAATAATTGAATTAAAACAAAATTTCACATATCTCAATTTCTTTTTCTTCGCGTTTAAATAAAAGCATATTATATTATTTACCTAAACATCCACAGTTTACTAGTAACAATTTCAACGATAAAAGATGAATCTTATCGTTTGTACATGTTACGATTTAAAGAAAGAGAAAAAAGAAATAATATATTTTCTTCGCGACATATAATGATTTTTTAGAAGTAGCAATTGTAAATAATCGTCGATTAAATTGTAAAAGAAACAAAAACATCGACCACAATCTCGTTTTATTTGTAATAAAATCAATACGTTGTTAAATTTCGCTTGAAACGGTCGAAAAGAGTACGAATGACTTCCGGTACTATTTCTTAATCTCCGCCTAGAGCCCACTGTTAGCAGTTCCTGTTTAGTGCCATGCTTGGACAATGTTTAGCGAAATCATTGTCATTCCATCAAGATACACGACGAATTTAAAAGATAAGCAAAACTGTTTAAAGTTCCAAAATGGAGCTGATTCGATACGAGTTTCAAAGTGTATAGTACTCAGCAATGTAGGCGCCTTATATCCAATAAATACTTGTAGATTTGAGGTGTGTTATTTATATGTCCTATAATCACCTTTTCAACACTCTATTTATTTTTGTATGCTAAAAAAAAAATAATATCATTAATTCCCCTTTAAAAATTTTGCTGTAAAAATTAATTTGCATGGCAAACTATTTGTAATGCAATTGATTTCGCAATCTAAAGCGCGTCTAATTAGCCTGAACCGATTAATGAATCGCTTCCGTCTGTGAACTTCGGAACAATAATCTATTAGCGTTTCTTTTCTGCAGTCTATACATATATATGTATATAAATCATTAATATTTCTATCATAATATCACGGATACTATTACTCTGTTCTCTGAGAAATCCGATACCATAGAAGAAGAGAAAACCATACCATAAAAAGAATGTAACGAACAGACGGCAAGGGCTTCTCAATTAGTGTCCCACAAGCAATCTCGTGGTATGCGGCTCGTTGCAAATGCAGTTACACATAGAAGAGCATCGTGAACAAGTATAATCTTCAAATTGAATTTCCCTGGAAACGAAAGAGCGAACGTTAAATCATTTCTTAGATAGTTATTTGCGTCGAATGAAATCTAACGAAGATCAAAAATAGACCACAGACAGGATACGTCAGGGATCTCGCAAACAACATTAATTGTCGAGGACATATCAGTCTGAAGGCTAGGTATGGGTTTACCACCAGACTATCGAGTTTCTTGCTGGACCAGTCCAATGATTTTTAAGTGGCATCAGATTTTTTTTCCAATCAATTTCTAGACTTATAAGCGATCTTATTACCGCCGACAACTCGTACAGTCGTGATTCGTACGTGATATCGCGAGGATGGAGCGATGGACAGGAAAGGTAGCCGTTGTTACAGGTGCCAGTGCAGGTATTGGAGCTGCAATTGCAAAACAATTGGTTCAAAACGGTAAGTGATAATAATTAAGGAAAAGAAAAGAAAAATGTAACACATTAAATAGCCAACGGTTGAACGTTATTGAATGATAATTAAGGTATGGTGGTGGCGGGTCTCGCGCGAAGGGTGGAGAAAATCAAAGAATTGGCACAGGGTCTGGAAGAATGCACGGGCAAACTTTATCCCGTCGAATGCGACGTTTCCAAGGAGGAAAGTGTAGTCGCAGCATTCGCATGGGTACAAGAGAATCTTGGACCAGTAAACGTATTGGTAAACAATGCTGGAATGACCAAAGAATCTTCGTTGATAGGTAATTTAATTGAATGTTAGTTGGAAAGACTATATACTACATCTAATTTCCACTGCGAAATATGTAGATGGCAATCTAGAGGATTGGCGTACCGTTTTCGACGTGAACGTTTTTGGACTATGTCTCTGTACCAAGGAAGCAGTTCGCATGATGCGAGAAGCAGGAGGAGAAGGTGTGATCATCAATGTAAACAGTCTTGCAGCTGAACGAGTGCCTTTTATTCCTGGATTCTCTGTTTATCCAGCCACGAAGAGAGCTATCACCGCTCTGGCTCAGACTTTACGACACGAACTCACTGGAACCCAAATAAGAGTCACGGTATAAGTTTAATTAACAAACCATTATAAATCATTAGATTTGTTCTAATTCTAATACTGCATTTCGATCTGAATTACTTTTTCGGGGAAAAAATACAGGGTATCAGTCCGGGATTAGTTGCCACAGAGCTGATGAAGTCTTACAGTACATACTCTGAAGAGGCACTCGCATCTTTCCCTACATTAGACCCAGAAGACGTTGCTGCAGCTGCAGTTTATATTTTAACCAATGGCCCACACGTTGTTGTAAGTTTAACATTGTTATATTCTTAATGAATAATGTATATATTCATATGTACGAATACTTTCAGGTTCAGGATATCGTTTTGCGACCTTTGGGCGAATCTTGGTAGCGATGTTACATCAAATTCGCCATTAAAATTACTATAATAATTAATTTCCTTGACTAAATTCTTTGCATATACACCTAGTGAATGCATATAATAAATTAATAAGCATCAAAATTGAAGTTTGCCAAGACACGTAGCGTTTCATCATTGTTTTCACGATTAATCCCCAATGCGACGCATTTAAATTCCTTTACAATCTGTTTGTCACCATCAGCCAAGAAAAACAGCTGACAATAAGTGATATAACCTGTATTTTCATCGTTCTTTATTTAAATGTCCCTCTGTTGACGACGTGCTTCGCAATGGAGATAATTGATTTGGCCAATAAAAGGCAAGCCTTCATGCCACCCGAATGTCGTTACTTGACTCCCCATAAAGAAGTCATGAAAGTGAGATACATTTATATGGTTTTCTTTAATCAAACGCCCAGAGATTCGAATATAGTAGAAAATACGTAGGTGTATGTATGTTAAACAATTCACGAAAGCAAACGATTAAAAACAGCTTCGCGAATTGTGGACATACTACAAGCCGCTTAGCAAGAACAAGGAGATTCAACAAGCGAGAAATTTGTACCAAGAAGCAACTAAGCTTATGCAAGAGGAAGAAGAAGAGCTTAATAATGTTTTTCGCTTAATTACCAAGGGGCTAATTTTAAATCCAAAGTTTCACCCACTTTATGCCTTGAAAGGCGATCTATACATGCGTCAAGGTACACTATAGATTCTCCATTAGAATTAGAATTCAATTATTGTTATTAAAGATAAAATATTGCAAAATAAATAGGGCTTTCATTGCGATTCAAATATCAGAATTTCTCGAGTATTTTAACTTTGTATTGTTTTTCATCCAAAAACCGTTTACTCGTAAACGCTCGCAGTCCATTCTTCGTCCGCTTGCTATCCTCTTGCAGTTCATTTTCCGTCTGCTTACCGTCCGCTTTACCATCCACTCGCCGTCTGCCTCTTGTCCACTTCTCACTCCACATATATATTACTCTAATTAAAATATAATTGAAATATGTTATTACTAATTAAAAATACTGTGAGTAGAATTAGTAAAACTTAAACTAGCTTGCGTTCTTTATTACCGTGTATCAAATGACCTAACAATAAACCTTAACTGTTAATTTGCCGACTCAATAAAATATTTCTATTCTAAGAATCCTCTTTTCCTTCTATCCTGTACACATATTATTCATTTTAAGATAAAAGAACATGAATATTGTTACGTTTAAGGACAATGGATAAAAGCCATCAGGAATTACGAGACCGCAAAAAAAATGACAAAATTCGATTCCAGACTCACTGATGCAGAAATTAAAAATATGTATACTAAACAATTAGTAACAGCTTACAGAAAAAGAGGCGATTGGTACTTTGAAAATGGCATGTTCTTAGAAACATTGAGCGACTACGAACAGAGTTTTCAATTGAACGTACACGATACACTGCTGAATGAGATGCAAGTAGGAAATCGTAATTTTTCTTATTTCTTATAGTTAAATAAATATTCAATATTGTAATTTGTACATCGATAGGACAAATTATTGAAACTTCTACGTAAACTAGACAAGTATGAGATGTTTCAACGTTACTGGGATGAATTTCTAACGGATTTTGATCCCATAAGAACAGCCGCTCTACTTTCGTTGCATGCTGAATATAAGATATATCTGAAACAAATGGCGATCGCTAGGCACATGTTGATCAAAGCTCTTGATCTTGACGAAAATAACGTTGAAGCTCAAGAATTGCTGAAAGTTTGTATCTTTTTTACGACAAAAAAATTTAACTTTTACTTTCGAAGAAAAATCTGTTTTACCGTAGCTTTCGATCGGTAACCTTATCGTATATTCTTTACAATAGCGTATGCATACGTCACCTGTAAAGAAAGACAACATTTATGTTACATGATAAATTCTAATACATTTATAGATCGTGTATAATACCGGTCATACACTGATAACTTACACTGTCATATGGTGCATGCACGGTTGTTACGACAAAGCTTTGGTGACAACTGAAAAAGCGCTTGACTGTAATCCATACAACCCAGGATTCATTTTGCTAAAAACTATTGCTTTACGACTATCCGGTCGACTGGACGAAGCGATTACGTGGTTAGAAAACGTTAGTAAAAACTTTTACAAGTTGCTCGAACCTCGGGATACGCAAAATTCAATCGTGGGAAAACTTTCGATCAAAGAAGTTAAGAATGAATTAATCAAACAATGGTACTTGATACGGTAAGAATTCAATTGTTATAATGCATATTATTATTATTATATTTACCTTATAGATTCTAATAAACGACGATACTGTAAAAGATGACCGTAAATCTTCAAACATTTTCGTCGAGCAACGCGTGCATCTTTTAACGTACGAATCGAACGCGTCGAGTTATCGATCGAAAGCGATATATCGCGCAGCGTTCGCGCGGGAAAACTCAAATCAAATAATTTGTCAACAGATACGACAAGGCGATAAAATGTATATTAAACGACAAACTTGAGCATGCAGCGCGTATCATCTACGAAAGTCAACTAACTAAATATTACATGGAACCGTACATAACGCTAGGTGACATTTATCTTAAACGTGATAACGTTGATTTAGCGTTGAAATCGTACCTCAAGTGTCATGACATGATACGTGAACTGCATCTGTTTCCTTCTCGAAAAACTATCGATCTTACCGCAAGGATAATCGATATTTTGAACAATCGAGCGCAAGAGGCGATAAACGAGGGACGTTTGAAAGATGCGATCAATATAACCGACAAAGTACTTCAGATACTCGATGGAAATCAAACAGAATTACATCAGTTGGGTGCGCAACGTGGTAATGCGCTTTTTTGTAAAGCTCGTAGCCTTTTCCAAATTGCTATAAAGAAAAAAGAAGAAAATAAAGAATGCTGTGAAATAGCAGCGGATAGTTTGAGATTTGTTCGGGAACCGAATCACGCAGGTCTATATCGAACTTTATACGGCGAGACAGGTATCGAAGATGTTATCGATCAATTCGCGCCAAAAAGAAAGCTACCTAAATCATTAAAAATTCTCATGCAATTTTCTTAATTTTTTTTCTTTTATTATGATGCACCGCATAAAGGTTTTACTTAGAGATTATTGAAAGCAGAAAAAAAATATCAAGATTAATACTCGTTTTACTGGTAATAAATCAATTAACTTACCGGATGCAATGATTTATTTTTAAAACATCTGACGCAATATTTATACAATGTTGCTCGTCAAGAAGATACTTGTATCTGTTTTTATCTGTATTCTTACTTGAAGTAAACATACATCATGTATGTCGAAAAAAATGCATTAAGTATAATTGAAATATTCGCGTGCTCTTGATAAAAGGGTTGCACTCGTTATAGATTCCGAATACGCACAATCCTGTGTCTTTTAATTTTAATATCCATATCAAGAATACTACAAAAATATATATGTACTAAATTCTCATGAACAATTTGTATATAATAAAATTTTCAAAAAAGAGATTTTTTAAGATACCTTCCAAGTGTTTACAATGTTTCGTTTTACTCCCTCAATCCTAATTATTTGTCATTTTAAGCGCATCTACATTAAAAATAAAACTGCAGACAAATTTATCTCAAGATGTCCTCGTTCCACGTCAAAATACATTCTATCTGTAGCTAATGATTTCTCCAACTGTATGTTAATAATAATATCAACTCTATACATGTACAATTAATTCCTGTAAATAATATAGTATCATTTGGAATGTAAATACACAAAATAGCATAACAGCTGCAAGCAAATTAAAGCTGTTAAAGTATCTCAAGTCAGAAGATTAACGCGACCTCGGTAATCTTGGGCCACAATTTCATTCTGGTATAAAAGGGGCCGTGGATGCTCCGAAATGCAAACACTTTGTAGTTTGCACGTCCACGATACTCTCGTGTAATAGCAATCAAAAAAAGAAAAGAAATCTAACACTTCATCATGGAACGTTGGTCCAACAAAGTTGCTTTAATCACTGGTGCCGGGTCTGGTATTGGAAGGTGCTTGACTGAATGCTTGGTTGGCAAAGGAATGACGGTTGTTGGCATTGGTCGTCGTATTGAAAAAATAAAGGTATACTTTTAACTAGAATTAACATTCTAATTCATTTTTCCATTTGCAACTGAATTCCTAAGCTCTCCAATATAATACATACACAGTTATGCTATTTCTTTCTGAAACCATAATACCTAGATTTTATTACTTAGAAACATTGCTGTGTATATAATAAAATAAAGAAAAAAAAAAAAAAAAATCACTTCTTTATTCTTTCACCAGGCACTTGCAGAAGAACTGAAGTCGAAACCAGGAAAACTGTTCCCTCTGCAATGCGACCTTTCTAATCAAAATGATATTATGCGCGTGTTGGAATGGATTGAGAAGAACCTAGGAGCTGTTAACATCCTTATCAATAACGCTGCCACTAACACCGATGTCACAATGCACACCGGTGAAATGGATGATTGGAAGAAGGTCTTCGACGTAAACTTCCTCGGACTGACTTGCATGACCAAGGAAGTCCTGAAATTAATGAAGAAAAAAGGCAAGTATCCTTGGGTTCGATCATTCTTCTACAATTCAAAGAAACAGAAATTGTAATTCGTGCATCTGTCATATTCTTCAGGAATCGACAACGGTGTTATTATAAACATTAACGATGTGTGTGGACTGAAGATACCAACCACTCGTGATCGTCCAGTATCTCCAGCTTACATTGCCAGTAAAACTGCTTTGACTGCGTTGACGGAATCCCTCCGGTCAGAATTGGCACAGCTTAAATCCAACATCAAAGTGATTGTAAGTAGTTACGATATTTACCTTTGTCACTACTACACAAAGGAGAAGGAAATCTCTGATTTCTCATGATAAATACGTGTCTTCATATTACAGTCCATTTGTCCTGGTTTGGTGGAGACTGAGATGACCGCACAATGGTTGAGAGAGAATCCGCGTCTGGCTTTGAAACCCAAAGACGTGTCCGACTGTGTACTGTTCGCATTGCAGACTCCAGACAACGTTCTCATCAAAGAACTTACAGTTACGCCAATTCGTGAGACAATGTAAAAAGTAACAGTAGTTAGATATCGTATATTTTTTGCTGTTTGCTTTAACAGAAAACATGACAATTGACGCATTGTAAATATATAAAATAAAAATATACTTTGCAATATATCAATCAATGACTGTTACCAGAAATTATTGTTACTTTCATGAGATTTGATAATAACGAGAAGTGTACAATTGTTCAGGAAAAACGACAAACAACACACTTTATTCGTAGAACAAACGTAACACATTACATGAGAAAACAGAAATGCTTACAAAATTAGCACCATTAAATTTCTAACGTTTTAAAACTTAAATATGTTAAACGTTTCTTATACAAAAAGACCTAATGTAACAGAATTTCTGTAACAAAAAAACGTCAAATTAACAAAATTTTTATTAAAAGTTATATAAACTTTAAAGAACAATAACTTGTGATCTTACAAAAAACACTTGTTTCCTGAATCAGTTACGTGTCCAAGAGCGGCAGAAGCGTATCCTTCTCTTGATTACCTAAACAGGACTAATAACAGAAAATTAATGGAAAATTATATTTTTTTCTTCTATTTTATATTACTCACCTAACGAAAATGAACAGGCGTCTAGTAGTAGACATTGTTTCTTCAGCTTCATTATCACAGATACCAGAAACAGAATATTCAAATTAAACAAAAATTATTCCCTCTTTTACTTAAAAAAAAGGAATAAATAAAGCAACAGAATTCCATAATAAATATATACTCACATAATCTCCTCTTGCATTCTTAAAAGAAACTAACATCATTATATATTAGTGATACTACACTTACAACAGTGATACTTGTAATCAATGAACATTAATTGAGAAAAGAATCAGGGGAGTTCTGTACAATTCCTCTTCGTCATGGAAGAGTAAAATACCAAAATTGGTAAAATCGTTTAATTAAAGAAGACTATTGTGGAAGGATTAGTGCTATTACCAGGAGATGGACATTCATTCTGTGGAAAAGACTGTGACAGATTTTTCATTAAACTGAACGATTATAATGTAAGCACACTAAAACATCTTTCAAACCATAAAGTTACACATGTATCTGTTATACTTAAGTTAGCCTTTTAAAAAATTTTAAAAAGTGGATGTTTGCTTTGAAGTGTTTCTTTTTTATAGAAGACTATTGTTTAGAAAAATGCATGCAGAAAATGTGTTTACCGAAGGGACGTCAGATATTAAACTTGATATGAAATACCTTATAAGGAGCATGTGATTGCATCCGTTTTCAATCCATGATATCCGACAAAATGACAATATCCTGTATTGATCCTGCTAAGTGCAAGTCCAAATCTCCGTTATCCGACCTAGGCGATATAATCCGTGAAACCTATTGAAGCACAAACGACGCAACGCTCTGCTCTTTTAACACCTCAATTGATAATCCAAATCCATTATTCCGTATTGAACACGGCGTACAGTACATTGTCCGGTCAAAAGATCCAAGTCATCCGCTTAACATAATCCGTCGAATATATACATATATATATATATACATATATACATATATATTTTTCCAGCCAATTTTATCCGTATCCAAACATCCATCATGAACACTAATTTATCCTGTCAGCATCCTAATCCCAATCATGTTTTTTCCATTTATTTTTTATTTTATTTTCATCCCGGGAGATCCTCTACAACTAGGGAGCCAGTCCTTGTTAAGATGGAAGGATTCGTTTCATTGTTTTTTTTATTTTCGACCCCGCTCCTCCTCTTGCACGCGAAGACCCGTAGTTAGGTTTACCGCACACGTATATGAAAACATACACACGCTCACGACAGATAATGTGTAATAAGATTGAAATGATTTAAAGAAGAATAATTAAATATAACGAAGTTATGAGACGCACTATTTACAACGCGACAGTTTTCTCTGAATGACCACTGTTCGTTGCGTTTGATCCTGAGAAACTCTAATATATCCAATCGCATCGCCTATACTAATTGCACGAATCAACGAGAAACGAGGATGATCTCTCAACGAGCATTCATTTCGTTGAACCACTAGGTGGTTTTCGTTCCTTTCTCGTGACTGGGGCCGATAGATGAGACGTCTGATACTTTCCGTAAACGAACTGAGTTGTTATCTCAGTAACGATAAAAAAAAAAAAAATAATAATTTTAACTTATAAACTGTTTTGACGTATACGAAAAATCAGAAGCAAATACTTTCATAAAGTAAAACGTACAAAGTTGACATTCCATTACTAGTTCTTTTGTTCAGTGTACAGAACGTAAAAGAGAAAAAAAAAAAAGAAATACAAAAGTCACTGTGCGTGTTAAGGTTTCAATCGCGTGAATTGCAACAAATCCAAAACACTGAAATGATTAAGAAATCAGCGTAATCACGTGACATGTCGAAGCTGTTCATTCTGTGGCTTTTTTTTCTTTAGTTCATCAAAAGCACTGCTTTATCACGATTAGATATTAATTTTGTTTTTTTAAAACAGAAAAATATGAATTGTTTTGAATCCTTGTAATGGATTTGCCAACGTTTTCTGATGAAAATCCAGAGCTAATTGAGAATCCTTGAATGAAACGGATCGTTTCTTTCATCCAATTCCTTTCCTGAATTCCTGATCCTGAATTTCCTCTTGAAAGTATCCTTACTGTCTCATTATTTTTCATTCTCATTTACGTCTTAATCCTTTTATAATATATGCTCCATACATTAAATCCATCCAAAACGCATTCCATCTCATCCCACCGTCAAGTGAATGTGTATTATATCCATCCAAGAAGTAAGATCGTGTCGATTTCAGTTTTTCATTCATTGTGTTACAATCCAATCCAATATACAAAAGAAGAAAAAATACATTAGTCCCTTACACAATATATGCATTAATATTATTATATATATATATATAAAATTTATCACTGCAAATGTAATCCTTGTGACTTACATTATTCAAATATGTATGATTACATGTTAAAAATTGAGCAAATACTATATAAAAAAAGAAACATTTTGTATCTGCTTTGTTTAAATTTAGAACCTTCCTTTATATCACTGAGTATGTATGAACAAAATAGAAATCACAGGATTAATTTGCAATAATAATATTCTCAAGAATACATGAAATCATTGTTTTCCTTCAACAATTTTTAATGTATAACAGAGAATTGAAGAAAATGTGTTTCTGAATAAATTCTACAAATTCTAAGAAATTTGTGTGCACATTTTCTAAAGGAAAACATTCAATGAGAAATGTGTGGCAAAATATATAATTTCTTTTTAACTTATTTAAATGATAAAAACACATTTCTCAAAATAATTTTTATATAGCTATATATAAAATTTACTTCAATATGCACATTCTACAGATATTCAAATAACTGTAACATACCTGTTACTACATTGCTAATAATAATAATTTTAGTATGAGTTAAACATTCTTTGTCTGTTTAGATGTAATGTATAACACACAATTTTTCATCAAATCAAACAGGTGGCCCAATAATCATCGTTAAAGAACACTCAAATATATAAGCTGTACTTTAAACTATTCAAGTGAACAATGTTGATACATAAATAAATAAATACTATGCCAGTATTTCTTTCTTTTTTTTTTAAATAAATTGGTTATATGAATATTAATCTCTTAGTAAAAATAAACGTTTCACCTACATTTAACAAATACTATGCCACATATGTACCATCAATTGATGGCTATCGATGTATTACATTGTCCAGGTATTAAGTGTTATATTTTTTAACATATATAGTACTTTGTATTGTCATCACTATGTAGCCAAAATAAAAGTACTTAAATTTGTGTGGAAACTTAAACGACGATGAGCCGTGTAAACAACCTTGAGGTATTTGTATGAACGAGAGAATTATTTGTGAGAATTAATAACTATTTGTAAAAGAAAAAAATAATTTTAATATGCCATAATGTTTATGATATTTTATGTACTTGATTATATGTATGAGTAAAATATATATTCTGACCAAACATCTAACTATGGGCTTTATATTCATTATGGCATTGCCGTTTTCTTTTTATGTGTATATATATGCGGAATAATTTTGAGCTGTTAACGATAAACAAAATGTTAGCTTCATGAATTTATATTGCAAGCATTTAGTATTAAAAGCCTTAAAGAATTTTGTATGTTAAATATGCTTTAAAATGTGCCGTTCTCGTCACTTCAAATGTGAATACACAAATCTAAAAAGACAATAAAAAATAGTGTTTACATCAGACTAAGCATTGCTGTATAGTTACTAATTGTGGTAGTTCAATGAGAATGCTCACATTACAATCTCTTAAATGAGAACATTCCCACTTCACATTAACAATATTAACAAACTATACAACAAAATGCTGTTTACCAATGCAAACATTAATCAAATCACAATTTATTAATTAATCACAATTCATTAATTCATTAACCAAGTCATTTTAGATTCTCATTTGTAATACTTCAAAATTGTTACACACTTTAAATATGTATTTATAGTGTCAAAACAAATTGCAAAATATAAAGGAATGTAGTATTTAAACATAAAAATAATTCTAATCAATATATCTTTAACGATAATATGCAATTAATATGAGCACGATTCTTCTTGATTAATACAAGAAAAAAGATAAAAATTTTATGCCAATGTTTACTGTTAAAAAATCAATCTATTGTTTCGCGAAATATAATTCGAATGTAATTAACTTTAAAAATATATTTATATTGTACATTCTGATTAATTCATAGTGGACATCATTTGAAGATACTTAAATAGAAAATGAGAAAATATTTGAAAACTACTTCGTAAAATGAACCGTGCTCTAACTATACATTAGATACAATACAATTGTTAAATTCAAGCAACATGGAAAGTAATAATTTTATAATTTGTACAAAATTGGTTTGGATTGGAAGGTGTCTTTAAGTGAAATTCAAATCAGTAATAATGAAACATGGTAAAGCAAATATTGATAAGCCTTTACTTATATTACCATGTGAAACATATACGTACACACTAGTCGTATGAACGAGATCTGGAACGAGATCTTGATCGCGAGTAATTACGTCGCAATGGTGAATAGGTAGGCGAACCACGACGTCGTGGACTATAGCTTCGTGAATGACTTCGACCTCTCTCTCTATCTTCGCTGCGTCCTCTATCGCCACTGCTGTGATCTTCTTTCACTCGAATATAGGCAACTTCTCCCTGCAAAGAACAATGGACATTATACCATATGAAAATGAAAAACATATAATACCCAGTATATTTTACCTCGTGAGACCTAAATCTTGAATCATCTAATTTCTTCACAGCATACTTCATATCTTCGTATCGTAAGAACTCAACAACTCCAGTGCCATCTTTATAAACATCAGCAAAGCATACATCACCAGCTTCGCGCATATGATCCTTTAAATCTTGCCAACTACCAGAAGGAGGTAAACCAGTAACAAGAACTCTATACTGAGATCTTCTTGCAGGTGGTCCACGTCCTCTAGAGTTACTCATTTCACCACGGCCACCTCTTCCACTGTCACCTGCTCCACGCCCACCACGAAAATTATTACTGGGACCACCACCTCTTGGAAACTCAACTCGTAGTCTATAACCATCATAATCATATCCGTCTCTTGCATGTACAGCATCTTCTGCATCTCTAAAAAAAATGTACTTATACTGTATTACTCAATAATAATTTTAATATAAATTAAAATATTAACATCAATCTTTATGTAACTTGAGGTTTTAATTTAAATCTGCAAGTTACAACAATATGACATACAAAAGTGTTCATTCATGTTATAAAAAGAAATACAATAAAAAAAAATGAATGCAATAGTCAATGGTACAAAGTACATCTGGAAAAAAAGAAAAATTTGTTATATTAAGTATAATTTAATAAATATACCTTGGATCGTCAAATTCGACAAAAGCGAATGGTGGTCCTCTCCGATTTTTTAAATCAACAAAGATAACTTTACCAAATTTATAGAAAAGATCTTGGATATCTTTTGTTCTTATATCAGGTGGTAAATTACCCACATAAATTCTACATTCGTTTCTACCACCGTGAGACATATTCACAGTTCTTGTTTTAATTTACTGTATATAGGACACAACAAAAATATGTACCTTCAATTTCAATCGTCCAAAAATTTTACACTCACTTTATTGATGAAACAAACAAGATGGTGGTACCGGCCGAAGGGTAGCATAATCATGAAACGCGTAGAATATCAAGACTAAACAAATGTCGATGGCCCTATCTACCAATTATACATCATATTCTTACATTATTCTTTTTTTCATATTTAATATTTAACGTTTAAATAAGTAGAACTAAATAAATTAGGTTGTTAAGAAATGTAATACGAAATATAAAAATAATTTTAAAAGCTCAAGGTATATTCTCACGTGAGTATGTAATACGTATATAAATACATACCCAGTATTTTTACAGCTATTAATTTATGTAACAATTTTCTATTTATTTCTATTAAAATAGTTAATATAATTTAATTTTCAATCCGCTAGAATTACATTTATAAAAAGTAATGTAACATATGGACAAATCTTATTTCTACTATTTTACTATGTAATCTTAATATCATTTATTTTATGTTTCAATTATGTTCAACAGTGAATTTGTTATTGTTCAACACAAATTGATTATAAGGTTAAATAAATACTTCTGATATTGAAATTGAATATAATTGAACTTTTAACCATTTCAGAATTCTTAGTGTAGTTTTTCTTTAAAATACTGTTCAATACTGTGTATATTTGTAGAGTAGTTAATTTACTATTAACCTGTGTGATTATTACAAACATTGAAAATACTCAGTTAAATTATATTTTTATATAACATTTATCTTAATGTGCAATTACTAACTAAGATTATGGCGTCAGGTTTAGAGAGTTACGTGAATCGTATCCTTTTGTTAACCTTATTTTAATGAATTTTTAATAGTTGCCTGTTTATCCTTAATAATTCATAGATACAGTTTCTATTATCACTTCTGATGGCAGAAATTTTATTGTAAGTGTATTATTTTAAATTGAATTAACATTGAATTGTAATTATTATATCAATTATCTGTATATTTTTTTAGGGTACATTAAAAGGTTTCGACCAGACCATTAATATAATATTGGACGAATCACATGAACGTGTTTATAGTACAACACAAGGTGTAGAACAAGTTGTATTAGGTTTACACATCATCAGAGGTGATAATGTGTAAGTAATTAAATTAGTTACTTTGGTGAATAAAATTATCATTTTTTATAACAATTGTCTATCAACATTCAATTATTACATCACATAGTGATTACAATTATACGTAATACTGAATAAGTATATTAAAATGTAAAAGATAACATGTCTTTTTCGTTTTCATAGTTTCAGAAATTACATAAGTAGCATATAAAAAAATATGTTATATTCCTTCTTTTAGTCTTAAAAATATTTATACTTTTTCTTCAATTCCATTGAATATAAATTATGAAAAAATCAAATCATTATTGTTGAACATTGATGAAAGTTTCCAAGAACTGGTTGAGAAACAGTTGTGTTAGTATCTCCTTTTCTTATTTTTAGGGCAATTGTAGGAGAATTGGATGATGAGATGGATGCACGTTTGGATCTATCAGCCATTAGAGCTGATCCTCTAAGTTCTATTGTACATTAATGAAAAATGATTGAAATTATAATTATTATTGCTTGACAATAATAATAATAATAATAATAATAATAATAATAATAATTTGTAACAATGAGTTACAGTTGAATCAAAGTACAACTTCTTATAGAGCTTAATTATTATACAAATTTGTCATTATTATATTATCCATATTTAAAAGATTTGTGTTTTAAAAAGTGCATTAAGGAAATAGAGCATTATTTACATTAAACAATACAAAATCATCTTAGCGATAGAATTGTACAAAAAGTTTTTACTATATAATAGTAAACTTTACTTCTCACGAATGTAGTTTTATTTTTTAGCATTATAAGAATAATAATAATAATAATAATAATAATAATAATAATAATAAAAAAAAATATTTATAGATTAACAGTGGATAATGACTAAACAATCTTTAAATGTATACTCCATTTCTAATATTATCTTTCAAAGAGAAAGTACTTTTAATCTGCATTTTAACAGGTAAGTGTGTATTTAGCATCAGCATGGAACCATGTGTTTATACCACAGAATTTACAAATGATATTTACTAGATAAAATTTTGTCTAGTAATATAAAACCTAAATTTCACAACAATTTAAATAATTACAATTGCAATTTTTGCAAATTTTCTAAATGAAAGATTTTATACATATACCCTCCCCATCTATATTTTTCAAATTCTAATGTAAGTAAAAAAGTATTTTCATGTACAGTTACTTTCAAAATTCTTATAAATACATTAACTTTACAAAATATTGCATTTTCATATTAAGTTGTGTACTGTTATATCATTGGTGTTTTAGTTTTCATTAGTAGGCCTTAAGCCATTTAATAGTTGAACGTTTTATAATTATTTCAACATAATTCAATAAAATCTATACATCTGTTCTAAAAGCCAAAACTACCGCGTACACATGAATCATATACATATATATTTGTGTCACGTATTTATACATGGAAGACATAAAAAAAGATATAAATCAATCAATATAATTAAATGATTTTCATTTATCGTATATATCTTATGTATTAAATGTCTTTTCGAATGAATTTAAAGGTATTCAATATATACAGATACGTGTTTTCTCACAGAAAATTTCATTTTGCAATTACCTATAGAATAATAAATGTATTTTGTATATACTTTTCATGTAGAATATGCTTTATATTTTTTAAATAAAATATAGAACGTCACGTGTTTATGAGCATTATTCACACCATTCATTTGGTATGTATTGTTTTATAAGAAATGCTTGAAAACGTGTGTGTGTATCCATGTACAATTTTTTAGTATTTGTTTAATACCTTAAAATTCTAATTAACTATTTAATCACTAGCGAGCATTTGACACCATGTACAATTGACACGATCAAAAATCAATGAATCTGGACCGCAGAAATGAATGCATTATATCAATGCATGCTGTACAAATTTAAATTAGAATGAGAATTATCACCAGGTACTTCCGCTTAACGTACCTACTCAAAAATTGCTTATTTCAATTAATTATTAGTCACAATATTGGTCCTATTACGATTTCGTCGTCTAATTTTACCACCACGTCTATTCTGATTAGTTCCACTCCACTCAGGACCATCCATACCAAAGTTTGGATTTGGACCGTTCGGACTGAATCCCATCATGTTAGAATCTGGAGGTACCGGGCCAGGACCAGGGCCAAAGTTATTAAAATTACCACTCGGATAAGTTGGTGCACCATCGTACGAAGGATTAACATCCGGTCCAAAGCCTACACCAGGCGCTGGACCCAAAAGTCCAGCACCATTATTACGTTGGACGTTAAAACGTGGATCAAAATTCATTTGACCCTGAGGTACAACTGGCCCGTTAATAGCCATTCCTGGAGGCATGTTAGACATTCCTGCCATACTCATCGGTGGCATATTTTGAGGACCCATAGGTGCATTCATCATAGGACCCATCGGACCCATATTTCCAAGCATTGGATTAGGACCCATATGGATTATACTCTGCCCACCTTGCATACTTTGCGAGCCAGGCATACCCTGAGGTACAGACATCCCACCAGGACCCATCCCCATGTTTGACATTTCCAACGGTGATTGCTGCTGGACATTTTTCATTATGGAAGCATTGATATTCTGAGGAGCTAAATTGGAAGCCTCGAGAGCTTTTCGTCGCGGGTCAGATCGAACTTGGGGCGGTGACTTCGGAGTGTCTGGTTTAACCGGAGGCGGAGACATCGGGGAATCGGCTAATTCAATTTTACCTATTCTAAAGATTTTTCTCAAACGTGGATCATATTTCACTTGAGCATCATTTTTCGTCAGTTTAAGACCCGTGTAATCGGGCCTTGGTATGTCGACAACGTATACCTTGTACGTCATAGGAGGGTGCGAAGATATACTCGCATCTATTTCTGTGCAAGGTACATGAGATGGTGCAGGTTTAAATGGTAAACTTAACATTTGTCGCAAATCAACGTCTGATTTTGTCGATGCATCTGTAAATCCTGCACCGACAACTCGTAGATCCGTATCTCCGAAGCTTGTCTGAAATTGTTGCCTGAAATCCATATCTTTTCTTCGGAGATCTTGATCAGTTTTAGTTCGAAGATCAGTGTCCATATTTGTATCACTTGCGGTAATACCAGAACTGTATATACTTGTTTCTAATCTGAGATGCTTAGATTCCTTTTTACTTTCTATCCGACTAGGACTGTTTGATTTCTGTTCATCCCTGCGTTGTCTGGGATCTCTGGACATGCGAGGATCTCTGGATATAGACGTGGAACTTGGCCCAGGGGAAGAATGCGGACTCGATGTTTCATTTTCAATTTTCGACAGCTGATTCGAAGCATTAAACGTAGCAGGAATACACATTTTATCATGAGTATTGGACTCGTCCGATGATATTCTATCAGGAGAGGTAGATTTCATTTTTGAAGGATAATCCTTCGCATTAAAGGCTTGTTGACTGCCTTTACCGCTTGTTGAACTATGCGCTTTAAGCGAAGATAATAATTTTGACACCTCAGCACTGATGTCAATTTTACTTAAATCTCCAAGTTTGTCCACGATAGCAGCTGGCTGAGGTATAGTAGGCGCAGACGTCGTAGACCGACATTCTTCTTTAATCACAGTGTTCTGTGTTTTTTCTGCACATTCATTTTCTTCTTTTGGATTATCTTTATTAGAAAGTACTATCGTTAAATTTCCACCTTCGTCGTCGTCATCGTCGTCCTCGTCGTCTGAATACCAGTCTTCTAGAATTTGATCTGTATTACTTGTAGAGCATTCATTTTCTATATTTTTAAAGCTGTCTTGAGCTGCTCTCTGTTGCTGTTGAATACGCATAAATAATTCTTGAGCCTTTTTTGGTAAGTGAGCCGGTACTTCCTGTTCTTCTGTACGAGATAAAAGGCTATCTTGATTGTTAACTTCGTCATTAATTGTATTTGTTTCTGTAATTTAAACAGTTTCATTTTAAAATCTTAAAATGGTAAGGGGTCCAGCCCCTCCCATAATATAAGTATAAATTACTTAAATTATTATAATAGAGAAAAGTAACTCTACCTTCTTGATCTGTGCCCTTATCTTTCGATTTATCCTCTTCTTCGGTTGGCATTTCTATAACAAGATCCGTTTCTTCATCTTGATCACTTTCTTCATCAAATTTCGATTTAGTAAGATTTGCTACCTCGTCAGCTATACTAACAACAGGTGGTGGTTTCTTCGAAGCTTTTAACAGCTGCCTTAAATCTACATCCTTCGAATTTTCAAGTATCGAAGTACCTTTCTTTTTTGCCTAAGAGTTACAACAACAAAAATAAAATATATAATACTATAATTTTTAATGAGCTGAAAAATATAATTGCCATTATACCTGTTCCAAAATTTCATCCTCTTCTACGTCTTTTGTAAAGTCTTCTCTATCTCGTACTTTGTTTATAGTTTTATTTGATTCAGAATTACTATTTTCAGTATAGAAATCCATGCTTGGCATGGATTGCGATATCACTGATTTTTGCTGTAACTGCTGTTGAGTTGCTAAACCCAATGCAGCATTAGGAAGCTGTAAACCAAACTCATTGGCTGATTGCAATAACATGATTTGTTCATATGGAACTCTATCCTCGTCGGAACCCCATCGAGTCTTTTTGCCAGATGGTTTTCTTTCTCTAATATTTTTATGTTGAGACGTTTGCTCGTCTGTATATAAAAATGTTGTATTTGTTACACTAACATATATTTGTGATTTCAAATCTTTCTAAAAAATACACATAATCATATTGTTACCTTTTTCTTCTTTTTCATTATTCTTTTCTGTGGTACTGGTGGTGGTGGTGGTGGTAATTGTGGTGGTAATGGTAGTAGTCGGTGGTGCAGGTACATTTAAGTCAAAAAGACTTGGAATCTTTTGATTCGTTACTTCCTGACCCTGTGCTAATGTTCTTGCTGTTTTATTTATCATTAACATTGCTCCTTCCCTACTTAAACGTGGAAAATCTCCAAGAATTTCCTTTGGTGCTGTTTCTAAATGTTTTAATAAAATTCCTTTCACCTAAAACGGACAGTGGATTTTGTGACCATTAATTAAAGTTTTAGCAAACTTCAAACTTTATAAACATTATAATAACCTGTTCGTTTAAAGGTTGATGGGAAAATTTACAATTTTCTCCTTGATTACATTTCAATCCTGTATGAAAAAATTTACATGGAAAATCATGATGCATGTAAAGACATTTGTCTCTTTTTGCACAGCAATCCATTAAATAAAATTTGCATAGTTCCATTTTCCTAGGGGGTAAAGCATTATGCGAAAAAGGGCAATCATCCCCTCTATGACATTTTCCTTGCATGTAATAAACACAAATAGCGTCCGGATCTTGATTGTGATCATTGTTCTGATTCCGTCGTCCATTTCTATCGTTTCGCATTTGACCTCGAGTTTTATTTTTACCTCCACGTTCATTTTTACCACCTCTGCGTCCTATTACCATAAAATTATTGTTTTTGGATATTATATATTAAGAGTAAAAGTATATTAGTTAATATTTTATCGTGTACCTCCTCCACCTCCACCTCCTCTTGTATTGCTACGCTTGTTATCATTATCCCTATGTCGATTTACACTAGGTCTCTCATCATAATCTGAATTGCTATCAAAATTTTCATGTTCATTTGTATGTCTTGGAGAACTATTCTCTTGAGAATCTTTTCTAACAGGTGAAGCACCTCTAACAAATAACATTTCATCTTCATCTTCGTTAATATTTTCATCATCGCTTACTTTTCGTCTCTGTAAATCAAATATATTAAGTAAATCTATTATATACATCATATTATAATCAGGTATATTTAATAAATTAGAAATTTTTTAACCTTCTGATCCTTATTACGATCTTCTTCCCTTTCATCACGTATTCTTTTCCTACTCTTACTTCTGGTATTTTTACTTTTAGACTTTGAGTCTTGGCTTCTACTACTATCTTCTTCTAAGGCTGCTCTAATTGCTTTCTCAACATCCCCAGCCCAATCCTCAGTTGGGCTTTTGTATTTCAAAAACCTATCATGCTTACTACTTCCTTGAACACTTGATTTCTTATTTTTACTAAACTTTGAATCAAAAGTTTTATTTTTTGATGTATCTGTTTTTGATGAATTTTTAGTCGCATCATCATTTAGTGGTGGTGGTGGTGGTGGTAGCGGTGGTGGTGGTGTAGGCTCATCATCTTCATCAGATGGAATTTCTCCATCCTCTAGATCATCATCATTGGTGCTACGCATACATTACAAACACATTACTATCTATAAAGTGCTACAAGAAAAATTAAGTATCACATTTTTGGATATAGTATTATGTAACTGTTTTCACAGATACATCAGGGTAGAAGATTCAATGTTTATAACGATGACAAATGTTTTACTTGAACTTTAACAGCTATTTGATAGTCATATTTTTATAGACTGATTTTGTCATGTAATGTAAAAAATATGACAAAAGGTATTTTAAAAGTAAGAGGTAGGAATTTTATTTTATAATAATTTTATATTATAAAATCTTAACTTCAATTTAAAAAAAAAAATAAATAAATTAAATTATATAAAATTTTATAAATTTCTAAATGTTTATTATCAAAATTTTCGTATACTTTTTATAATTAATTTTTTTATCCATTTGATCTATAAAAGTTAAAAATGTTTTTTTTATTTCTATCCCCTAATCATCATCTACATCATCAGGAGCAGCAGCTTCATCATCATCATCATCATCATGATCATCATCATCATCATCATCATTTACAATGAGAGAAAAACCGCAAGATGCATTTCTTCATTAAACTAATGGAAAAAGTTTTCATAGAAAAATTCGGCTATGCTCATAGGAGTTATCAAGGGCATTATCAATCATAGGTCTCTACGTTGAACGAAGGAACATCGAACTTTGGTCGAGCAGAGTATAGCTGAAAGGAGTTCCTCCGTACTACTTGACCTAAAAACATTAGCTTACTTCGGGAACCTACACATGTAGCACAGTAGGCCTCGATCGATGCAACTTTGATATATATATATATATATATATAGTCAACATCGTATATATGCTTAAAATAATCATGTTCTCTATTAATATAATTGCTTTTTCATTGGATCGATTGTGAAAGAATTATTTCACCAGAAATTGTTTTGTACGTTTAATCGCACAATGTAAAAGCGTAATATTATAGAGAAAGGAAATTCGTATAAAAGCGTATAACCATTCCCACCTTTAAAATGAATAAGAAAAAAACAGTAACTAACAAATTATTGCAGGCGCTAAAAATTTGTTAAATGTAGCACAGCAAAATGCATCATCTGCACATCATAATACAGGAAAATAAATATAAGTTAGAATTGCCTTACCCACAAATTGTGTTCATCATTAGCATCATTATCATAACTATCATAAATTCATCATCATCAACATAATAGCATCGGATCAACATATAAAATCACATTATTTTGTAGCATAATTTGTCATCGTTACAGCATTGTCGCACAGTGCGTGTAACATATAATGTATTTTTTTTTGATACAGTAGCGTCGAAAATTTCTTAGTGTGGAGAACCCCCGTTTGTCCCGTCCATTCACGTGCATACATATGTATGTATGTACATTACGACATACTACCATGTAGCAGCATATATGGATAGTCTGTTAAGTGGTGTGTAAATATGTCGTATACGAAACCGAGAATGTATATATAGGAATGTCTTACTCCCCGAAGTTCTCGTGCATGTTTTTTCTCATTTCACAATTCTTGCTGTCCGAAATCAATTTAATTCTTCAATGCTCATAGCAAAAAAATATGATGAATCAATTTGAATTTATATCCTGGAATTTCATTTAAATTATATTTATGGAAAGTTATAAACGAAAAGAAAAAAAGGAAAATACTTTACGTTCATTATAAAAATGACCTTGAATCCTACAAATAGGTCAAAGCACTTGAACATGAAAATAATCTTGTAATATTATAGTAGATACATATGTATATAATTAACTATTTCAGAGCAAAGAAGAATCGTAAAGAAAAAAAGTTAGATTGTACCCAAAGAGTGTAATTGGGTACGTTTTTTTCCACGGTGCCACTAAATATACTTATGTATGTATATCATATGTAAAGCGGGGGACAGCACGGAGCTTCCGGAGAGGGGATGAACGTGTAATCGTGAGTGGTAGTCACAGCCATAAAATTTCGACTGTTTTGTTTGGTGAATAAAAAATGTGGAGGCAAACCTTTGGATTAGAGTCTCAGCCGCGGAAACACTCTCTAATGCCATTGTTTTGTCCCGATCGATCGTGTTTTGTACCGTATGATATAGCACTGTGGCCCGACGATGATCATTCGATCGATTGACGCGACCACACTCGATGGTTCTTTGCTTGCGAAATAATCGCGTGCCTGAATTCTAGCATTTGAAAATTTTCAAAATACTCGTTATTGAGCACAAATTAGCCTACAGAATGAATATATTTCGTGTCTCTCCGTTTCTCTTTCTCTTTCTTGCGCGCGCGCGTGCGCCTGCCGCCACAACCAAAATGTGTATCAGATTTATATTAACGTTTTTCGCCTTTTTTTTTGCAGCTTGGCTACGCCCCTGTTTTTTTTCTCTCGAATATTCTTCTCGCCTTAACACAATAAGCTATTCTGTACTAAAGCCTTATTTGTTTTATTTTATCCAGTTATTATAGTATTATTGCACTTTTACATTCGGTGAAGTACGTATTTCACTTGTATAGCTTCTCCTTTCTTGGGCTATTGTAATTTCGTTCAATGGCGCGATCTTACCACTGCAACGTCATTCTGGCTTGACGTGGCATATGGCTGACCAACGATAAGCTTGTGGGCGTTTTAGTTTCTCCCCGTATGATTTAATTAAATATGAGAAAATTAAATACGCGTACGTTTCTTGTAACTTTTATAACGAAAAAGAAAGGAAAAGTCGTTTTTCTCCGAATAATACAACCGAAGCCTCGAAGAATGTATAAAGCGTAGCCTTTCCACTTTGACGAATCCCGACTTCGTAAATTCGATAACGGCTCTCTCTTTTTGTTTTATTAAGTTATCGGAAAAGAGAGAGAAAGGGAGCGACAAATTAATTTTCTTTGGAACTATGAATCAATCAGACACGGGTCTGGTTACTGACGATATTAAATTATCGAATAGAAATTCACGGACTCCGCGATTCCTGTCTCCTGAATGGATGACAGCGTTTACGTATCTCGTGTACTTCCGCGTTAGAGATTTTTATCTCAGCCAAAAGAAGAACATATGTATTATATGAACGAGACTAGTCGCAAGCAGGCGAAAAGTACGATGGTCGGACAGAGCGTATTACTATGTCAGCAGATTGTATAAAAATGTATCAGTTATGAGACGATGAGCGAAAACTTCAAAGATCAAACTAAACATGGCCACATCTGGAACTATTCTGAGCGGGCAGCTGCACGAAACCTCGGAAGAAGGGCGAGCGAACAGCAACGGGTTTAGGAGGAAAAGCAAAGCTACTCCGTATCCACCAATCAGAGGCCGAATTGAATGATCACGTGTTCTCTCTTCCATTATTTGCATTCCCCCACTCTAATTTCCTCTTGCTTCCCCACTTTTCTTCATTGCTTCTGTTTATGTGGAGCAAATTCCTGAAGCCTCCTGGTTGACCCTTCGTTTTCTACGCACAACTCGTCTGAAAGCAAGCTTTCGAATATTTATTACTCGTATTGAAAACATTGCCCTTCAGAATTTCCTTCCTTCCTTCCTTCCTCGCTTCCTTACTCGCATATACATTATTTTTAGGAATTTACTCAATTTCATATTTTTGCACATATACGTGCAATTATTCGTAACAAGAAATACAAAAACAATTGAACATTCTTTTTATATTTTAAAATGAAACTCTCTGTTTCAAGGTATAAAAGTTATTCTTATTTTACATTTATAGGGTTTTTATTTTCAACTATGAAACACATTTATATTTATATAATAATATTTTGCAATAAATAGTAACTGTGTATCACATACATTTAGAAAATTATCAAAATAAACATTCATTTTACGCATTTCTGTTATTCTGCAAATTTTGTACAATTACTACAATTATTACTTACACTTGCTACTTTGTACAAAATAATATAAACATTATCATTATTATTAAATGGACACTTCTTTAATTACAATGATATTACACTGAATCCTAATATAACTCTAGAATAAATTCTAGATAACAGCGTGTTGCAATAAAAAATATAGTTTCTTTATTACAATGCAGGTGAATACCTGATAAACACTTATTTTACTTGTTCGTGCGAGCGATGATGAAAAACAAATGAAATTCCGCTAGACCAGCATTGCCGTAAAGACAAATCTGGCAAATTTCGTGGATTATTAGCGTGCCTCCAATCTGATAAGTCTGAATTACAGTCTGACTGCGGGGGTGGTCCTTTTACTTCTACACCATTAACACACCTCTTACATTTAAATCTGAAAAAGATCACAAAATATTTATTACGTGAAATTATAAATACTTATACTTTTGAACTTACTTAGCATGAGTATCTGAAATAGTATTTTCTTCTAATTTAAACAAATCTCTCAAATCGTTTAACGTAAAATGTCTTGCAACGTCTTCTTCTTGATCAACAACCGTTGAACTTAATGCTTTTTTATGTGCCTGTCTTTGGAAAATCTTTTCTTCAATAGTACCGGTCTACAATGTATATAAAAATAAATGCATAAATACATGATAATTCTGAAGAACTATTTGAAAAATGTTATAACATACGCAAAGAAAGCGATACACGAAACATGGCTTTTTTTGACCATCTCTCCAAACCCTCGCCATAGCTTGATCATCATTCGCAGGATTCCAGTCAGGATCAAACATGACAAGACGATTTGCACCGATAAGATTTAATCCACAACCACCAGCTTTCGAACTAAGCATGAAAATAAAATCATTGCTGTTCTCGTCATTGAATTTTTCAACTACTTTCGCTCTCTTTTTAATAGTCATTGTGCCATCGAGTCTAACGTAATTGTAACACCGTTTGTGACATAGTTTCTCAAACAAATCTAGAGTTTGCGTGTAATTAGATACCAATACGATTTTGTCTTTTGTTGTCGTTTTAATGGATGCCAAGAGACAATCTAATACCATTAATTTGCCGGATAACTCAGGTAAAATGTCCCTAAAAATAAATTTATCAAATGACTTCTTGTTATAATAATCAATCTTGATATTACATACTTAGTACTGTAATTTGATGGCATTAATTTTGCTGCATTCTCAAATCCTTCACATTGTTGCAGTATTTTATCATAAACTAAATCTGGATGATTGCATAGCTTTTTTAAAAGTGTAATGGCTGAAAGTGCAGAAAGACTTTTTCCTTTTTTAGAATTTTCTGAATTTTCTACAAAAGAAGGATAAACACAAATTATTTAAAATTGACAATTTTTCTTGACGGGTAAAAAACATTTATACTTAACAAACCTTCCATTGATTTTTTTATGCTATCGCTTTGTATAAAATTTTTGTAAAGATCAGTTTGCAATTTTCCCATTTTTATGCAAACGACCAACTCGTATTTTAAAGGTAAGTATTTGGAAAGTAAAGCGCTGGTACGTCTAATCAGACACTTATTAACGATGGTCACTAATTCTGTTAATCGTTCTTGGGCAAGTTTGCGTTCAGTATCTGTTGCGCCTGCATCTTGACCACGTAAAATCGGTATTTCAAATTTTTTTCGAAATTCCTGTTATAATAATTTTTTAACATTAATATGAAATATTTCATCTGTCAAAAATATTCTTTAATTTTCTAAAAACATACTTGCGCAGTTCCTAGTAATCCTTGATTAACAAAATGTACAAGAGAGAAGTATTCTAAGAGATCATTTTGTATAGGCGTTCCACTAAGTAGTACTCTTCTTTTAGCTTTCAAATTTATAAGTGCTTGATACGTTTGATTTTCAGAATTTTTCAGACGATGACCTTCGTCACATAACACGAGTCCAACTTCATCTTGATGAAGGACATGCGAGTGTAAGCGAAAAGTTTCATAACTAATTATTAATATAGGATTTATACATCTGCGACCATAAGTTTTCATAAAACCTGTAAGTTTTGCATCGATATCCGTTTTGCTTCCACCATCGATGGCTAATGGCTGAACTCTGTTTTTCAACCACTTAAATATTTCATTGTACCAATTTTTAACTAACGAACTGGGAGCAACAATAATTGCCTTGTCTATAATTGGTTTAGCTTCAGGTCCTGTAAAATATAATTAATTTAGTATCCGAAAACTGTGTTTATAGCAAGATTAATTTACCTTGCTTTAATAAAGTCCACATGAGTGTTATACATTGTAAAGTCTTTCCAAGACCCATTTCATCCGCCATAATACATCCGTAAGCACCTTCTATTCGTTGTCCTGTTACGCATTCGTACATAAACTTTACACCTTCTCGCTGATGCGGTCTTAGAATATTACATAATAAGGGATCTACTACCACATGCACAAGTTGCTTCGATCTAAAAACATATATATATATATATTATATTCATAAGATACACAAGATTTTGAACATTTTATACTCACTGGTCTAATTTAAGTCTATCATGTTCAGATATTTCAGGTGGTGAATAGACGATAAGTGCATTAGCTTCTTCAGGATCATGTAAAGGTCTACGTGGACCTGATAAACGTGTTCCCAAAGTACGACCTGAGAGCTGATATCCAGGAATTGGTATTTTAAATGGTTTACTCAGCAGTTTTTTTACCCTTTCTTCCTACAAATTCAATGTTTATTTCTCCATTATAAATTTATCCAAAATGATACAATAAATAATGAGTACTTACATGTTCAGAAATTACTTCTTGCGTCGCTTGAATATTATCAGTTGAAAGAGTAAGTGCTTTATATTCTGGTATTTGTACATTTTTGACATTACGGCAAACTCTCTTTTTTACATGATGTATTGATGACACATCCGGAGACAAAGTTACATTGTTTGATATATCAGACAAAAGTGGACGTTTGCCTTTCTGACTAGGAGCCAATGATCGAATCTTAGATGTAACAATAAGTACAAAATTAACATTTATCAAAGTTAATGATAACAGTCAGAAAAATGATAATAATAACAATCATGTTACCATTATAAATTTACTCACTTGTAAATATAAGAAATGTTTTGGAAATCAAAAACATACTGCAATTACATTTATAAAGATAACTATTATCATTTTTTAAACACACTACATTTAATTTTTCAATAAAATTTATACAATAAAAAAGGTTTATAATGAATTTCATGAATCATTACCATCTTGTATTAATATCCTGAAATGTAATCTCAATTCAAGATTCTTCATTTCTTCCCAGTAAAATGATAAAAGTTACTGTTTACCACTGTTTACATTCCATTTATTTATTGTATTAACATTACTTTTCTTGTTAGTGCAAAGTCAATAGTAACGAACTTTAGAACTTTCGCGGTTATGAAATACCACACTTTATTGCGTTTAGATTCCAGCGCAATCTATCGTCTATAATTTAAAGTAGGTTCAATCTTACTTATTAAAAATTTATTTCAAAATACAAGTAAATTAAATTATAATTCTACAAATATATTTCCCAAGAAATTTGTACTTAAATCATCTTCATCATTTGCAATAAATTTATTATAATCAGTACTTGGAATTTTAAAGTTACATTTAATGGGTTCAAATGATTCAGAATTAATCCTTGGTTTTATACCATAAGTATTATCTAGAAATTCCAGAACATCTGTTTTATTTTGTAAATTATTGAAAAATATTCTACTCTTTTTGGGAAGTAATTTTTCTAACATAAATACAAGATGATGATGGAAACACAGAAACTGTGTAGGAATAACTGATGTAATGTCAAGCCAGTCTTGTATACAAGTAAGGGGTGTAACTGAACGTCCAGAAAAAAGAGCTGGATTTGTTAAAATGCCTCTTGCAACCATCACCGCGTCACAATTACTTTCTCTGTACAATTTTTCTGCATTCTCTAAATTTTTTATATCTCCATTAGCAATGAGAGGCAGTTTCACGCTATCTCTTACTAATTTTAAACTGTCTAGATTAATTGATTCGTTTCTCATCTCAGGAGTTCTAGCATGAACAGTGAGAAATGAAACTCCTGCCTTTTCAAGTATTTGACAAAATTCAATGGTTTTACGAATATCCTTTAACAGTCGTATTTTCACAGATACAGTAAAAGGATTTGGAATTCTGTTTCTTGTTTGATATATCAAATCTTTCACAAGATCTGGTTTTTTAAGTAAATCTGCTCCATATCCTTCTTTCAGTGCCCAACGTTGAGGACAACCACAATTCAAATCAACACCATTACAGTACCTATTAATAAATGTAACTTGTTAAATGAAAACTTGATATTAATGTTTTAGTTAAAACTTACGGGGCAATCATTTCTGCTGCATTAAGAAAATCATATACAGTTTTTGCAGCAAACTGAACAATTACTGGCTTATCTTCCTTGGTAGTTGAAAATTCATTATTCCTGGCTTTTTCAGATTGTATAAACGAGTCAGCTAAGATCATGGGTGTAAAACATATATCACAGTTGTAGCGCCGTACTAAAGTTCTAAACTGTAATCTGTCAAAATTATTTTTATATATTAAATAAGCATTAAAAAAAAATGCAATTTAATACATAATCTTGATTACTTACTTACTATATCTAACCATTGGTGCACATACTTTAACCATTTTTGGTTCCTTTAACATTTCTACTATATCAATTGACATTTTGATATGTTTTCAGCTTTATTACAAAAAACAGGACATATCTATGTTATTAGACAAAATCTGTACAATAATAAATTAAAATTATAATATAAAATAAATACATGTATAAGCACTTAATATTGTAGTCATGAATATTACAATACAAAAGCAGGTCAAATTTACAGTTAAATGAACCATGTAACATGTTAAATGCTTTTATATTATCAAACAAAGCTATTAACTTTATTTTTTGTGATTTAGATTAATTAAAGTATACAAAATGCGTCACAGTAATTCTCGTAAGTATTAAATACATACCTATTATGTGTACAATTTGTTTTCATTGTTATGTACAAACGTTCGAATCAGAATATCTGAATATAACCTTACTCCTGGTTTTATAATTAATGGACATTAATAAATTTTACACAATACTTGTTAAAAGATGTATATCATAATACAATGTAATGTATTAAATTGTGTTCATTTTGAAAGGTCCTACAGAAGAATGTCCTTTAACAAAAGGTAAAAGTTACAAGCATAAGTTAAATATGTATTGTGGCGATGGTTTAAAATTTATTATAAGTTGTTTTACTATTCTGAGTATTTCTATCACAACAACCTTAATTCTACAAATACTTTATGCTGATGGAACACCTCAGGTACATAAATTTTTATTCAAAATTATTGTCTATCAACTATATTTTAATTGTTTATAATATTATTGTATATTAGGATAAAGCTGGTATCCATGGTGCAGTTGCTACAGATTATACAAACTGTTCACAAATTGGTACTAAAATTTTAAGGAAAGGTGGTAATGCAGTAGATGCAGCTATAGCAGCTACTATTTGTATGACAGTAGTAGCTCCACATAAAACTGGCCTTGGTGGGTAAGTTGTGTACATACATAATTCTGTTGATATTTATTAACTTTTAATTATTATTTTAGGGGTGGCTATGTTATGATATATAACCATAAGGAACAAACAAATCCAGTTATTATTGATTTTGCAAACAATACAATCAAAGGTACATTTTTCAAATAAGCAAACACTTCAAATGCATGTAGAAGCTTTATACATGTATTACCTACATTAACTATGCGTTAGGTAGCTTTGCTCAAAATGGAATACGTATACCAGCTCTGTTACGGGGATTAGAACATGCACATACCTTAAAAGGTAAATTATCTTGGAATGAAATCATTAAACCTTCCATAATATTAGCCAGAGAAGGATTTGTTGTATCCAAGGAATTAGCGAGCGAAATATCCAGAAATATAAATTATGAAATTTTATATGGACATCTCAGTGCTGGGGATATACTGAAATTAAACGATCTTAGTGATACATTAAATGCTATAGCACAGCATGGCACTGATGGTATATTACTTTCATTTTGTTAATTAAACAAAATTTATTTTGTAATTTAGAATTACTCATTTGTTCAACTTTCAGTGTTATACAATGGAACATTATCACAGAAACTTTTATCTAACAAAGATTTGCTTGTGCAATTAGCAAATTATAAGCCTGATACATATTTAGCAAAGAAGTTAAGTTTTTATAAGCATACAATATATTATCCTTCAAACGTATCACAATTAAAATCAATGATGAAAGCATTGGAGAACCTTCGAATAACTACCGAAAATGCATCAACAATAGGAACACAAGTTCACGTAGCTAAGGCTTTAGTACATTCAGCTTCAATTTTAGAACAATTAAAACAAAATGGTTTGTTATATCATAACATCTATTTTACATATATTTTATAGTATTATAATTTCATATAGTGATAATTATAGTTGAAGAAGAGAAGTATACTGGAGTTATGTCAATGGATTGGGAAGATACATATGTTTGTATTATAACGTTAGTTTCGTATATAAAATTTGTATATTCTAGCGAACAAATTTAATAATTTGAATTCTTTTTATAGCGGACTTAGTGCACCATTTGGTCTTGGAAATATATCAAATGTTGGATTTTTATTAGATAAAGTTGATACTAATAATAATTTGACCATGCTCACTCCAATAATTTTCCATAATGAAAAGGCAATATGTGGGTTACGAGGAGTGTTTGGAACAGATGATACATTAATTATAGGACAATTATTGTATAATATTATAATCCGTCAGTTAAATATTTCTGATGCTATCGAATATCCAAGGTAAAATATATATTTTATATTTTACATTATGATACTCAAACATCATTTCTTGAATGAATTTCTTTTCTTTAGATATTATATTTTAACGCACGGACTTGCTGTAGAAAATGATCAGAAGCATTCTGTAGATACTTTAATACGAAATCAGTTGAATTTAATTGTGCCACCATCACATGTTGATGCTTACTTAATATTAAAAAGTGTGAATGCAATTATTAAAAAGAAAGATTTAATGTCGAGCCATTCGGATAGCCGTGGAGGTGGTCTTTCATCAAGATTTTAAATATTTTACTTATACAATATTTATTTCCGTCCAATTAATAACAGACTGTTTTTAACATTGAGACAATATTAATCTCAATAAGTACTTGAAATATTTTATAGAAATAACTCATTTATAATTCTTAGATATTTTATACAAATTTATACAATAAATTTTTAAATATTACAGTACAGTATTATACACATACCTAATTTTCTTTATATTTTGTCATACTTTCAATTGTTGTTTTTCTTCTTTATATTCTTTACTGAGATTAAGTTGTCTAAACCTAGCGTACATTGCACTTGCACCAAGCACAATTAAATTACTTAGCCACCACATGAATGACTTCTCTTCGTTAAACCAATAAGTTGCAAGAACTGTTTGCGCGCAAGCTTTAGCGGTTCCACTGATATTATGCGTTAAGGGAGATGTTACTTTTATTTGAAGAGCGGTAACATAACCGATCGCAAAACCACAAATACCGCCAACAATCATAGCAGACCAAAAAAATAATGATCCAATTTTATCATAATTGTATACTGTAATGTGTTCTCCATTAGCTACCATCAATGGAAGAAATATAATAACGCTATACGCGTTGTTGTAATATGAGAGTAACCAAATATTTTGATTTAATGTAGGAAGTACTTGTTTCATATGAATGGAATATAAAGAAAGTGTTAATGATCCAAGTATACCAAAAATTGTTCCAAGAACCGACAATGAGCCTGCAATATGTTCTTGATCTACTCCAAGCCAAAATCCAGTCACAATAAATATGCAACATGCAATGCATTTTATGGAAGTCCTTTGACCTATAAAGTTATAATAATTTACTACATTTATTTGTTTCATTTTTTGTCAAATTTCTTACCAAGTATAAGGTATGTGAAAATAACATTAAATACAGTTGTTAACGAACGTCCCACATAATAAAATGCAATACCAACATATTTTAAACATAAATTGTTAGTTGCAATCATCCCAGTAAATAAAAGGGACAATGGTAATATCTACAAATACAAAATCCTTTATGTATTGAAAAACTATATACAATGAATAATTATTTTTTTTATAAATATTACAACTTACTTTAATAAGTGTTTCCTTAGTATATGGATTACCCTCAGGAAACTTAATATATCTTGGAAAACACTTTGATAATTTACTTAAAGTCGCACAAATGATTAAACTTACTATACATTGGCACCATGTCACAAAAAGAGGTGCATCCAAATTTATGCTACTACTAGATAAAAGTGCTTTGTTTATAAAAACTGTTAATATAGAAATTGTCCTACAAAAATGTAAACATTAAATAACCTGTTATTGTATGAGAACAATAATTATTTTTAACTTACCAATATGCTATAACCACAATAGTGATATGTATGAATTTTGGTAAAATTCCAGTTTCTGATGACATTATTATTATTTCGTCATTGGCAGATTATGTTAACTTGGTAGTACATTCATTTTTTAATTAATACATAATACAAAAATATATATATAAATACAAGTAAATCACAATAGTCATACATCAATATTCCTTAAACGTATACAATTAATCATAGTAATTTAAATCTATATAAGTTTCTTCAAATGAATTACAATTATTAAGTAAGATATTGTATTTCATCAGTTCTTTTTGTAATTTTGTTAAGTTAGGTTACAAACAAAATGATACTGTAAATTTAATAGCAGTTAAATGCAATTATATTATATTTAGTGTAAAAATCACAATTGAGAATTAAAGTTTGCAACTAATATATAAATACATATATTTATATATATATATATTGTAAATTTCTTACTATATATATATAGATTTCAGTCACATTCCCTTCCTTACGAAATAACGTATAATTTCTCGTTGATAATACTATAATTATATTCTTTTGTTTAATTTCTGATTAAACATATTTATATAAATATTCATGAACGAATATATTAAAAAATTATATTATTAGAAGTATAAATACATAATTTAAATTAATATCCTTTGGGTTAGATAAATATTCGTATTTATACTATATATAGTTAAGCTTATGCCCATAAAATAAATATTATATTTATATATATATGTAAATACATATGTAACGTCCTTTTGATGACAACTGATATATAAATGTGACACGTGGTATCTAGTATTCCACTATTTTCGATTTTTGTCGTAGCTATGAACAACTAAAATTATCACTCGCATATAAAGTAATTCGTATCTTTTGCAACATATGTTTTAAATTAATTGTATTTATTTATCGCTAGTAAATATCAAATTATCTTTGTGCAAATGTAAAAAAATTTGAAGGATTAATAAATACGGGTGCGTATTAAATATGTCTTCTATTTGATCGTTCAATCGAACTTTGTACTCGCTGAATTGTTCTTCTGTTTCGGTTCTTCATTTGTTACAAAACTGCACTTTTAAAAAATCTTTACAGTGTATAAGTGCTTTTATTTCACACTGATTGTATCTTTGATTATTTAAATATTTGTGAATATATGGTATGATCTAGAATTTACGCGTAAAAAAAATTTTCTGTACAAGCTTTACTGTTAATATTATTAATAGTTGATTTTTTGTTATAGTCGATGTTATCATAATTGATGACCTTATTTTTATAGAATAATGTGATGACCTTAGATTCTTATTCCTTTAAAGTTGTTCTACATCTAGTTAAGTGTATGATGGTAAAAGAGTCAGTTGTCAAGTTTTGCAAATCTTTAAAGTATTTCTGGTAATTGAATTTAAACAGTATATCACATTTATGATAAGTAATTTATAGCAGAAATTTAATAACTGCTGGTAATAAAATCTTTTAATATCTGTTTAATATTTTGAATATTTCAATTATTATATTTATATTTTTAATACATTTTAGAAATTGTGAGTAATTAAAGATTCCAAAATATGTCACAATACGAGGATGTAATAATGGAAGACAAAGTAAACAATGAAAATATTATGACAGACTCAGAGATTCGTCATAGAATTCCATGGAGTGAACGTGTATTATTAAATAGTGAAATACCAGGTTTACACGAAGTTAAAGAATTATTAGAAGATGATGACACGAGTTGCTTGGAAGAGGAAGAAGATGGAGTTGGTTGTCCATTACCATCCACTCCTGAAGATGATCATCTTTTGGATTGTGAGGTATACGTTTTATTTTTAATATTTATTCTACTGATCTTATATGTAAAATTAATTAGACATTTTTATTCTTTTTATTATAGATGACAGAGGTACTAAAAGCTGGTGTATTAAGCGATGAAATTGATTTGGGTGCCTTAGCACATAATGCTGCAGAGCAAGCAGAAGAATTTGTTCGTAAGGTAATCATGATTTACAAATAAGAATTATCTTTGCTTAAAAAATATATATTCATTGTTTGACTGTTGTTTAAAGGTGTGGGAAGCTTCATGGAAGCAGTGTCATTTTAGAAATCTTCCAAGATGGTTGCAAGATAATGATTTCTTACATGCTGGACATAGACCACCTTTGCCATCATTTTATGCCTGTTTTAAAAGTATCTTTCGAATTCATACAGAAACAGGAAATATTTGGACTCATTTACTTGGTACGATCTATCGTTCGTTCGTAAAATGTTTCAAGTATTATTAAATTATCGGTTTTCTTTAACAATAATGTATTATTTTGTTATAGGATGCGTAGCGTTCATTGGTATAGCTATATTTTTCATAACGCAACCTCCGATAGAAATACAATTAGAAGAAAAATTGGTATTCGGTACATTTTTCGCTGGTGCTATTATGTGTCTAGGAATGTCCTTTGCCTTTCATACTGTACACTGCCATAGCGAATGTGTCGGAAAGTTGTTTTCAAAACTAGATTATTGTGGAATAGCTATGCTAATTATGGGTAGTTTTGTACCATGGCTTTACTATGGTTTTTACTGTGACTATCAACCTAAGCTTATTTATTTGTCCGTCGTAGTAATACTTGGTGTAACAAGTATTGTAGTTTCCTTGTGGGAACGATTCGGTGAACCAAGTTACAGACCATTAAGAGCAGGTGTCTTTATGGGATTTGGTCTTAGCGGAGTAAGTTGTATATTTTATTTATATACATGTATATACATCTATAGTTTGAAAGTTTATATTGTAAAGATTGTAATTTTTCTAGGTAATTCCAGCAGTTCATTATGCCATTGCAGAAGGGTGGTTCAAAGCGATTAGTCAAGCATCCCTTGGATGGTTAATATTAATGGGATGCTTGTATATCTTAGGTGCAATGTTTTATGCATTAAGAGTACCTGAACGATTTTTCCCTGGCAAGTTTGATATTTGGGTAAGTATATATAATAATTTTTATTCAAACACTATTGTTGCAAAGATAAAGTTATAACAATATTTTATTATATTAGTTTCAGAGTCATCAAATCTTTCATGTGTTAGTAATTGCAGCCGCATTTGTTCATTACCATGGAATAACTGAGATGGCTATGTATCGAATGACAATAGGGGATTGTACAAATCCAGCACAGGTGATAGCTTTTTAATTGTGCAATGGGCATAGTTGTATTGTTGGATTTTATCTTGTATAAATTTATAAAAACTTAAAGATTCCTAAATCTTTACGTGTCGGTAGATCTGTACCATAAAAGAACTGCTGGAAAACAGTATCATGAATGAAAAATGAATGGCATAAGACTTTTCTTACATTTCATTATAATTAAAAGTAACATTCACAGATACATAACAAAAATTTCACGATAAAGTACAATATACATAATAATTAAGATTAATCAGAGATTAAATTCACAGGATTTAATTAAAATTTTTTACACTTTCGTAAATTTTCAATTTATAAAAAATATAGTTGAAAGATTTCATTAAATAATAAGATCAACGTTTCAAACGTTTGTTATTATATTTACCAAAAAAGAGTTTCAGAAGTACAAAGTAATTAATAATATAACTATTTACAGTTGTTGTTTTTTTTTGTTTTATTTGACATAATTTATTTAAATAACATCCCCCTAATTTAGGTAATAATGCAAATATATTACGCGTGAAATAAATGCCACATTTCATTATTTATGTTTTGTGCAGTTCTGTAACTTGATCAACCCAAATTGTAAGTACAGATACCTATATGGCAACGAACAAAAACATGGTCATTAAGATTTAGGAACTTATCATAAATGCAAATGATTTTGTGACATAAGCACGATAAAAATTGTAATATATTTTGAACACTGTTAAAGTAATGAAAACTATATATTGTAATGTTTGTGTGAACTTAAAAAAAAAAAAAAAAAAAGAATAATAATTCAACTTCATTTGGATCACACTTGCAACAAAAAGTAAAACGTTGTTTCTCTGTTTCTTAATTGTGCATCTTCAAAATTTCTTCATTATAATTTTACGATTTAACTTTCCATTTCAAATATTGTTCGTGTCTCTCTCTGTTAATTAAATTTTTTACCGCACACATTTTCTTTGATCTTTTCTATTAATTCATATTTATTATGATATATACATATAATATAATATTTCATTGCAGTTCTGTTGATCTTTAATATAAAATAATGTTAAATACTTTTGTTGTTACTGTTATTATTATAGGATTCTAATACTTATATAAAAGAAATATTGTTGAACTTTTTACATAAATAATTCTTGATATTGGTAAATTAATAAAGAAGGAAATGATGCATTTCATATGTAAAATACAATGATCCTACTTTATGTAATTTCCCAAAATATATATTTTTCTAAATAAATATTGTAGTACCGTTTGTGAAAATATTGAAAACACTATTCAATAATATAATAAATGACAATCAGAAATCATTCGCAAATGAAGTTAAGATTCTAAATGTGATCCAAGTTGCAAAAAAGAAATATAAGTTGATTAACAATAAATTTAAAGTAAGGCAAGTTGGTTCTTGAATTTAAATTAATATAACAAGTTAGGATTTAAATTTAAAAATATTGTGATTTTCTTAGATTATTGGTGAATATTTTGAAAAAATTATTTTATTCATAAATTTCAAATTTCACGTGTAATTATTTCAATTTGAAAGTAACTTTTTTATACATGTTTTGTACAAAACACTTGTATCATATGTTCTTACAAAATTCACAATAAAAAGAATTGTACGATATTACATATGAAAAAATTAAAAATATTTATAAAAAATTATCAAACATTTCCGATCAGTTAACTTCAGTTCCCACTTCGTAAAGCCTTAATATATAATATTTATGCGATGATCCAAATAAAAAATATCGTCCTCACTTCTTTTACGTATTTTGCAATTAAATGGTATACGCATATCCCTAAAGTAATAATGCAAAAATAAGGAACGTCAAAATCGTGTGTTTTTACTTGTTAACATTTAATTTAATTAAACAATTTTGTTCATATTACTTTTGAAGCATGTTTAAATCTATGCGAGTCAAAATCTCTTATCGAGACATCGATAAACACTTTCGATAAGAAACAGTCGATAGTCGATAGTTTGTTACGTCTTTCGTATGTACACAGTTGTATATATACAGTGTAGTATGCAAAAGATTGCAAAATCACATTAAAAGATAAAATGTTAAACCAGAGAAGAGAAAATGATTCAATTTGTTTTGTGTAAAGAATGAATATCATGTCTCGAAAAGAATTATGGTCTATTTGCAGCATTAAAAACGAATTAGTTATTTATTTAATAGTTCAATGAAAGGAACGAAAACATGTAACTGCATTTGCTAAACATTTTCATACTATTATGATAGAAGAATAAAATTTAAAACAGTTTTAAAAAGAAGCATACAAAATAACAGTACTTTTCAGAAAACGAAACTCTTATAGCAATTTTCCATTAATACGAAAATTTTTTAAAATGTCTAATTATCTATTTAATGCGGAATTCAAATCAATAAATCCAACATCTATCTTGTTTAATGTTATAATCTTGGATGAGTGATACATCTGTCTGTTATGTATGTTGAAAACATACAAAAACAGTATAGCGTCAAACATAACATTTCAAGGCATCAATGTTATTAATGCAATTATAACACATGTATTTAATGTTATACGTTTTATACATTATGTTTACAGTTTTTAGTAAAAAGTAAACAAGTGTATTGTATTGTGTAATTTGAAAATTTCAAATGTTATGAAACAATGTAGATTTGAAAATTATGATTTTCATTGTATGAAATGCAGTTTTCTGATCAGTAATAATGAACAAAGGAAATGTAACAAGTGTCATAAATTCTGTGACACCAATGATGATGTTTGATAGCATTAAAAATCACACAAGTGCTATGGCAACTAACATATCCAATGAAACATCATCCGAAGCATACATATATTCTACAGAAGAAAGTGGCAATGCTCAACAGTTATGGAACATTTCTAAAGCCACAACAACATCGCCTAATAGTACATCAGTTTTATTTGATACATCAAGCACCAATGTATATATGTCTACAACAACAGAAACTTTTGATGAATTTGGTCCACCAGATGGAATAGAATACATTTTTGTACCGCTTGGTGTAGTGGTCTTTGTTATTATTTTATCAGCTGTGGTATGGGTAGCGATATCACTTTTTATACTCAAATTATAATCTTCCTTGAATTTTCATTTTCAGAAACAAAAAAAAAATATAAAAATTTGTCAAATTGTAATACTTGGATAAATATTTCTACATTAGGTATTATTATCTTGTTTTAGTATAGTCTACAATTTATGGTTTAGAGTTTTATGGATTCCTAGTTTGTTTTTGAAGAAATGAATTTTCCTCTTAACTTTTTATACATTTGTCACCATACAAATGTACTTTGTTTACAATTGCATTATATTTTTAAAGGTAATAATAATCTCAAGGAAAAGAAAATTAGAACGTTTAAGGCATAGACTTATGCCAATGTATAACTTTGACCCTGGAGAAGAAGAAGAAGATGATTGGGAAACTGAATTATTGGAAGAATGTTACAGTAATCATCAAAGACGCGTTCGTATAATAATCAGCTGTCCTATTGTCAATTACCATGTCAAATATGTTTCTAATATAACATTGTTCTTTATAGCAAGGATATCAATCTATGGACACAGAAGAAAATGCTGAACTTTTCGGAAATCGTTGACAAAATATTTATAATAGTCTCTTAAAAAACTTTATATTACTTGCAACTTACCAGATTAAAACTTCAAATATTTATTAGATTTATACATTTATTTAATGCTTGAAAAAAACTTGTATATATCTTAAATTTGAAAGATAAAATACATGTTCAAAAATTTTGTATATAGAAGATACTTCGCAGTACATTTAAATGTCATAATTGACTTACAACAGATGTTGTATCAGTATACGTCATTTACTTCGATATTAAACAAATACATTTATGCTTGACATATATATTTCATAATAGAAAAGCATAGAGACAAACATGACTAAAGTTTTCTTTTAATATTCTTTAATATAATCTAATTAATATTGATTGTACACAGTTCATAAGTTTTTTTTTTTATAAATATACAGTTCTTATTATGTGCTTAAATTTGAATCATAGTATATATGCACAAGATGTTAGAAAAAAAAGGTAAATGAGATTAAAAGCAAATAATATTTGTGAAATAGAAAAGTTCTATTAAACATTAATCTTTTACCGAAATTCTTATTTAAAAATTATCGAATGTTAAGTGCTAAATCATCTGAAGTTTTATTCACCCTTAAGTTTGCCTTTTGTGTCTAACATTGTAAACAGGTGTTTCTTTTCCTCCGAAAATATATCAATAGAATGAAATATGAACATTGTTCAATAAATATGAAAGAGAAAGGAACACAAAAAAATAGAATAATTAGTGTATAGTAGAGCATTAGCGAAATACTACTACAATATTCCAAAGGATATTTTTTTCTTCTATAATGAGTAGTATTATTTGACTGTATTATAAAATTGTCTATGAAAGAAAAGTAAAAAAGTTGTTGGAGTTAGAAAATTTAAAATTTAAGTAGCATTAAGTGTAAAGTACAATACATTAGTAAGAGTCAGTTTATAAGTTTATTTACTTTAATACAAATTTGACATTCACACAAATGTTTGCCTCAAGAACAATGTTCACATGATTAAATTGAATTAAAAAGTGATACTTTTTCTATATGATACATACAAGAAGTATTTTACTTTTTCTCCTATTTCTTACAGTACAAGAATTACATACATACATAGGAGTAAAAAATATAAGAAATATTATAATGTAATTATACACAGTATACCTTAAAGTTAGTCGAAGTTTTAATTGCAAGTCAATTGATGAGATCAAAATCTTTAAATTCACAAAAAATTTTTTCAGTAAGTCTTATACATTTGATTATAATACTAAGGACACAATCATTCTTATAAAAACAATAATAATAAAAATGAATAAAAGAAATATTATAAAAAATTCCTTCACAATATTGTTCATGCAAGTTTCATATGCATTTTATTTTGCTCTTACAATTATGAAGCAAACTTAAATTGGAAATTTGTTATAGATTGTTTTAAAACTTTCAAAGAATAATTCTGATATATTGGATTTATTTTCTCATGTTTAATTCTCTTCTTCTTCTTCTTCCTCTTCTTCTTGCTCATCGTCTTCTTCACCAGTACTTTCTGGTTTTTCTTCTTTCTTTTTGGGTCTACCACGACCACGTCCAGAAGGAGTTCCTTTAGGTAATCCTTGCTAAATGATAAGTATTAATTATTGCTAAAAACAGACTAGGCAGTCCAGAAGTGGACTGAAATATCAAATGATTCTAATTTTAATTGCAAATTTTATTTTTTAATCAATCAATTTCTATATACCTTTTTTTTATGAGAGCCTTTTGGTCGCCCTCTACCTTTTTTTACTGGTGTAGCATCATCTTCGGTATCAGATTTTGCAGCACGTACTGCACTATTTTTATCTAAAGAAGATCTACCTCTTTTTTTAGTTTCTTTAACAGCATTTTTATCTGTTTTCGATGGTCTTCCTCGTTTTTTCTTTTGTTCTTCAATAACAGGGGAATTGTCATCTGACATGTTTAACTTTTTGTATTACTATATAATGACAAAATTTGTTTTGTGTTATAAATGTTAATTTTAACATTAACATATATATATATATATTATGAATAATATTATTTTATTTTTAATAACTACAAAACTCTGATAAATAAATACATTTTGCAAGTTTCGTGAGTGATCAATTGTTTTGACTTACACACAACAATTACATGAAACTACTTACACTATCGAATGCCACAATGCATTTACGTATAAATAAAATTTTATTATTTGTTATACAATAATACGATTCAAGTATTGTAATTGCTTTGTAAGAGAGAAAAAAGTGATTATGGAATAATAAGGGAAAATTTTCTGAAATTCCGCGCCCGCCATTTTCGAAAATACTAGAGATATTATACAATTATTTATAACTTGATATGCACAATTTTCAGCAGTGATATGCAATATTATTAACCAATAGATATTTATAATCTTTGATTACAATGAACAGAGAATAAGAAAAATACTCGCTATTAAAGTGAAATATAAAAATATTGGCTTGGCTGCTAAGGACGCCATGATCGACAAATCATGGCAACTCCAGAATCATGGTAGCGTCCATCACCTACCCTCTTTTTAAATAAATGAATAAATATCTCTGTAAGTAATAATCGGCTTGAATCAAAATATCAGTGAAAAAATTGATAATACAATTGTCCACAAGTTTTGTCTATCTTCTAAACGATGAATGTACATTTTCGTTGGGAAAATAAAATATTTACAGTAGGAAAATTCGTTAACAGATACCTTAAATTTCTGCTGCCTATATTCGGCTACACTCGCTTTTTTGTGTATGCTGTATATGAAAATTGTGAATATATGATTGTAATGTAATACTTAGAACACAAAGAACTCTTTCTCTTCTTAGCGTCCTTTTGCTGCTACCGCGCGCGTCATCTACGCGAAGTTTTACTGTATGAGGGGGCTGTAACGTAACATCTGACTATTAACCTCACGAATAGCGAAGCTCGACTGACCTGATCGAGACGATGTACTGTACTCCGATTCGTTCACCAGCTTGAGAAGCATTCCCCCACTCTTTATACAACATGCCAACTGATTCCCGCCAAAATGTTATAATGCTATCTGCAATTATTTTTTTTGTTTTTAATAGAAATACATTTTAAATATTGTAAACCTGTAAAATGTTTAGTAGCCACTGTTAAATAATTTTATGTTCATAAAAAGTTCATGAATGTATTTTGTTAGATGATAATTGTAGCCTTGTTACATGAACATTATATGTGGGTAGAATTAAAATATTCTTCAATATTTTCTATTATAATATAAAAAAGAAAATACGACTTTCACTTTTATTTCGAAAATATTTAAGTTTAAACTTTAACAGTTAATAAAATGAAATTTTTGCTTACAGCTTTTTGATTGAATAATAAAAAAGGATGCTATTAAAAGTAACATTCAAATTATTTTATATCAAAAATTGTGATATTTTATTCTGAATTGTTATAAAATTAAGTTAAAAACAATTTCATACAATCGATGTATTTCTGAAAAATCTTATATAATTGCTATTTACATTATTATTCTTTGTATGTGTAAATTATGTAGAATTTTGTACATACACTGTTTTCAAAACCTGTATACTGTATGTTCAGTTTATATTCATGAAACAAAATTACACTCGATTGTATCTATATAAATTTATAGATAGAATCTATTACAGTACACGCACGTTTTCCATTTTTTTAACAATAACTTTATACAAATCAAAATATTGCATGTTTTATTTCTTTGCAAATGATATTTTCATCGCATGGGAAGGTGTAATTTTGAATCCTTGAAGAGCATCTTTCGCAGCTCCCGACTGAACTTCATTCTCAAACTCAACGAATGCAATATCGTGCCTATTTGGTACCAAACGTACTTCTTTGAAACCAGGAAATTGATTGAAAAGCATAGATAACATCATTTCACTAGTTTCATCTGGTAGATTCGTAAGGAACAGGATTTGATTAGGTGGTTGCTCCGGTACGGCAGCATTAACTAAACCTGGATGCTGCGGTACACCGGCATGATAACTAATTTGTTGAGAATGCTTAGCTTGTTCTTTGGCACGTTTCTTAGCACGCTTAGCTTCTTCATCGGCTGCGGGTACAACCCGTTTTGGTTTCTTCGGTCGTTCCGCGTAGGTGCCTTTCATTTTTGCAATTATATCGCTATCAGTCTTTGCATATTGTATCCTCTAAAATGTAATAAATTTCAATAAATTCATTGCGTTGCAACTGTGAAATGAACATTGATAAACATTAAATACTTACCATTGGTTTGTCATAAAATGGAAATCCTTGCATTGACCTTAAAGCATTTGTGGCACTAGCAATTTCCTTAAAAATAACAAATGCTTGTCCACGCATTTTTAATGTTTTTAGTGCTACAATATCTAAAATTTGACCAAATTGAGAGAAAATTGCATATAAAGACTTCTTTAGTTCATCCTTTTTTATCTTCTCATTTAAATTGTTAATATATATTGTATTATTCGGTCGAATATCCATTGCCACTGTGAATAGATAAATAATTTAATTTGTATAATGGTAGGATCAAATTCTGAACACTTATAAATTAAAATAATTGTAATCATTTGTACTGAACATGATCAATTAAACTCATAACAGAAAAGTTTACTTACTTAAATAATTGTTTAAACTAAATGAGATATAATATATCTACAATACTTAATAATACTTTTTGTGGAAAACAATTGTATTTGATCGGCGTCTGCAACTCATGTAGGTTAAGATACATACATAGAATCAATGACTACAGATCCAACAAGATTGAACATGCCTTTGCTTTCCAGGGGTCTTTCTGTGCCTCGAGAATGAGCGCCATCTGCTCTATCCTAATATCAAAATATAAAACGTAATTTGACGGTAACAGTAAATTGCTGTGATATATCAGCTATACCGGATGAAGAATTCATTATGAAGCCTTTGCTAACGTCACACATTGATTATAAATTAATTGCAATTGTATTTCAAAAAGACCGCCAAAAGGGTTTTTAATTTCGACTGTAGCGCCATCTATCCAAAAACCTCGGAAACTAGTCGGTAAATGGGTTCCGCAGTTTCCGGATAGATGGCGTTAGGATACCCCCGCTTCAGAAGTCGGTAAGTCGGTAAGTTGGTAAGTTACCGAAACCGAGAACTACTGGCGCCATCTATCGAAGAACCGCGGAAACTATTCGGTGAATGGGTTCAGCCGTTTTCGGAGAGATGGCGCTGGGGTACCACCTTTATGGCGGTCTTTTTAAAATAAGCCAAAATTATTAATAAATGTTAATAATTTTCAAAGATTTATAAACACTTTAAAAAACCTAAAGAACGTATGAAGGATTTTGATGTATGTATTTTAAAATATATATTTATTGCGCAGCTGTTTCAGAAACTCCTATAATAACATATACCTATACTAAAAAAATGATTACATCGGTTTTTAGACATAACAAAGTTATAAATTGAAATGTATATAATATTATATAGTATAAATACAATAATGCAATAGAAATCATGAGAAATATTTAATAAAATTATTAACGCAACATTGTATTCATAGATGGAAGCATTGTTACTATCCACTACTTTCCACAATATGACGAAGAAAATGAGTTCATGAGTAAAAATTAAGTAAAAGTGAACGATTATTTTTCTTCAGCATCTAGTATTGTTACTAAACATATATATATTTATATTTATAAGATAAAAGGTACTTGACCTGGTTATGAAGTACATCAAACCAAAAAGTATTACAATTGCAACTAAAGGCAGGTGTATATGATAGGTTAGAGAAATGAAAATTCAATGTTTATAAAATACAATAAAATCTTCATATAAAAAGATTTTATCATGTTACAAGAATTATTTATAAAGTTTTGCAGATGCTTACGTTCACATAAAATAGATTTATGCAATGTACTGTTTATTTCAACAATTAATTTATTCAACAGTCAATATTGCTTTTTACAATGCATTTTGTTAATGCCAGATAGCTGCATATTTACTTTCTGACATCTGGAATAGGATATGTATTTTAATCTTGTTATTATAAAGTTTGCAAGATTTTAAATATGTTTATTTATATTATGGTACAAGGTTTGTTTCTTGAGAATTATTCTTTTTAATGTTTAAAATATGTTATCATTGCATCATTGTTATGATATTAAAAGCTGATCACATAAGGGTACAGCTGAGCAGCTTTTATGGTGCTAAACATTAAACTTTCATTTACCTAAAAATGCCTTCCTTTTCTTTCTACCTTTAATATTCTGTTATCCGTTAATTTCTAATACTATGTTAATTTTTTCAGCTGAATATTCTTTATGTCCATGATTGAAAACTGATGCAATGATGATGGACCAAGAGGAACATGTCCGTAAATATTTATATATTTCAAATTAGTACCAGAGTTTTTTATTCTGTTCTTTTTCTATTGTAAGATTATTTTTCTAATTAATCAATACTTTTAAGAACTTACTTATAATTTAAATGTATATTATTATGTATTTATCGCATGCTTATTATGTTTAATTAAGAATTTATTTTTATAACATTATTACACTGCTAGTGTTGAGTTGTGTTTATATTTTTTATGTTTAATGCTTTCTAGCTGTCTCTTGGGTGCTGCTAAATAATTTGCTTTTTTTAATAGCACTAAGCATAATATAAAACTATAAGAAACGGTAGTAATTTAATTTTATAACAATTTCTTTTTCTTTCTAGTTAATAGAAAAAGATCAACCAAAGTGTTTCACACGTTCGGCAGCACGACATCTTCGCCGTAAGCGTTTACACGACGCTCGTAAAGCTGAAAAGCAAAAAGAAAATTTGGTCAAAGACATAGTTGCCGTATCAAATCGAGAATTCGCTACTGCAAAAAGCACAGATCAGCCAGAACTTATAACAAAGTCGAAAGCTCGGAGATTGCGAAAAAAGAATAAAGCAAAACAGCTTCAGAACTGTTGTTCGTATTGTGAATCATATTGCGAAGATTCAGCACTTGTTATTGAACCAATTAATAATCAAGAAGTTGTTAATGATAACGATACGAAAGATATAAAAACGTTAACAAAATCTAAAGCTCAGCAAATACGAAAGGATAATAAAACAGGTTGGATGCAATGCAGCTGTTATTTTTGCTGTGATACATACATTTCTATTATTGACCCAATTTTGGCGAAATATAGCAAGCCAGAAGAAAACGATTTGAGCCGTTTGACCGAATTAGTAACAGAGTTTAGTATCGTTGATGTTGAAGCGGAGATGAATCGTGTAGCGGCGGACGGGATATCAAGAAATAGCACGCACAGTACGTGATACTAATCAGGTCATCCCATAAGTAATGCGAGTATACCGGGAGTAAAATACTCTGTCTAATACTAGTATTTGTATAAATATACTGCTGCTTTTTCTTTACAGAAAACCTTGAACATAATAGCCCAATGATTACATCGTCTGAAATGACTGACAATAAAGTAAACGTCTCAGAAAAGTCGAGAGAAGAGATTAAGGCTGAACGCGAAGCCAAGAAAGCTGCTAAAGCACTTGCCAAAGCAAAAGCTAAATCTACCAAAATAGAAAGTAAAGATATTAAACCTGGCAAGGTAGAAAGTGAAGATACTAAATCCGATAAGGTTGAAAATAAAGATACTTCCGACAATAAAAGTGTACCTCTTGATAGTAAAAGAAATAAACAAAACAGTGAGATACCCGAGGATCAGGCTTCCAATAAGGCATTTATAGTTAATAAGACTGTAAACGCATGTATAAAAAATGCACCTGCAGAAGGTAGAATCGAAGGTAAAAGTAAAGCGGAGTTACGAGCTGAGAGAAGAGCAAAACAAGAAGCACAAAGAGCAGCGAAGCAACAGCATTTGGAAGGAAAAAGTAAAGTGAAAACTAAGGAGGAGTATAATAATAAATCGGTTAAGCAAATCACTGGTGAAACAGAAGTTAAAAAGAAAATTGTAACGCCTAAAAAAATTGTCCAGAAAGATAATTCTCATGAGATAAATCTCTTTAAACATTTATATCACGAAAGAGAACAAGCTATTGTTGATGTACATTTTGTCAATTCAAGTATACATCCTGCAATAGTCAGGCTAGGTACACAGTATGAAAATAAAGTGATCGTTGGCAGTAATGCAAGATGTGTTGCACTGTTGGCCACTGTAAAACAACTTATTCAGGATTTCGAACGACCATCGCAAGCTGATTTTATTAGGGGTCTTGAAGCAACTTTACAAGAATCTATAGCATACTTGCATCATTGTAGGCCATTAGCTGTTTCTATGCAAAATGCATTGAGACACTTAAAATGGCAAATGACACAATTATCTGCTGCATTGTCTGATATAGATGTAAGTAATATTTTCAATTAAACGCATTTCTGTAAAACGCATATTTTGAAAATTTAATATAAAACGGTATTATTTAGGCAAAAAATAAATTAATTAATGCAATAGATACTTATATTCTTGAACAAATACAACTTGCCGATAAGGCAATATCAATAACCATTCAAACAAAAATATCCAATGGAGATGTTATTCTTACTTATGGCTAGTGAGTGTTCAGACATTTTTTAAAATGTTTTTATGCGTTTTATACATTGGTATTGGTAACACAACCGCTATTACTTTTAGTTCATCGTTGATTCATAAAATACTGTTAGACGCTCACACGGCGGGAAAGCAATTCCGAGTTATTGTTGTCGATGGAAGACCATGGCTCGAAGGAAAAGAACAACTTAGACGGTTAGCAAAAAGTGGAATCGAATGCTCATACATTTTAATCAATGCTTTAAGTTATGTAATGCCGGAAGTAAGTATTATCGGTACTGATCTTTTCTAACTTTAGATGAAACTTATGATATCACGACCAATAATAATATTGTTTATAAATAGGTAAGTAAAGTTTTTCTTGGTGCTCATGCGATATTAGCCAACGGCGCTGTAATGTCGAGAGTTGGTACTGCTCAAGTTGCTTTAATGGCAAGAGCCTTTAATATCCCTGTATTAGTAGCCTGTGAAACTCACAAATCTTGTGAACGAGTGCAAACAGATTCTATAGTCTACAATGAATTAGGTAAGTAAAAGAAATGAATATCCGTTTCTTTTTAAATAACTATTTCTACGTTTATAGGGAATGCAGATGAACTCGCACAAGTCTATGGAAGTGGAACGAAGAAATCGTTACTTGCAAATTGGAAGACTAGAAAGTCATTGAATCTTTTAAATATCACGTACGATGTTACGCCAGCTGATTTGGTAACAGCTGTGGTCACAGAATTGGCTATTTTACCATGCACTAGTGTTCCTGTGATTTTAAGAATCAAACCATCTGAAATTTAAATGATAGTGCTTAGAAACAATGTCTGTTACACCCTCATAATATTGAAATATAAACATACAACTTTTTAAACGATCCTATAAGCTTATTTTAGTGAATCTTTTATTTGTAACTGTATTTCAAAGAAATGTCCGCTGTTTTTTTATCTATGTTTTTCGAAGAAATTAATTTATACGTTATCATTATACAGCAATTGTTGTATACTTTGAAATAAATTCGTAAAATGTAAGCTGCGAAAAAAAGTATGCGGTGGTATATTTAACCAAGTTGAAAATAAAAAAAAAAGAGAGAAAATCGATTGAACTAAAATTTAATAAATTCAAAAGAACTTTCTAAACAATCCAGTAGATTTTGACGTATACATATACATAGATGTATCCTAATGAGAAAAAATCCCACGACTGCGCATCACTGTTTGGAGGATCTGTAAATACGATATGTTACAAACGTAAGTCAAAATATATAAATCATTTGAAACAGTATTAAAATTACTATTTTTTCTTTAAAAATGCCAACTAGGGCAGAACGCCCTAATTTAATACCTTTCCAGGACACCCAGTTCAGTTGGACGGATGATTTACCAGTATGTAAACAATCGGGTGCGTAGTGATTCACTCGTATAACCTAAAGGATGAACATGGTAATATTTCCTAAATATATCTATAGGCGTAGGATTTTCTACGAATCAAATTTATCGCGAGGATGGATATAGACAAGAAGAACATCCGTTTGAAGATTGTAGCTTTCATTGTCGTTATGATGATTCAACATTTCTTTATGGAGTATTTGATGGTCACGAAGGGACAAAGGTTGCAAACTTTGCTATGCAGCGAATGGCTGCTGAAATTTTACTTGGACAGTTGAATGGTAAATCCAGTGATGAAGAAATCAAAGAAGTTCTTAGGTAACAGAATACAACAAAAATTAATTCAAATTATATTTAATAAAGCGCTTATCATAGGAAATTATTGTAGGCAGGCATTTATAGCTGTTGAAAGAGGATACCTAGACTCCATTGGAGACCTTTTGGCTGAAAGAGCTAGCTTACAGTTTGATATACCGGATGGGTTAAATTCCTATGAAACATATCAAAAGTTTCCTCACTTGGTTAGTTGACTCGGCTTAATAATGATTTTAGAAACCTATAAATATTATTTATGAGTTTTTTTTTTTTATACAGGTTGATAAATTAAATGCACTAAACTGTGAATTGTCAGCAGGAACTAGTGCAGTTTTAACTCTTATATACAGTGGAAAGTTGTATGTTGCAAATGTTGGTGATAGTAGAGCTTTATTATGTAAAACAGATAGTAATCAAGTTCTAAGGGTTGTACAATTAAGCGTGGACCATGATTTGAGGAACGAAGATGAATTACTAAGATTGTCTCATTTAGGACTAGACATTGATTCCATAAGACAGGGTAATTTAATAAAGTTATACACAATAATCTCTCACTACAGCCCTGTAACTAGTCAGCGACGAAATATTTTATAATAATTGAATTTAAAGGATCTCATCTTGGTAATCAAGAAAATACACGTTGTCTTGGAAACTATCTCGTCAAAGGAGGATACAAAGAATTCGAAGAATTAGCCTCTGCTGCGGCCGAACCAGTTATCGCTGAACCTGAAATTCATGGAGGAATAGAGCTTGATGATTCTTGCAAATTTTTGTTGCTTATGTCTCGAGGTCTTTATAAATCACTAGAAGAAGTAACTGGAGTAGATCAAGTTAATATAAAATTGATTAATTTTGCAGTTCAAGAGGTATAAAACAATTGAAATATTGATTGATAACAATTCGATTAATTAATTAATTAACTTTTAGTTTCAGGTGCAGTCCACTTTGACTGGAGTTGCTCAAGCTGTTGTAGATAAAGTTGTAAGAATTCATCATGACATTAATATGAGCAATTCTAAAAGTACAGTCACTACCGGTAAACGAGACGATATAACTCTTCTCGTACGGAATTTCAACTTCCCACTTCCTCATGCGTTGAAAAGTCCAACTAATCAGTCAGTTAGATTTAATCCAATTGTAGAATCTGCTCCGCCAACAACAACGTCAGAGACTTATTCGAGTACGGGTATCGCGGAAGAGAATTCAGATATGTCAACTGAATCCTCGTCTACATCAGACATGTATCCTCCTGGTGCAAGACCAACAAACAGAAATGCTAGAATCAAGCCTTATGTTAATTTCTCAGACTACTATGAAAATGTTGAGAGAAGACGTCGGGAGGGAACGTTACCTGAAGGTATTAATTTTTAGTATGATTATACGTTAAGTGTAAAATATATTTATAAATTAAAACATTATTTGTACATACATAGTGTCTTTGTATATGTGACTTTTAAATAAGAATTAAAAATACAAATCACCTTGTAAATGAACAAAAATATGCTTGATAATAGATTTCGCGTTAACAATTCATAATTTGAAGGTTGATCATCTCGAGTATTTCAAAAGTTTACAAATACTTTGTTGGATTAGTTTTAAGTCTTTCGTATGCTGCTTTCTCAAGACATTCTCTGTGATCAGGGTGAGCAATTTGAATCAGTGCATTCACTCTTTGTCGTAATGTTTTACCAAAAAGTTGAGCTACTCCATGTTCGGTAACTATATAATGGGCGTGTGCTCTTGTTACTACAATTCCACCACCTGTTTAACAACAAATGATTTTTAGTATAAACTGAACAAGATATCTTGTTACGTAAATTTAATTTCGTAATTTCGTAATTTCGTACCGAGTTTAATTACAGGCTGGATTTTACTTTCTCCCTTGCTGGTAACCGAGGGGAATGCAATTATAGCTTTTCCTCGACCATCTTGACCCAACGCAGCACCTCGAGTAAAATCAAGTTGCCCTCCAAAACCAGAATACAATTTACAGCCTAAACTATCGGAACATATTTGACCAGTGATATCCATTTCTATGCATGAATTAATAGCAGTCATTTTTGGTTGTTGCGATATTACACGTGGATCGTTCACGTAATTGATGGCAAGCATTTCTATATAAGTAAATATTTTTATAAAGTTAAGAAAAATACTTTTAAATATTATAAATGTGGTTAAGAAGTTACACATTCAACACACCTACGAAAGGATTATTATGTAAAAAGTCATACACTCTTTTGGTACCGATAGCCAAAGAAGTGACCATACGTCCTCTGTGTTTAATTTTCATTCTGTTTGAAATATTTCCCCTTTCCGCAAGATCTACCATTGTGTCGCCAAAAATTTCCGTGTGTACACCAAGATCTTTGTGATTGGCAAGAGAGCAAAGAACAGAATCAGGTATATTCCCAATACCAAGCTGTAAAGTTGCTCCATCATCCACCAGTCTTGTTGCTATGATCTTGCCAATTTCTTGTTCAATTTCATTAGGTGGAGTACTACTGGCTACGCATGGTAAAGGACAATTATATTTTACTGCCCAATCAATATGACTAGAATGAATGACCGAATCTCCGAATGATCTTGGCATGTGTTCGTTGACTTGGGCTGGGTGAGAAAAAATATTATTTTCATTTCATAAAATTGCTAACAACTATTAAATGCCTATTACTTACCAATGATAACTTTGGCTGTACTAAGAGCAGCACGCGTGCAATCCACGCTTACACCTAAAGAGCAGAAACCTCGGGCATCCGGGGAGCTGACGTGAATCAAAGCGACATCAGGAACGATTCTTGATTCATAAAAAAGTTTCGGTACTTCGTGGAGAAATATTGGGATATAATCCGCTCTGCCTTCGTTCACAGCCTCCCGAAGATTCGCTCCGATATAAAAACTTATGGATCTGAAGTGCTCTGAAATATATAATTGTTACCCAAGATTAATTTTAATCTTGACTAATTCGACTGATTTGTTACGTTCACGATAATCATAGAATGTCGTACTCTCAAATTCAGGACTTGCAAATGGTGCATCTCCTTCGAGACCCATATGAATCAATCGTACTCCACGCAAATTATTGCAAACACCATGCTCGGTCATGGCACGTATCAGTTCATTAGGTGTTGCTGCACCTCCTTGGATAAAAACTAAATGCTCTGAAATAATGAATTTAGGGTAATCGAGAGTCTCTTTAATTATAGATTAATATTAATATTGTATTTGACGAACCAAAAGTCACAAACATAAATACCTGAATTTATAATTTTCACTGCGTCTTCGACGCAAACCCATCGTGGACATCGTTTCAAGGGTTGTAAAGGTTCTCGTAATACGTATCTAACGCCAATATTAAACGGATTTTTTGGTATAATTTTCGAGAATGTTGACTCTAAATTTCGACGAAAATTAAGACTAAACATCTCGACGGAAAATGTATGGACACGTCAAATAATAATTATCCAAAAATATCTGTCGGTACTTGATTAACGATAAAATATATATATCAAATACAGTAAAATTTAGATGACACATAATCTAAAAGATTTCTTTAGTTTCAAATATCAGTTAACATCAGATCACATTAGATTCGTTGCCATCTCCACGATAAGTATTTGAACGTCGCATTTGGCGGCATTCGATTTTTCAGTTTTTCGCTATACAGTAAAACAGGTAGACAAATAATCATGATGAAATATACACATTTCATTTTTAATTTACTGATTCAAATGCCATATACTTCCAATCGTTACAGTAATTGCATTGTACAGAGGAACGTTTCTTAAATTTCATATAAAATTAATTCATTGTTATTATACACCGTTTCAGCGATATTCTTAACGTTGAATACTTATTTAAACTAAAAGATTCTTTTTTAATTTTCAAAAGCTAGTATGTCTCGTTCGTTTAAAATAAAATTAATAATATTTATTCAACCTGTATATTCTTAATCGGCTTTTTTTTTTTTTCTCCTCGAATCTATATTATTCTTTTCTTGGCAAGAAAAAAAAAAAAAAAAACAGTTACATGAAATCAAGAAATATTTATGGTAGTTGTTTTCAAACGCAGATCGACGTTACGCGCGTATTAACAACTATTGCAAAATGCTATTAGAAATATCCTTTGCGTGTGGCTTTTTTAGAAATGCTTATGGCGCTGGCATTACGTGCAGACGTTCAAATGCTGATTTTTCCAATGCTTCTCTGTGATCGGGATGGGCAACTTGAATCAGTTCGTACGCTCGTTGTTGAAGATTTTTACCAAACAAACTAGCAATTCCATGCTCTGTGACCACGAAACGAACGACTGCTCTGTTCGTAACGACACCAGCACCTTCGAACGATAAGTATAAATTAATATCGAATAGTTCCTCTTTAAGAATAGTTTTAACATACCTAATTTTAAGACTGGTTGAATTTTGCTAACACCTTTCGAAGTAACAGATTGTAACGCAATGATAGGCTTTCCGCAATGGTCGTCGCTGATCGCTGCACCTGTGATGAAGTCTAATTGTCCACCAAATCCGGAATACATTTTAGTTCCAATACTGTCGGAACAAATTTGACCAGTGATATCAACTTCAATACAGGAATTGATGGCTGTCATGTTTGGTTGCTTCGCTACTATCTTTGGATTATTCACGTAATCCACTACCAGCATTTCTGTAACCAATAATTCATATATTATTTTTCCATTGAATTTAATTGAACAAATAAAATGGACTTACCAATGAAAGGATTGTTGTGCATAAAGTCGTACAATTTTTGTGAACCAACGCAGAACGAGCCAACGATCCTGCCTTTGTGCATTGTCTTACGATTATTCGTGATACATCCCTTGTTTACCAGATCTACTACACCATCGCTAAACATTTCACTATGAATTCCAAGGTCTTTGTGATTGCCAAGAAGCGACAGCACCGCGTCCGGTATGCTACCGATACCCATTTGCAAGGTAGCTCCATCTCCTACTAAATTCTCAGCGATATATTTACCGATTTGCTGTTCTTCTTTCGAAGGTGTTTTTACAGGATGTACCGGAAGTTGAACGTGGTGTTCCACGGCGAAATCCAAATGACTTACATGAATGATGGCATCGCCAAATGTTCTTGGCATGTGCTTGTTCACCAATGCTGTAAGCGGTCGATTAAAAATAAGTTCTTCAAGAAAAAGTCAACAAGCATTTTTATAATAATTTAAGTAAGAATGAATTTGAAAATTTACCTACGATGTGTTTTGATTTACTCGCGGCAGCTCTTACGCAGTCTACGCTAGTACCGAGCGAACAGAATCCTTTGTCATCAGGGGGTGATACGTGTATAAGACTGATGTCTGGTTTAACGTATCCTTCGTCGAACACTCGTGGAATCTCGTGTAAGAATATTGGAATGCAGTCAGCGTGACCTGCCTGAACAGCCGGTCTTACGTTGCCCCCGATAAAGAAGCTGATAGACCTGAAATGTTCTGTATGCAAAGCGTCATAATCCATAAACGTACAACCATGCTTACGTAATCAAATTATAAAATTTTGGTACTCTGAGAAGATACGTCCCACACTTGAAAAGGGGAACTTCCCGCGTATCTCTCTCCGAGATTTCGCATATTGATAAATCGTGTCATTACGAACCTACTTATACAGATACGTCGCTTTGAGCATACAAATTTACAAGTATAATCTCCGTTACTCGCGATATAAATATATTACGGGTAGAAAAAAAGTAAAAAGGATAAAAATGAAATTCGTCCACGTGGATTTGAACTGGCGCCCAAACAGAAGGTATTTCTTTATCAGCTTATCATCTAACAGGCGATGTAGATTTCCTGAAAACTTTAATTCTCTAGATTTGCTGTCGTACATACATGTATAGAGTAATTGGTAATAACATGATCTATCAAAATCTCAGTTAAATCTCCTTGTTGAAAGGGATTAGATGTTATCTTCGATAAAGCGTACCGCAAATAAAAGCGATCGATCAACGAGATCGCGATAACGTACTTGCCATTTCCGGTTTTGCGTATGGAGCTGGGCCTTCTAGATGCATATGATACAATCGTACATTCCTAACGTCGCATCGTACACCATAATCAGTCATTGCCCTTAATAATTCGACCGGCGTCGCTGCCGCTCCCTGAACGAATACCGCTTGATCTGCAAAACAAAATTAGCAATAATAATTATTCATTTGATTCTGACTAGGAAAAAAGAAGTAAACATGGGTATATATTTTGCACGATTTATTTCTGTAACTGGGTCATAAATGATCCTGTATCTGCTATGCGAAGGTTAAATAGTATGGTAATATTTAACATTCATTCCCTTCGGTAAATTCATTCTTTGGCTGAATAGGTGGGTCAACCTTGACCTTTGCGGTCCCTCCATTTGGCAGAAAAAGAATCCATTTGAATCGAATACACGAGACACGCTGCTGTAACGTTAATAAAATTTTTAGCTAAGATTTTTATTTTATTTATATCATATAGAGAGGCTGAATTGAAATAATGTTCATCAGCAAAGATATTCAGCCGCATAGTTGCATGTTTACGTATGCGTGTCGAGGTCAATGTTTCTCGTGGTGTTCTATATTCGACAGTTCTAGCTCGGTAAACAAGTGTTTTAATAATAAATTTCTTTCATTCGAATTCGATCATCTCCGATATTACGTAATACCTAACATCGATTAGAATCGATGTAACTTTGGTTCGCGATTCAAATGATAATCACTTAATTGTCTACATTAGTAACGCATTAACTTTTAAACGGATGCAACGATAACGAAAGCTAAGTACTTGCTATGATTATAACGATCGCATATATAGAACAATGATCGTTTTGTGCAACAAAAGGCATCGTCATGAAAGGCGATACGTTTTATCATCCTTGGCGTATCTGATTCACCGTTAATCAGAAGTCATCTTGTATTCCCAATAATTCTACGATTTTCAATCAATAATATATTAATAATAAAACAATCCTTACGTTATTGGGTTATTTACCAAAATAATGACTTCGTCATTGTTTATTTTTATTCGTCATAATAAGATAATTTTATTGATTGAATGAGACTGGAAAACGTTAAAAAACATTTTGCATTAAAATTCAACTTGACTTTCGGATTTTATAAATAAATGAAATTTAATACGTAATGAACTATTTATCTATTTAGAATAAACAATTGACTTCGTAATGTTAACGATAAGTATGCAGCTGGATACGTGGAAGAGACAAAGATCATTCTCATTCTTATACAATGCGCAGTATAAATATAGTATTCGACGATCAATCGAAAACAAGAAATGACATAGCAATCGGGGAAACATTTTATTCATGTTTTTTATAAAGATATTCCAGCATCTGTTTCTATGCTACTACAATCCGACTCTCTTTAAGTCAATCATCGGTAATTTATGTTCGTTGAGTACATACACGGTATATAAAATACATTACGTAATGAACAATATCTTTCTAAATTAAACATGATTTAAATTCAAATGCATTCGTCAACTCGTATTCTTCGTAATTATTTTGGAACAGAAGAAACAAATCGGTTGATTTAAAATATTATTACATTAACGAACAGCGATAATATAATGTGTTGTTTAGTATACTTGAAATTGATTATTTCACGCTATAATTTAAATTAAAATAAAAGAGCGCCAAAATGACTGCATAAAATAAACATTATCCACGTACGATGCAGTCAAGTTGAATACGATCTAATGTAAAATCACTGTTTCATCTATTTTCTTTTTTAATTTTTGTTTCTTTTAAGATTTACAAATAAATTTACATAATCTCATTACATATTTTAACAGAAATGCTAAAGGTAAGATTTAATTAAAAATTATTCTAGATCCACCTTCATTTGGAAAATATTTCATTCAATTTCAAAACGTAAATATTAGATTTTACAAGACAGATGAAGAATTATGTTAAAGTAGTGGCAAACCACTAACAACTGATCCTTATTATCGCAATCCTTCGAGGTTAGTTTGCAAAAAAAATAGTTCTAATTAACACGATACTATTTTGCTAAAAGAACCAAGTGGATCAATGTTTAGTATATCGATTTAATACCGAAATGAAAATTTTTACACATGATATGTTCAAAAATATCGTCAATTAATTGTACCTGAATCTAGTTCCGCTTTCTCGATGGCTTCATCAGCAGTTTTCAGCCAACAAGGTTGTTTGTCTGGTATTGGCATAGAAGGTTCATCCACGTACGTAAAATAGGTCTTTTTCGATGATTGCAAACAAGGACGAGACGTAGTCGCCACTGTTTTAAGACTTTTTGATAGGTCGATTATACGTTTAAGAGCCGCCATGGTTCACTTTATATACTGTATTTTTCTGTCAGTGCAGCACGAGAACACAGTGTCGAGTGGAACGACGATAAAAAGAAAATTATTGACAAAGAAATTTATAAATAATGCAAGGTATAGCATTAAAAAAAAAAGAAATTAAGAAATTTTTGTACACCACTTTAAATAAAACGAACTTTTTAAATTCGCGTATATCCTCGAACCAGCCGCCACCGTGTCTCACTGCACACTCGCGCCTTCTCGGCGCGAAATTATCGGTAAAAGCAGTATGTACCACTACGGAAACCAAACTAACAATAAGATTAGGTCAAGGTTTAAAATAGACGAATTTTATGACATTTTGTTTTTTAAATCAATTAAATAAATATTAAAGTAATTAAAAATACAAAATTCGGAATAACTTTAGTCTATTACCTGATAGTAATTTTTTATATCATTGAATAATAATTAACACGCAATTTATTCTTTAAAACAAATAAAATATATAATAATTTAAATATTTGTAATATTCTTGTATAAAATTAATTACCAAATTTAGAAATATTTCTATCGAATACTAAAAATAAAGTATTTGCATTTAAATAAGCCGCGACTATGGCAAGTGGATAGGTAACTTAAATAATATCCATTTTTGCAATTAAATGTCACGATTTTTCCTTGGATATAATTCTAATATATTTTTTCATATTTCATTTTTATTTCAGTTGCTTGTTTTAAAATAATTTGCTTTCAATTAAATATGAAATGAATTGCTTAGTGTAAGCCACGTGATCGCACGTGCCATTACATCTGTCTTTGTCGAGTGACTAGTATTCGCTATATTTATCAATTTGCTAAAATAAAGTTCATGTAATTTGTATTTTGTAAAACAAGGAGGTGAGATAATTAATAAAAAAGTTTATTCTTCATTCGCGTTAATATTTCTAACTAATTTCTGTTATTTTGAAGAATATGGCACTATTTTCTTTAATTTGAATTTAATTTTCGAAGTTGTCCCCACTCTTATATTTAGTCCGTCTCTTTTCATTGAAGTAGCAGCAGTAGCGAGCAGTAGTACCTTTTGCTGTTTGATCGAGGTAACAGATCAGGGAAACCGTTCGACAAAATGTATCCTAAAAATATTGGAGAACGCCAAGCCGTGAAAGAGCATGTTATGGCTGTTTCGAGAGATTTCATTTCGCAGCCACGGCTCAGTAAGTATCTACATTTATTTTAGTAAAACAGATAAATGTAAATCGGAAAAATCACAAGCATCCGACGTAAACTGGGCGTAGCAGTGGATCGATTTGCAACTAATCAGCTGATCCCAAAAGTACTTGCCTTTTAATTGTTTATGATAAATGAAAAAACTTGTTTTAGCTATTAGTATGTGCTTTGAAATGTCAAACTTGTATGCTTTACCAAGTTAATTATACATCAAACTTTTCAGAAGAGTATGTTAGATCCGTCATGTGACTGTGGACAGAGATACTGATAAATTTCTTTTTATTATGCTTGCATTGTTATTAAATATATACATGTATTTGTATAAATAAAATTTTCTATATTAATGTTTTGTAAATGATCAAATAAATTGGGAATATTAATATTTAAAATCTGTTTTTACTTTTATAGCATATAAAACAGTATCAGGTGTAAATGGACCATTGGTGATATTGGATGAAGTCAAATTTCCAAAGTTCGCAGAAATTGTTCAATTAAAACTTGCCGATGGATCGATCAGGTCAGGTCAAGTCTTGGAAGTATCTGGCTCCAAAGCAGTGGTTCAAGTATTCGAGGGTACTTCTGGTATCGATGCAAAAAATACCCACTGTGAATTCACTGGAGACATTCTTCGGACTCCAGTGTCTGAGGATATGTTGGGTCGTGTTTTCAATGGATCAGGAAAACCGATTGACAAAGGTCCTCCCATTCTTGCTGAAGATTACTTAGATATCGAGGGTCAGCCTATTAATCCATGGTCGCGTATCTATCCTGAGGAAATGATTCAGACCGGTATTTCAGCAATTGATGTTATGAATTCTATTGCTCGTGGTCAGAAAATTCCTATTTTTTCTGCTGCTGGTTTACCGCATAACGAGGTAAATATAGATAATATATATTTATTTCATTATTAATGTATTTGATTTTTTTTTTTTGAACTTTCATTTTACAGATTGCTGCACAAATTTGTCGCCAAGCTGGTCTTGTAAAATTGCCTGGAAAATCAGTTCTGGATTCTCACGAGGATAATTTTGCTATTGTATTCGCAGCTATGGGTGTAAATATGGAAACTGCACGTTTCTTCAAACAAGATTTCGAGGAGAATGGTTCCATGGAGAATGTGTGCCTCTTTTTGAATTTGGCCAATGATCCAACCATTGAAAGAATCATTACTCCGCGTCTTGCTTTAACCGCTGCCGAGTTTCTAGCGTATCAATGCGAAAAACATGTTTTAGTTATACTCACTGACATGTCTTCTTATGCTGAAGCTCTTCGTGAGGTATCAGCTGCCCGTGAAGAAGTACCCGGACGTCGTGGTTTCCCTGGTTACATGTACACCGATTTAGCCACCATATACGAACGAGCTGGGCGTGTCGAAGGTCGAAATGGTTCCATTACCCAAATTCCAATTCTAACTATGCCAAACGATGATATTACCCATCCTATTCCTGATTTAACTGGATATATCACTGAGGGTCAAATCTATGTGGACCGTCAACTTCATAACAGACAAATCTATCCACCTGTGAACGTACTTCCGTCTTTATCTCGACTTATGAAATCTGCTATTGGCGAGGGTATGACACGAAAAGATCACTCTGATGTATCTAATCAATTGGTAGGTGATACCTTCTTTAAAATTATTTTTAAATCTACACAGTATTATAAAATCAACCATTATTTTCTTACAGTATGCTTGTTACGCTATTGGAAAAGATGTACAAGCTATGAAAGCTGTTGTTGGTGAGGAAGCCTTAACGCCAGACGATCTGTTATACCTAGAATTCCTTTCCAAGTTTGAGAAGAACTTCATTTCTCAAGGAGGTTACGAAAATCGTACCGTTTTTGAATCATTGGATATCGGTTGGCAATTGCTACGTATCTTCCCTAAGGAGATGCTTAAACGAATTCCTGCTAGTACTCTAGCTGAATTTTATCCAAGAGATTCGCGTCATTAATCTTTCTTATTTCTATAATTCAATTACCTTTTATGAAGAAGAAAAAAAAAAAATGTAAATGAAAGATGGTAAGAATAGAAAGGCCTGACCCGAAAAAGAATAGTAAAATGTTTATAGTATGTTGAAAATGTAAGTACGATACCAATAAAGTTATTTATGTTACCGAAACCTTAAAGAAAAATTTAAATAAAATTATTACATGTATGAAAACATTGAATATGAAGTTTGAACAATGTTGAGAAACATGTAACATTAAAAATATTTGTACAGAATTTATGCTGAAAGGGTCAGCGCCATGTTATACTATTTAACGTTGATCTTGTATGATTAATACAATTTTGATTATATTTTGTTTTGTGCAAATACTTCACTCAAAAGTGATCGTTGTAAAGTGTAATATATTCTACAGTATTAACATAGAGAAAAAAAAAAATACGATTGTAAAATTATATTTTTTTGTCCTACATTCCACGATAAAATTTTGATTTCTGAAATATTATGCTATTTCGCCTACACAATATTGAATGTTATTTGATGTTGATAAAAGTATTTATGGATAAGCAACCGTTTGGTCTATCATTCACTCTGTTATTTTAAAATAATATACTTATTTCAAATAAACATGTAAAACATATGTTGTAGTTTAAATATAAACATACATGCATTTGTTTATTTATACTGCTATTGTAATGATCAAATGCATGATATCTACGTAAAATATATGTATATACATTTGAAAAGTTCTAACACTATAAACAAATATATACATATACATGTTCAGTATGTTTTTCTTTTTTTATTATTTTACAAGAGAATAGAATAAGTCAAGAAAACATGATTGTAGTAACATCTTATAAACTATATATGTTCAATCTGTGCAAAACATGTTACATACCTTCACAATCTGTGTATTGTTCTTTAGTTACATTAGAATATTAATTCTTATTTAATGGTCAAGTTTTCGCTGCTAATTGATGGACTGCTAATTGAACACGGAGCTCGATGCAGGCATCTTTTTCTTCTATGATACTCCGGATCAAGGTAGTCATCTTTTTCTAAAACAAACAGGTACAATATAAATATATATTTGAAATTAGTAGAATTATGATAAGTATCGTATGATATGGGTTATATGTACTTCAAGTAATTGATTTTCTTTGACTAATTGAATCATAGCTGTCATTTCTGCTTCATTCGGCGAATGTACTCTTTCCTTTGGTTTCTTTTTCTCTGGAACACGTTCGGCTAACATTTCCATCAGTCGTTTTATTTCATTTCTTTCTTGATTTATCCGCGATTTTAGTAACGCCTGCATATTTAACAATTCTTCATAAATTAAACTCTCTCTTAATTTGTCTATAGCATTTTCAGGCTCGGATTTTGTTACTAAAACTAAAATAACATAATTACATTTAATCATTGGAAAACAATACGACGTCATTCGTGGTTCGTACCATTTTCGTTTCTTCTAGATGTACTTTCTTGTTCATTAGATTGTGATACAACTGCAGATGGCTCGGCAGAATCAACAATATCCTTGTCAAATGTATGAGTGTTTCGTTCATTTTGAACAGTATTTGTACTTGTTAAGTCTTTATTGTTTTCGGGAACATGTGCTTTATTATTTTTTTTCAATGTCAAAGTAGATGCTTGTGTTTCAGGTTTTACATGTTCTGCATCTTCTTCTTCTGTCTTTGTCTTCTGAATATTTAATTCCACCGCAGTTTCATCATTCAGTTTTACCTCTTCGTCTAAGCTTTTCTGTACAGCACCTTCCATTTTTTGAACTGTTTTATATTTTCTCTAAAAAGATAAATGGAACTTAATAAGTTCTAGTATAGTTTTTTATAAATATTTATAAAAACTCACCTTTAATTGCGTTATCATACGTTGGACTTCCCATAATTGCTCTTCACGCGATTTAGTAACAAAACCGGCGTTCATTTGCATATGTATCTGTGAAAGCAACGATTCTTGTTTAGATAATTCAGCAGCTATACTTTCTACAGTATCTGGAAGATTAACACAGCCGGCTGAAAGCGGTGGAACGTATTTTGTTAACTGTACATTCGGAAACAGAGCTTTGCAATGAAGCAACAATGCTAATAAGAGTCTGTGACTCATTTGTAACACAGGACTTAACGTCATTGAAATTGTCTGAGCATTCATTTTTGTTGTCTTTTCCTGAAATCAAATTTCACATGAAACATATATATGTATATATGTGCGTGTGCATATTATACTCAGTTTTCTACATACTCGTGCTGTAATATGATCTAAATGTAGTATAACCCATGCAAGAAGAACTTTGTTACATTCAGGAAGTTGTTGAGTTAGATGTATTAATTGTGCTTCTCTTTGAGCAACGTCCTTTGTCGATGCCGCTTGTTCAAACCGAGATATCATTTCACTGTTGTCCAGCACAGGTTCTGGCAACTCTCTATAATAGTAAAATCTTTGTTTTCATTTCTTTTACTTGAAAGTTTGAAATGAAAATTTCAGTGACAGACCTAAGGAATAATATCAATAAACTTGTAGCTACTATGGGTTCAAATTCAGACATATTCACTGCTTCTCTATGATTGTATAACTTTTTCAAGTATTGAACTTTTGATTTTACTCCTGGAACTTTGTACAGCCCTTCTATATTCATACCATGCTCTTCCACAAAATCAATGCAATCCCTTACAACCAAGGGTAGTTCAACACCATCGTGACAGCGACTTCTTTCCACTGCTAAATGTAGACTAACACCAAACACTGGTTGTTCCTCTAAAAGAAATTTATTTAATGTAGGATTAAAAATTTTCAAAACAGATTTTCATATCTTTTTTTACCTCCAATGTCTAACCCATCTTCTCCTATATGCTTTCCTTTTTTACGGTCTTTCAATTTTTGTTTAGCTTTATCTTTCTCCTTTTCTTTACGTTTCTCTTTCTCTACATCCTTCTCATCTTTGTCCTTTTTCTTCTTATCTTTCTCTTTTTCCCCATCCTTCTCTTTGCCCTCTTTTTCTCTAGATTTTTCACGTTTCTCTTTTTTCGATGGAAACTTAAAAGCTTTGGTTTTTTTAGATTTTGAAGGACTTCTGTGAGTTAAATCATATGCTAGTTCAAGTAATAAAGTAGTTGTATATAACATATAAAACAATTAATTTATATTTCTTATTATTATCATCATAATTTACAATCTATTCATTTCTCTTTATGGTTTACTTATCACTTCTCTGAATATAAAGTACTATAACTTTTATAATAAAATATACATTTACTACAGAGATAAGGATCAAAATAATTAATAATATCAAATCATAAATATTTGTAATAAGTTTGTTCTCCATTTGAAAGGAACTGTTTTTAAAACTGTGTTAGTATGCACGAGTAATATAATCAATATAACTAATTTTACACCGATATGAAGTTTAATTAACATAACAGTGCCAACAATATGTGAAAGTTAAAGTTACTTTGTGATGCAATTTTAATTTCAAAGGAAAAGGGTCATTTGATATTCACTATAATGAAAAGTACTTAAAATTAGAAGAGATGTAAATATAACAGGTTTAAAGGATAACAGGTAAAACAGAATGGATTTTTAATAGGCAAAGAGATAATGGATTGAAAACATAATTTGTAGAAAATCTTTTGGAAAACATTACTTTGTTTCTTGATCTTCGTCAGGGGAACTTTCACCTTCTAAGGTGGCATATCCTCGATCCTTTCGATCTTTCTTCTCTTTTCGTTTACCGCCGAGAAGTTCTTTTTTGGAATGTTTTTCGTGTCCACCTTCATCGCTAACTAAAAATATATGCACACAATTTTTTTTAACGTTTAATTAAAACGTGTCATTGAATAAAAAACGATACACAGTACTTGATTATAGTAGCTCGCATGACAGATGCATAACCTTATTCGTTAAAATGTTCGTACCTTTGGAACAATTAAGTAATTTGATAAATTATGATACGTACAGTCACTTTCGTTACTTTTCTTGGCTGATTCTGATGCATATAATCCTGGAAATTCTTTTTCTACATCCGGACTTTCGAAATCCATCCTCCGTCACTTACGATACCTTAACCGACTTAAAAATCTTGGTATCAAACTATCGATTATCCCGTTCGAGTTTTTCTCTCTCGATTGTTCAAAACTGCCTTGGCGCCAACTTGATTATTATGAAAATCGAATTAATTAATTCATGTCTCGTACATCGGAAGGGAACCATGGTTTAAAAGGAAGACCATCGGCTTCTTTACTAGCCATATAAGTAAAATATGCTTGTTTAAACGATGTCGAAGGAAATTTTCCATACTCCATCGTATTCCACATTGTTCGCGCGTATAAAACACGATTTTTACGAACTTGACTATAAAATATAGCTTTTTTCATTGCGATCTATAAATAAATATAATAATAATAATTTTATGTAATATAATTCGCATATATTTGCTACAGCGATATACCTTTTGTTTCATTTCTTTTGCATTGTCAAAAGTTAAATTTGTAATTTCATATTTTGTCAGATCTAAGGGAGGTGTTTTAATTTTATGTGATTTTTCTACATCTAGCACATTCCACAAGTCAATACTCTCATTCACTGATTTTACTGTAAAAAAAATACAGTACATAATAGCATATGAAGAATCATATATGTAGAAACATTTTACTTACTTTTATCTGCATCATTAAGAACAAATCCTTTCCTATACATTAACCAGTATTGTAATTGTGGCATAAAGAAACATTTTGGTAATTTTGCAAATAGAAATCCTTCAGTTGCCATTTTCTTTAACTCGATCTAATCATTAAATAATATAAGTTGTTGTATTTAATATTTAATTTAAAGTTTATAAGAAAGAAATTATACCTGGGCTATAATCATAAAATGATCGTCAGTATCAAAATAATCTTCTTCAATATTTTCATCAGAAATATTTACATTTTCGGTATTTAAATTAGGAGATTCATTTTGTAACTGGGGATTAACATTTCTGTTTTCATACGATTGTGTATTTCGTAGGTTTTTTAAATAGCTTGTTTCATTTTCAACATTTCTATTTCCTTTATACGAGCTCCTTAGTGGATTTCCTTGTGCTAATGGATTTTTAATATTGCTTCCTTCATTTTCAATATTCCTATTTCCTTTATATGAGCTTATTATTGGATTTTCGGTGGTTCCTTGTGCTATTGGATTTTTAGTATCTGATTTCTTTCTATTAATACTACTATTCAATTTCATCTGCTGTTGTTGTTGTTGTTTGTTACTTAATTGTTTTCGTTGTCCTTTTTGATTCGTTGATTTACTTTTAATTGACATAATTTTCTCTGAATATGATGTTTTAACACTATTATTATTTCGTACATTTTCATTTATAATCTCATTATTTTCTGAACCAGAATCTGGCATACAAGGTTCTTGACAACTGTGACCATCGTGTGTATCATACACCTTTTGAGGGGCATAAATCTGTCTGAATGCTTTTATTACAGCTTCCTGTCTACGTTTTTTATCACCAAGTATAATTTCTTCTGGTTTTGGCAATGGCCCAGGGGGTATATTTATAGCTGACCAATGCTTATGCGAACAAACACACGGTAATTTCTCTTCACTTGGTTCAGGCGTTTGAACCGGTGTAGACATGTGTAGACCATCTACTACTTGTGTAGGTAACGATTCAGAGTAATTCTCAGCAACACCAGTTATACAATACTTAATATCATCTATATATTCATTTTCTCTCGGAATTCTTTTCACACCTGATATCATTAATTTTGTATTTGCTACCACTGGCTTTGAGATATCCGCGACATTCATATACGGTTGTTTTTTCAGCGATTTTAATTTCTTCTCACGTTCTTTCCATTTCTGTTTTTCTTCGGTGTGTTCTAATATTTTTCTTTCATATTTACATTCACAGACTGGTCTTTTAGATTGGAGTTTCGGCTGTGGCAATGAACATCCCATTTTATTAAATTTAGCACACTTTAGCCAACAAGGAATACTATCTCTGCACCTTGTAAAATAATCAATCAATCCTACATCGTTTAGCGCTAGTTTCCAACGCTCTTCCGGTGGTTTCGCGTTTATTAATTCTTCTCTAACTTTCTCAAGCTCCTTCGTTGTTTGAACTTCCCCATTTTGATCTAGGGGTTGAACACCATACGTATCAACGTATTCATTACATCCGCATGAATCTTGATTTTTCGAGGTTTCTGATATTTTAGGTCCAGTATACTGCGCGAGAAACTTAAGTTGCTTATCTTTACGTTGTGTAAGGCACATATCATAAGGAGATTTTAAAAGATCATACTCAGGTACATACTCGTCGCTTCTACGTGGACTTGGAGGTGGTGTATAATAAATAACACCATCTATAACTTGCGTTTGTTTGTCATCTTCATCTTTCTTTCTCTTGAATAGCCTTTTCTGATTAACATCTTTTTTGCTACCTATAAGCCCTCCTATATTGTACATTAGTATCTTTTTCTTTGCTCTATTTTCGCGGCAAAGGCATGGTTTACCCCCTGGCCGAACTGCTATTGTTTCCGGGGGATAGTCTGGTTCACTAAGATAAACTAAAGTTTTCTTTGTTGGTAACTTTTGTTCCGATTTTGTTCTCCAACCGCAAGGACCTTTACTTGGTAACTGCTTATCTATACCTTCATCAATTTTTTCGGAATCATCTGTAGTTTCTGTATATTCATATTCTGGTTGACATTTTGTTGGAGGTTCTGCTGGAATATCAACTGGCTTAACATCAGGAGGATAAATGTCAGGAGATTTCAACATGTTTTTTAAACCATGTATATAATTTTGTCGAATTATACCAGAGTCCACATCATAAATTTGTGCATCTTTCTTTCTATCTTTTTTTGTAAACTTCTTCTTCGCATTACTTGTTTTTCTTTTCTCGATATTCGTTGATAAAACTGATCTTGACTTGAGTTGACTTGATCGTTTTGATTTTAATGCTTTTCTGTCTGGGTTATTAATTTTAATATTCTCAGGATTATTTGATTTTCGTTCAGATTTTTTACCAAGCTGACTACGTCGTGCACTTGTTCTGTTAATTTTTGATCTGTCTGATATTCCTTCCTTACTTATTTTGCCTTTAATATTAAATCTGTTACTTGCTTTTTCGTTGAACGAATCTATCTTCTCTCGTTTAGATTTTAATTTTGTATTTTCAACAGTTGGTTTAGACGTTCTCACTGTCTGATGTAATTTATTTCCATTTTTCAAATGTTTCACGGACATAGTTTTAGTACTTAACTTTCTGTAGTCATGTTTATTTTTTATTGGTTTTGAAACCCTGTGATCTTCTATTTTATCACTTTGTAGCGTTTCTTGGGATACTTTCTTCCCTCTAATTTGAGTTTCTTTTTTAATACTGGTTGATCTCGACTTCCTTTTAGCAATTTTTCCATCGCTTTTGCGTGCAGATTTCTTTGAAATTTTTCCAGAAACTTTTAAACTATCCTTTGATGCAGATTTTTCATTTCCACTTATCAATGTTCTAGACGGTACAGGCGTTGACGGCGGTTTCGGAGAACTAAGCTTTAATAAATTTTTAAAATCTGTTTCTGATTCTTTCTTCGACGGTGCTGTACGAAATATATTCCATGGATCATCATAGCCAGGATAGTTGGGATCAGGGATGAATTTTTCAGTCTTCTCTTCCATCATCCTTTTCTTTGCTGCTATAATTTCTGGACTCGTATAACATCCCGTGTCCCGTTTCTTTTCTTTTTCTTTTTTAACAGGAGGGGGCTCTTTCTCCTCTTCCTCTGACTCTGACTCTTCTATCTCTTCCTCTTCTTCTAAATCTTCTTCTCCTGGAATTTCAGATTCGATTTCTATCTTTTTTTGTGGTTTTATAGATACCCGTCTCCCAAATGGTCCCTCGCAGACAGCTCGTCCAGCTTTCGTTCCACACGGAGGACCCTAAATAACAAAATATAGTATTAATGGAATTTTCAATAGATATAATTAAACGAAAATAGAGCATACTTTAAGTATCTCTTTCCGTAATTTTTCTTCTTCTGCTAATTCTTCTGGAGTTAAAGTATGTACAGCGCCCCAAGGTCCTCCGCAAATACCCATGCCGTGTTCATCTCCACACGGTTTAAAATCGGCAATGCTATACATTCCCTTCTTTGAAGAACCCCTCTCCTTTTCTCGTTTTTCTCTTTCAGCTCTGTGTATTCGTCTCATTATTTCTCCCCTAAATGGATTTCTTCTGCACGATTTGTCGCCTGGATACTTTTTACAAGAATATGCACCACCTTCGGATGGTCTGAATTTCTTTCCAAAGCATAAACCTTCATCTTTCGTCCATGGTATATTGTCCTGACTTAACGTTGGAGTTATATCTTTGTTAAATATTTGTTGAATCGTACAAACGCATGGTGGAACGTTTCTGGGCGGTGGAGGTGGTGGTCGCTGGACAATTCGGCGTGGCACACGTACCATGTCATCTTTCATGCCGGTAATAAAATACTGTGTTTCACCTATTTCATTCGTGACACCATTTATGACGAGATTCGAAGTAAGGACATCTTCTGAAGCTATAACTTCTAATAGATTCACTGTTGATTCTGGAGGAGTTGGTGCTGGAGAATGCATTGCCATTGATCCAATAATAGATCTACCAAACAAAAGAATTTTGTCAAATAACGAATCATCGATTTATCGATTTATCGAATAATTGGTTATTACTTGTTTTTATTATTATCTTCGGTTATCGTGTCTATCACGAAATAAGGTGCTTTTGTTTCCTTTGCTTTTAGATATGATTTTCTAGTTTGTCTACAAGAACAACAACTGTCACACGTAGGTTCTGGGAATACCAGTTTCGTTATAGCTTCTATATTTTTGATCATCTTGTTTGCTTCCCTTTCTACTTTCCGAAACTCTTCATCTACATTCTGTAACCATTCCTGCCAATGCCGAGATAAATTCTTTCTACCACTTGGATAAATCTTATTTGGTCCATCTCCAAGCTTTAGTACAGCAAAAAACCTTTCATCGCTATTAATTGGCGTTACATTTGCAACACCAGTCATTTCATATGTTACAGGACAAGTTGGTGGTTCATCGGCGGCTCCAGATATTATATAATGAACATGTTTTTCACCTAGCCAAGATTTCTTGTTTGGCTGAGGTGGTTGTAGAACTCCTAAAATATATGTTTGAAATAATGATAATTTATCAAAGTAAATGATCGTTTTATTCATGTCTGAACATTCACCGCATAGTTTATACTGTACTGGTCCTGATTTCTCAGAGATTCCATTGATTGTAAAATCAAACAATCTATTTCCACCATACAGTGGCGGAATATCAAGGGCAACTGATTTTTCAGAATCTTGTACTACTTCCTGATTTGTATTTACTGCATTGTCACTTTCTTGTTTAAATTCTTCATTGTTACTATCTCCTATATAAATATAAACATTAAAAACTTTGGATACCATGTTTTAAAGCAATACAATGTACCTGTATCTATCATAGAAGTATCACTTTCTTCTACTGCAGTAGGATTATTAGTAGAACTAATATTTTTTTTCATTTTGACTGGATTATTGGGAGATGTATAAGCAGCATCCTTCTCTTTTACTTTAACCAGACTGTCATACTTTTGTTTTGTACTGATAGAAGTATTCTTGTTTTGCTCTTCTCTTATCAAAGTATTAGGTCTTGATCTCTTTTCAGCAACAGGATTGTGGTGAATGCTTACTATTTTATCAGTTCTGTTTTCTCTAGTTTCAGAATTCACTTCTGTTCTTTTGTAATTCGTTAAAACACAATCTTTAGGAGGTAATATTACTTTTGGTAATGGTATTAATTGACATTCTTTTTTCCAACATTGTAATTGATTATAATAGGATGGCCAGTCTGGACGTATAAAAAGTTCTTCTTCATATGGAGATCCCATCTTTTGTCTCATTGGAAGTGCAGGTGCTGTAGCTATAACATAAATAGTATAAATATATATTGTATCTCCTATAAATTAATAATGCGTTTGACATTACGTTTAGGAGGTAATTTTGGTATCGTCACGGGTGGTAATCTTTTGTGCAATTCCACGACAGCTTCTGGTAAAGTTAAAAATGCAATAGCTGATAAGATTATTCTTTCATTGCAATCATAGAAGTCTTCTGAAATTAAAGGACATATAAAGAAAAATTTCTTTTATTAATGAAATAATTTAGCACGCATACTGTATCTTTCTTCTTCAAAATAATTTCCTGTTAGTACTTTATAAACCTCTCTAAGAAAGTCTATTGCACTGCAGTTAGAAGATTCTTGTAATTTTTTAATAACATCTGGTGCAGGAGCAAAAAATGTGGATATAATTCCTATTGATAAAAGTGTTTTTTGAGTACGATTTACCACCCTTTCTGCACAATCTTGATTCATCAAACATTGTAACATCATTAAGTTCTTTATCTATTAACAAAGAATATTTATTTCAATGCAAATAATTTTAGCAATTATTATATTACATAGAATGTTGCTATTAAATGTTATATGTACTTGATCAATAGAAAAGTCTTGATACCATCCAGGAGATTTGTCTTTGGATACATTTGTCGTGTCATTATCCTTCTGCTTCACATTATCAGTATTTTCAGCTGTTTCTTCATCGTATGCTTCTTGTTTCTGTTCCATGCTGATTTTACACTTTATATGTTTCTTGTGTTTATAATAACCAATACTATTAAGGAATTTTCTTGTGTATTACATAGTTGGTTCCTTCGCTTTGTTCATGATCTTGTAATCAGTGAATTGCATTTAAAATTTCAAAGCTGAACATTCATTTATTAGACATTGTTGTTATGTGGATCTTGTTAATGGATTAGTTGAATTATAAAACCCCAAAGGGTTTATAGACTTGTATTGTTCTCCATATTTTCTGTTAAATGAAATCTTTCATTAATTATTTATAATAGATGTTTTCTAAACATATTTTACATATACCTCTTACATCAAAATTAAGTATCGGATGTTATTGAAGATGCATAGCTTGAATGAAGCATTAATGATCCTTATAGATAATGGTAATTAAATAGTATGTTATTTTGTTAACTCCATTTGATTGTTGTTTCTGTTATACCTGTAAATTTGTTAAATATGTAATCAATGTATATGTTACTGTTAATTTAAGATTTAGTGAAATGAACATATCTACATATTATAAGTTATATAGAGTTTGTATACTGTAAACATTATTATTATCATTTGAGCTATAAATAGTTATTGTTTATTAGAATGATTTTATTATTGCTTTTTCCAATACGCTTAGTTCAATCACAACATAAATAAATATCATTTTTAGGACTTTTTACATTTACAATTTTAAAAAGTTTTCTCATATATTTATTACGGTAGTAACATCATAAATTTGTATTTGTTCAACTTTTATTTGAAACATCGTATTCTCTAGAAACAGTTCGACAACCTAGGGAGATTCCTATATGCACGATTGGTAACATATATATACATATATATAGATTCACAGATCAAGTTTCAAATAACGTATTTATATATTTATATTTGGATAGTTTGTTGTTAAAAATTATTTTTTAAACTTTTAAAAATATGGTAAGAACAAAAGCAGATCGTGTGCCTACAAAAGGTAAGAAAAATTAAAAGAAAAACATAATCTTAATGAGGTTCTGAAGAAAATTTTGAACGTTTCTTTGTTTCCTTCATTTATCGTTTCATTCAAGTACTATTTGCCTCCATTGTAAAGTGTATTTAATTATTAGAATTCCTATATTTAATTTTATTAAAAATTATTATTATTATTTACAGCTGTTGGTAGTAAAGCCCCATCTAAAACTGTAAAAAGTACACCTACTAAAAAAGCAGCAGGAAGCAGTAAAGGTAAACCTTTGCAAAATGTGATGATTTATATAAAATATATTAATCTAGTTAGATAACATAAAAGTTAAGGAGAAATATAATTTCAGGAAAAAGTTATTCAGGTGGAAATCCGTATCACCCAAGAGATACACCAGAATGGCAAAAGCCTATCACATATTTTATTAATCAAAATCCTACACACAAAGCAGAAGTATTATATAAATTTCCATTAGTACAATCCATTTAACTGATAAAGTTTACTACAATGAAATTTTTATATTTGCAGCAGAATGAAAATGGAAATGAAAATGAAAATCAAAATGAAGGTACCAGCAAAGAAACAAATAATGAGTCAGAATAAAAGTACCCTACACAATATTGTGATAATACCATTCAGTATTCAGTTATTTAAGAGGAAATTAATTTATTTTTTTATAAATAATACAGAAAGAGTTTAAGTTCAGAAAGACATTTAAGTTTTAATTATGTTGAATTACAACAGAAAATAAAAGTAGAAATAAGTATGTAAGGTAAAGTTAATATTTTTTATAAGACATTTGAAATGTATTCAGTGCCATAAATATAACTTCTAAGATTATAAGATTGAAATGTATCAAAATAAAACAGTGATAAAATAATAAATATTTTTTTCTAAGACTGTTTATACTACTTAAGTGTATATATTTTTGATAACATACAATTGATTTTACAATTTCTATTATTACATGTAAATTTGAAATTTAAAAACTATTCAGAACAAGTCATAAAAAGAAATGAACCAATCATGAAACAGTGTTTTGATGTTTCTTTTCTGTATAGTTATTGTTCCAGTAGGTTTTGGAACGCGCAATTACCATCAAAATTTTGGCAGTCTATAAGTTGTGGAAAAGATTCGCAGTATTGAAATGCTGCCGACAGTGAAATTTCATTAAAATACGATTTCTAACAAAATATTTAACTAAATAAACCGAAACGAATTTAGTGTCGTCTGCTACCCACGAAACGTCGTACTTTTTTTTTCTTTTCGTTTCATTATAACGTAGAATATTGGAACGACAACTGTAACCGGCTGTGAAAAAGTTTTCAATCATGGCTAGTGTCTCTTATCAAATTGCAAACTTGCTGGAGAAGGTATTAAATGCATTTATTTCAGGGCAACATTAAGAATGATTTTGGTGTTTGTTTGTTAAATGATACATTGTAGAAATGTTAGCGTTAAAACTGGTGATAATATCGAACTTACACATAACCTCTTTTCACCTATTTAAAAAATATACCACAATTCCTATAAAAAACTTTCTCTAACTCTTTATCAGAAACAGCCATGCTCTATGTATCTAAACTGATTAATTTCTTCCAAAAGTACAATAAATTATCTTACTTCTATTTTCTACATACACAAACTTACATACTAATAAATTATGAGCAAGAAACAAAGATGTTTTAAGCTGTTGTAAAGATAAGACTTATTTTAACCAATCTTATTACTGAATTTTATTGTTTTAGATGACATCCAGTGACAAGGACTTCAGATTTATGGCAACCAATGATTTGATGAGCGAATTACAAAAAGACAATATTAAATTGGACGATGATTCAGAGCGTAAAGTTGTAAAAATGCTTTTAAAGTTGTTGGAGGATAAAAATGGAGAAGTACAAAATCTTGCTGTAAAATGGTAGTATATCCAAATTAAATTTTAAAATATACATTTTATATAATAGATGTATGTTTATCTTGTAACTTAAATATGAAATTGTTTGCGTGCTTGAAACGCTTATTATGTTTGCAAGATTTTCTTTGTGTTTGGACACGATTACAGAAACGTGTCCGATTTCAGTTTGGGCCCATTAGTCAATAAGGTAAAGGAGTATCAAGTGGAAACTATTGTAGATGCGCTATGCAGTAACATGGTGTCAGACAAAGAACAGTTGAGAGATATTTCCAGCATCGGTCTGAAAACTGTTATTTCCGAGCTTCCTTTGGGATCCAGTGTACTTGTTGCAAGCGTTTGTAGACGGATAACCGGCCGACTTAGCAGTGCTATAGAAAAAGTAATTGTTATTTTTATTATAATATCGCGTTATTGCAATGAAATATCTAATTATGTTTCATACAGCAGGAAGATGTGTCTGTTCAACTTGAAGCGCTTGATATCGTGGCTGATTTATTATCCCGATTTGGTGCTTTACTGATCACATTTCATTCTCTCATTTTGACTGCATTATTGCCACAACTTTCTTCTCCGCGTCAAGCAGTCCGAAAACGTACTATAGTTGCTCTGAGTCATCTTTTGACTTCAAGCAACAATTACTTGTACAATAAACTTTTAGACCACTTACTCGAAGGTCTCGGTACACAAACAGCAAAAAATGTGATACGTACTTATATACAATGTATTGCTTCCATATGGTAGGTATTTCTTACAAAATGTTTTATATTTATTTGCAGTTTTTACTTGTAATACTGAATTTCAGTCGCCAAGCGGGACACAGGTTTGGAGAGCAAATAGAAAGGGTTATGCCATTGATTGTACAATATAGTAACGAGGATGATGATGAACTAAGAGAATACTGTTTACAAGCATTTGAAGCTTTTGTATACAGATGTCCCAAAGAAATTACACCACATATAAATAAAGTGAGTAATTCTACTTTGTTTTGTACATAGCTTTAATACTTTTAGAATTATTTAAAAGTTGTATTTAATGAACATTTCTTTTCAGATTATAGAAATTTGTTTAACTTACATTACATATGATCCAAACTACAATTATGATGACGATATGAATGATGTGTCCGATGGAGAGGATGTTATGATGGAAGTAGAAGAAGATGGAGAAGAAGATGCAGAAGATGAATATTCAGATGACGATGATATGAGTTGGAAAGTTCGTAGGGCAGCTGCAAAATGTCTCGAAGCTGTTGTATCCAGTAGACGAGAACTTCTTCCCGAACTTTACAAAGTTGTTTCTCCAGCCTTGATTGCAAGATTCAAAGGTGCTTGTGCATTTTCTAACGTGTTTGTTATTTCAATTCTGACAGTGTAAATATTTATATGTATGTTATAGAAAGAGAAGAAAATGTAAAGTCCGATATTTTCCATGCATACATCGCACTTTTGAGACAAACAAGACCCGCTACCGGTGTACCCCTCGATCCTGATGCGATGGAAGACGACGATGGACCAATATCATTATTACAACAGCAGGTTCCGCTAATTGTAAAAGCTGTCCATCGTCAAATGAAAGAGAAGAGTATTAAAACAAGACAAGATTGTTTTTCATTATTAAAAGAATTAGTGCTTGTATTGCCCGGTGCTTTAAGCAATCACATACCTGCATTGATACCGGGTATTCAATACTCTTTGGGTGATAAGAATTCTTCGTCAAATATGAAAATTGATACATTGGCTTTTGTACATACGTTATTAATAACTCATCAACCAGAAGCGTTTCACGCTCACATGGCAGTTTTAGCACCTCCGATCATATCAGCTGTTGGAGATCCGTTTTATAAAATTACAGCGGAAGCATTATTGGTGTTACAGCAATTGGTTCAAGTAATTAGACCACATGGTAAGTTCTAAAATACAATCATGCGTTTATAATGTAATGTAATTATAAAAATTACAAGTAATATGGAATTTGATTATAGATAAACCGTGTTATTTTGACTTCACATCGTTGTCCGGAGAAATATATCGTTGTACGTTAATGAGACTTAGGACTGCGGATATTGATCAAGAAGTAAAAGAAAGAGCAATCGCTTGCATGGGTCAGATCCTCGCACATTTTGGCGATACTTTATCCGATGAATTGCATGTATGCCTTCCTATATTTTTGGACAGACTTCGTAATGAAATTACACGCCTTACGACGGTAAAAGCTTTAACGTGTATAGCATCGTCTCCTTTGAAAGTAGATTTGAAACAGATTATGGTACGTACACTACGTTTTACATAGATAAATCAATGTACCTAATACTGTATTAATCTACAATATTCTGTGTATTTCGTATAGGAAGAAGCAATTCCAATTCTTGGATCCTTTTTAAGAAAGAATCAACGAGCTTTAAAATTATGTTCCCTTCCACTTTTAGATACTTTGGTTCGAAATTATAGTTCCACTCTTCATGCCGATTTATTAGACAAGGTAACAGTTGTTCAGTTAGAAAAACCTCGAAACCTCATATTTGCATAATTCGTAATTTATTTAAATATTTTATTAGGTTACTACGGAATTACCAGCGTTATTAAATGAGACTGATTTACATATTGCGCAATTAACTCTCAATCTTCTCACCACCATAGCAAAATTACATCCAGTCGCCCTTACGAGGGTTTCTGATAATATCCTTCCAGAAATATTAGTGTTGGTAAAGTCCCCGCTCCTTCAAGGTAACATATTTAATAATTCTCGTTTTTTTTTTTTTTTTTTTTTTTAAATGATAATATAAAAAGAAATTTGAATTATTATTATTATTATCTTTTCTTTTTTAGGTGTCGCTTTAAATTCGATGTTAGAATTTTTCCAAGCATTAGTTCAAGCAGATATACCAGGTCTAGGTTATAGAGAATTGTTGTCAATGTTATTAGCACCTGTCAGTCAGTCCGTACTTCATAAGCAAGCGTATCATTCGCTTGCAAAATGTGCAGCCGCACTGACTATCACATGGCATCAAGAAGCTCAAGCAGTGGTCGAACAATTTTTGAAAGACGTGCAGATTCCTCAGAGTGACGCGCAGCATATTTTTGCGTTATTGGTTATCGGTGAAATAGGCAGACACGTGTAAGTATATCATTCTTGATTACACCGATTCTAAATGTTATTCCCCTATTATTTACAATTACACATTTTTATTCAGGGACTTGAGTGGAATCAGCTCTTTAAAGCATACAATTTTAAACTCGTTTTCATCGCATTCAGAGGAAGTTAAATCAGCAGCTAGTTACACGTTAGGTAATATAGCAGTCGGTAATCTTCCCGAATATCTACCATTCATATTGAAAGAAATCGAAGCGCAACCAAAACGTCAATACCTGCTCTTACATTCACTGAAAGAGGTAAATTTTCTAATACACTTACTAATACGTTTGATGTTTTTATTTAAAAAAATTAATATATTGTACTATATAGATAATCACGTGTCAATCTGCTAGTCCATCTGGTGTATCTCATTTGCAAAATTTTGTGCCTTCGATTTGGATGCTTTTATATAGGCAGTGTGAATGTACAGAAGAAGGGACACGGAACGTTGTAGCCGAATGTCTAGGAAAACTTACTTTAATCGATCCGGCTACATTATTACCAAGATTACAGGAATCTCTAAAATCACCGTCTGCGTTAATGAGAACTACTACAGTTACTGCTGTCAAATTCACTATTTCCGATCAGGTATTTCAATTTTTTTTAGATACAAAGAAAGTATATTTATTTGTATGGCTGATAGGTACAAGTAATTTACAATATTTTTCTATAGCCACAACAAATTGATGCTATGTTAAAACAATGTATGGGTAGCTTCTTAGTTGCTCTGGAAGATCCTGATTTGAATGTAAGAAGAGTAGCTTTAGTTGCATTTAATTCTGCAGCTCATAACAAACCGATGCTCATCAGAGATTTATTAGATTCCGTGTTACCACATCTTTATGCTGAAACTAAGATAAAGGTATTTGATCGACGACAAACTAATAGTTTTTAGAGAAATGAAAAATTAACCTTTTTTTAAATACAATGTAATTGTAGAAAGAACTTATAAGGGAAGTTGAAATGGGCCCATTCAAACATACAGTAGATGATGGTTTAGATCTTAGAAAAGCAGCATTCGAGTGTATGTACACATTGCTGGATTCTTGTCTCGATCGATTGGATGTTTTCAAATTTTTAAATCACGTTGAAAATGGTCTCAGAGATCATTACGATATCAAAATGTTAACTTATCTCATGACTGCGAGGCTCGCGCAGTTGTGCCCTGCAGCAGTTTTACAAAGTAAGTACGAGGTGCAAGCAAATGATTGTTAATTTATATTTAATAATCCTCTATATATATATAGGGTTGGAAAGATTGGTTGAACCATTGAAAAGTACTTGTACAATGAAAGTAAAGGCAAATTCTGTAAAACAAGCATATGAAAAACAAGATGAACTAAAACGTTCTGCCTTGAGAGCTGTGGCAGCATTGTTAACTATCCCAGATGCTGGTAAGTAATATTGAAAATAATTTCAAATGTAAAATTCATAAGCTGTAACTGTTGCTTTTTTTTCAGATAAAAATCCGTCGTTAAGCGAATTTGTAACACAGATCAAAGGAACACCCGAATTACAACCACTTTTCGAAATAATTCAAAAAGATTGTACCGGTAGTAGTGTCAATGAAACAAATGTGATGGATCAGAGTTAAAAAGTTTACGACTTACTTTTTGTATTTCACATAGATCGCTGTTAGCTAAGCATTCACGGTCATATTATTAATAGTTTATTTCTATACGTTATTTTTTCATTATTGTCTTCGATTTGAAAGTAGTTTGAAATGAATGTGATTTTATGTAACACGCCATGTATAAATTATAAAATAAATTTGTCAATTGTAAACATTTTACGATAATACATTAGCTTTTTCGTTTAGTTATAAATATTTCTAAAATTAGGATTTGCTTTTTACATTATAAATTAATGAATACTAAACAAAACATTCTATCACATTTACATTAATTTTTGCATTTTCTTTACATCAATTATTCAAAAAGTTCATATGATTTACATCTTGTTACAGGTATACGTGACTTATTTGCTGATCTACCTACTATTTTGTATTGGTTCTTATTGCGTATGCAGCCTAGTCTTTCACCTAATTCCAACACCTGCCGCTAATCACGTTGACCATTTATGGTCAGCAAAATTTTGTCTACCTTTCATCGATGAATTCTCTAACTCTTTACAACAAAAAATTGAATTAAGTATTAATTAAAAAATGATATGGTTTTCAGAAAATTCTTTCTGCAATAAAAAGTCCAAATGATTTGTAATATATCTAAGAAGTATCATTATGAAGAAACTATTGCTACATGAGAAAGCAAAAATGCATAGAAAGAAGAGAAATTACATAATTCGCTATTGCTGTTCAGAGGAATGTGCGATACGTGAGAACTGCAAAGGTCCTATAAAATATTCTAAGAATTGTAGGTCTCGAAAATTTGTCATTGCAGAGAATCACGTAGCCACCTACAGTTTTAACACGTAGCTAACGATGCTACGTGATTGTGATGTGCTAGGATCCAGATTGATTAGTCGTGAGCACCGTTTATGTTTTCATTTTCAATCGGAACAACGTTCCATGTTCGGCGTAGATTACTTTTTCATCCTCGTAATAATCCTGTTCGCATGGAATCCATTGTTGACATTAATTATTCAAAGTGTTGATCTTGGCCACTAAAACGACGTATTTAAAATTGTATCTCGAGGACATTGACCCTATCGTGCAAGTGTACAATTGAATATGATAAATTAAGATCTAATCGATATATTACTATCGTAAATCCGGCTGATTTTCATTTCGTTGCTTTTCATATCAGATTACGATGATATTTGCAGTTTGATCCCCTTTTATTCCCTTTTGACACGTGAAATTAAAATTGCGTTTAACGAGAGACAAAAGGAACATTTATTACAAACGGTATTGTTTTATACGTGTGTAAAAATTAATCGAACCGCGAAATACTTTCAGAGCATTCACTGTTATTGTGAAATTGTGAAAGTATTTTTCCGTTCTTACAGGTAAGATGACGTTGTTTCGAATACGAACGAATTTTGTTCTCATCGATCATTAAAACTGACAACACGATACCGTAGGAGGAAGAGGATATAAGGACGTGTGATGGAATTTAAAAAATGCAAATCAAGTACTTTTATTTGAAACATATACATAGCAGTTGCGTAAGTTCCTTTAAAGTTTATGAAATTTTGTAATAATAAACATCTTGAGAGATCACTAAACTCATCCCTCGTAAATTCCGGATTGCTCGAATAGCATACCCCCTACGATTACATGATCTCGTGATTGGCTGATCATGGATCAGTGGTGGGGGAAGATATAAAAGCGGGTTACATTCACGGAGCAGCGCAGTGTGCGACAGTTCGGATTAGCTTTCGCGTCAGTTCGCGTCGCGGTTTCTAAATTGTTTCTCAAAGAATTTTTTAAATTTTATCAACGTGCCATTGTTGGTCGTAATTGGCATAACGAATTCGGTATTATTTCGAACGTATGTAGATTATTTTATTTTTGTCAATTACGGTTTTTCCACAAAACACGAGGAACCATGTGTGTACGTACGGTTGTCGGTACCGAAAGCAGCAAGCCGGTAGCAGTATACAACAACCAGCAGAACAAATTTCAAAAAGCAAAAGAAAAATACATGAAGTTACACGACGAAATGGTTGCTAAGGAGCTGGAAATCATCGAAGAACGGAAAAGTCAAACAGTCTTCATACCAGAACTTGCCGATGACATTTTGAGGGCCAGCACCATAAACTACAGCTCGTTGCTGAAAGTATTATCAAAGTATTACGAGGCGATACAGCAAACAAAGATATTCAAGTAAGTGTTCTTTCTTGTTTTTTAAATTGTATCGTTAGATGAATTCGATTAAATTTGATAGTTCAACCTATTGCTCCGTTTCTCATATTTTAACTTGTCACTTATTGTTAGTATATAATGGTAAAAAGTGGTACCATGTTTTAAAGAGAAAAATATAACTAGTCGATCAAAATAAATATGAGAGTCATCATCTCGTATGAAATTTTATCTGAGAAAAAACACGAGTATATTTTTTTTAACTGAATTCAGATATTTTATTATCGTTGTATGAAATGATTGGAAGATAAAATGTTGAAATTTCATTTAGTTGTAATAAAAAAGTCCTTTTAGTCGATGAAAAATTTTTAATTAATTCGAATTAATTCAATTGAAATAAAAAATGGGGTACAAATACAGTAAGTTGAAACTTTAAATGGTCGCGGCGTTCTATTGGCGTTGTTCAAATATTTCATGTGAATGCGACAGGTGATAATAAGAGCCTGTGTTTCACTTACAAAGGTGATAACTACCAAATAAGCATTTTATTTACCAGTCATTTTTCCTGGAATATATTATAAAAATAGTTGCATCAAAAAGTTACCCAAAGTTTCCGGGTTACGAAGCCAGATTAGTGAAGTTTCTCGTGTATCGATTGTTATCGAATAATCGATAATCGTAACGTAACAATTTTTTTAAATTGATAGCAAATGAAATCGCGTCTGTTTACTAACTTATATTTTAAGATAATTATAATTACTTAATTATTATAATTTTCATGCAGTTTAATATTATTAGAATATTATTTATCGTTATTTTTTAAAACATTTGATAGTAAATCAGTTCTCATGATTCCTTGGTATATACATGTTGTACGTAGGAAGTAAGTACGGAACTGTAAAAAGACAAATGGTTACAGTTCCGTTGAATAATTCAAGGTTTGATTGATATCATTTCGTTTATAATAATGGCAAAGTAAAAAAGGCAAAAAAATGGTACTGGAAGGCTGGTTGCATATACTTCTACATATATATATATATATATTCACGCAACATGCTACGTGACTACATGCTCGAATAAAAATGGCACCGGGTACTGACGCGATACACGTTTATATATTAAGCGCTACTTGATCTGTGGCAAGAGTAGATGCAATCGAGCCTGACATTTACACATTTTAATTGTTTTTTAATACAAACAGGAAAAAAAAATCGTTCTTCATTTTTACGATTAACGTAATTACAGCATCATTAATTAGCTAGATCGTCAAAGTTGCAGCTTTAGACTTAGACAGGAAATTAGTCATCGTTGGTTTTTTATTTATAGGAAAGATTATTTTATCTTACAAATAAAGTAAAAGAAGAAATTTTGAAAAAATACACAAACGTTGGTCATTCTAACACAGAGATTTATTATAGAAATTGTGTAATTAACTTAGTGTTTGCGTTATGTAATGGCTAGGTAGCTGATACATGGAGAAATCATGGGAAAAAGTTAACCGAATTTATACACATTTCAGTACAATTTAAAATTCTTTTATTTTCGAAAGTTATTCGAAAGAAATTTTACTAATAAAATAAATAGAACTTGATTGGTATAATTATTGTAAGATTATAAATGCAATTTCTCGTGAACGGGCAACGAACCTCGGACATTTGATTCATCGTGTATTTATTGATTTAGTATGGTCTTTGATCCTTCTTCAAAAGACGGTTAAAATAAACTTTGATCCAACCGTCTTCTGTACCTTGAATGAAAAATCACGATTACACTTCATCCTGCACGCTGTACATTTCATTGAATCAGGACAGGTTTTAGGAAAATTATTTTCAGAATTTGACACGACATACACCAGAAAGTTTGGCTAGTTATCAAGTTCAAAAATATACATTTCTAAAGAACAAGGAATTTCATAAATTTTTCTTCCCCTCTCCTTTTATTATCTGACAATTTTTTAAATATTTCCCGCGAAAGCTGAATGTCATCGTCGATTAATTATCAACGTCAAGGCTACCAAACCTAACGGTCCTTCGACCAAGTGAAAGTATGAAATTAGGTTGCACGTTCACAGATCAGCATTACTAATATTCTATTTTCTAAAATATTATTTCTCAAGTGTACGAAGTATGTACCGTTCTGGTGTACCTTTCCTAGGCCCAGGAGTGACCCGACACTGTTTTGTTCGAAGGTTACAAATCTTTTACACCTGCAGCCCACAGAAATACCTGTCTGCTTATCCTTTTTATACAGGGTGGTAAACTCAAAACCAGTCCCTACCTCTCAATATCCTTCAACGATTTTACCTAGTAGTAATGTAAAATATACATTTGAACGGTATATCATTTATTTCGTCGAGCGGTAATATTGAAATTGGTCGAATCGCACCGAACAGATCGGGATTGAAAAGGATATGTAGGGTCGATTTGATGTGCATCACCCCGTATGATTTGTCCATTCCATTTCTGCACTTCCAAGTCAGCAAGTCCATTAGCAGGTCGAAAGCAAAACGCACCACCCTTCACCTGTTCCTTTTCTTCTTACACAATGCCCTCTTTCAACCGTATCCTATCCGCTACGAAATACACCAGCTATGGTATTGTGTTACGTTGATCTGGCGTTAACACCGGTAGAACCTCTATTATCCGGACTAATAGCGAGACTTATACTACTGTATTAAAGTAATGGGAGACTTGATGACATATAAAATCATTTTCTGACACTGTGCTATTCGTATGTTCCTACTTTCGTTAGTTTAACTAAATATAAATAGTTGATCGTTTCTATAAAATGAAAAGTTATTTAAGCGCCAGTATATAATTGGTACACATACATACATATATAAGTGTACATAAGATTCCATTCTATCAGTGCGATGACACAGCGTCAGCAAACGAAGGTAATTTATTTAACTCGTTCTGGTTAAACACGCGCCAGATACCGTAAGCATTCGCTTAAACGGCCGACAGAATTATATTATTGGCAAATGTCTTGTTCGTATTTTAGTCCCAAGAGAGTTTAGCGAGACAGATAGGGGAACGACTTTGACGCACGCCTTATTGCAACGTCACATCAAATCTTCACTTTCAACTAGCCCTGTGCACCCCTGTATAAATACAAAATGTGTCTTTTGACCAAACGCCAGCTAAACCATCGGCCAGATGTGCTGGTCCCGGATTACGGACATTAAAATTCTTCACCAAACTACCTGCTATTTCTTGCGAAATGACCGACCACAGAAAAACCCATCTCCTGCTACCCTCGAAAATCCATGAATTATTTTATTCCTCTACCTGGAAATTCCCTGCCACCTTTTTCCTGAATAAGAAACAAATTAAACGCGAACACGACGAATGGCATGAAATAGAAATAATATTAATATTAATTAACCGTGATTGTTAAAAAAGCCTTCAAGATTTGTGGGAACCATTTAGCGGAACTAGGGGAGTCAGTAGGGTCAACTTTATACAGGAGCTTCCTGTTCAGGAACTGTAACTTCTTTTACTCTCCCACATGGTTCGAAAAATGATAAAAAAGTATGTACCATATTGCATCATATTGATTCACTCTTATCAGTATTTCGAAGAAAAATCAGCGTCAACGAACGTCAGGTGTGTCCACCTGATTTCTAATTTTAATGTAGAACACATATACGGGTATCGTATGGATGGGTGTTTAAATCAGGATGATAAAATTGCAAGGCAAGTGCATACGTTTGCAATCTAAGCGATGGGTTGCGTGCCATCTCGCACGTTTCCCGGTGGCTCTCGATAAATGGCTGGTACACTCTATACCTGCAAGCTTATGCTAACCCGACCATCGACAGTCCCTTGCATGTTTGCGCCTCGTATTACTGTCTCGATTCGCAACTAACGTCACCCTTCCTTCATAAAAAAATAAAAAAATAATTTATATGTATAGAGAAATAACAATTTTACTTGGTTGTTTAGGGACGCATCGAAGGAAACGGATTGCTTCGATACAGAGGGGTAATCAAAATATCTGGCTGACCTCGAATTCAGTTGGAAATAATTGATGTGAGAAAAGTGGTGACGTTAATTCTGAATGATTGATAGTTGTGAAACGTGTGGGATACGTGTCGCAAACTTTACTGTTTATTTGCAAAACAATTAAATAATCATGGAATCTTGGAAATATCAACGTTGTATAATTCGATTCAACTTTCTTAGAATATTTAGCTTCAGACAGTACTTACGTGTACCGCTAACTGAGCAGGAATCTAAACTGTTTCTTTTCCTTCCTCCTATCATCGTTCAAATGCGAGACAATGGTCGTAAAAGAAATTTAGCAGACGAGAAAATCTTTTGCTTCCCATAGCTCGTATGAAACGTGGAAGGATTTTTGAAGCGATTCTTTGAAAGGTTCTTGACCGCCTTTGAACACCTTTCGCATACTATACAAGATGATTCGAAGAATTTCCAAACAGGATTCGGTGCGTTATTTAAACGCACTTGATCGAAATCGTAAGAAATATTTTATTTTTGTTAATACTCGTAAAAATGTATAAAAATTGAATCGTTCGCACAGGAATGCTCGGTTCATTGACTGTTTAGATCCGAGTACATCTACGAGTACAAACAGAGTAGATAAAAAATTACCATTCATCGCAAGTTTCGTAGACGAACACAACGAGGCACAGGAAAAACAAAATTCTAAGTAGATAAAGAATGAATCATCGTTTCTTTAACCGTTCGACGACATGATTCGCATTTTAAAAATGCTCAGACAACTCGTTCTTTTCTTTTTACTTTTCTTTTCACCTTATGTAACCGTTTGGAACATTTATTATTACTCAATTTCCTAAAACGCGTATTAATAATCGTTAGCGTGTCAACTGTTGATAATTAGAATTATCGTATCTTGAATAATTGCGACATACCGTTGTCTCGTGCTACGGTCATGATTAATTAGTTAAAAGAAATTGCTTGGAAAGTAGGATATTCCCAAGTTGGTCAGATCCATGATGTCGTAGGAGACAAACGCGAGAAGGTAATTTAACCGGCTTCGGAACACGCACGCGATGTAATTATCATACGAGATACGTACAATTGACCACACTTTCCGTGTTCCATTCATAACGTTAACACGCGTGGCCAAAAGCGTGTACGACCGATTACACGAGCACAGGATAGGTACCCTCCTTAATCTATTTTTCTTTTCTTTTCTTTTTTTTTCAAAAATATTACCACTATATTATTTAATAACTCACAGGTGTTTGTTGTTCTAAACCACAGTGTAGTAACAGGTAATAGAGAAGCAAGATAGATACCGTGCAAACCGCGTTGTGCATCATAACGGATAGTGCTAATGTACTCGTTTCTTTGCGGGAGATAAATTTTCCACGAATATTATTGTCAGCGGGGAAGATAGTACCGCTTTCTTCCTTGTATCTCATTCTACACTCGTATTTACATATGTAGGTCTTCTGTAACGTTATCTCAGTAATGTTTCAGGATTAATTGACAAATAGAAAGCTTGTACTAATTAAAAGAATCGTGAGAATTTAATAGTAATTTGAAAGACTTGGAATGCAAGATACGCATTATCGTGGAGTAAATATTTTATTTTTTTTCACCTACCTAAATCTCTAAAGATTTCTTTCCCAATTAAGCGGGAGAATCCGAAGAATGTTAAATATTTGCATGTAAATTTTCTCGAAGCTCTGTCTACAGAGAACATTAATTGTAAACCAATGGAAAGATGAAGTACCAAGCTATAACGGGATATTAGTTCTATCGGCTGTGTGCGAATTGATTACATCGATGTGGCAGACCCAGGGTAAATATTGAATAGTCTAGAGAAGTTTGTATCGGTCAGCTTCGTGCAAACACGTCTTCTTTTTCTTTCATTTTTTTTTTTTTTTCAATCATGTGCAAAATGTTTAGCAAAGAATCCTTGTTCCACCTTGCTAGCGATAAGTATCTCTTGATCCATATTTTAGTTTCACACCGTATTGCACAATAATACGACAGTTATTTTTATCTCTCGAAGAAGCAGACGTGTTTTGTTCGAAAGAGCTTTAGATTATCATCCAGCTGATTTTAATTTATTGACACGTTGATTTGGGACTCACCAGGTGCGTCTACCGTATGACGCATAAGGTGCGTCGTTGATCTGGAACGTGTAAACAGTGGGTTACACACGAGATTCTCCTATAGGTATTCAAGGTGTCTGGCGCCTGAGATGACGATGATACTGGCATGTAAGTCTCGTGAGTCGGACTTAACGAAGAACCGGATCCTCTAATAAGATGCGGTCACGCGACTTGTGTAAACTCCATCGATGACGGTACATATATAGCTGGCCGATTTCAGATTCAATCTGAACAAACAGGAGATTGTATACTGTTTAACATTAAACGCATAAAGTATCATAATCATAAATACTCTCTATTGAAAGACGGAATCGCAGTAACGCATTAATCAGGATACAAGACTCGTTTGATTAATGGAATGAGTTTCCATGAACGACGCTGATAACCACCCTCGTGTCTGAAATTATAGGCCCTTAACTCGAGAACGATGCGATGCCTGTTTAAAGAGTTGAAACGAATTACAGCATGCCAATGGTCTTTAAAATAAATTTTCGCAAAGTGTTAATATATATTTTTCCTTTTTCTTTTTACAGAGTTTTATTCTACACCACGCAACCAGCTCACGTAATCATGATCGCAGCAGTATTGTGCGTAACATCGGCTCTTGTATCGACGACCGAGAGAACACATGTTGGTCATTCTCAATCTAGAGCAACCTCTTTCATCTACCTTGCATCGTTCGTGATGCATCTTGGTGCCCAAGTCTGGATGACATTTGTCTCGGGTAATTTCCTACGATCATTTCAGACCCGAGAAACGACAAATACTTATTTACGAAATTCTACTTTTTTCAGCTGCTAAATTTGTACCTTTTTTTTTATTACCACACAGGTCTTTCGTTATATTTTGCATTGCCAAGACACACGTTCGGAGAGGTACAACGTATTTTGTTTCCGAGATACTTTACCATCAATGCCTGTCTCAGTTTTACCACCCTTCTGATATTCGTCAAGTACCACCCAATACACACATGGAACACTGAAATTGCCATTCAGGTTTGTACAATTGATATACGTATACCATTATTTAATTTAGAATTGTATCAACAGGTTCTTCAAGTGATCAGTATGAAGAATTCAGTCTGGTCAAGTAATTAAATAATGAAGAAGGAGAAATTGTGAATACCCATTAAAATTATATTATTAATTTAATCTAGAAACTTTAAATATGTATCATTATGATATTAACATATTATTGTAGATAATCATTCACCGTTGTGGCGTTCAATGATACCCCATTCAGGTTTCTATGCTAATTAAAAAATTATGTATTTTTTCCAGGTGGGTGCAATGTTTAGCGCCTTCTTTTTGGAGCTACTGATACGACTGTATCTGACACCACCTCTTCTGCAACTGATAGTACAAAAGAACACTTTGGAACGTGCCGCTGGAGTCGGCAATGAAATCGGTGTTCATAATCCAGGCCCATTGAAACACTGCCCTCATTATTTAAAGATTCATCAAGCCTTTCGACGTGTTCACGTTTACATTGCAATGGGAAATATGCTAACCATGGGATGTACAGTGTTACATCTTCATTATATAGCTAGCAAATTATGCATTCTTTAAAAATGCGATCAATCCTCCTTGAATTTCATTGAATACGCACGTATTCAGATGTTTCGTATAACAGTGGGGATGAAATTTCATGATTATTATAATATGGTAGAGAGAATGAGAGTTTAGCATTTGTGCTTCTAAATATGCGAAATATTTAATGAGAATATCTGACACAGTTTTTAGAATGAAAAACAAAAAATATATACTGCCAAGTTTTACCATAATTAATTGTATACGAAAGAAACTGAACTTGATCTATCCTTCGTAGAACGAGTATTCAGTGTAATTTAGTCGCATTTTCGTCGTAGAGAATTTTAATTCCTGAACGTTATGAGCATTTAATGAACCTTCTGAAACGAAGAACATTAGTTATTTAATTTATTATTAACGCAATGCATTAATTATAATAAAAGTGCAAAAAATAGATAACGATAAACGTAAGTTATACTTTCACGTTTATCCATGAGATTCTACATTGATATTTTTATTGTTAATCGCTTCCTCTTTTTCTTTGATTTTTTTCTAGAAAAGTGCAATGTGCGTGCTTGTGGAGACGTATGCCTTTTGATTGAAATGTAAGAAAATAAAACGCAATTTTATCTGGAGGAATGAATGAATCATGAATGAAAAATATGATGTAGAATAAAAGTGCATGTTTTTAGTCTTTATTTGTTTTAAGCAAATATACGCAAAATTTAAACGAGGACTTCCCTTCTTGAGGTAATAACTAAGTCTTGCCAAAGTTTAATATAAATTATTATATAAATGGTTTTAATCGTTGATATTGAATTGAATTGAAAATGTAAGGTAATTAAAAACTTACTCTGTATCAGAGTTAATAATATTTATTAAAGTAGCACTAGTATATAATAGCTTAATTTCTATAAGTGTGTCAAGTTGTTGGATATTCTATAAAAGAAAAAAAAAATAGATAAAGGATTAACTTAAAAAATAAATGTTTTAATTCTGACTGGCTGCTATTCCGACTCGTGTACACGCATTTCATTATTATAAATAATGCATTTCGCTCATTATGTAACTTTAAATTATAAAATACTTGGAGTACCAATATAGATTTTGCTCTTCTAAAATTGAAATCGTGTAAATTATGCATCCCATCACGTTACTTTCAGTACAGAGAACTATGATTCTTAATGTATATATTAATTGACTTAAATTATTTTCACATTAATTTAAATAATTAATGTATTAAAAAAAAAAGAGATCTATTTTTAGCTACGATTCTTACGACACAATCTTACAAATTTTAAAAGCTCGTGAGTAATCACATCGTTATCTAAATTATTTCATTATTAATATTAGTATCACCAACTCTATTCGCTAATAATTTTCGTCATTGTAATAAAATGATTTGATCTTTTTTATTTTTATTTAATTATGAATATATGATGTAATATGATGTCATTATATATTTTTAAACAAGTCATATTAATAATACAGTCCAATTCTTGTATGGAAAACCTGTCACAATATTCTAATCTTTCCTATAAAATCAAGCAAATATGTAAATATAAACATATATACAATTTTATAACGTAATAGATATATTTTATTTTGCTTTAATTTATCAAAAACGCTTGTCCAATTTTTATTTAACAATGTTTTTAAGAAGTAGATCGATTCATTATTTTGAAACTCAACTAATCTTGCGTATATATCATCACAAAATAAAATACATCAATTACCATCATACATTACATAAATATATATTATATATATATATAGTTCATCAGTCTCTATACATTGCATCTTCAGGATTTTACTTATCGATTATTAAAGAAGTACTATGTAACTTAATTAGCATTCAATGAGCTCTTATAATTATATTATTTTACTTAATATAGTCTATGATTGTTCAACGAACCTAAGAATAATAAATACACGTAAGATACCAGTGGCACAGTTTAAACACATTGCGTCGAGTTAACATATAAGAACCTCCTTGAATGGATATTTAAGAAATTACTAAAATTTATAACCAACTATTCAATTTAACTCAACATTACCCACACATTGTGTCAGATGTTTCTCTTATCGAATTTTCGATATCTTAAAAAGTAACTAATATTTGTACATGACTATTTTACAGGTACAAAAAAAAAATCATATAAAACATACGATAGTGACAAAAATCTGTACAAATAATGAAAACCATAAGATGCAATAAATTTAAGTAAGAACTCGCAGTGAAATGTTACGCATACAGTAAAATGATACTGGCTTAATGATAAAAAATATTTTCTTTACACCCTGAGGATTTCTGCTGCTTTATTATAACAAATTGCAATCCAATCGGGCTGTGTAGCACCCCACTGAATCTGATTCACTTCTCCTTCTGCAGCAGTGTAAGCGAGAATCGGATCCTCGATAGCTCTTGGCATTTGTTGTATATCCCAAATTAATGCTTGATGATCATCTCCTGCTGTACAAATATGACAAGATGAATGTGGAGCCCAAGCTATGCCATTAACGCTTGCTCTGTAAAATTAAATAAATGTTTCAAGAATTGATACGAAACACACAGATGAATGAAACTAAATTAGTACAGGACGACGTATACCTATGATTATTTAATCTCGCAACTGGCGTACAAGGGACCCGAACGTCTAAAATTATTACTTCGCATGCATCCATCGCAACCGTCGCCAGATAATTAGGATCTTGCTTATTCCAAGCAAGTCTCAACAATGGTGTATGCTGTGGATCTTCGTAAATTATCGTCGAATGTTCCAAGTGTCGTAAATCAAACATTCTCACAGACCCATCGGCGCCAACAGATGCGAACATGTCGCGACCACCACCGGCTCGACTAAATGCAATATCATATACTTCTTTGTCATGGGCAATTAATTGTGTCTTAACATGGCCGGTAACCATGTTTACTCTACCCAAAACTTGGCCTGTTTCTAAACCCCAGATGGTACATGTTGTGTCTATACTTGAAGTACCAATTAAATTTGGATCTACTTCATTCCAATCAAAAGATGTGAGAGGAGCACAAAAATCTGAATTCTTATTGTTGTTTAAGACACATTCTAAACGAGTTTCTGGTTCAGCTGCTCGCCAGACTCTTAGATAATCACCAGATGTAGCTAAGAGATCAGGAAACAAACCTAAAGAAAAATTAAAAATTGTGTTATTTTTTCTAGTACTGCAACTATAGATGAAACTACAAATGAAAATACCTCATTTTTAAATGAAATCAACAATAAATACCTTTACTATCTGGTATCCACATAATTTTTGTAGTTGGATAAGGATGATCAAAAGTACTTTTGGCACTAAATTCAGAGGTTTCTTCATCCAGTGATACTATTTGCACTTTGTTGTTATATTCTTCTACAAAGCTACCAAGAGCCAAACGAAACCTCTTATCAGGTCGAACAGACCAGTTCATACTATACAAGGGCCATGGTGCTTCATATTTGTAAATTTCTTTTCTTTTCGGCGGTACACTATGTAACGCCATTATTGTTTCTTGTTTGCTTTATTAAAAACAATTCATACTTAATAACTAAAATTCTTTTTAGGTTGTAATACAATTTTTAATAGGGAAAATATACCCATACTCATTAACAAAACATTGTTTATGGAATAAAGTTGTATACTTTACTGAAGTATATTTTTATGAAATATAAACAAATGTAAAAATTACTTGCGCTTCGATACTAACCTTAAAATCAGAAGCGTTTAAAATGCAACCGGTTTTGAACGCAATTTTCTTGCAAATAGTACAATTTTTTTTTATTTCATAGTAAACATGTTATCGAGTAGACTATCTTACAATACGATTATTAACTGAAAGAAGCTAAAATTTGAATTAACACGTTTCATAAAAGTATACAATTAACCAAATCTTTTGTGATAACATAAAATGGCGCTCTTTTAAATTTGACATTTTACTGCTATCATGTGTATATATCGACCTCTAAAACTTTCTTATAATTTTAATATTACAGTCAATTATGATAACTAAATTGCGCTTTTCTAATTAGCGATATTATGTACTCAATAAAAAACTTAATTTATTATCTAAAATAAAAATAAGCATAGGTCAACATTAGAATAAGTAGAATATGCAACCGATTAGAAGAAAACAGGTGTGTCTAGGATCAAGTTCATTAATCATTCCTAAAATCATCCGACGAATAAGTTATATATTTTACAAACGACAGTTTTTTACAGTATATTGACTTTTCATTGAAGATCATACCTTACGTTCATGTGCATACATACAAAATAGCATGCGCAATCCCGTAAAATACGCGGGAAAATTATTATCTCTATATTATGGTTTTAAAGCTAATTTTTATTTGAAAAAGAAGGGAAATTATTTTATTTGATCTCCAAACAAGTACAGTTTATAAACATGTGCTTTTTTTTATGTTGTAGGGAGTGATATGTTTTGGCGGTAAAAAGTAATTAGCTGATTGGTCAATGGTAGTTTGGCGCGAAATCTAGCGATGGAGTACCAATAGAAGACGCCGATGGTGTCAGTTCGGTAACATTAGGGTATCGTTGCTCCAGCTTGCTCCAGCTATAAAGTGATCTCATTGATAACTTCTTTGAGAATCTATTGTGTTCATTTTTTCTGTAATATTGTATATATATTATACATATTATATTACATTTATATCTTATATTATAATGCCACTTCAAGTATCAACCAAAGAAAATGTTTGTAAGAATCACGAGATTGTATTTTACAACGATAAAGTAAGTACTTTACGTTTCTCTAAGATCTCTTGTACTAAATGTTTTATAAATAATTATTATTTAATGTTGACGTGTAACTGAATTTAAAAAGAAGATAGGAATAAATGTACATTATTTATATATTTAACTCTACATAACATATGAAAATATGTAATTATTTTATGTTATTTTTTCATAAGTTTTTTACATGCTGTTTTAGTAAGCTTTCAGCATTCATTAAAATACTATTTTTTTCTATTGTAAATTATGCAATATATGGAAATTGTATTTTGAGTATTAAAAATCACTACACTGGTGTATTGAATATTTTCGAAGTTTTCTTCGGATTTTTCTGAATTAAAAGTAGTGTAAATATTATAAACAAAATAGAGTATAAATAATTACAAATATTTGTTAATGTGGTGATCAGTGAAACTTACAAGTTTACTAATTTTGTGATATAATAGCTATTTTTATCAACCCCACATGTGCTTGGTGTAAATATGAAAAAAATGAGTCATTCAATATAATTACAACAGCTATTTGGATATATATGAATATTAATGAATATTTCTATTTGTTAATTAAAGAAACTTACAAAAATATCATTATTGATCAAACATTTATAACATAATTTATATTGTAAAAGGTTAAGTCTTATGAAATTATAATGTATTATCATTTATTTATCATTGGAAATCAGTAAAAAATAAGATTTATGATGTAGATAATAAAGTGCATATAAGTAATATATTGTTGCAAATTTGTACATATATAAGAAATATGTGATGAGTAATAAGGTGATTATAGATAGATACGTAATTTTTAATTAAAGTATTAGATTTCCTCGTGTGCTTCATGCAATTAGATAAGAGCAGTCAGTTGTAAGCTATTACATACAATTATGCAATGCAACAATTTGTTTATATCTATAAGTTTATACATAATGGTATCATTTTTAATGTTTAAAAAAATTGTTGTCATTTGTTAGTGAAGCAACATGTTCAGTTTATACTTTCAATATGACATTCAATAAATCTTAGTTAATTTTATTATTCATAAGAAACAATTTTACATTAATATTCCTTATCTTGATTTTAGGCATCTCCAAAAAAGTTATGTACCTCGCCAATTATTTCTCAAGATAATGGTATAAGAAATTTAGTAAGTAATGATTATTGAAATTACATAGTAGGCTTAAATTACATTGTTCTTTCAATTATTTTAATTGTTCTAACAATATTTATTTCTTCCAGATGGTTAAGACAGAAGCTGTCAGAAAATTGCAATTAAAAGAAAATGAATTCAACCCAGAATTAGAACCATTGTTGAAGGAAAATCCACGTAGATTTGTTGTCTTTCCTATTCAGTGGCCTGATATTTGGCAAATGTACAAGAAAGCAGAAGCATCATTTTGGACTGTGGAAGAAGTAGATCTTTCTAAGGTGTGATTATTATATTTTGAAGACTTAAATGATTGCAATTAAGTAAAACAAATCACATGTAATATTTGCTCTTTGTAGGATACATTTGATTGGGATCGTTTGAATGCCAGTGAAAAACATTTTATATCCCATGTATTAGCATTTTTTGCAGCCTCTGATGGAATTGTCAATGAAAATCTAGTCGAACGATTTAGTCAGGAAGTGCAAATAACGGAGGCGCGTTGCTTTTACGGTTTTCAAGTGGCTATGGAAAATGTGCATTCTGAAATGTACTCATTGTTAATTGATACATACATTGCAGATGCCAACGAAAGGTAGATGATAAAATACAATTTTTGTATATTATTCAACACCGATAGAATTTAATTTTATGTTATAATTGCTTATTTACAGAGACTTTTTGTTTAATGCCATTGAGAATTTACCTTGTGTTGCAAAGAAAGCTAATTGGGCACTAAATTGGATAAATCATGAAACTGCCACCTTTCCTGAACGTGTAGTTGCGTTTGCTGCAGTAGAAGGTATCTTCTTTAGTGGTAGTTTTGCTGCTATTTTCTGGTTAAAAAAAAGAGGCCTTATGCCAGGACTTACATTTAGTAATGAACTTATTTCTAGAGATGAGGTCAGTGTATGTCTGCAATTATTGAAGGGTGAAAAATTAGTTTATGCTGGATGGAATTATATATTTTATTATTTTTTTTTTTAGGGGTTACATTGTGATTTTGCATGTTTATTGTTTAAACACATTGTACAAAAACCGTCAGTTGAGCGAGTTACATCAATTATTAAAGATGCCGTTGAGATTGAACAAGAATTTTTAACGGATGCGTTACCTGTTGAAATGATTGGCATGAATTGTAAACTTATGTGTCAATATATCGAATTTGTTGCAGATCGATTACTCGTGGAATTAGGTTGCCAGAAGGTTTGTGAAAGCGTTTAATTTAAGTGACAGCAATGATGTTTGATCGACATTAATGATTTATTATTTTTTAGATATATATGTCTGAAAATCCGTTTGATTTTATGGAACATATCTCTTTAGAAGGTAAGACAAACTTTTTTGAAAAGAAAGTTGGAGAATACCAAAAATGGGGAATCATGCAAGACAAAATTGAAAGTAATTTTACACTGAATGCTGACTTTTAATATAGTAATTCTTTTTTAGTTTTTTGATTTATTAGGACTGATTATTTGACAAATATTAGTAGTATTTACGATTTTTTTACATTTTGACGATAATATTTATAATTTAATAACATCGGAACAGGTTTCTTTTGTTGTACTTATTTGAAGTTATGATTGATATACATCACGGCATTGTTTTGCAAATTATTAGATTTATTGCTCAATTGATTTTACTTTGAAGCAATTTTACGTTAAGAATTGAAAATTCAATGAAATAACTTGAATCAATTTGTATATAGAATACACAAAAATTTGTGTCAAAAACAAATGTTTAATGATCGAGACTATAATAATAGTTCAGTATTTGTGTAAGATTTTTGTACATACTTATACACATAATTTAATGACATCAAATTTATATTGTAAGGGACAGATAATAACGGTTATAAATAAAAAATGATAAGGATTTCTCCTATTAAAATTTTATTGATATAATATAACAAATTTATGCATGAAAAATGTCTTTTTTAGTCATTTTTATACATAAAATGTGTTTTATCAACTTTATACATAGAAATTGTAAACATCAAATATTTCAGCTGCACAATTTATTGGAAGACTTGTGGAATGTAATCCTAAATATTAGAATTCTGTATCATGCTAATCTCACTGCATATATTACAACTATTAAATTGAGTAGCTCTGAAATTTGTTGTTTAAACGATTAAGATAATTTTTACGACACTCCATATCGTCGACTGGTCTGTTGTAGGGTAACCAAATAGGTTCTCCCACAAAGTAACGTTTTGCTTTTATGTAATTCTATAAAAACAAAGAACTTTGATAGTCAAAGTTTACTGTTAATCGTAATCGGTTATTAAAAGAAAAGTACTTACATTAATGTCTAAAGTGAATCTATGATATATACCACTAGGAATAATGATTAAATCTCCGGGTTTAACTTCGATACGTATCCACTGATCATCCTTATCTCGGACATCAAAATATCCCGATCCATCCAATACTAGTCTTATTTCTTCATCGGTGTGAAGATGTTCGGTAAAAAAATTTTTCAACTAAATAAAAAATAAAATATTTATATCCTTTTCATGCTACAATTGAAATTTTTAAATTCATTCGAGTACTTTAAACATTTTGTAACTTACTTTTTCTTCATAGTTTGGAAGACATTCTTTAGAACATTCTATTTCATCCTCATAAGTGTAACCGCGTTCTTTTTTCAATTTTGTTAATGTGCCATCATCTTCGTAATTTTTATGATCAATCTAAATCAATTTTAGTATTATTAATTTATATCACTAATGATTAACATTAGTTAAAGTACGTATTAAATTTGAAAATCTTAAAATGATGAAATGGAATTACGTATAAAAAGAATAGAGAATGAAGAAAATGTTAATTAAATATTAATGTTCAATCTAACCTTAAAGTATTCAACCCCTGTTCTCTTGAACAAGTTTTCGAGGGAAATATATTCAGGTGGTTCTCTATGGTGTTCCAAGCGCTGATCGGCATCAGTATTATCCATATACCACGCACGAACCATTTTTCTTCTTTGAACAAATTTAAGGGAATCAAATTCACTTTCGATACTTGTTATTTGTTAATGACGTAACCCTAATGATAAAATTATCTATAGTGCTGGTGTATTTTTCATTCGATTGTAAAAGAAACAGAGAGTTATCTAAATTGCTAATATAAAATACTATTTTTATGGTTGAAGACCATTCATATGTCGCAATCATGGTTTTAAATACGTATTTAAAACGCAACAATGCATTGTGACATTATTGTAAAAGCTGATGGTAATTATAATTTTTATATAATGTGTAATGTTATTTAATATTGTAGTTAATTACATATGTTACATGTTTTAGTAAGATATTTGTTTTTAATAACAATTATAATTTTTCAGAAACAATTATTTTTGACTCAAAGATTTATATAAAAGTTTTCTCCAGTAATTGAACAAAATTTACAAACTGTATTCATAATGGATGAATCAAATGAGTTTTACAAAAAGGTTCAAATGTACCTTATGAAGAAGAGTCAAGAATGTGGAGAATTAAAATTTTTTAATGCTTGTATAACTCCTGAAAATAGTAATCATATCGATGATATATGCAAATCAATGATTGAAATATTTGAAATTAACAACATACCTATAAAAGAGAAAGCTGTAATAAACAGTGAAAAATGTATAGAGGCATACAAATATTTATTATTAAACACTAATTTCAAGAACCAAGAACGTTTAGCAGAAGATATCATTTATGGACATTTAGTTGATATGTGCCCACCTTTATCTCCGTACTTACTTGTGCAAATAATGTGGAGTCTTGAATATGAAAAAATTTTGATTGCATCTTTGCTATATGTACCTTTTGATTTGTGTACCGAAATACTGAAAATAGTCACAAAATGCATAGACAAATTACCTTTTCAAAGGTCAGTTGAAGTTGCGTATCATTTGATATTCATTATATATAGTAAATTTCTTGAATTAAAAGAATGTGGTATGCAGTCTGGAAGTGTTAAAGAGAGTATACAAGATTTGTTGATTAGTTTTGAAGAATTCTTATTACTGTTAACAAATTCGGAATCACCTTATTTAACAGAGTTATTAGGTTTGAAAAAGTATGAAAGACATGGTATTATGTTAAAAAAATTAATTTGTACAATAAGAAAATGTTTAAAGAAGGAAAACAGTGAAAGTTTTGTTTCTAAAGATCTTGAAAAATTATACCAAATCACATTTGGGAAAGAACCATTTATAAAGTGTGAAAATATGATTGTTGAAAATACTATATCAACATTAAATCAACAATTAACGAATATATTGTTAAATAAAATCAAAGAAATTGATTGTAATATCTATTTGAGTTGGGCAGAATTGGACGACGAAGAGAATAACATGATTTCATTACAAAGATCTATTGGACTTGAATGTTATTATTTTATAGAATTTATGAAGAACGATGAAGAATTATCAGAAAATACTCATTTAATAGAGTGTTTGCAGCAGTTATCGTCGAAACCAGATCCTAAGCAGTCAAACTTTGTCTTAAATTTACAAGAACTTTGTTGTGCTATATCCGACGGTAAGAAGGAGTTAATGAAAGAATTATTATGCAGATACAAAGAATGGGATCGGTCTATACTTGATTTTGTCTACAATAATAGATCTTTACTAGATAAAAATGATATTTTAATTCTACTAAAATATCTCACGCATGTTTTCTCACAGTCAACCGAAGAAGATTTGAAAGAGTTTAGTAATACATTAGTTACAAAATTAGTGGCACTTCAAAGTGTACCAGATATTTATGAAATTGTAATTATGTATCTGATAAAATATGATGGGAAAAATTATCTAGAATCCCCGCATACAGAAGAAGTATTTAATGATTTTATAAAACGAAATGCAAACTTACAGACACCGATGGTCTTAAAAACTGTTCTACTGTTTCTCTTGAAAAATCCTAAAACTGTGTTGACTATACTTGTAAAGATCACCATTGGTCACCCTCAATATGAAAATATTATGATCTCTGCTAAAGATTTACTTCTGCTATCACCCTTTATGCAAATAAGTGAAGATAATAATGAGCTGTTCTTAACGAACATCTTAAGGACCATATGTATCGAAAATTTCGAATGGAATGCAAAGAAATTCATGGATTTTATCCAAGTTGTATTAGACGGTTCTATAATTAAAATACACAATTTGATAAACAGTGTTTTTATACCATATTTAAAAGAAGATATTTTTAACGTATCAAACTTAAACTCTATTCTTAATAGTATTCGTAAATTACAAGTTAGATGTACCAAAGATACAAACGTGAAGGATTTAATAATAGCACTTGCAGGAAAAATGTCTTTCCTAAGAAAGAACACAAGTATTCCGAGATATGTAGCCAGTGAAATATTTGTTCAGATAACAAGAATATTAGAATACTTTTTAGAAATTAAAAACAATCAGATGCCTGTTTCAACGAAAAGACAAATAATCGATAAAATTGAATGCGTTATCGAACCAATAGATAAACTATATTTTTCACCTCTTTGGTATTTAAGAAAAAAAGGTGTCAGTATAATTGATATAATAGAAGATTACGAAAGGCGCTGTTTCGTTGTGTTGAACAGATTGAAAGAAGATCCTCAAACTTCAGAGAGATTACGACGTTATTTTTCGGATTTAAGCCTAGAAAGGGAAGATTTCTTACGCCATTTAATTACTCGTTCAACAGAAGGAGAATATCAGAGATTAGGCACGGAACTTACAATAGTATATTGGTTCGCTTTTGGATGGAACAACGAAATTGAAGCATACGATCACTTTCTACGTTTAACAGTAGAAGCTTGTTCTTTAGCTCTGGAGTATCCATCTATCGGAGGAAACGATTTATTTCCATTTTTACTTAAGTCTTTCATACGCTTTTGCAGAATGTTTATTTTGCTTGAAGAGTTTGAAGATAAAGAACACGTATATAAGTCGGTAATTAAAAATATAAATCAACTCAACGAGAGCATAAAACACAGCCCTTATGCAAATTTATTTGAAAACTATTTCACTCATTTGTATAATCATACAGGAAATGATTATTTACAACACTTGCAAGATATTTTAAACTTTTGCTATAGCTTCAGTGATCAGTGTCTTGAATACAATCATAAATGTAACCAGGAAACTCGCAACATACCTCATTCTACAAAAGTTTCTCACTTTCATGTAACTTATGAAGTAATTTCTACTTGTCTGAAAGTACCTGCAAAAGAAGCCTATGACTGTCTCAGGAGGATGAATGAATTATTTGTTTTCAATTAAACTAAGAATATTTAAGAGATGCATTTAAGTGACATCAAATATTAATTTTAAAAAGGTAAACATTTTTCTTGTTTTTAAGTTTCATTACATATATATATTAGAAATCTATTTTCTATAAAATCAAGAGCATAAGTGTAGGTAGATTCATTTCATAATATTTATAATGTTCATAAAATAGTCAAGTAGAAATATAATAAAAGAAGTTTAAATCTTCTATATTAATGTGTTTTAAACTTATTAAATTTATTAGATTGAGATAAACTTTTATATGTTTGTAAATTAGATATGTACTTACCATTAGTAATACACGACGTGATATAAATACAATGGAACTCTTGTCTTTTTTCATGAGCAAGCTCTTCTCTAGTCATAGTAAAACAGTTCAATACAATTTAACTTTGCATATTTTCAAAGTTTCAGGAAATTTATTTTATTTATTTTTACATTGTATTGTAGAGGATTATTCAGTTAGTACCAAAATTATTATTTGTTTTTATTCTATATTATATTTGTGCGATATTTCCAAAATGCCATTACAATGGTTAGTAATAAAAAAAAAAAAAAATGTGAAAAAATTGCATACAAAGAAAAAAATGTGCACCAGTGTTGAGACTGGAAGAAATCAAATGGGTAGGCTTTTGTAGGATAATCTCAATGCTTTCATGGAAAAAATAAGCTTAATAATATTGAAAAGAAAAATTCATTTCTGTATCAGCCTATTGTCTTTAAAATCTAACTATCTTTTATTATTAAATGTTTACTCATGCAATGATTGAAATGGTCAAAGAAATGTTTAAATATTCCTTAAAACAATTGAAATATTAAATTGAACTAGACAATAGGATAGTACAGATCATATAATCCTAATAGCAAAAAGTTGCTTTCTAAATCTGCACCATACATTTTTCCATGTCATTGAGTTACAAGATTTCTGTAGTGACTAGATTCTTATGCTGGTAATTTACACTGAATATACTGAATATAAACAATATTGTTCCATTATTAAGTTCTAATATATTGAAGCTTTTTAGCTTAACAAAATGATACATGTACATTTTATTACAGATATTGCAATTTACTTTTACTTGCATTAAAAACGGAAATATACAATCAATGCAATACTCATACCCCTCTGTACTTGCTACTGCTAAAAAATAACACATGCTTTTTGTTTCATGTATTTCCATTTTGAAGCAAGCGAAAATAAACCAGATGAGAAGTTAATATTACCAGCAAGTAACAATTTTCATTGATGGTATTGTTTACAAGTGTTCTCGAGTATCCGTTCCCTGTCTACCCAAGTGATTAATCAAACATAGTCTGTTTAAATCAGAATAATGAAGCGAACAAGAAAAAAAGAAAATGGTAAAACGAAGAAACATACATATTTCATGAACGTCGCTTGTCAATGAAATGCACATTTTTTACTGTAAGCCATTCATTGTTGTCCTTTTTCAAATGTCAGATCGGTATTCCTTTCTTTTTTTTTTCTTCTCATTAATATTAATATTATCATTATTATATAATTCGACGCTATAATATTTACAGATTCTTCACATTGTAAAAAATATAACGTATTTCGTACTCAATATCATACGCAGGTAGTACTGAAAGGCCGATATACATCTAAATCGTGGTGTTTCTCGAATTAATGTGACCCAGTTACGTAACAAATCTGCATGTATACATATATATTGTATGTATATATATATTTATTTATATTTATATATTTATATTTATTCATTCATTTATTTATATCTAATTATAAAATCGTATGCGAATCGTTTTTGTAGGTGGTGAATTCTTGTGCTTTCATTTTCCCTAAAACTTCTTTAAAAAAAATGAGAGAAACTTGCTGGCCGAAATAAGGAAAGGAAATGAAACAAATCTGGTCCTTGACACTTGATATGCTCACTCAGACAAAGCTCGATTTCTTTTTTCTCTCTAAACGCTTGATAGCTTTCTAAGTAAAGGTCAGTTTAATATTTATTTTTTTCCTCATTTTTCTATTCTCGTACAAAAGTCTCAGCGTATTCTTTAGAAAAATATTCTTAAAACATCATCTCACGTCGGATAAATGTGTGCATGTTTACCATTCAGAAGCGATATAAATATAGAAAACATTTCTTCTTTTTTCTTTTTTTTTTTCCTGTGCTTATTTCGTTTTCGTGCATCAAGTGTACAATACGTATACTACTTAGGAAGCTATCCGCTGACAGGCAACGAGTGTCTCCTCGTTATTCCTCTTTTTCCTTCTTCTTGCCAATTTATCATTTTCGCTAAGCACAAAAAACCCAGGAGGGCGAGAAAACGTAACGATAATAGAGCGAGAGCGATTACACGTTTTACAAAGAGGCCCTTTGATTCGCCGTTGAAAAGGCTTTTATACGCGCGGTTATTATCGTCGTCTTTTAATAGAAAAACTGCGGTTACAATCTACGGGATCACAGAGAGACTATGAATTTTCCGAGTGATAAAATAGAGGATACGAATAATTATATCTGTTTGCCCCCCTCCCCTTTCTTTTCCTCTTTCTTCCTTTGCCTGTTTATATACTTGAGTACAATCAATGAAATTAGATGGCCGATTCGCTACGTCGGTATACGCTCCATCAATCTTAAAAAACTGACGAAACGTATTAGCACCCTTTATCGGTCAAATACGCGAGGCTATCTCAAAAATCGGTTCTCGTCTTTTTCATACTTTTTCTCCAGTATCTTTTGATATACATATTGCATTTTTAATAATAAACGAGATTTAAACTAAGACTAATCTAACGTAATACATATAATGTAAAATTATACGCGAAAAGAATGATACAATTTTCAGACTTTCAGAATGCAAAAATGCAGTAAATGCATTTGAAATATTGGAGAAAAAATTAGCCACGCATATTCGTTACGAAACGACATTTCTAAAAGTGCACCGACAATTGAAAAGAACGAGTTAATATACGATTGATAACATTTCCCAATAATGTTCCGTATCGTTGGACTTATTTTTTTCTAACTACCAATGATAGAAATACTGTACATCAGTTCGTTTAAAACTTTTCAGTTCGATGGTTGCCAACGATACGTGGAACAGAGGGTAGCGATATCGTTCGTGTACAATTCAACATTTTTTTATTATTAATCGATCCGAAAGACGGGTAATCGAGATGAACAAGTAGATATATAAATTATAAATACACTTTTTGTTTTTTTGCCTTTTTTTTTTTTGTTTTCTTTTGTGAAATCAGGATTAATAATCCTTCGGTTAGACTCGTAAAACGAACAAAAACTGATAATCGATTGAACAACCCTTATTTTTTGTTAAGATACGTCGTGCAGCAATCACACGGAAATGAACGACTTTGATGGTTGTGTTAAATAATAACATATCGAGCTAATGTAATGACTGTTATGGTATAAAAGCGGTATTAATATCGGATAATATGATTTTGATCACACGAGAAAAATTACACACGACCTACTGCTACTACTTATAAGGGAGTCCATTGCTTCTTTTTCTTTTTCTTCTTCTTCTTCTTCTTCTTCTTCTTCTTTTATGTTCTTCAGTTTACATTCACAAACTCAGCAGTGATTAGTTCCAAATGGAGATTTTTCTGTTCGTACAAAGCAATGGATGTATTAGATATTACGAATACCACATATGCATTTTGCAGTTGAAGGGTTCAATGTACCAGCAAGCTCTTGCGAAACACTTGTTTCAATATCTCACCTCTTCTTGCTGGCTTAAAATTGGCTATAAAACATTTTGGAATTGTACAAAGATTTGTATCTGTTTTTTCTTCTATCATATACACTTTTACCATATAAATCCTATAATTATGTTTACGATTGACATTACGTGTTAATGTTCCTCCGTAGCATTACTGCAATATCTCATTTCCATTGGTGTTTTCATTTCGTTTTTAATCTTCTACCGTTGCTTTTTCATCGTTATGCCTTGATCGGTTAAAATAGTATTTCCAATTCTCATTGTAATCAAGATATTTCTTATTGAAATAAAAGTATGAACAGTGTCTGGTATTATAACAGTGGAATTATAACGAAATTAGATGAGAACACAACTGTCCAAATATCATGATCTCAAATATAAAATTCTATCCATTGACGACCATCTTTGTTAACTTCGTGTTCATCTTAATAAAACATATTTCTACTATTTAGAACTGTACAATCAATACCAGTACCATTAACGACACACCATTCGAGCCCACTATACAATGTATTCTTTACCGCAGCCTCTGGCATTTGAGCATAGGTAATATATCGTTAACGGAAATCATTGCACAATGCGTCTAAGACCATTCGTCTTTTCTTTTTCATATTCTTGACTGTACATTGTAGACAATATTTACTCAAATTTTATTTCGCTATGTCAAATGGCTGACCACCACAGCGACTCCTTCAACGTTTTCAAACAGTTTGAATGCTTTGTCGTCTGGCATCTATCTGCAAGTAATAGAGGTTCGTGGACTGGAACAAATACACGATGGATACTTGTTTTAAATTGAGCAGAAAGCTAGACGTATCGTGTTTGGTTTTGCTGTTAACAAGTAACAACTACCACGGGGCAGTTCTGTTATCACCCTTAACATTATCCGTGTCCTTTCCCATTCTTTTCCTTATTTCTCTCTTTCACCTTTTCTCTCTCGACTATTGGTCCTTTACCGACGGAGTTACCTCTTTCATTGCCCGCTTATATCTATCATTATATATTACAATAATATTACACATAATACTATCCGTGTATATTAAAATATTTAACAGCCGGCTAAACAGCAGACTGTGATTTTCCAATAGAAAAAGAACCAGGAGACGGCACGAGTCTTTGACATATTTGAATTCACAAAAATCCAGGATACGATCATAATATTAGTCTTACAGATTGGCGAATTCACAGCACAAGCTCCAAGGTTGAGCTTAAGAAAGAGAGAGCGCTGTCATTAGACGGTTAAACTTGCATCTAATGCAGCCCGGTCAGCCACTATACGTTTCTTTTACCTAACACGGCTCTGGTAAGCCTGGTTGAAGATTTTGATTAATTATTAGAGGACGCTGCAACAGCAGTAGCTCTTCTTCTCTTTCTCAGGGCTGAAGTTCATCTCGCGTACAATTTCCGCAAATACGTCGTTCACGTTTGTACGATTCTTCGCAGAAGCTTCGACAAACGGGCAGCCCCACAGGTGAGCCAAAGCATTACCTTCGGCTGTATCCACTTCACGTTGATGCTCAAGATCCAGTTTGTTTGCAACAAGTAACACCGGTACCCTTTCGGTACCTTTGACGCGTGTTATCAATTCCTTCATCGCCTTAATATCCTGGAAAGTCTGATGATTCGTCAGACTGTAAACCACGACGAACCCTTGGCCGTTCTTTATATAAAGATCGCGCATACTCGCGAATTGTTCGGTACCGGCGGTATCAAGGATTTCAAGTACACACGGCGAGTTGTCCACTTCGATTTCTTTACGATAAAAGTCCTCGATCGTCGGATCATATTTTTCCATAAAACATCCCGAAACAAATTGCACGGTGAGTGCACTCTTGCCTACCCCGCCCGAGCCGAGGACGACTACCTTGAACTCGCGCATCTCTTTGGCAGTTCGTCTCTGTCTCCTCCTCCTCCTCAACGTGTCCAGGACCGAGAGGAAGGTTTTCACTCTCTCAACTACCTAGCCGATTAATCGTAGCACGTTTCTTCTTTCTCGAATACAGTATAATTATTAAACTACCGCTACTAACTTCGTCCTCGTATTTTCGTAACGATCCTGTTCGAACGAAAACAGTTCTTATTGCCGAACAAAGGCATCGATGGATGTTACCAGACAATGGATCGTCCACAAAAATTCACGGTGATCGAAATATATCCGTTTTTTAGGCTCAAAAAAGACATGACAGCACTATATTCCACACTCTCTGTCACACACCGCAGTCCCCTGGCGACGTTCGCCTGACTCCTTCCTGTCTTTCCTCTACCCCTCACTTCTTCCATAGGTCTGACGTGCGTGACGCCATCTTATCACACTTGAATTTTCTTTCAACCTCTTGCACGAACATCGAATACCGTCTCTATCCTCTTGCTCTACCACTAGTTTACGTACGCCTAATATATATCGTTTCAACACTTATCTCTCGGTGAACAACCAAAATCGTGTTTAAGACGCGTTTTCAAATTTTCCTTGCACTTCTTGTTTTTCCTTGCAGTTCAACTGTTTTACCATTGGCGTACACCGATTGGATGGAAAAAGTCGGACGAATGGCAGTGCCGGGACGAGAAGACTAATGTTTCGCTCTTTCTTTGTGTGCAGAAGCATAGCCGAGGAAAATAGTAAGAGAAGAATCACGGAAACTCCCTTTACCGGATGCAAGTGTCACTCTCTTATCTTCTAGACAGCACTATCCACGACCTCCACACTCCCAAGTGTTTCAGTGAGTTTTATTAATATTATTAAACGTTCCTTAAAATCATGCTCGAGGATGTTCGAGATCTATCCTTTTTTTTTTTTTTTAATAAATGAAACATCACCTTTTCATTCATCGCTAGGATGTTCTATTAATGACAATGATGTAAACCATTCAAAGATTAACACTATTATTTATTAGTTAAAATTACACTATGCGATTTGTATTTCATCTTACAAATAATTAAAGGTATTCGGTATATTAATTAGCGTTTTTATAAGAAAATAATTATATCGAATCATTACACGATGAAAAATGTTTAGATCAACCGCATAAGATTTCTCACTACATGAGAACACTGCCTGAAATACAAATCCTTAAAATAGATCAATAAAAAAGAAAATAGATGAGACGTGCGTAACGGGAAAATTTCATTTTTTTTTATACATATATACCGTGCAATTTTTCGATTATTTTCTCTTTTTCTTCGTGCTAAAAAAAAGAATAAGAAGGAAAACAAGATAGCAGCACGTAAGTTTTGATTCTCATTTTTGTTTTCACGATTAAAGGGCGTAACTGCTTTTCTGAAAAACCGGAAGCATGCGTTGCTATCGTATCTTTGTGGTTTACATAGCTTCCTATTTCTTTCGTATATGTATGTATGTACATCATTCTAGCAGTCACGACATTTGACGACCTTGTGGTATGCGAACGCAGACACATGTGAGACACGATGACATCATCTGATGAAAGTGTACATAACTGAGCAATGCATCATTTTACATAGTATTTGATGACGAACTAGTAATTAGTCACTAAAATACTACTTGCCATTAATCCTTTTAGAAAATCACGTGTCAAATTTTGTTTTACGGAAAGCTATACGATGATTTAAAGTGTAACGTTATACAGAATAATAACTTTAAACGAAGGCGCCCTTAGCATAGGCCATATAGGGCATTTGCCCTGAGCCTTCGCGCTTAGAGCATTTTGTATTTTGTAAAAAATTCAATTTCAACTTGGTGATTTTAACTACACAAAGGAGATAAAATAGAATAATTTCCATCGTGACAATGTTGAGTCAGCCTCCATTATACTCACCGAACAATGCATATGGTTCTTAAAACGCACGTGCACTTTATCGTTATAGTTATCAATGATTTTCAGTGTCATTAAATGGAGCAGCACCGAAACTTTGTTGCCGTTTTATAACCGCATAACGTTAATTCATATAACTTATCGTACCTGATTTCTTGTCGATCGTTCACCGTGAAAAACGTAATCAGTGCATGTTGTTAGGCACATTGGAAAAAAAAAATTGCACGAACGAAAAGTTATCGAGGTTGTTCGCAACAAACAAGGAAACTGTCGATTAGGCTTCATGAAACCTAATTTAAGGCTATTAAAAAGTAGTATGTATAATGAGATGGAAAGTAGTTTAAGGTGTCACCTTTTCGTTCTATAATAGAATAATCCATTAATTTAAAATATATTTATCTCTAAAATAGTACTTTTTCAGTTACTATCTATTAGTAGTATTTCATTGTTTTGCAAATAATAAAAATATAATTTACTTTGTTAAATGTGTAATATTATAACTTATATGTTACAGTTAAAATGTCGAATAAGTAGAAGCATTGGTTTAAATTATCGATCATAGACGTATCGGAAGACAAAGGATTGTTATCAATAAAAAAAATGTCGAGTTATCGCTTATAGTTCATATCCTCACGTAAAGTTACAACGACCTTTAGGAGCGGACAATAACCTGACAATTTCAATAACATAAACAGCATTACGATTAGAGTTTCGTCATCACACGATTTTCCTCGTAACTAATTTCCAACTTAATGACCCTGTTGGTAAAGTAGATTGTTACGCAGGAATCATTACCGACCGTGGGGTTTCTTCAAACATAACCTAAATGATCAAATAAAACGAGTAAACAAAACAAAGAGAATCTCTTAGGTATAAATTCTTTTTTTATTTTTCTTCAAATACTGTCATTTGAAACATTAAAAATTAGACAAAACTTATACAAAAATGTTAAAGCATTTAGATTATTATTTATCAGTACTGGCGTAATTAAGATTTTTGTTTAGGGGTAGGCAGGTCCATTTGATTTATTACAAGGAAGCATTTTGGAGACTATTAAGCCCACTTTGACTTTTATACAATTACGCCAAAGCTTATCAGTAATATTGATTAAATTAAACGATAAATTGATTTCAAATTTAGGTGAAAAAAGAGAAAATGGATTCCATGTACCCTGCACCTCAATCACCTTATGCACCAACAATGCCTGTCCCAACTGCACCACCACCAAGTGTATTTTCGATGCCACAACCTGGGATACCGATAGTACCACAAGGTATAATCATTTAGATTATATTTTCATACAGTTAATTATTTAATTTTTTAGGTATTTGCTTTGCGAATCATTACTTCGCGGACTTAGATCTCTTATCAGATCTTACTCTAATCCCAATGTATCTCGTCCTTGATCATTATTTAAACAAACCGGTATCACGCCGCAAGAATTAAATGATAAAAAAAGGATTTAAAAAATGTGAAGATACGAATTGTTAAAATAGTTGAAAATCACGTGAAACAAAATATAATTCTACGAACTTCCTGAACGCTGAAAAAAAAAAAATTTCTTCGTCGCTTAGGTAGTTACTTTGGGCCTGATTTTATCAGACCCTTCCGACCATTATCTGGATCTGTAGTACGAGAAAAAGAGACTCGTAAACGAGCCACGATACAGCCACTGTTTGCCAAGTGACGATCAGTAAGTAGATAATAGTCATCTTCGTTGATGGAAGCATCGCGTACTATGTAGGATAAGTGACATTCAGTTTCGTGTTCTCTTATCGCCGGTAAATACTATCTCTCTTTTTCTCTCTCTCTCTCGTGTCATTCCTTGGATCAGTAATTGATGGAAATCAATATTGAAATCCTTGTTCGATCACTGGTGACGTGAATCATGAAATTGATACGCGTGCGGTTGTTTAAAAATTTCAAACAACTTGAGAATGATTCAACGTTATAACAAGGTAGTGTTAAAAGTATTAATACGTCTCGAGTCTCTTCTCCTGATATCTGGTTACTAATGCACATAAGAATTCGTCGCTTAGGGTCAAAGTTGATAGACGATTATTATACATTTCTTCTCTCTCTCTCTCTCTCTCTCTCTCTATAAGCGCTCCCCTTTTTGATATTGAAACAACGTTTACGATGCAGCCTCCTTTTATCGTCTGCTTGCTTCTTCTTTTTTTTAATACACGATTACAACTAATTGCCACTGAAATGTGATTATAATTTATTCACGATTTTTCAGACAGAATGGAATTACGTTAAAAATATTTTCAATATTTTCTTGACAATAGAGGAATGCAAAAGACAATTGTCCAGCGAGATTGCACGTTAACGTGATTCATGGCTAATTACCGGTGTCTGAAGATTAAATAATACTCTGTCCAATTGAAGAAGATATAATTATGTTGCAAAAACTGTAATTTTTGTCTCGTACAACATTCTTCAAAGTGTACCGTTTTGCTGGTCAACGTTTACAGTTAGAAGGTAGCGTTTAAAGAATAATTTGGTCTTGTTGCTGGAAAATTTTCATTCGAACGTCAAATGTTTATTGTTTTCTTCTTTATCTATGAAAGATAACGTGAAAAGGCAGGGAAGGCCGGTCTAAGAAACTAAATCTGTCCCCTGGAAAGTACGCACGATTTTATCATTTTGCTGAGGAGGAGAAACTTGAGAAAACAACCGACTGGTTAGTGCATCTTCTGTTGCCAATACATGGCTACTACCTTCAAGCAACTTCAGTAATGCTTATTCGCGTCACGAGTACATTTATAATATTAATATCTGAAAGATAAAAATATATGTAACTTCCTGTGATTTAATTTGATCGAACCATGATTTCATTGTCGCGTTGATAATTGCAAGGAACACAGATGTGAGTGAGTTTAGTCGTTAGAAAGGTGAACCAAGTGATGGAATCTGAATATTTTGAGACTTCTTGGAAAGGAAAGGTACAACAGATTCGAAGGCGGCTTAGAACGTTGTTCAGAGACACGCTAAAGAGATACCGATCAAGGAGGAAGGGCTACACCAGATTCCTCACGGACGAGGAAAAGAGGTGACTCGTTTGACTTCCGGTCAAGCTCTGCATAGGAAGAGATCTAACGAAAATTCGATTTCTTAAATTTTTATTTTTACTCTAGCACAAAGAAATATCTGTATTTAAAAGTACAATATATAATCTGTGTTTAAACACGTTCAGCAGATAGGAGATAGTAAAGCGTGTTTGAAGATGTCCACATAGATATTATGAATTGTCTTAATCATTTTATATCAAACGAATTGTTATTTCTTCGATCGTTTAATAAAATATTCTAATATTTATTTTTTCATTTTAGGTGGTTGGTCACCGTCGAATACGACTTGTCCACCAGGCTTGGAATACCTTATGGCCCTTAGTCATCTATTTGTACAACAGAAAGTCGAATTAGTCGAAGGTTAATTATCTATTTCCAAATTCACTTTATAATTGCAATAAGCGCTGAATAATTCCAATGCACCTGTCGGCTTAAATAATTTTATAGGAGTAACTAAACAATTCAATCAAATGTTTGCAGCTTTTACCGGCTTTGAAACAAAGAACAAATACATCGTAGCGAATGTCAGGGGAGAGCCAGTTTATTACGTCGCGGAGGAGTCTGGATTTTGTGGACGTTTATGTCTGGGCACCTATCGCAGCTGTGAATTTGTTGTGATTGACAATAACAGAAGGGAAGTGTTGCGCATGGTTCGTCCCTTCAGATGCGACAGTTGCTGTTGTCCTTGCTGTATGCAGGTATTGAACGCTCCTTTTTAAGCGCTAAGAAAGAGACACGGTTGGCCTTACCATAATGAATGATCAAGCACGTAACGGTTCTCAAGGCTGTTAAAATGGCCAATAAATTGTTGGTTCAGGTTCAGGTTAAGCCTCGGTTGATCTTCTAATAAGTTTCGACTCTTAAAGGCTGATCAATTTTATGATAATATTAATTAATACCTAAGCAGTTAGCGTTGTCAGGTATTACGTTTTCAATAATATTCAATTCAATATTTAACCCTTTGAGGGTGCAAAGATCTCTATTAGCCAGGTCCTCTCCAATTTCTAAAAATTTCTTTGATTGTTTCTTTTTGTTTCGTTATTTTATGATAGATGAAATATTGATTAGTTTATAACTACTTGATTGATTAACAAGTGTATCATCTGTTTGATGAAATATAATAACAAGTTATATCTGTTTCAGGTATCTGCATAACAGACACGTATTATTTTCTCTGTACAGTTGTGCACGTCAATGATACAATCATATTTCACATCAACACACAGTCACGTCGGTAGTCAATCGACTCATGAAGGACACGTCCGTTCGCGTTACCGTAATTGCCTCTTTATTTATGGCGGCCACTAGATACGGCTCGCAAAACGTTCGCTTAAGTTTCTCGAACATGCGACACGCACAACCTGCGAAACTTTCTTCACACGTGCGCACCATCTGCGACGACTACCTTTGACGAAAAATTATTCCTCAAGCCATTAGAAAAACTGGTCACGATTCATACTCTTTGAGCAACACCGCTCACTGACACGTTTTGGTTCTCTTTCGAACCCTCATGGAAGACCCTATTATTCCATTCTATACGAGTTCGTTGCAACACACTTGCAACGTATTTGGCAGGTCATTCTAAACAAAAAATGTTACATAAACGATGGGTCAATTCAGTTCAGTTGATATGGATAGAAATACCGATTGAAAAAGGTAAACACCATATTTGTTTTCTTTTTTTTAATTCTAAACCCTTTGTTCAATAATCTTTTTTTTTTTTTTATGTGATTGTATGAAATCTAGAGTGTATTTAAATGGAAAAGCTGGCACCCGTGAAGCTGCAGTTAGCATTAAGAATAATTTTGCTGATATCTGATGGATATGATCAATGGAAGTATGCCTATTTGCACAGAACCATGAAATATTTATTGTCAATAGTTCCTTTTTCATGTACTATTTTCTACGATTTCAAATAAATAATTAAATTGAAGTTAAGTAACTGGTACGCGTCTGATTATTTGTAATTTGTATCAACACCCACATTTTGGAAAACGAAGAGAAATCGGCCTATGGTTTATATAACATTTTTTACTTGGAGTAACAATTTAAAATTATTAGGAACATTCATGTTATTTATACTCATTCTTCTTTATTATATAACTTCTGGGTACAATAAATCTTCAGAGAATTATTTTTCAAATTCTCAGCTTCTATCCTATTTCATCGTTTCTCATTCATATTTGCCTTCTTTCGATTAAGTTGTTCCTAATTTGACGAAAATTTCTATAAAAATAAAATAAATAGTAATTATTTAAAGCATTCTGGCGTAAGAATTTAAGTTTTCGCTCATTTAAATTTTGCGGCTAAAATTTTTTTTAGACCAGCGCCATCTAGCGGTTCGTGCACTGGAAACTATTTTGAAGTAATAGGATAGCAGAAAGGTATAAGAGGTATGCGGTTTACTCCGGGTATTTCAAGATGGCGGTCGCCGAGTTATTCATACTCGCCTGTGAAAAAAAATTAATTACTCATTTATTACGAATAATTTATGCACTTTTATGATTGTAGAACGAAGATTCATGCCTCAGTTATATTCTCACGCAATTTCATTAACATCCTGCCCGTAATTATTTAATAATCAGCAAATTACAGCTGACGAGATCGCTGACGATTACCGAAGGGTTGTAGTTTTTAATTATTTATTCATTTTTCGTGATTAAGTCACGAACCTTTATGATTCTTGAATGAAGCCTGATTCATCCGCTACATTCTCATATATCTTTTGTTATAATTCTATTAAAGAATAATTAGTTATTAAGAATTTTTCTTTCCGCGTTGATACCCGACTAACCTTCACATTCCTATTAATAATTTATTTCACAATTTCTGATAATCATTTACGTATCTTAAGGACAAAATCATAAACAGAGATCCTTCAATTACATTCAGAGTCAATTTCTGTGCATATTTTGTGCTCAGATTATTATTTATTAATGATTAAAGCGTTGTCGGAATACGCGAGCGTAACGTCATTCTATATTTAATTAAATCTTCATTTCGAGCAATATTTTATACACTTTTAAGCTATCATTATGTATCTTGATTCATTATATATAATTCCCAACAAGTTTTATGCATGTTTGCTCTGTATTTATTAAATAATTAGCATCTCTAATTAATTTGACGTGTTCCTAAATTTCACAGAAAATCTTGGAAAGAGTAATATAAGAAGGAAGACGATGGATCATAAATCATTCCGCAATTATAAAAGTGCATAAATTATTCGTAAAAAACGAGTAATTAATTATTTTTCACAGGCAGTTATAAGCTGCTCGACGGCCGCCATTTTGGAATACCAGGAGTAAACCGCATACCTCTTATACTTTTCTGCTTTCCTATTACTTTAGTTTTTCCAATGCACCAACCGCTAGATGGCGCTGTTCTAAAAAAATTTTTACCCGCAAAATTCAAATGACAGAAGAGAGGAATCGAAGTCGCGCAACAAGCCGAATATTGTAATAACTAATTAATTTATTTTCAGGAACTGGAGGTGTATTCTGGAGATACATTACTTGGGTCGATAACGCAAGATTGGAGCCTTTGGCGACCTACTTTTTCGATTCGTAACGCAGCCGGAAATACTGTTTTAATTATAAAGGGACCTTGGTTACGATTCTGCGTAAATGTAACATTTAAGGTAATTTATCATTTCTGTAATTATTTCTTTTGTAGGTTATTTTATTCATTATTTACTTTTTAGGTTAAATCTGCGGATGGTAGACACAGAGTTGGAGATATTAAGAAAGAATGGAGCGGTATTGGCAAAGAAGTTTTAACTAGCGCAGATAATTTTGGTATAAGTTTTCCAGTAGACCTAGATGTTAAGATAAAAGCCGTTTTACTCGGTGCTTGTCTTCTATTTGTAAGTCTATTATTATATGAATATACTATGATTTATATATGTATTTGTAAAGTTATCTTTAAATATGCATTTCAGGACTTCATGTATTTTGAAAAGAAAGATAAGTCAGCTGCATAAAGTGGAAGCTCTTCCAGATCTGTTTAAAACAAATACTTTACTATGATTACTTTTGCTATGCTTTTCTATATAGCTTTTAACAGATTAATATAAACAGAATTACATACAATTCATAAGAGTGTAACTAAAAGTCTTCTAATGTATTCTAAAGCCTATCTATAAGATGCACGTGTTACTGCAATCATATTTTTCTATGTTGTATTCAAAAATTTACATACTACGATTGTCATAAGCACAAGGTACTGTTTTTCTGCCAACTGATGTAATTACATTCATTAATTGTTACGAGCATATGTTGTATGCATGTATTTTTTTAAATGTGACTGATTTATACTCACAGCTATAAAGTAAATAATGATTTTGTGAACTTTACAAAGGATGGAGAAAGATTAAAGAAAGGAAATCAATATAATGTGTATGTCCTTTTATTCGTCTTTAACTCACATCTTCATACATTTGATAGTGAAATCATTACCGTCTCAGCTGCACCATTTGGCATGCTATACTTATCGCAGATGTTCTTAGTTTTGGTAAAAAATGAGAATGAAAAAACAACTTGCACGTAACATCCTCTCGCATAGATTACAAAATGGGATGCTGCAAGACACTGTACTTACTCGTCGCGTTTCTTACAACACATCAAGGACTGAATCAGGTATCTTATTGAAAAAATAATTTGAATTTAATATTCAAGATCAAGTATAAAGTTCGTCGCGTTTGTAAGGTAATCTTGAAAACGTTTTTATTTTAATATCGTTACAAATGCGCTCTTTACACGAATTTCAATTGCGTAAAGTGTTGAACAAAATCAGTGTGAAACAGAATTGTAGAAAAATTCAAGACGTCCTCGATATGTTAACGATGTCGCGATTATTAATCAATCCAAACTTGATCACACAATAGCTGATAGTTTCTTTTCACAGATACAATGAGACGATCGACAGTAAACACGATACAAAAAGCAATAAGGTTGAAGAAGAAATAATAAGAATAGAGAAATGAAAGAATACTGCGTGTATTTCTTTAGCATGCTGGATTACATGTCCTTAGAAAAAGAGATACAAGAAAAACGAACGGGGTGTGAAACGAAATTGAAATACTGTTAAGAACAATATGTAATAATGTATAATACAAGCTGCTCTTTTCTTTTTAACTTTTTCTTGTTCGTACGGATCGATTGAAAGGAACTCGAACAATAATAATAATAATAATAATTAAAATAAGGATAATAATATTAATAGTAATTGTAACGCATGTAAAGAGGAGGAGGAGACCGTGGAAACAAATGAAAGCTGTGCGCCCGTACGTTTACGACAAGAATCTTAATAAACTGAAAAAATATCTAAATTTACGATCTTTAGACTCGACTATACGAGCTAAACCTCTGATATTCTCTTGAACACGAACAAAGCTTTTCGTCGTCACTGTTTTGGAATTCTAAGGACGCGCGTGTAGCTGCGTAGAGGATCTTAGCACATCAAGGACCAAAATACTCGTCTAAAATTATGGGGGATCATGCCCCTGTATCTTTTTATTCCACAACAACGTATGAAGTGAGAAATGCCCCATTTTCTTTCTTTTCTAAAGATATTTTCTTTAAAGTACAATTTTTGATGGTTCTTTTTGATCTTTCTTGTGTGTTCACAAGTCTCTTTGAAGAGATTTCTTCGAACACAGTTGATTCCGCTAGGAGAAATCAGTACGAAGATTAAAGAAATACAGTTCCAAGGAGCAGGAGGGTCCTCGATGCGTCAAGAACGTCTAAAGGGTGAATAAAAGAGGGAGATGGTCGCGTATCAGTTGTCTCCTTGGCGCGGTTTAAAGTTCCTTCTCGAGCTTGATCAGCTCAGCGATTCCATCGTGCATCTCCTTCACAGCCTGATACTCGGTAAGACCGAGACGTCGTTTGTTGGAGATATCGTAGATACCACCCTCGGCCTCGGTGTGTTCACCACGAGTACCGCGGACCTGGAGGTTGAATTTACCAGCGATTTCCTCGAGCTTCGCCCTATTAGCGGCAAGTTTCGGCACCTTGATGTGTACAGAGGCTCGTACCGTAGTACCCAAGTTCGTGGGGCAGAAAGTGAGAAAACCAAGGCGGTCGTGATGGGAGAAGGGAAGTCGTTTTTCGATTTCGTTTACAGCGGTCACAAGACGACGATAGACCTACGAAAAATATAATAATCGTTACTTATCTTTTCTTAATTTCTAATAGATTTGTTTTTCATAAATAGATATCTACCTGTCCAAGATCACCGCCCATTTGCATAGAGATGATACGAAGGTGATCTTCCTCGTTGACCCAGACCAAGAAGGTCTTGGCATCGTTGTGGTAAATACCACGTCCAGTGGGCCAGAAACGGCAAGCATTAGCGGCCTGCAAGAAGCGGTCACCTTCCTTGAACAGGAAGTGATCGTCGATCAACTTTTGCTGGACCTCTTTGCTCATGCCAGTCAGAGGATAGAAGGTTCCTTTCAGTTCACCCTCCAAACCAGACAAGGTGCTGGAAACCTTTTCTTCCATCTCCTTGTACTGGGCCTCGGTCAAGCATGGGTTGAACGGGTAACCTTCCAAGGAACGTCCGCATCTTACACGGGTGGAAACGATGAATTCACCCTAGATAAATAAGGAACGTTTTAATTAATTTTAAATGTTACACCTGATCAATTATTTGTAATTTATTTTACTAATACTAACAGCAGGGTCGAGATTTCCAAGAGTGTCAACATCACCAAAGTCCTTTGGTGGATGCTTGTCAGTCTTCTTGAAACCACCATGATAGTCTTCGATGATTGGGTCAAAGAGGTCGGCAAAGATTGAGTAGGACTCAGCATCAGGGGCGTATATACCAACGCCAGAATCCAAATTCTCAACACCAGACTGGATCACATCGAGAAGAGTAGAACCGAAAGAGGTCTTCTTTGTTTTCAGTTGATCAAATACTTCCTTGGTTAGATATTTCTTCAACAATGACTTGCTGTCAGAGGTAGACACTTTGGTGAAGCCAGCTTCAAGTTTATCCAAAACTGCCTGGTCCACCATGTTGCTGTTCTTTTTACTGAAAGAAAGATGTATCAAATTAATATCATCTCACAAAAGAAACAGTGAACACACACAGAGAATACAAATATTTCACATAAATCAATGCTTTTGAAACTTAAGCGAAAAACTTTTTTATTTACAAGAGAAGAATGTATGTGAAGTATGCCAGTGAAAGCATAATTAATTTCTTTTGATGCGAGACAAGGTCCCAGAGGTACGAGCTGGTCATCGCTGTACTGACACGTTTCAAATTGATTACGGTAAAGTATGATAATGATATTAAACTTGTTATCAACGATTCTTATCTCGAGTATTACGTATACGTTCCCCAGATCATCGACGAAGATTGGTCGTTATCACATATATGATACAAGTTTTCAGACGATTCGTTGTTTTGATAAAATATCTACAGAATACAAAGTTCTCGGTAAAGGCTTAAATTTTTATACACGTGTAATTTTGAATAAGTACACTACTACATAGCTGGTAAGACGAAAACGTGGATTTTCTTGTACTAATCTATTTATTTAATTTTCCAAAAACAGTCCATTTTAATGAGTACATTTGAAATAGTATTTCAGAGACAATTTAAGGGGAGCAACAACTCACGTTTGAAGTAGCCTGACAAGAAGGTTTCGACCAGTGAATCGGGTGAAAGGTTGTGTCAGGACTTCCTTCGATATTCGGATCAGTTTAAAGAGCATGAAGAATTTGTCCAGGAAATGAACCTTAAGGAGAGACGAACCCTTAGTCTTGAATCTCGTGCAAGATCCTCGAAAGGATTCATCGTTCGTCCAATATTTAAAATAAAATTTTCAAAGGCAACGTGATCAGGAGAAACAGTATCTATTTGCCACTTGAATTTGGCAACGACAAGACTTGTTTAATTGCAATCTTGACAATCAACAGTCAGTCTATTTGCAATGTGTAAAACGTAACGGTGAAAATACATATAGGCCACCTTGAGAGTATACAGATTTTTCGACCGATTGCGAGAGTGATTCTCAACTGATTAACAATCACTTTCACGATAGTCAGTTCTGACATTGATTGATAAAAAGTATCACGACGAATTTTTATAGATCGTGCGAAACGGTTACAGAACAAAAGGCGTGTTCGTCGTTGGTGCATTTTTTGAGATAGTAAAATTATTGTGAAGTATCCATGGCTGTATCGAACGGAAACCAGTGGGTGAAATACGTACACCTCCTCGACGGTCGTTTCGTCCTTAGATTCGCCGCAAATGCCCATCGACGTACATATGCCCATTGTCCACGTCTATTTATAAGCGACGCGCGAATCCTCTTTATTTTACAAACGCGAACAGGCCGATGCTAATCGAAAACCACGTTGTTCGGTGCTCGTCAGCATCAGGACGAGATACCATCGCGTTCTACAGTTTCCTGCCGGATTTTAATTGTCTAATATTAAATAAGTATAACGATTAATTATAACGTTTCTCAGAAACTTTCCAACACAATTGAATTGATTCGATATTTCAGAGTGATTTCACTCTGAAAGTATGACACAATAGTAAGGGGAGCAAGAAAGAGAATACAGCGCGAAGTGCAAATAAAATTTTTCGGTCGACCTGTTTCCAGTCCACGCCCTTAAGTAAGGGCAAAGGGTTAACCCTTTTGTGCGAACCAACAGAGGGTAGCTACTATTAATGTTGGGTACACACTCGTCGAGCCTCCTTTATCGTACGAGACTCGAGAGAATGATCAAGTTAGAACCCGATACTCGATTAACAGAACAACGATCGAGTACAGAAAATTTCATCAAGGATGAAAAATAGTAGCTCCTTAATTAAACCTGCAATTAATCTCCGACTGATCTTTCGAAATGATTTCCCGAATATCATCGAATATCATCAAAGATTAAGTAGAGTAAAAGGTTCGTTTCTAAAGTTTCTCAGCTTCGTTTATTATGAATTCAACGAATGTCTGATTTGACGTACAGCTACGTCACTGTGCACGGCTAGAGTGTAGCGAGGTGTCGCGATGATCAGGTGCGCAACACGTCACACCATCGCGCTTTAAACACTCGAGGAACGAGAGACTTTGTACAGTGGGGTGACAAACCTTAAGAAGGATTTACATACTCGGATACGTACTCGTCACTCGACGTGGTATCCTTCGAGGTACATCCGCCCATGACGACGACGACGACGACGGCGACGGCGACGCCCCAGCGAGAGAGAGACAGAGAGAAACAGCGATAAAGAGTGGGGCAGAGCCGTGCGTGTATTCACCTCCGATAATCGAACTTCACCTCTTCGCTTCCTCCCGTCTGTCTGCACAACCCCGAGAATCACCGAAACCGGAAGTTCCACCGGAGTACCACCCTCCTGGGT